TTGAGTCTCTCTTATAATCAATTAAGTGGTGAAATTCCAATATTTTTGGGGCAACTATCAAATTTGGAGGACCTGGGCATTTCAGGCAACTTGTTCAATGGAACAATTTCTGAGGTTCACTTTGACAAGCTCTCGAAATTAAAAGCGCTTTCTGTATCCTCCAACTTGATCACTTTTAAGTTTAGACATGGCTGGGTGCCCTCTTTTCAATTAAATTTTCTTTTCATGGGATCTTCCGATATTGGAGGTCAGTTTCCATCATGGCTTCAATCCCAGAAGACACTAGTTTACCTTAATTTATCCAATTGCGGCATTTCAGGAACTCTACCGAGCGACATTGGTTACATGTTACCTCTTCTGAAATATTTATTAATGAGCCGAAACTCCATTAATGGCTCACTACCCGATTCATTCTGCAATATGATAGATTTGTTGGTTATAGATCTCTCCAGCAATAATTTATCTGGTAGTATGTTGGAATGTTGGCAAAAGTTTCAAGGCTTAAGGTTTTTGTCATTGTCATCCAATGAGCTTTCAGGCACCATTCCTAAATCCATTGGAGGTGCTGGCGGATTGCAATGGCTTTTGTTGAACAACAACATGCTTTCAGGACCAATTCCCTCCACTTTACAAAACTGTACTTATTTAGAAGCTTTAGACGTTGGAGAAAATATGTTGTCCGGTAAAATACCTGCATGGATCGGAAATAAGCAACTTTCATTGTTTATTCTTAAGTTGAGGAATAATCAATTTCATGGGGAAATTCCTCGGGCACTCTGTGAAGCTTCTCAACTTCAAGTGCTAGACCTCGGGAATAACAAGTTGAGCGGATACATCCCGCACTGCATTGGAAATCTCTCAGGCATGATTGAAATTAAGACTCCAGGTCTAATCTCGTATTTTCATAGCTTACATCAAGTGTTCAAAGGAGTAGTGATGGAGTATTCTATGAATATAATATATCTTGTTAATTTGGATCTTTCATGCAATAATCTTACTGGGAAAATTCCTTTAGAGATGACGAACCTTCGCAACTTGTATGGCCTCAATTTGTCACATAATTCATTGGATGGAGAAATTCCAGCAAAGATTGGAGATATGACGGCTTTGGAATCTCTTGATCTTTCGAGCAACAATTTGTTTGGAAGAATCCCAAATAGTCTATCAAATCTCTATTTTCTGAGCCACTTGAACGTATCCAACAATCATTTATCCGGACAGATTCCCACAGGAAAGCAACTGCAAACTCTCGGAGACCATGCAAGTTATGATGGCAATCCTCAACTCTGTGGAGCTCCTCTGCAAAAGAGAAGTCCCAGAAACAATTCTCCGAATGCTCCAAATGCCAAAAATCATGCTGAAGGAGATGCAGACTCAATGGATAAAATATGGTTCTGTGCATTTGTGGTGGGAGGATTCGGCACTGGATTTTGGGGTTTCGTTGGATTGTTGGTATTCAAAAGGAGCTTCAGACAGGCTTACTTTGGCTTTACAGATGAGATGGGCAACAAGATTCTGCTCGCTGTGGCGTTATTATGTCAAAGAATCTCAGGTAAGTGATATATAATATATATATAATGTTTTTAATTTTCGTAGTTTTCAGTTAGTGTTTTCCTTGAATGAAATTCGTCGTTGATGTTTTAATTCTGCTGTCAGGTGTGGGTTTTAGTTAGAAGTACTCGAGACGATCATTGGCTTGTTTGCAATATATAAAAGTTTTATATTTGTCTTGAGCTGAAGTTTTATGTATAATGAAATACTTGTGAAGTATGCAAGTATTTTCACTGCAACAAGCATTCCTTTTTACCCTAAGAAAATTGTGCGTAAGAGAAGCCGAGAGACCCTTGAAAATGCGGTCAATGATAAAAACTTTCTCAGTTTGGCGGCGGAAACGGAAGTGGCAATGAGCTTCCAAACGATCGAACATCTTGGCAAGAGTGATGCAGTTCGATCCATTTACTGAGCGACAGAGCAATTTGTTGTTACGTCTAATTATTCAATTTAATTTTAATTTTAAAAGTAAATTTTAAATTCTAATCATATATATATTATTATTATTATTATTATTATTATTATTATTATTCTAACTACACCACACTCCATCTTCTTAAATCCGATAACACATACACCTTCAGTCCCTCTCGCTCTTCAAACCTTCAGACACTACTGTAAAACGCCCGTTTGTCCGTCTTCCATCTTCTTCTCCCAAATCGACACGGTCAGACAGCAGCCTTTAACCTCTTGTCCCGCTTAGCCAACGGTCGGTAATATTATTTTGAAAATACATTTGATAATATATTTATAGGGTCTATAAATTTATTTTTGCTCAGAGTTCTAAAAAAAAGTCCGAAACCACGTATACTTTTAATTATAATCCTAAAAAGGAATTTAAATATAATTTAGATAGACACGGTGAGATAAGAATAAACCAACTCTAATAGAGCTCTAACATACTTTATTTCTTATTTATTTTATTAATTTTTGCATACTCTTGTTGTGTGGGTCTATGAATGAATGGTTCGATTGTGGTGGGTATCAATTAATGAATGAATGCTTGTGGTGTTTAATGGTTACCTCAGTCATCACTTTATCTGCGCATGGAATTCTTTTAAGTTGTTTCCATCAATTGACAAAATGAAAGACTTGACTGACAAAGCAAAGGCAAAGGCAAAGGCAAAGGTAGAGGTAAAAGCAAGTGTGTTTGCTTGTCTACTCACATCAAGAAGAAATTTGCCCTCATATCTCATTTTGTGTATAATTAAATGAGAGAATTTTTGTTTGAGCAATTTGATTTGTTTTCTACTATTCATAAACTTTTTTTTCTTAAAATATTAAATAAAATACTTATTTTTTTTATATTATATTTTTGTTTGGCAAAATATCTTATTGTTAGAAATACAAAACATATTCAAATTTAAATAATCTAATATATTGATAAGACCAAATAATATAGCATAACAGAAACCAACTTAGGTTTATAACAAAGTTGAATACAATGCAAGAAAACGCAAATAAAAATAACAATTGACCCTCTACCGGAGCCGAAAATGACGTGACTTTCCACCGGAAGGGAAAACGAAATGACTCTCCACCGGAGCCGAAAACGACATGACTCTAGAAGCATCGAATTCGATCATACCTTGACAGTCTTAAGCAAAGGTGCATTGTGCTACCTGAGCAGGGCGACTGTTTTTCCGTGCATTTCGTGCATCAGTTGTCTTCAAGTTTGAAGTTGATCGGGGGGTAGTCGCCGCAAAGAGAGCCTTCAAAGTCGATTCTTGCATGGAGGAGGTTCGCGGTATTGGCTCATCTATGTTCCATCTGCGACCAGAGATTACACCAAATTAATTGAAAATGAGTAAAATTAATTAGTTGTATTTGTGTAATACTAATAAAAAATAAGTATAATTTTTGAGTGACGTGGGAAGTAATTATATATATAGAATGAATATTTAGTGTTTGGATATATAAAAAATAAAAATTAGTTACACTTTGTATGAATCAAGTGAGTATGTTATGATAAATAAATAGCAAAAATGAAATGTGAAAATATAATTAAACAAATCATATATTTTTAACACTTTTTTATTTGTTCCTATTAGTTGATTATATATATATTTTTTCAAAAATATTCATCTTCTAAATTCTATAATAACTTTAAAAACAATAAAAATACTGTTATTGTTCATGAAAAATTTCAATTACAATTAAAGAAACGAGAAAAATATATTAAAAGTGAGAAAAATATATTAAAAGTTTGAGTCGTAAATATTTATCTACCCACATTTTTATTAGGGCAAGGCAATGCATGCGTTTACTCTTAGTCAAAAAAATATTTTCATTGAAGAGGTTAGCTATACGAAGACACCGGATCTCGGCGGTAGTGTCGTGAGCAAGTTTATGGCTAATTCGGGTAAAGCTTCATTGGGTAGCTATAAAGTGGATGTTGCCATATTTGAAAGAAGCTTGAGATAAAGGCCGGTGATGGTCTGGTTGGCTATGCAGACTCTGGGTGACTAGGTAAAACAAAGATAGTTGTTTGCTTTATCTTCACTCTGTTTAGATGTGCAGTCGGTTAAAAGTCTACTTTACAACTTTACAACGTACGGTATTGGAGGGTACCTGATTACATGGTCTGGTGTAAGTTTGGGTCTGAAGTTGGAGAAACTGGTGTTATTATAGTCAGAGTGCTTTGAATTTGGCTAAAAATTCGGTGTATCGATGTTCCAGAGGAAGACGGATTTTTTATTACAATCCTGTGTATGTATGTTTATATGTATGCACACATTTTATTTTAAGTTCTTTCACATCCAATTATTCGAGTGCTGCTTGAACTTGGTGAATATTCGCAAGAGGTAAAGTCCCCTGAGGGTATCCAGCAGGAAAGAGACGACTGAGATACTGAGGAACCTTTAGCTGTCGGAGAAACTCCAAGTCAAGGTGGAGACTGTTGAAACTCGACTTATTTAGCTTAGCTGTCTATCTGACCTGGAACCAAAGCAAAAAGACTGTTTCAATTGGCAGAGTTCCTTTTGGATTTAGGATGTTTTGAGAGTGCTTAGAAATAGATAGCTAGCTATGGTTTATGACTATGATTATAACTCTCTGAATTGTTATAATATAATATCTCCGGTTCTCCCAGTGAATGTTGACACACCGTCACTGAACCACGCAAATCTCTGTGTTCTTTATTTGTTTTCTTTCTCGTTTTCTCGTAACAATATGGATGAGTCGTTGAAATAAATATTGAAAGCGATATGTAGAATATCGACATAATAATTTTCTGCAGTATTGACTGAGTCCTCGCTAGAAAAATTGGATGTGAAAGAACTTAAAATAAAATGTGTGCATACATATAAACATACATACATAAATACATACAGGATACATGGTGCCATTCTATAAGTACTCTTTGAATCTTGGTTCATCATGCATCTACAGCTATATGACCTAAAATCTCATTAAAGCCATTTGAATCTTGTTTGAGTTTCATTGTTGCAATGGAGAAGATATCTACTTCTTCTCTTCTTCTTTTTATGTTAATGCTTGTTTTGGAGTTTGGGATTAATTTATGTGTTGCCATAAATGCATCTTCTGGTTGTGTTGCTGCAGAGAGGAAAGCTCTCCTCAAGTTCAAAGCAAGTCTTGTCGATCCTACGAACAGATTGTCCTCGTGGAGGGACCTGAATTGTTGCACGTGGGAAGGTGTCACTTGCGACGAGATTACCGGCCATGTTATCGAACTTGATCTCAGGGGAAATGTTAGTTTTGACTATTACATGCCTAATATTAATTTCGATGACAGGTTAGAGGGTAAAAGTCTTGATCCTTCTTTAAGGGAATTAAAGTATCTCAATTATTTGGACTTGAGTCAGAATAAGTTTCAAGGAAGTAGAATTCCTGAATTTTTAGGATCAATGACTGAGCTGCAGTATCTTAACCTCTCTGGGTGTTTTCTTGATGGTGTTGTCCCAGACCATCTTGGCAATCTGTCAAAGTTGCGTAGGCTTGATCTCAACTATAATGATGGCCTTATATCCAATGATATCAGATGGGTTTCCAACTTTTCATCGTTGGAATATCTTGATTTGAGTTGGGTTAACCTTTCCCAAACTAATGATTTAGTTAAGGTACTCAACGTGCTACCTTCTTTGTCTGTGCTGCGCTTGTCACGGAGTTCACTTAACAATCACTTATCCCATTCTTGTTTAAATTCTTCATTTCTTTCACATGTCTATCGCTTGGACCTTAGTTCGAACGGATGTCACGGAGAAGTTCCTTGCTTTCTCTCGAATATGACTTCTCTGAGGATTCTTGATCTTTCAAACAATGTATACAACACTTCACACTTGCAATTTTTAAAATTAAGAAACCTTGTTCATCTCAACCTTTATGAGAACCAATTTGAATATGAGTCAGATTGGATCTCCAAACTCTTGGGTGATAATTGCCGCTTGGAATCATTGTCTCTGTCTTATAATCACTTTCATGGGGAGATCTCATCAGTTTTCAACAATATTTCTGGATGTTGGAGTCAAAATTTGAAGAGCCTAGAATTGTCAGGAAACAACTTCAAAGGTGGTTTACCGAATGATTTGGACAAAGTCAAACGATTAACATTTCTTGATCTTTCTGACTCAAATATAAGTGGTGAAATTCCTGAATCTCTTGGAAACTTGTCGGGTTTGGAAGTGTTGATTGTTGCTGGTAACAAGTTAGTGGGTTCCATTCCATCATCCTTCAGAAAGTTGAAAGCATTGAGAGTTTTGTCTCTCTCTTTGAATCAATTAATCGGGGAAATCCCAATATTTATGGGCCAACTATCAAATCTGGAGAGCCTGGATGTTGCAGACAACTTGTTCAATGGAACGATTTCTGAGGTTCACTTTGACATGCTCTCAAAATTAAAGAGCTTTATGTATCCTCCAACTTGATCAATTTTGAATTTGAATATGGTTGGGTGTCCTCTTTTCAATTGAAATATCTCGACATGGGATCTTCCAACATTGGAGGTCAGTTCCAACATGGCTACAATCCCAGAAGGCATTAATTGGCTTAATTTATCCAATTGCGGCATTTCAGGAACTCTACCGAGCGGCATTGGTTACATGTTACCTCTTCTGAAATATTTATTAATGAGCCGAAACTCCATTAATGGCTCACTACCCGATTCATTGTGCAATATGATAGATTTGATGGTTATAGATCTCTCCAACAATAATTTATCTGGTAGTATGTTAGAATCTTGGCAAAACTTTCAAGGCTTAAGGTTTTTGTCATTGTCATCCAATGAGCTTTCAGGCATCATTCCTAAATCCATTGGAGGTGCTGGCGGATTGCAATGGCTTTTGTTGAACAACAACAAGCTTTCAGGACCGATTCCCTCCACTTTACAGGATTGTACCAACTTAAGAGTTTTAGATATTGGAGAAAATATGTTGTCCAGTAGATTACCTGAATGGGTCGGAAATAAGCAACAGTTTTTGGTTCTTAAGTTGAGGGATAATCAATTTCATGGGGAGATTCCTCGGGCACTCTGTGAAACTTCTGAACTTCAAATGCTAGACCTCGGAAATAACAAGTCGACTGGAAAAATCCCGCATTGCTTTGGAAATCTCTCGGGCATGATTGAATATAAGTCTCCAAGTCTATTGTATAATAATGTGTATAGCTTTCTTCAAGTGTTCCAAGGAGCAGTGATGGAGTACTCTCGGAATATAAGATATCTTATTAATTTGGATCTTTCATGCAATAATCTTACTAAGAAAATTCCTTTAGAGATGACAAACCTTCGCAACTTGTATGGCCTCAATTTGTTACATAATTTATTGGATGGAGAAATTCCAGCAAAGATTGGAGATTTGACGGCTTTGGAATCTCTTGATCTTTCGAGCAACAATTTGTTTGGAGGAATCCCCAATAGTCTATCAAATCTCTATTTTCTGAGCCACTTGAACGTATCCAACAATAATTTATCAGGACATATTCCCACAGGAAAGCAACTGCAAATTCTCGAAGACCATGCAAGTTATGATGGCAATCCTCAACTCTGTGGAGCTCCTCTGCCGAAGACATGTCTTGGAAACAATTCTCCGAATGCTTCAAATGCTAAAAATTATGCTGAATGAGATGGAGACTCAATGGATAAAATATGGTTTTGGGGATTTGTGGTGGGAGGATTTGCCACTGGATTTTGGGGTTTCGTTGGATTGTTGATCTTCAAACGGAGCTTCAGACAAGCTTACTTTGGCTTTACAGATGAGATGGGGAACAAGGTTCTGCTTGTCACGGCATTACTCCGTCGGAGAATTTCAGGTAAGTGATATATAATATACATATATAATAATGTTTTTAATTTACTTAGTTTTCAGTTGGTGTTTTGTTCAATAAAAGTTGTCGCTGATATTTTAATTTTTCTGTCAGGCGTTGCTTTTAGTTAGAAGTACTCGAGACGAACATTGGCTTGTTTGTAATATATAAACGTTTTATATTTGTCTTGAACTGAAGTTTTATGTACAATCAATCACTAGTAAAGTTTTGTGTTTTTATATAATTCTTGATGGATTAATAGTCTTTATTTAAATCTACGTTTAGCAAGTTAGTTTGATTGTTTTTATTAATATTGTACAACCTTGAGGCGCGGTTACCATGAGTCGTTTCCATCTGGGTTGAGTTGAAATCCTCTTCCCAATCAGCTGTTAATTAAAGGAAAAGGAAGATGGAATCTTATATTAATAGTGTGGTTTAGAAATGTGAATGTCGGAAGGCCACATACTCGGGCGAGCCAGGAACTGATGGATGCTTTCGAGGTATTCCTCCCGAAAATGACTTCTTTCAGCAGCTCTGTCGCCAAGCAATACCTTTGTAGAATAAAATGTGGTTGCCATAAGAAAATTTGATGTACAACAGTTTCGGTTAATTGGGTGAAATAAAAGAATACTCCTCAGTCTACCGTCAATCTATCCATTTTAATTTCGTCATTTTGATTCGCTCTCAATCAATGAATCATCCATGTCTGATTGAGGAATAGCAGAATGTCCTTTCCCGACTGCCACAAGAGCTGCCTCATGGAGAAGGAGAAGTTGCGCCAGCTTTGCACCCCTGACTGTCTTGATTCGTAATTAATATTCTTTCATGATAACAAAAATAACAGAAGAAATTAAAATGGCTCTTGCAAGCTTTTAGGGAATTTCAAAACTGTTCCTACCCAAGACTGCAAGAAATTACAACGTAGTAAGACCCCGTTTAAAGCAGAAACACACTCCAGCTTAATTTCATATGCACATGAAGATTGAAATACTGTTGGTTATTTTATTGTTATTGAATTTATTTGAAAATAAGAAATTCGTATCGAGCTATTCTCGGGAAGGATCCCGTGGGGTGCACGCTTGAGAGTAGATATACGATATTGAACGAAGTGTTTAATAATTACATGAATTTGTAATTGGCAACTTTTTGGATTTAAATCTGAAAGGTGCATCTTTTATTTTTGAATAGACACTTCAATGTTTATTAAATAAAGCTTTATCTTGTCAAATTCTGACAGAACAAAAATTATGCAGATTCTTGTCTGCAGAATTAATATGCCATAGCAAATAAGCTCCTAATATTCTACTTGTTTGATTTTTCGCCTAAAATTCGAGTGTTGCGTGTATTTCCAAGATCATATATATGCTGCGATTTTTTATTTTCATTCAATCCAGATTATTTTTCAACAAATACTCACGTACACAAATGTATCAGTTAGACTACAATTTACACTTTATATATATAGAATGAATATTTAGTGTTTGGACATATGAAAATAAAAAATAATTATATTTTTGTATGAATTTAGCAAGTATGTTATTGTAAAAAAATAGTGAAAATAAAGTGTGCAAATACAATTAAACAAATCATATATTTTTAGCATTTTTTTATGTGGTCTTATTAGTCATTATAACTTCTTTTTTTTCATAATATTTATTTCTGTAAATTTTATAATAACATTGAAAACAATAAAAATAATGTTATTGTCTTTGAAAAATCTCAACTACAATTGAAGAAACAAGAAAAGAAAACATTTTAAAAGATAATAGGATTGTCATTATTAGGGTATATTCCTTTTTCTTAAACAATGATAACAACAACAACAACGGCCGTGGAAATTTCGAATGTGCCGTATCCACAAGGCAATGCATGAGTTTACTCTAAGTCAAAAAAGAAATTTTCATTGACCCATCATTTTCATATCATGTACAAATGAAAATTGTCTTTACCTTGTGGAAATATTATGCATATGCCTATTTCATTTCAAGTAATTTAATGTCTTATGTAAATAATCTTTATTTGAATTTCATATCAAATGTTAATTGACAGTTAAGTGATTTTGTATAGTTCAATGGTATTATTATTATTCAAGCAGAAAATTTGAGAATTACTTTAACTAATCAATTTGATTTCGATTAACCAATATTATAAACATGTTAATAGACCATTGGATCATCGATACAGTGGTAATAGTTACTTATTAGCCATTAATCAATACTTGATGGTTCATGACTTCACATAGTAAAAAACTTAAATATTTAGGATTTAATTAGTTATTAATAATTAATCCTTTTCTTTTTTTCTTCGTGTTTGATGGTTCATGTAGTAGAAATGCCAGACTTTTAGGCTTTGTTTAGATATATGTCCATGAAAATATTTATATTATTTAGAATATAAAAAATATTTGAATTACAAGTTAGATGTTAAAAATGTTATTTAAGGGTTAGGAAAAGAATTATAAAGAAATAATTTAAAAAAAACAATAGGCACTACAATTTTGGATATAACTTTTTTTTTGTTTTTCTGGTTTGATATTTTAAATAAATTTAAAATAACTATTGAATGTAATATTTTAATTACAAAACGATATTTTGTAAGAAGAGAATTTTGATAAAAATGGATGAGTCCTTGTGGAAAGACTTGGATGAGTCATTGTGCAAATAACTATTGATAAAGATATGTATAATATCGACAAAAGAATATAATTTCTCCAGTATTGAATGAGTCCTTATGGAAAAAATTGGATGTGAAAGAATTTGAAGAAAATACGTGCATACATACAGAGATACATGGTACATGGTGCCACTCTATAAGTAGTCTTTGAATCTTTGTTCATCATGCATCTACAGCTATATGGTCTAAAATCTCATTAAAACCATTTGAATCTTGTTTGAGTTTCTGTGTTGCAATGGAGAAGATATCTGCTTCTTCTCTTCTTCTTTTTATGTTAATGTTTGTTTTGGAGTTGGAGATTTATTTGTTTGTCGCCATAAATGCATCTTCTGGTTGTGTTGCTGCAGAGAGGAAAGCTCTCCTCAAGTTCAAAGCAAGTCTTGTCGATCCTACGAACAGATTGTCCTCGTGGAGGGACCTGAACTGTTGCACGTGGGAAGGTGTCACTTGCGACCAGATTACGGGGCATGTTATCGAACTTGATCTCAGGGGCAATGTTAGTTTCGACGATGACATGACTAAGGCTATTTTCGATGACAGGTTAGTGGGTAAAAGCCTTGATCCTTCTTTAAGGGAATTGAAGTATCTCAATTATTTGGACTTGAGTCAGAATAAGTTTCTAGGAAGTAGAATTCCTGAATTTTTAGGATCAATGACTGAGTTGCAGTATCTTAACCTCTCTGAGTGTTTTCTTGATGGTGTTGTCCCAGACCATCTTGGCAATCTGTCAAAGTTGCGTAGGCTTGATCTCAACTATAATGATGGCCTTATATCCCATGATATCGGATGGGTTTCCAACTTTTCATCGTTGGAATATCTTGATTTGAGTAGGGTTAACCTTTCCCAAACTAATGATTTAGTTAAGGTACTCAACGTGCTACCTTCTTTGTCTGTGATGCGCTTGTCATGGAGTTCACTTAACAACAATCACTTATCCCATTCTTGTTTAAATTCTTCATTTCTTTCACATGTCTATCGCTTGGATCTTAGTGAGAACTCATTTCACGGAGAAGTTCCTTGCTTTCTCTCCAATATGACTTCTCTGAGGATTCTTGATCTTTCGGACAATGGATACAACACTTCACACTTGCAATTTTTAAAAGTAAGAAACCTTGTTCATCTCAACCTTGATGAGAACCAATTTGAATATGAGTCAGATTGGATCTCCGAACTCTTGCGTGATAATTGCCGCTTGGAATCATTGTCTCTGTCTGTTAATAACTTTCATGGGGAGATCTCATCAGTTTTCAATAATATTTCTGGATGTTGGAGTCAAAATTTGAAGAGCCTAGAATTGTCAGGAAACAACTTCAAAGGTGATTTACCAAACGATTTGGACAAAGTCAAACGATTAACATTTCTTCGTCTTTCTTTTTCCAATATAAGTGGTGAAATTCCTGAATCTCTTGGAAACCTTTCGGGTTTAGAAAAGTTGGATATCTCTTTTAACAAGTTAGTGGGTCTCATTCCATCATCCTTTAGAAAGTTGAAAGCATTGAGATGGTTGCGTCTCATTTCTAATCAATTAGGTGGTGAAATTCCTGAATCTCTTGGAAACTTGTCGGGTTTGGAAGTGTTGGATATCTCTTATAACAAGTTAGTGGGTCTCATTCCATCATCCTTTAGAAAGTTGAAAGCATTGAGATGGTTGAGTCTCTCTTCTAATCAATTAAGTGGTGAAATTCCAATATTTTTGGGGCAACTATCAAATTTGGAGATGCTGCGCATTCAAAACAACTTGTTCAATGGAACAATTTCTGAGGTTCACTTTGACAAGCTCTCGAAATTAAAAGACTTTGATGTATCCTCCAACTCGATCAATTTTAAGTTTGGACATGGCTGGGTGCCCTCTTTTCAATTAAATTATCTTCTCATGGGATCTTCCGATATTGGAGGTCAGTTTCCATCATGGCTTCAATCCCAGAAGACACTAGTTTACCTTAATTTATCCAATTGCGGCATTTCAGGAACTCTACCGAGCGACATTGGTTACATGTTACCTCTTCTGAAATATTTATTAATGAGCCGAAACTCCATTAATGGCTCACTACCAGATTCACTCTGCAATATGAAAGATTTGTCGGTTATAGATATCTCCAGCAATAACTTATCTGGTAGTATGTTGGAATGTTGGCAAAACTTTCAAGGCTTAAAGTTTTTGTCATTGTCATCCAATGAGCTTTCAGGCACCATTCCTAAATCCATTGGAGGTGCTGGCGGATTGCATTGGCTTTTTTTGAACAACAACATGCTTTCAGGACCAATTCCCTCCACTTTACAAAACTGTACTTATTTAGAAGCTTTAGACGTTGGAGAAAATATGTTGTCCGGTAAAATACCTGCATGGATCGGAAAAAAGCAACTTTTATTGTTTATTCTTAAGTTGAGGAATAATCAATTTCATGGGGAAATTCCTCGGGCACTCTGTGAAGCTTCTCAACTTCAAATGCTAGACCTCGGGAATAACAAGTTGAGCGGATACATCCCGCACTGCTTTGGAAATCTCTCAGGCATGATTGAAATTAAGACTCCAGGTCTAACCTCGTATTTTCATAGCTTACATCAAGTGTTCAAAGGAGTAGTGATGGAGTATTCTATGAATATAAGATATCTTGTTAATTTGGATCTTTCATGCAATAATCTTACTGGGAAAATTCCTTTAGAGATGACGAACCTTCGCAACTTGTATGGCCTCAATTTGTCACATAATTCATTGGATGGAGAAATTCCAGCAAAGATTGGAGATATGACGGCTTTGGAATCTCTTGATCTTTCTAGCAACAATTTGTTTGGAAGAATCCCAAATAGTCTATCAAATCTCTATTTTCTGACCCACTTGAACATATCCAATAATCATTTATCCGGACAGATTCCCACAGGAAATCAACTCCAAATTCTCGGAGACCATGCAAGTTATGATGGCAATCCTCAACTCTGTGGAGCTCCTCTGCAAAAGAGATGTCCAGGAGACAATTCGCCGAATGCTTCAAATGTCAAAAATCATGTTGAACAAGATGGAGACTCAATGGATAAAATATGGTTCTGTGCATTTGTGGTGGGAGGATTCGGCACTGGATTTTGGGGTTTCGTTGGATTGTTGGTATTCAAAAGGAGCTTCAGACAAGCTTACTTTGGCTTCACAGATGAGTTGGGGAACAAGATTCTGCTTGCCACGGCATTACTCCGTCGGAGAATTTCAGGTAAGTGATATATAATATACATATATAATAATGTTTTTAATTTACGTAGTTTTCAGTTGGTGTTTTGTTCAATAAAAGTTGTCGCTGATGTTTTAATTCTGCTGTCAGGCGTGGCTTTTAGTTACAAGTACTCGAGACAAACATTGGCTTGTTTGTAATAGATGAAAGTTGTATATTTGTCTTGAACTGAAGTTTTATGTACAATCAATCACTAGTGAAGTATGCAAGTATTTTCACTGCAACAAGCATTCCTTTTTACCCTACGAAAATTGTGAAGAAGAGAAGCCGAGAGACACTTGAAAATGCGGTCAATGATAAAAACTTTCTCAGTTTGGCGGCGGAAACGGAAGTGGCAATGAGCTTCCAAAGGATCGAACATCTTGGCAAGAGTGATGCAGTTCGATCCATTTACTGAGCGACAGAGCAATTTGTTGTTACGTCTAAATGATTATTTATGGTTGGGGCTATCTCTATGTTGAGGAGATTTCCTTAGGATTCTTTAGATTCGTGTTTTTATATAATTCTTGATGGATTAATAGTCTTTATTTAAATCTACGTTTAGCAAGTTAGTTTGATTGCTTTTATTAATATTGTACAACCTTGAGATAACTCTTGATTTTGTCATATTTTATACCTTATATTTATTTATTTAATTATTTGTTTATGTCTAATTTTGATAATAATTGTATTCATTTCATCTCGTTTGTATAATATTAAATTATTAGTTTTTAAGTATAATTTATAATTATTTTGGTGTATAAATTAAATTAATTGATGTGTTCTTTGAATTATATTTTTTTTGGCATTATTTATGTGTATTTAATTTTAACTAAATTAATTTTATTTAATAAGTATTATTTATTTAAATAAATATTTATAAAATGTTCATTTATACAGGTGAAATAATGCATATGAAAGTCCAAAATTGGCCTTAAAAGTGAAAAATGGCTTCAGAAGCGAAAAAAAGTGAAAGTCAACGAAAGTCAACCATCAACGTCAGAAAGTCAACACGCGAAAGTCAAAGTCAACCAAGCGCGGTAGACAAGCTACGGCCGCGCGGAAGGCAACAGCTGGCGCGGAACACAAGCGATGGCTGACGCGGAAGGCAAGCAAGCGCGGAAAGCGAGCGGCGTATTTACACCCCAACTCCTGCCTTTATTCCAGCCCTGCATTTATTTCTGCACTCTCCCAGCTCTTATATTAAATTCGTGCACTACTTTTTAGCAAATTTTTTGCTTTTTTGTGTAATTTTTATTCTAGAACTTTCTAGAAAATAAGTAGTTATTAGTAGTTATATTAGTAGGTATTTTTAGAGTTAGTTATTTATGGTTATTTTTAGAGGTAATTAGTAGTTATTTTTAGAAGTAGTTATTTATTGGCCGTTGTAACCGCCGAGCTTCTAGAAACTTTTTCCTTGTAAATATCCCCTCTAATTGTACCATATATATATATATACACCATATATTCACAATAATATACATTCCATACACTCCATTTTCTCCATTTTTTTCTTCCATATTTTTATATAGTGTAATAATACAAGATCTTCGATTTTGTGTCTCGAGCAAACTTATTTTCTCCCTTTTTTTTTTCTTTTAATTCCTGCATATTAATTTAGCTAGTAAAATCTTATCATATTTCTCCGCCTCACTTTCACCCAAAACTTCCATGTTCGATTTGAATTGTTCAAGTTGGATTTCGACAAGGTTGCGGAAGGGCGGTAGAAGAATCGACTATTTCAGCCCTGTTTCGTGCCAAAAGCAAATTCCGGGTAGTTCAACGTAGCTAAGTACGCGGGAGCCTTGTTGACCTGCTTAGTTGTTGTTTTGAATTCGATTCCGATTAAAGAGAGGTATCAGAGGGTAGAACCACTAGCGGAACAGTTGGAAGAATATTCATGGGGCATAGGCGGTGGTCTATGGGTCACAGAAATATCTAGTGACAGTAAAGTTTTTTGCTTATAATGTTCTTCGCCGGGTGTCGCTGAAGCCTCGTTGTAAATCCCCTAAGGCCAAGTACCAACCTAGTCGAGAATCGGCTTAAACGAGCAAATGCGATCACACTCATTTCTCCGTGCCGCCCCGCAATTATACATATATTTTTCGCTATCACACCATCGTCATCCCGCTCATTTCATCCATGGAAATCTAGCCATCAAGGAACGCAAAAGTCAGACACAAATGCCTCGCTTCACTCTTTTCGAGATACGTATATTTTATCGCTTTTTAGTTAGATTTAATTTTTGCAATTTATCTTTTCAGCTTCTTCGATTGCATTAACTCATTGTACTTTTTCTAATTAAATATAGGATATTCGCATATTCTCTGAGTTCGACCCGGACACTCACCGGATAAAGAGATTTTTTTATTTTTGACGAAGAATTTTGGAGTTACTACACGAACAAGCACGGCACTATTTTCATTTTATACATATATCTTTTTTTTTATCTTAAAAGATATTTTAAAAATATCTCCAAAAATCTTCGATCATCTCTAAAGGTCCATTTTTTTGCGTACAATATAATTTTTTGCATAAATATTATAAGACACTAATAAAGTATTTTTGTCATTTTTCTTTAATTTCTACTACGTTTTTATATAATAATTAATATTCAAAAATCTTTAAAAAAAAAAAAATGGGACCCTTGGATATTGAGACAGTAAGATAAGAATAAGTTCTAACATACTTTATTTTATTTATTTATTTTATTAATTTTTGCATACTCTTGTTGTGTGGGTCTATGAATGAATGGTTTGATTGTGGTGGGTATCAATTAATGAATGAATGCTTGTGGTGTTTAATGGTTCGCTCAGTCATCACTTTATATTGCGCATGGAATTCTTTTGTGTTGTTTTCCATTAACTGACAAAACGAAAGACTTGACTCACAAAGCAAAAGCAAGTGTTTTTGCTAATCGTCTACTCACATCAAGAACAAATTTGCACTGACACATCATTTTCATATTCATAATTAAAAGAGAGAATTTTGGTTTGGGCAATTTGATTTGATGTTTACTATTCTTAAATTGTTTTCCTCTACAAATATCAAATCAACTATTTATTTTTTTTATTTTTCTAATATTATATTTAAAATCAATTTTATCTTCATAATATTAAATCAATTTATATTTATATTTCATCGAACAATTATCCAAAATCCAAGGATGCGTTTCTTTTAGTACAAATTTTACTATTTGAATTTTAAGTCTCAAAACCAAAGAAACAGACCATAGACGCTCATGAATAAATATATGCACTTACAAATTACATCACTTACTAAAAGCAAATTGTATCTTGTTTCAGTTTAGTGTCTTTATGGAGAAGATATCTGCTTCACGTCTTCTTCTTCTTCTTCTTATGTTAATGTTTGTTTTGGAGTTGGAGATTAATTTGTGTGTCGCCATAAATGCATCTTCTGGTTGTGTTGCTGCAGAGAGGAAAGCTCTCCTCAAGTTCAAAGCAAGTCTTGTCGATCCTACGAACAGATTGTCCTCGTGGAGGGACCTGAACTGTTGCACGTGGGAAGGTGTCACTTGCGACCAGATTACGGGGCATGTTATCGAACTTGATCTCAGGGGCAATGTTAGTTTCGACGATGACATGACTAAGGCTATTTTCGATGACAGGTTAGTGGGTAAAAGTCTTGATCCTTCTTTAAGGGAATTGAAGTATCTCAATTATTTGGACATGAGTCGGAATAAGTTTCAAGGAAGTAGAATTCCTGAATTTTTAGGATCAATGACTGAGTTGCAGTATCTTAACCTCTCTAGCTGTTTTCTTGATGGTGTTGTCCCGGACCATCTCGGAAATCTCTCAAACATGCGCAGCCTAGATCTCCATAATAATAATGACCTTGTATCCCATGATATCGGATGGGTTTCCAACTTTTCATCGTTGGAATATCTTGATATGAGTTGGGTTAACCTTTCCCAAACTAATGATTTAGTTAAGGTACTCAACGTGCTACCTTCTTTATCAGTGCTGCGTTTGTCAGACAGTGCACTTAACAACAATCACTTATCCCATGCTTGCATAAATTCTTCATTTCTTTCACATGTCTATCGCTTGGATCTTAGTGAGAACTCATTTGACGGAGAAGTTCCTTGCTTTCTCTCCAATATGACTTCTCTGGGGTTTCTTGATCTTTCATACAATCAATACAACACTTCACACTTGCAATTTTTAAAATTAAGAAACCTTGTTCATCTCAACCTTGGTGGGAACCAATTTGAATATGAGTCAGATTGGATCTCCAAACTCTTGGGTGATAATTGCCGCTTGGAATCATTGTCTCTGTCTTATAATCACTTTCATGGGGAGATTTCAGCGGTTTTCAACAATATTTCTGGATGTTGGAGTCAAAATTTGAAGAGCCTAGAATTGTCAAGAAACAACTTCAAAGGTGGTTTACCGAATGATTTGGACAAGGTCAAACGATTAACATCTCTTGATCTTTCTGGTTCAAATATAAGTGGTCAAATTCCTGAATCTCTTGGAAACTTGTCGGGTTTGGAAGTGTTGGATATCTCTTATAACAAGATAGTGGGTCTCATTCCATCATCCTTTAGAAAGTTGAAAGCATTGAGATGGTTGCGTCTCTCTTCTAATCAATTAAGTGGAGAAATTCCAATATTTTTGGGGCAACTATCAAATTTGGAGAAGTTGGGCATTTCAGACAACTTGTTCAATGGAATAATTTCTGAAATCCACTTTGACAAGCTCTCAAAATTAAAAAGACTTCTTGTATCCTCCAACTCGATCAATTTTAAGTTTGAACATGGCTGGATGCCCTCTTTTCAATTGACATATCTCGACATGGGATCATCCAACATTGGAGGTCAGTTTCCTGCATGGCTACAATCCCAGAAGGCACTAATTGCCCTTAATTTATCCAATTGCGGCATTTCAGGAACTCTACCGAGCGACATTGGTTACATGTTACCTCTTCTGAAATATTTATTAATGAGCCGAAACTCTATTAATGGCTCACTGCCTGATTCATTGTGCAATATGATAGATTTGATGGTTATAGATCTCTCCGGCAATAACTTATCTGGTACTATGTTGGAATGTTGGCAAAAGTTTCAAGGCTTAAAGTTTTTGTCATTGTCATCCAATGAGCTTTCAGGCACCATTCCTAAATCCATTGGAGGTGCTGGCGGATTGCAATGGCTTTTGTTGAACAACAACATGCTTTCAGGACCAATTCCCTCCACTTTACAAAACTGTACTTATTTAGAAGCTTTAGACGTTGGAGAAAATATGTTGTCCGGTAAAATACCTGCATGGATCGGAAATAAGCAACTTTTATTGTTTATTCTTAAGTTGAGGAATAATCAATTTCATGGGGAAATTCCTCGGGCACTCTGTGAAGCTTCTCAACTTCAAATGCTAGACCTCGGGAATAACAAGTTGAGCGGATACATCCCTCACTGCTTTGGAAATCTCTCAGGCATGATTGAAATTAAGTCTCCAAGTCTAACCATGTATTTTCAGAGCTTACATCAAGTGTTCAAAGGAGCAGTGATGGAGTACTCTAGTAATATAGGATATCTTGTTAATTTGGATCTTTCATGCAATAATCTTTCCGGGAAAATTCCTTTAGAGATGATGGACCTTCGCAACTTGCATGGCCTCAATTTGTCACATAATTCATTGGATGGAGAAATTCCAGCAAAGATTGGAGATATGACGGCTTTGGAATCTCTTGATCTTTCGAGCAACAATTTGTTTGGAAGAATCCCAAATAGTCTCTCAAATTTATACTTTCTGAGCCACTTGAACGTATCCAACAATAATTTATCCGGGCAGATTCCCACAGGAAAGCAACTGCAAACTCTCGGAGACCATGCAAGTTATGGTGGCAATCCTCAACTCTGTGGAGCTCCTCTGCCAAAGACATGTCATGGAGACAATTCTCCGAATGCTTCAAATGCTAAAAATCATGCTGAAGGAGATGTAGACTCAATGGATAAAATATGGTTTTGGGCATTTGTGGTGGGAGGATTTGCCACTGGATTTTGGGGCTTCGTTGGATTGTTGGTATTCAAAAGGAGCTTCAGACAGGCTTACTTTGGCTTTACAGATGAGATGGGCAACAAGATTCTGCTCGCTGTGGCGTTATTATGTCGAAGAATCTCAGGTAAGTGAAATATAATATATATATAGAATGTTTTTAATTTTCGTAGTTTTCAGTTAGTGTTTTCCTTGAATGAAAGTCGCCGTTGATGTTTTAATTCTGCTGTCAGGTGTGGGTTTTAGTTAGAAGTACTCGAGACGATCATTGGCTTGTTTGTAATATATAAAAGTTTTATATTTGTCTTGAGCTGAAGTTTTATGTATAATGAATCACTTGTGAAGTATGCAAGTATTTTCATTGTAATAAGCAATCCTTTTCACCTTACGGAAATTGTGCGTAAGAGAAGCCGAGAGACACTTGGAGTTGTCGTCAATGACAGAAACTTTTCTCAGTTCGGCGGATTTGATTTTCTGCTAGCCCGACGCTAACTCTTCGGAAACAGAAATGGCAATGAGCTTCGGATCGATCCAACATCTTGGCAAGACTGATGCAGTTTGCAAGGCTGCTTTCTTTCGACTTCCATTTTGACATATGATTGATTTATGTTTTGTATTGTTAGGTCCATCTCTTTGTTGAGAAGATTCAGGGTGTTTCTTTAGCCTCGGATACCCAATTTTTTACTCTTTTATTTTTGCGTTTTTTAAAAAAATATATATATATTTTTCTTACAAAATATCCCATCAATATTAGTTTAATACCAAATATTTTTCCAAACTAATCAAAAAAACACACGATAAGTGATTAAATGTATGTTAATTCTTGATTGATTGATTAATATTGTATTTATTTAAAAAGCTACATTTAACAAGTCAATTGTTTTAACCATTGAATCTGGCCTGCTTGAATATGGACACCCATAATTATTGTCGTTTTTAGTGTTGAAGTGATAAATAATGTGTCTTGTCTTGTAAAGGGATGAAATAGAATCATTACTAATTGAAAGTATTTAGGTTTGACATATTATTTATTTATTTATTTTGTAACGTGGGAATCTGCAGCCGTTATCTTTCGAATACGCTATGGGTAAAACTCCGATTAAATCCGACAATGCAAATCACGCTAGAGAATGCAGATGTCGAACTCCTTTATTTTTCAACTGAAAGAAAAGCCTCATGCAAAATAACGTCAATAAAAGTTTCAATTTTCTATTTCAAGCTATAGTTTTGGTACATACAAATGAACACTTTGTACCTTGTATTACATGTCGATATCCTTTTAGTCTTGAATAAATTGCAATCACATTGAAATTAATAACAATGATCTCAAATGGGTTATGGCCATTTTTATGTCAACTGTGTGTGTGTTTTTTTCCTTCGTGCATTCTTATGTAATACTAGGCCTTGTTTAGACATAGGTTTTTTTTGGAGGTTTTTGGAATTTTAGAAGTTTGAAAAAAATAAAAAATTAGTATTTGATTCGATATTTTGTAAGAAAAAATATATATATATATATATTTGATGTGATATTTTTTAAAAAATGAATAGCTTCAACAGTACCTTGTGTAAAAAAAGTCTGAACCAATTTTATTTTGTTTTAGGAAAAAAAGACTGTTATTCTACATTACACACATCTTCTCGTTTAGATTAAAAAATTTGATGTAGCCCTTTATTCTAGAATTTCACTAAGAAAAATATGATAAAATAGAACTGTATTTTATCAATAAAACATTTTACTAATTTTTATTAGTATTCAAACTGAAAATTAAATAATAATATCCACAATCAATAAATTAATTTGACTTTTCACTAACCAAATTTTAATCACACATCACGTCCAATATATTTTTGAATCCTAACAGTAATGGCTAATGACATCCATAGATCTCATCTTTGTAGCTTCGACAGCTCCACAATTAATTAATTAATTAATTAATTAATTAATAATATTCAATAAAGTAGGAATTATCAAAGTCAACAAAATAGGTTTGCATTGGTGGACTTGGAAAACGCGCGACACGTCCGCACTTTAAATCATAATTATAAAATCATAAACATGATTAATTAGTATTATTATCATCTTTGTGGGGTCGATAATTGATTAATTAAGTAATTAGTAATTATTTAATGCATAACATGTATAAAGTGCAATATTAAATAGTGCCTTAATAGATTTATTTAATTAAATATATATATATTGCCTAATTCTTTATGCATAAAGACTTGAAAACGACACTACTTTTTAAAAAATCAATCTGTGACACGATGCAGCTGAAACGTTCAAATGGATTCAATTCGAAATAAATTATGGGTGTGTTTGTTTGGAGGTTTGGATTTTGATGTTGGGATTTGAATAGTAAAAATTTTGAATTGTAATAGTAGTATGATGTGATATAAATAGGTGTTGATGTGATGTTTTGAATGAAAAATTAACTTATACTATAATATAAAAAAAAATAAAAAAATAAGTATTTGATTTGATTTTTTTTTTAGGGGGGAGTGGGGGAGAAATTTAATGAATAGTAAGATTTTGCAAAAATCTTACAAACGAACACACCCCATGTGTTTGTTTGGGGGTTTGGATTTTGAGTTAGGATTTAAATAATAAAATTTGAATAGTTGTATGACGTGATATAAATAGGTGTTGATGTGATGTTTTGAATGTAAAATTGATTTTTAGTATAATATAAAAAATGAAAAATAGGTGTTTGATTCCATGTTTTTGGAAAAAAAAAAATTGGATTAACAGTGTAAATCCAATCAAATCCCCCACAGACAAACACACCCTATTAAATTGAAAATCAACAAATCTTGGATAATCAAATAGTGATCAAAGAATTGGTTGGGTAGATAATTAGAAGTGTGTATGTTTGGATTTTAGATTTTCGTGCTATATAATTTATAGTAATATATATATATATTTAATTGAAATATGTTTCTTTTGATAAGTTTGGTAAAATTTTGGTTTGAGTTTGGTATTAAAATAATGTTTGATGGAATATTTTGTGAGAAAAAATATATATTTTGTTTTCGAAAAACGCAGAATTCAAATAGTAAAATTTGAAAAATTTGGTGCAAAGAAACATACCCTATATTGTTTGGAAATCTATTTATTTTGTATTGATGTTCTGAGTTTCGAAAAGTTTCAAATAAAAATATATTATCTTATGTAATACTCTCTCCGTCTCATAACTATAGTCTGGGTTATGTTTGGCACGGGAGTTAAGGAATATTGATATTATATTGGGTAAAAAGCACGGATAAAACACTTTTTTGTCCGAGTTTATTAGTGTAAAAAGTAGTTGCAATTGTGTAATAATAATGAAAAAGTAAGGATAAATTTACAGTGATATGATTATTTATGGAAATGAAACTATTGTTTTGGAATGGACAAAAATGGTAAACAACGGACGAAGTATGTTAGTTGAAAATTAAAAGTACACCTAAATAAAATGGTGCAAGATAAACTTGAAAATAGAGAATAATTAGCAAATATAAAACTCGTACTATAATTAAGAAAATAAATTCTAAATATTAAAGAGGTGGATATATATTTAATTTGTTTATTTTTTAATGGAACAATTTCTCATAAATATTATTTTAAAAAATACAAATATACATACATATTAATATAATATATATCATCAACTAACGTGAACTATTCAATATAAAATATTATTTTTTATATTATCTACACAGTTTTCAATTATCATATAAAAAAAATCAATTCATCTACCCATTCAATATTTAGGATTTTTTTTTAATTTCTTAACAGTAATTTGAACATTATATTTTATTAAAATATACTCCCCCGTCCCACATTGGGTATCTTGATTACCGTAAACACGAGAATTTAGGTACAATTAGTAGATAATTAAGAATGTATTAGTAAAAATAATTAACCTATAATATAAATCACCATTATAGATTAAGATTAAAATGACTAATTATTTTAATTAAAATTAAAAAAAATTAATTAGAAAAATTAAAATGAGACTAAGATGGTTAAATATTTTTCAGAAAATGAAAATACATGAGATGTGTGAAGAACAGAAACAGCACAATATAGTAGGTGGGACGGAAGGAGTAATATATTTTTAGGGTGAATTAATGTAGTAAAAATGTTAAAACTAAAGAAAAAATAAAATTAAGTATGCGTTTATGGTAAAAATTAAAAAATACAAATAAAATAAAATGTCAACTCATGTCTCCAACACAAATAGAATAAAAATAAAATTGGTAGTTTCTTGTTAGGCCAACCACATGGCCATTAATGACTTGCAAATTGCCTCCGTTGAAACAATAATTTCATTATGACCCAAATCTAATATCGAGAATATCTTATTCTGTATTAAAGGGTGTTTGGGATTCCTACAATTTCAGATTTTTGAAATTTTATTTTTGATTTTTTTTACAGTTTTTAAAGTCTATATTAAGTATAGTTGCAGTGTTTTTACTTTGTTAGAGAATTTATTCTTTTATAGTAATTTTTAAATTTTTAATAAATTTATTTTTAATTAACAATATTTTATAATTAAACTTTTGTCTTCTACTTTAAACAAAAATATTTTAAATAATTATTATTTACGTTTCAGTTATAAATCTTAGTATTTATAAATATCCAAAATTATGTCTAATATAAAGTTTCTTCAAATAATAGTTTTAAAAAAAATAAATAAACATGTTCAATTTTTATTATACAATTATTTTTATATGGTTTTTTTTATTCCTTATTTTAGGTGTTAGTGTGTATATACATTTTTAACTTGATAATTTTACAGTATAATTTAAATAAATTTTTGTAAAAAATTAGTTTTTATACGGTTTTCTTTTAGATTTGCTTTTCTTTCACACATTTTTATAATTATTTTGCATATTCTTCTTACAGAGTTGTTTGAGTATTTCTCTCTAACCTGTAGATTTCTTTTTCACATTTATTTTCTATATTCTTCTTGTGAATCAATCTTACATCTATTTGAGTATTTTTCTTTAATCTTTGGATTTCATTTTTTTTTTCTATTGACTAAATTATTTTCGTTTGGCTGTTTTTGCATACACCTGAAAAATGTGAAATCACCATTGTTTGAGGAGACTGCCTCCGTCAGGATGCTCAAAGATTTTATTATTATCGACTGAAGTTATCTTAAAGTTGAGTATTGTTAATCAATAAAATAAATTGAAAATCTGTATTCGATTTCTCCTCGCAAAATATTTTATTTGTTTAATGCTTTGTTTGTTAGATATTCTTATTTTTAGATTATCTTATAGCATTTTATTGTAATTTTATTCATAAACTCTGTGTCTTAACTCTCTCTACTGTCCTTATTTAAATGTAATTGCGAATAAATTTTAGAATCTTAATTTCATTTAGTCTAAAATTTTTAAAATTTATTCACGAGAGAGTTTGTGAAGTATAGGGGATTTGGTGCACAAGGTTTTGTGCAATTTAGCCTTTTAATTTATTTCTTATTTTGGTCTAACATTGTTTATTTTTTTAGTTTTATTTTATTTTCAGTGTCTAATTTGTTTTGTTTTTTGTTTTTGTTTATAAGGTAATATTAATTTATAGTCTGGACGTTTTAATCATACAATATTTCAGATAAGTTATTTAGAAAATTTTATTTATATCATTTTAATTATTCTAAATAGTTTTAGTAGGTTTTAAATTTTAAAATATTTTTTTAATTTAAAAAATTTATAATAATTTTATATATAATTTAATTTTTATATTTAATTTCAAATAAAGAATTTTGATAATTGTTGCTAACATTTTCCATTGTAAACTTAAATACAAATTTAATAAGATGCTTTTATTTTATTTACTAAATATTTTTATTAATTATATTTGTATATTATAATTAATTTATTGTTATATATTAGAAATTATTTATAAGTTAATTTTTAAAATTAAAAACTATAATTTTTTTATAGTGAGTGTCAGTGAGTCATATAGCTAAAATATTATTTGAATAAATGTTTATAATATAGCTTCCATGTACATAAATAAAAATTTTAATAAAAAAAAATATAAATAACAATTTATAGAAGAAATATAATATTAAGATGATAAAGTATTTGTTTATATATTTTTTTAATTGAATATATATATTATTTCTTTTAAATATTTTTAAAATTAGATAAAAATAATATAAAAGCACGAGAAAGATATATTTCTATATGTATAACTAGAGTTACTAGTATCTTCGCACAATTAATCTCAATATATATCACACATTAACACTATATTGGATATATATAAGAATCTTTTTTTTTTAGAACTAATTTGGTATAGATAGACTAAAGATAACCATTTTTTTTTTCTTTTTTTTTTTTTCGATCGCTTTTATGATTTTAACAAAATATATTTTAATTTCATTACTAAATTGATCATATAATATTTAGCACATTATATAATATAATATATTATATTTATTAATGATAATTTGTTAATGGTTTAAAATTAATGTGCTAGTGATTTATTTTTGTCCTTAATTTTATTACAGGCGAGGATGTAGCCATTAATGGTGAAAGAAGTTGCAATCAACAGTTAGTCGGATTGGCAGTTATAAAATATATATATATATATATCTTCGCCAGCAAGGAATACACCAAAAAAGTAAAAATGGGCGGTTAATGCAGAACCATATAGATATGGAATATTGAATAATCAATTCAAAGTTCGAGTCTTTGCCATCTATAAAGCGGCGAGCGAGGAAGGGGCTATAGTCGAAGCATTGCACAGGCTAACACCTCCCCCAGATCCACCGGAATTTCACAAGGTGAGTTCGTTCCCTCCCTCTCCTGTTCTTTTCCACGCCGTTGACGCGGCCGAGACTCTCAGTTTCGATTTCATTGCGTCGTCATGGCAACGCGTGTCGATGAATTGGCTGGATTGATTGCATGCTTTTTAAATTTTTCTGTCGATTGAATGATTTGATGGCTTTTCGTGGTGGAGTTGAATCATTGCTGCTGTAAAGTTGGAAGTTAAACAGTGGAATGTAGGGGTTTCGAGTGCCTTTTCAGACATTTTGTTCTTTTTTTGGGTCCTACCTTTTGAAAAGCAGCACGATGGTGAGGGAACGTGTTGGTAGTTCCGTTAAGTTTATTTCCCCCAAATTTTTGAGTAGTTGACTCGAATGATTCGATAGTTACTGCAGTGTAGAGTGATTTAGCCCTAGGAGATGTGGATCAGTTGCTGTTTTTTGGAATATCAAATGATGATTATTATGATGAATTTCTGTGTTGAAATCACGATGTTATTACTGCAGTAATAAACTTAGCTTGCTTTATTCTTCTGCATTTTCTCCATTTTGATCTATGAAATGGCAATTTTCTTAAGGTGTTTGATTTAAAATAAGGAGAAATCTTAAGAACCTTTACTTTATTTAATTCAATCACTATTGCATATTGTATGGTATAATATGCAATCTATGTGAACGTGATTGGGGATTGGGATTGACTTACAAAATCCTTCCAAAAAGGGGGAAAAAGGATGGTTGATCTGTTTTCTCAAAATTTTGGAAGATCTGAGCCTAAGAAAATTTCTGTCGTTTTCATGTTTAAAGATGCATCATTACTTTCACTGTTTATCTTTGAATTTGCTGATAGCTGTTCGAATATATTTGATGCATGTTCTTAATGTTTTCATCTGCAGTTTTCATTTGTAAGCCCTTGATCGGATCATGAAGTCACTAACCAGCTGCTTTTGCCTATCGAAAGCGAAAACTTCGCTTGGGTTTGAAGAGCATGCCATTCTTGCCTCTGAGACAACTTGTGAGTCGAACATTGGAGATGAGAAATCAGATTCTTTGTTCTGGAAATATCATTAAATTGGATTCTCAAACTCTCTGTTCCTGCAGTTAATGTCAATGAAGTAGAGGCGCTACATATCCTGTTCGAACAATTGAGCAATTCAGTGATCAATGACGGTCGGATTCACAAGGTACTTTTTATTTTTTTCCTTAATGTGGAATGTTCAAGTTCCGTCCTGAAACCTAGTCAGGACAGGGATGGGACAGGGCTGTACTGTTCCGACTGCTAGTTTAGTCTTAGGACAATATAACATGCTGCTGCATCATTTTTAGAATAATAGCTTACCATATTAAAGCGGCAAATGTATTGCACATATCACATTAAAACGCTTGTTTCTTGCTACTAATGTTGTTCAAAGAAAACTTGAATTTATTGAGTCATTAATTGAAGTGTGCAAAATCTGATAGCAACCAACTGATTCTTCTGAGAAGAGATCCTATACTGTTCGACAGCATATAATATCATGTTAAATATCTGGTTATGTCAGCATCACACCCAATATTGTAGGTGCACAAGAAAATTGCCAGACTCCTCCAACCATTCCTTTAATTGTGCCGTAAATCATTCACAAGATTTGCTTAATTAGTGAATTGTCTTTTGCATTTCTTGTGTGTTTGGGTACTTATCTGATATTGTTTGGCTGTAGGAAGAATTCTTGAATGCGCTTTTTAACTGCAGCAGCAGGAATCTGCTTGCGGAAAGGGTCTGATTTTATATGATTCATATCACTTTGCTGAATTATGGATATGAATTTACTACAATTCTTGAAAACTTACATAGAACTACATCTAATGCACCTGCAGTTGTTTGAGCTATTTGATCCTCAGCACACTGGGGTAATTGAATTTGGAGAATTTGTTCGGGCATTGAGCATCTTCCATCCGGACACTCCAGAGTCAGATAAGATAGAGTGTAAGCAACATAAGGTTTCTTAGTCAGTCATTAAATACATTCGGGAGAAAATTCTACAGTCAAAATGGATATGATTTTCTTTTACTGATACATCATGTAATTTTGTTGCAGTTGCATTCAAGTTGTATGATCTCAACTGCACCGGCTACATAGAACGAGAAGAGGTTAATATTTCATTTATAATTTTGTTTCTCATAGTTATTCAAGATATATATATATATATATATATATTCATTGTCTCTTTTTTGGAAATCATTAGCTGAAGGATATGGTGATGGCTACACTCAGTGAATCGGAGTTGTCGCTTTCAGATGATGATGTCGAAGCAATTGTAGACAAGGTATAATATGAAAATAAATCGAACCTTTCTTTTTAAGCATTTCTTGACATAGCACTGTAACATTTTTAGTACCAATCTTCCAACAGGCGTTCTGGGAGGCAGACTTGAAAAAAGATGGAAAAATAGATCCAGAAGAATGGAAACAATTGGTTGCCAAGTATCCTTCTCTTACAAAGAACATGACTCTTCCATATTTGAGGTCGTCTTCGCTTTCCATATATATATATATATATACATGACTCTTCGATGAATTCATAACTCACCAAACTCTGTCATTTTCCAGGGAGATCACTCTTGCTTTTCCCAACTTCATCATGGAGACCGAAGTTCCAGATTCAGAACTGATTTGTTGAAGTTACAAGCGAAATTGGAAGAAGCTGTTCGATTTCGATACAATTAAGGTTGTTAACACTTCAGATAAAACCATTGATGGTAAATAAAGTTACATAATTTATTTTCCAAAACCTCAGTGAATCAGTTACATAGTATAGCTTATAGGCCCAAAATCTCGGTGAAAATTTATATTTACAATTTCATATTCGCCATGTTATGAGGAAAAATCAAAAAAGAAAAACTGTATATTTAGTTCTCTGAACTGATAACAACATCAGGGGCTAATTTCTGTATGCTGACTGAAAAATGTATGAAATGCGAGAGCTTCTTTCCGAACATCGACTTGTATGCTCAGATCGAATGCATAAAGTTTCTATGAAATGTTTACATATTTACGTGTCACTAAAGAATAGCTGAAAGAATTCCATATCTACATGAAATTATCGTTGCATCTGTGCTTTCGCGCTTCATTGTTTTCCATTCCGAGATATCATGTCTTTCAAATTCATCGGAGAACACATGCTCGTGTGTTGTCCAGACCACACGTTGTCTGCGAGTATTTCGTTAACTGCTGCAGTGGGATGGAACTGATCCCACCAAATATGATTAGTAGCGTTGCTGCAAGCCATATTAGTCGCAATGCACATTATCCATCCCCTATACTTCCCTAAGCCACAGCAGGCGTCGGTTGTAACATCGAACCCTGAAAGCGCGCGCGAACAGAAGGGGATATTAAACATCTCGGGAGTTCATCATAGAGGTAAACATAGCTTGGAAATCGAGATTTTTACCATAATAATCGTGATTCTTTATTATGTCCATCGATCCTTCAAATGCGTCGCAGAAAACTATGTTGGCGTCCGGGAGTACGTGGTTGAGCTCCTCCACCATGTACTTCATAGCAAAGTTGAACTCGAGTATCATGTTGTTTATAACTTCGATACATTCGCCATTTGCGCTGCTGTATAGCCAGAGGTAATACGGCGCGCACCCCAATGGCGCCAGCCCCATTAGGACGACATTTCTTACATTGGCATTGTACAAGTTCTGCAAGATCAAGCATTTTTAGGACAATTTGAATAGGAATAATACGAAGCAGCGATGGAGGGAAAGGAATCGTCACCTCGATCTCCTGCTTCATCGTCTGAGCTAAGAATTGGTTGAAATTCCAGGGGAGATACAAGGATTGCACGTTGGACACGTTACGGAGGTAGTAATGTATGTAGTCGTTGCTCCCGATTGAAATGTAGAATATGGAGCTCGAGATTAGATCGTAGGCGGCGTTTTCTCCCATGCTGAGGATGAACTGCTGGAATGTGTCCATCACCTGCTGGATTTGCTGCGTCAGTGAGATGTGCTGCCCCTGTTCGAAAATGTTCGACATTGTTATGTATCAAGAATTCGATTTATATATATATACATATAATTGTTCATCTGCAAATGAGTAGAAGTTCTTGATGAATAGGGAATTACTCTACCAATTCAGAGCCACTGGAGAAGATGATCCCTGCGCCTGCTGAAGCATAATTCACGCCACGAACCATGTCGTTTACCGATCCTGTCTGGCCGAGGTAGCTCGGCACAAATGGCAATCCAAGTCGAAGTGCTAATCAAGATTCAGACCAAGAATTATAAACACAAATCAAGATAAAAACGAGAGAAAAAATAAATCAGGGCTGTAGGAGTACCAAGAAAATCGACAGGGATTCTGCCATTGCAGAACCGCCCTGTCGCCTGATGAGTGTCAAAGTCTCTGCCGTACGGCGGCCTGTCTGCGCGAGCAAACGTCCCGAGAAAATTGTTGGTGCCGCAGTCGACGGAGGAGTCTCCAATGACGAAGAGTGCAGGCGTCAGAGGAGATGGATTTTCGTTGGATGGAGATTGGGCAGGGCTGTACGGAGCTGAAATTGGGGATTGGGCAGCGTTGGTGAATTCAGGGAGGATTTCATTGACGAGCTCGTGAGGAAATTCAAGCGCTGTAGATGAATCAAGAAACAAGATTGCAGTAAGGATTGTTAAGAAGGGCTGGATTGCAGAGAGGCCCATGACTCTCATTCTCAGAGGGAGCGAATGAATAATCAATTTATGCTTCAATGGTGAAATGGGAGCAATTTATATGTGTATGTGGAAAATGGGAAACACTGAAACAGAGTACTGTGAATTGACAGTCACTTTGAGAAGACAGAAGCTGGTGCAACAACTCTTTGGCGGTCCCGGGACTCCAGCGCCAGATATTATTACTCTTTATAGCAACGACGGCAACAGTCAAAGTCTACGCTGCAAGGAGTCACGGCGACAATGGGCAACAGTTCGAATCTCTAGAAGTGGAAAAGGAGGCATTTTTCGGGTGCGAGAATGCGAGGCTTGTGGTCCGAACACTTCCCACCGGCGGAGAAATCGCCGCCGCCGCCGTCGACGCCGCCACGGCCACCGCCGCGTGATGGGTACGAGCGCTGCTTGCTATGTCCTTTTTGTAGCTCGCGTTGCCGAATTTTCACCTCATCTACTGAAAAAAACCCAAATCGGAATTTCTACACTTGCCAATCGAAGGAGGTGGGTTCCTCTGCTACTAATCTTTGCTGTCCGTTGTCCATTTCTTTCGATTTTTTTTTGTCTTTGATTTTGGTTGCTATAAATCAGCACAAGTTCTTCAAGTGGGCTGACGATGTGAGTGCTAACGAGTTCATCGACGTCCCCTCCTGCGGGGGCTGCAACGCCGGCGTTTGCCGGGTCAGCAGGGAGAAGTCCGGGAAAAATGCGGGTCGGATCCTGTTCATGTGCAGAATAAAAGAGGTACAGAGAATTTGAAATCAGTTCCATAGTTAATCTGTGTCGATTTCCTCTTTTTCTGAATCAGTACATTCTCTATTGTGAATTATGCATCAAACTGTAATTATAGACTTGACGAAATTGAGTTTGATTCTTGAATCTGTTGAGGTTCTTGTTGGCATTGAAGAAACTGCATTTTGTCTGGGGTTGTAGTGTTTGATCTTATGCTTTGGCATGTTAGGATGGTGTTTGTTTGTTTGAATTATGTACAGGGTGAAGGATCTTGCGGCTACAGAGTTTGGCAAGACGAGCTAGAGCGAGAATCCAATGAAAGGACGAGTTCATCTCCTACAGCTGCGACAAGCAGTGGCGGCCGGAACTCGATAAATGTTAACTTCGTCGACCAAAGACCACAAAGTAATGAGAAAGCGGATAAGAAGTCACCCGCAAACGACAACAAGAGCTCAATAAATGTTAACTTCGTCGACCAAAGACCACAAAGTAATGAGAAAGCGGATAAGAAGTCACCCGCGAACGACAACAAGAGCTCAATAAATGTTAACTTCGTCGACCAAAGACCACAAAGCAATGACAAAACGAATAAGAAGTCACCCGCAAACGACAACAAGAGCTCAATAAATGTTAACTTTGTCGACAAAAGAACAGAAAGTGATGAGAGAGCAGATAAGAAGTCACCCGTGAACGACAGCAAGAACTCAATAAATGTTAACTTCGTCGACAAAAGAACAGAAAGAGATGAGACAGCGGATAAGAAGTCACCCGTGAACGAAAGCAGGAACTCAATAAATGTTAACTTTGTCGACACAAGAACACGAAATGATGAGACAGCTGATAAGAAGTCACCTGAGAACGACAGCTTGAACTCAATAAATGTTAACTTCGTCGACAAAAGAACACGAAACGATGAGACAGCTGATAAGAAGTCACCGGAGAACGACAGGAGGAACTCAATAAATGTTAACTTCGTCGACAAAAGAACACGAAATGATGAGACAGCTGATAAGAAGTCACCCAAGAAAGACAGTTTGAACTCAATGAATGTTAACTTTGTCGACAAAAGAACACAAAATGATGAGACAGCTGATAAGAAGTCGCCCGTGAACGACGGCTCACAGCGTGTCCAGTATGTTGGGGCTGTACCCAGAAAGATCAGAAAGTTTAAACATCAGGATGAGAAATCCCATGAATCTTCAAGGAGATCTCCCAAAAGTTCTCATGGAGATTTTAAAGGTGAAGTGCCTAACCATTTAGCTCTCTGGTTTTGTTTCTGCTGAAAATGTAAAATCAATTTAGTTAAAAAAGTATCCTAGTTTTCGTGTGGTTATTGGAGTGGCGAAATTGTGCTGTTGTTACATTTATTATCATAGTTAGATTTTCGGCTGTTGTATTGCTAAATGGAATTTCATTTCTTATCTCCAGGTTCTTTAACTTGTGATCGCCCTCACACAGTGCACTTGGTTGAGAAATCTGCTTCAATTCAACATTCTTGGATGGCAGCTGCAATTAGTCAAAATTTAAGCGACGAGCTTCAGGGTTGGTGGGGAAGACTCGCTTTCCATCCGATGCCCTCTATGGGTATACATGCATCTACCGGTAAGTATAAACTTGGCAATATATATATGTATTGTGATTAGAAGTGTCGAATACTTTGACATATTTGTTATCCTCTGTTTACAAGATGTTTCATCTACGGCTACGGTTGATCCTAGTGAGATGCATTCAAATGCTTTGTCTACGGAAACTGAAAGCTCTCAAGAAGTTCGAAGATCTAGTGACCCTTCGGTTCACAATGCTGAGCTCGTAGCAGACACTAGCCCTTCACTGGTTGCTCAAGATTTACCGGCAACAAGACGTAACAATTATATGTCAGATGCCGTCTCAAAGAAATTTAGTCAGGCTGCCATGGCTCTTGTGAATGACTTTCTTACTTTATTGGCGACAATGGATGCCGAGCACCATGAAGCAATTAGTCGAGAAGCAGATGTTACATTTGCTGCTCTGGATTGCCTAAAGGTTGATCATCAAGATTTCAAGGAGCGTGTAAAGGAACTCATTCACTCTGCAAAGACATTGTCCGATATCGAGCAATCAATGTCAAGTAACGATTCTTATCAGAAATTACTCGATAGTGAGAGAAGTAGACTGGATGAGATCAATCACAATCATGCTGAGTTAGTCAAGACCATCGCGAGCATGAAAAGTCATCTGAAAAATTCTCAAGAAAAAATTTCTTCAGTGAGAACTAGGCTCCTCGAGATGGAGTCAGAAGTTTCATCATATGAAGACGAGATTCAAAACATGGAGCAAACATTGGATGAAATAAATGAAAGCAGGGAAAATCTAGAGGAAAAGTATGGCTCTGCAGCTAAGGTAGTGAAGGAGTTGCAGGCACTTTGCGCGCGTAAAAAATCCGAACATGATGCTGCTAAGGTCGCATATGCCACAGCAAGGTCATTGCTTTATGGACATAAATCTGCTGCCGAGTAGCGTGCAGTTGCCTCTATGCATTGTATATTTGGATTGCTCCTTGTGCAGTAATTAAATAAATCTTACGACAAGGAGATTGGCTACAGCCATTGGCTCTCAGGTTCAATTTTTCGCTTATTGCTAAATCTCTGTTACCTTTTGCTCAAGTAAGTCATATGTATATTATTTACTTGGATTTCTGTATTATTGCGGTGAAGTTTGCTACTGGATATCGCATAAATTCTCAAAAGCTGTACGAACACAGCATTATATAATCTCTGTATTATTACAAATCAATCAGTGATTCTCGTGTTTCATGGGGGATTAGACACCTTTAATGTAATGTATGAAAGTGTACTTTACTGTGTTTCTTTTGCCCTGTTTCATTTTTTTGTAATATCTTTTGCAACACTTGACCCACAACACAAAGTGCTTTCGGAAATTGGTATATGGATTGGGAACTTTATTGTCTGTGTGTGTGCGTGTGATTGCCACTCTATAAATACTGGTGAATCATTCTTTGTTCATCATCTGCACCTACATCTACTTTCGCAATAAACATTTTGTATTCTGTTTATGTTTGTTTGTCGATATGAAGATGATATCTGCTTGTTTTCTTCTATTTTATATCATATGTCTTTCTTCGGAGTTGTGGTTTTTATGTGTTGCTAAAAATGCATCAATCGGTTGCGTTGCAGCCGAGAGGAAAGCTCTTCTCAAGTTCAAGTCAAGCCTTCTTTATTCTTCATACATACTGCCTTCATGGAGGAGTATCGATTGCTGCACATGGGAAGGTATTACTTGTGATGAGACTACAGGGTAAGTTATTGAACTTCATCTCAGATGCAATGGTATGTCAAGTAATAAGATACGTAGTAAAAGACTAGATCCTTCTCTACTTGAATTGAAGTATTTGAATTATTTGGACTTGAGTGGGAACGACTTTCAATACAGCATGATTCCTGAGTCTTTAGGATCAATGAAGCAACTGAATTATCTAAATCTCTCTTATGCTGGCTTTGGAGGCACTGTCCCACAGTATCTTGGCAATCTCTCAAACCTGCACACCCTTGATCTCAGCTATAATCACTTGAGCTCCATTGATAACACGACTTTGCAATCTGTCATCATTGGAGCATCTTGATTTGAGTTGGATCAACCTTGGTCAAAATAACAATTTTGTTAAGGTACTCAACATGCTTCCTTCTTTATCAGTGTTGCGTTTGTCATCGTGTGCACTTAACAACGTTTTCTTTGCCCAATTCCTGCATAAATTCAACATTCCTTCCACATGTCCAGTACTTGGATCTTAGTTCGAACATCACTTTTGGAGAAACTCCTTGCTTTCTCCAAAATATGACTTCACTAAGGTTTGTTGATCTTTCATGGAATCATTATGAGTCTTCGCCCTTACATTTTCTTAGATTAAGCAATCTTGTTGATCTCAACCTTGCAGCAAACAATCTTGACCATCCTTCTGTTTGGATTTCCAAATTCATGTCCGGTAAATGCCGCTTAGAATCATTGAATCTCCTGGGTAATCACTTTCACAGGGATATCTCAGAAGCTTTCAAAAACATTTCAGGATGTCTGAGTCAAAACTTACAGATTCTAAATTTGGGCTACAACAAATTTAGTGGTGAGTTACCTAAAGAGTTGGACAAAGTAAAGAAAATAACATACTTTGATGTTAGCGGATCAAATATTAGCGGTCAAATTCCTGAATCTCTTGGGAATTTGTCATGCTTGAGAGATATGTATATGTTACGGAACAAGTTAGTTGGCCCCATCCCATCATCCTTTGAAAATTTGAAGGCATTGAGAGTGTTGGATCTTTCTATCAATCAATTAAGGGGCGAAATTCCAAATATTTTGGGACAACTATCGAATCTTGAGAGGTTGGACATTTCATACAACTTGTTCAACGGACCAATTTCTGAGGTTCACTTTGCCAAACTCTCGAAATTAGAAGAGCTCGGTCTATCCAACAACTTAATCAATTTTAAGTTTGGATACGACTGGGTGCCCCCTTTTCAATTGAAGTCTCTCAGAATGTTTTCCTACATTGGAGGTCAGATTCCACCATCGCTTCAATACCAGAAAGCATTGAGTCAGCTAGATTTATCCAGCTGCAGCATTTCAGGATATCTACCCAAGTGGCTTGGCAACATGAATTTGGTGTGGTTGGACCTATCTAAGAACCAGATAAATGGAACTATCCCAAAGTGGCTTGGCAACATGGATTTGGTGGGGTTGGACCTATCAAAGAACCATATTTATGGAACAATTCCGAAGCTTCCTTCCAGATTGAACAGCTTACTTCTTTCAGAGAACATAATAAATCACCTTCCGAGCGACATTGATCACCGACTACCTTCTCTAGTAAATTTGTTCTTGGCCCGTAACTCCATCAATGGCTCACTGCCTGATTCATTGTGCAATATGAGCCGTTTGTGTGTTTTAGATCTCTCCAAGAATGGTCTTTCTGGAAATGTGGCAGATTGTTGGCAACATAGTTATTTATCATTTTTAGATTTGTCATCCAATGAGCTTTCAGGCATAATTCCGGAATCCATTGGAGCTGCTCACTCCTTGACATGGCTGCGCTTGAACAACAACAGTTTCATAGGACAGATTCCCTCCACTTTGCAGAACTGTACCTTTTTAGAAGCGCTGGATGTTGGAGAAAATATGTTGTAGGTAAAATACCTGAATGGATTGGAAACAAGCTGCCTGTTCTCGAAATTCTTAGACTAAGGGGTAATCTATTCCAGGGGGTGATACCTGATGCACTTTGTCAAGCCACTCGTCTTCAAATCCTAGACCATGGAAACAACAACTTGACTGGGTTTATCCCGCATTGTGTTGGAAATTTCTCAGGCATGATTGAAAAGCGTGTTCTACTTTCTTTCTATGGAGATCCCTTGCATCAAGTGTTGAAAGGAATAGAGATGGAATACTCCCAAGGATTTATCGGATGTTGTTAATTTTGATCTTTCTTGCAACAATCTTGTCGGAGAAATTCCTTCAGAGTTGATGGTCCTTCGCAACTTACGTGGTCTCAATTTGTCACATAATTCCTTAGGTAGAGAAATTCCATCAAAGATTGGAGACTTGACTTCTCTGGAATCTCTTGATCTTTCAAACAACAATTTGGTCAGGAGAATCCCCAACAGTCCATCAAATTTATATTGTTTGAGCCACCTGAACTTGTTCAACAATAATCTGTCGGGACCAATTCCCACTGGAAGTCAACTGCAAACTCTCGAAGAACCTTCAAGTTACGAGGGCAATCCCCAACTCTGTGGAGCTCCCCTGCCGAAGAGATGTCCCAGCCATGAACCACCAAAGGACTCCAATACTGAAGATGATGCTGCAGATGATGGGGATTCAATGGATAAACTATGGTTTTGTGTATTTGTTGTTGGTGGATTTGGCATAGGATTTTGGGGGTTTGTTGGATTTTTGGTCTTCAAAAGGAGTTTCAGACAGGCTTACTTTCATTGTACAGATGAGATGGGCAGCAAGATACTTCTTGCTGGGGCATTATTTGCTCAGAGATTCTCAGGTAACTGATTAACACATATATGTATATATATTATTTTCCTTTATTGTGGCTTGCAGTTTGTTTTTTCTTTAACATTATAGTATTTTGATGTTTTAGTTTCGCATTGTGGCGCGTGGGCTCTAGCTTGAAGAACGCGAGACTATCAATGTTATTTGTAATAAAATTTGTACATTAATCTTGAACAGAGATTCGATGGATATTCATTAGTGCTGTTAAGGTATGCCTTTCTTAGCATAGCAAAATATTTTCATTTAGCTCAACGCAAAGCGTTATATAATGCTTCGAGCATGGCCAAGTATGGTGGGGAAATTCTTCAGGCAAAGAACATAGATAAATCAATTTGCTCCGACTACTTGTCTAATGTCTGCACGGGATAGGAATTAATAAGTCTTTTGGTTTCATCATTTGCAGTGACACAAGAATGAGAAGCCAGTCATATGCAAGTTGAATGAGTGAGTACTAAACACATCAGAAAATGCTACATGACACAAGGTGATGGGCATACCACATTGCTGGCTGCTTCAGCTCCAGCAACATCAAAGTCCAATTCAATTTCAATCTCAATCATCGAAGATATCTGGAATTATTACGGATAAGAAAATAATAATGTACTCTAGCGTAGCTTTATTAAGAATTATTACTCGAGCATAGCTTATCATGAGTTCAATTCCATTCTTGAGTCCAGTCCTTGGCAAACAATTTTTGACTCGGCTTCTTCTAACACTATACGAAAAGTTACATAAAACAAACAACTTAGGAAGGTTGGAACAGCTCTTAATTGAGTAACTTGCCATAAAGTTGAATCATACCGATGTGAAGGTTCACTAACAGAATCTTTAAGTGGCAGATGCGAGCAAGCATCCGAACCTGTAAATAAAAAACATGTTGGTTAATTATCATATGATGAGATGCACTCATTTAGATATCAATATGAACAAACTCATAAACGGAAACACAAAAGGGGAAAGTCTATCATCGCATTCATTGTCAAAAATCCAAATACATCCTTGGATAGTAGACCACTTTATGCACTCTATTGCAATATTCTACTGATGCAGATCAAGAAAATAAATCATTTACCCAATCAATCATGCAGAAAGATACCATTCATAACTCTCATACCGATTAGTCTTTCCTTTGTGTAAATTGTAATGGAGCGGTGATGGATTTGTAAACAGAGGTATTTCGTCGTGTTAGACTCCAAAACATATGATGCCCATCCTTCATCCAAACCAAGTGTTTGATGAGTCGTTCCAATGACATAATGGAGAAAAAGTTTTCTGACTGATCCTCGGCTTAGAGATCTACCTACAATTGGAAATATGGCATCAGCTACACTGCATTCTTGTTTTCGCCTACTTGATTATTTTACATCTCACAAAATAGAATAAATTCAGAGGTACTTAATTCACTAAAGGTTCCACTGATTAATTGTATACTATTTTGAGCTATTGACATCAAATGTTTTCGACCTCGTGGGACTCAATCTAAATCGATGAAGTCTCTTACTTCATTTGAACTTTTTTCCACTATCAGATACTCTTTGCCTTAAAATCTCCATCTATTAATGCATACAGTTCACTTCTTAAAGTTTGTTCTTAATGATTGTTTCTTATATTGTCAGCCTTCTCTAAGCTTGGTCTACTTAAAGTTTCTTTACTATGCAACCCTCATTACATATAAAAATATATTATGTTTTCTTATAAAATGTTACATTACACACAGTAATACTGAACCGTTATGCATTCCATTTGGACCCACTTTAGTCGATATTATATACTACTAAAATACTGATATCAATATATAATGCTACACAATAGTACTTCAAGACCTTATTCATTGGTAAACTCATTCTTGTAGGGTACCTTTAATTCTTTTGGACCTTTAGCCACCTGGCTCCTTTAGAAATTTTTTATAATTTGCATTGAAAAGTTGGGACATAGCCTTTGTTGTTCAATTACTTTATAAAGCTCAAATTCTTTTTCAAACCTCTACTTTCATTTAGAGTTTTAATCCGACGTCCCCTTTTCTCATAATTCTCAGCTGGTCACTATTGGTGAAGTGGACAACTCCAAAGTCCCTGAAAATGTGTATTCCATAAATATTGAATTATTATAACAGTGAAATTATGAGATTCCAAAGTCTATAACACATGCCTCAGTCTCATTAATGTGTTCAAACTTAAAATAGGGAGTGTAGAAAATTGCACTGTCCCATTAATTTTATGAAAAACAAATAAATAAGATATCATTGTCGGTTGGTCATCACGTGGAAGTGCCAAGGAAAATGTCCATCTTATTATATTACATTTAGTTGTATATTAGTATTATTGAATGTTTTGAAGTTAAATTTTTGAAATAAAAATGTATTTGATGTGATATTCTACAAGTAAGTTAAATGATGAAAGTGTGTCAACAACATTGTCTTATGTGTGCGAACTTATAGATGTCTTCCATATTAACTTAATATAGATGTTGTTGTACTTATTTGTTTAAATGTTATTCAATCTTGAATGGCGATTATAAAATATTGAAGTCTTTTTTCTTGTTATCTCAATTTAATCAAAAGTATCTAATGGTAATGGTAGAAGGATCAGATATTATTGATGGAATAAATGCATGTTGAATTTTTTTGGTGTTCCAAGTGGCCAGGCTTTTTTTACTCAGTATGTCCTATTAAATGCACTAAATTGGTGGGCGTGTGGAAAGTTCTCAATGAAGAAACATTGGATGTGAAAGAACTTAATTTGAATACTGATGAATCTTTCTTTGTTCATTACCTACTTTCACTATAAACATTTTGTATACTGTTTATGTTTATGTGTCGACATGAAGAAGATATTTGCTTTCTTTCTTCTCTTTTCTATTATATTGTTTGTTTCAGAGTTGTGGAGTTCATGTGTTGCTAAAAATACATCAATTGGTTGCATTGCAGTAGAGAGGAAAGCTCTTCTCAAGTTCAAATCAAGCCTTGATGATCCTTCGAATATTACACTCCCTTCATGGCGGGGCATCGATTGCTGCACATGGGAAGGTATTACTTGTGATGAGATTACAGGGTATGTTATCCAACTTAATCTCAGATATAATGGTATGTTGTTGAGTAATATCTTAAGTAGTGAAAGACTAGATCCTTCTCTAGTTGAATTAAAGTATCTGAATTCTTTGGACTTGAGTGGGAATGACTTTCGATCCAAAATGATTCCTGAATATTTAGGATCGATGAAGCAACTGCATTATCTTAATCTCTCTTCTGCTGCCTTTGAAGGAACTGTCCCACAGCATCTTGGCAATCTCTCAAACCTGCACACACTTGATCTCAGCTATAATAAACTCATGGCTTTGCAATCTGTCTTCATTGGAGCGTCTTGATTTGAGTGGGATCGACCTTGGTACAAATAGAAATTTCATCAATGTACTCAACAGGCTTCCTTTTTTATCAATGTTGCGTTTGTCCCGCTGTTCATTTAACAACATTTCTTTGCCCAATTCCTGCATAAATTCAACATTCCTTTCACATGTCGAATACTCGGATCTTAGTTCGAACTTCATTTCTGGAGAAACTCCTTGCATTTCATGGAATCATTATCACTCTTCCCCCTTACATTTTTTTAGATTAAGGAAATTTGTTGATCTCAACCTTGAATCGAACAATCTTGACCATGCATCGGATTGGATTTCAGAATTCTTGTCTGGTAAATGCCACTTGGAATCATTGAGTCTCCAGAATAATTCCTTTCATGGGAAGATCTCAAGAGTTTTCAAGAACATTTCAGGATGTTCGAGTCAAAACTTACTGAATCTAAATATGGGCTACAACAATTTTGATGGTGACTTACCTAGTGAGTTGGATAAAGTCAAAAAAATAACAAACCTGGATCTTAGTAGATCAAATATTAGCGGTCAAATTCCAGAATCTCTTGGAAATTTGTCATTCTTAAGAGGTTTGATTATGAGAGATAACAAGTTAGTTGGCCCCATCCCATCATCCATTGGAAAACTGAAGGTACTTTGGGTGTTGGATCTTTCTTCAAATCGATTAAGTGGCGAAATTCCAATTTCTTTTGGGCAACTATCAAATCTCGAGAGCTTGGACATTTCACACAACTCATTCAATGGAACAATTTCTGAGGTTCACTTTGTCAATCTCTCAAAATTAGAAAAGCTCTATCTATCCAACAACTTAATCAATTTTAAGTTTGGATGTAGTTGGGTACCGTCTTTTCAATTGACAGAACTCAACATGGCATCTTCCAACGTTGGAGGTCAGATTCCACGATGGCTTCAATCCCAGATGGCGCTGAGTCAGCTAGATTTATCCAATTGCAACATTTCAGAAACTCTCCCAAAGTGGCTTGGCAACATGAATTTGGTGGAGTTGGACCTATCAAAGAACCACATCTATGGAACAATTCCAAACCTTTCTTCTAGCTTGACGAGCTTAGATCTTTCAGATAACATAATAAATCACCTTCCGAGCAACATTGATCTTCTGCTACCTTATCTTGAATATTTATTATTGGCCCGGAACTCCATCAATGGTTCACTGCCTGATTCATTGTGCAATATGAGTGATTTGACTCTTTTAGTTTTGTCCATGAATGGTTTCTCTGGATATTTGCCAGATTGTTGGCAAGACAGTTATTTATCGTATTTGGATTTGTCGTCCAATGAACTTTCAGGCATAATTCCAGAATCCATTGGAGCTGCTCGTTACTTGTCATGGCTGCACTTGAACAACAACACTTTTACAGGACAGATTCCCTCCACTTTGCAGAACTCTACTTATTTAGAAGTGTTGGATGTTGGAGAAAATATGTTGTCTGGTAGAATACCTGAATGGATTCGACACAATATGCTTGATCTGAAAATTCTTCGACTAAGGAGTAATCAATTTCAAGGAGTGATACCTCATACACTCTGTCAAGCTTCTCAGCTTCAAGTTCTAGACATCGGAAACAACAATTTGACTGGGTACATCCCGCGCTGTGTTGGAAATTTCTCAGGCATGATTGAAAAGAATCATCTACGTACTAGGTATGGAGAAGCCATACAACAAGTACTAAAAGGAATAGAGATGGCATACGCTAAGGATCTATCAGATGTTAATTTTGATCTTTCTTGCAACAAACTTGTTGGAGAGATTCCTTCAGAGTTGTGTTCCTTCGCAACTTACGTGGTCTCAATTTGTCACATAATTTCTTGGATAGAGAAATTCCATCTAAGATTGGAGAGTTGACCTCTCTGGAATCTCTTGATCTTTCCAACAACAATTTGGTCGGGCGAATCCCAAACAGTCTATCGAATCTATATCTTTTGAGCCGTTTGAACTTGTCCAACAATAATTTGTCTGGAGCGATTCCCACCGGAAATCAACTGCAAACTCTCGATGACCCCTCAATTTATGACGGCAATCCCCAACTCTGTGGAGCTCCCCTGCTAAAGAGATGTCCTGGCAATAAACCAACTAAGGACTTCAATCCTGAAAATGATGCTGCAGATGATGGAGATTCACGGGATAAAATATTGTTTAGTGCATTTGTTGTAGGTGGATTTGGCACAGGATTTTGGGGGTTTGTTGGATTGTTGGTCTTCAAAAGGAGTTTCAGGCAGGCTTACTATCGTTTTGTGGAAGAGATGGGCAGCAAGATACTTCTTGCCGCTGCTTTATTTGCTCGGAGATTCTCAGGTAACTGATGCACTCCATATATGTATATTGTTTTCCCTCTATTGTGGCTATCAGTTTGGTTTCTTCCTTACCAATAAAGTACTTTAATGTTTTAATTTTGCATTGTGGTGTGTGGCCTTGAAAGTGAGACGAATAATTAATTGTCTTCTTTTGTAATAAAATTTGTACATTTATCTTGAAAGAGTTTCTATGTATTCATGAATGCTTGGAGCATGGCCAAGTATTGACGAGGAATTTCTTATTTCTGCAATTTGTACATGAAAAAAAGGAAAAAAGCATACATACATCAGAACTATGATATGACACAAAGAGATGGATAATATTGCATTGCTGGCTGCTCAGGTGCAGCAACATCCAAGTCCAATTCAACTTCAATCTCAATCATCGAAGATATCTGGAATTATTACGGATTAAGAAATAGTAATGTATTCTAGCATAGCTTTGAATCAAAGAAACAAATATATTTTTATATGTTCAGTAGTGTTTGTCGATCATGTACTCTGGCATAGCCTTTCATGAGTTCAATCCAATTCTTGAGTGAATTCTTCAGTCCTTGGCCTACCATTTTGACTCTGCTTCTTATATATAGCACTATACGAAAGGGTATATACAGTGAAAAACTTAAGAAGGTGGAACAGCTATTATTGAGAAAATTGCCATAAAGTTGATTGCGTACCAATATGAAGTTTCACCAACAGCATAAATTTTGATCTCCAACTGACACATGCGAGCAAGCATCCAAAGCTGTAGCTGATAATCAAATTGACCTCATTTTCGCCAGCCTTCTTCAACTCCTTGATTTAAATTGTTTATAACCTGACTACAATCGATGAATTTTTTCAAGAGGACCTATTTAGTTTTTTTTTTTTTTTTTTTTTCGATTTTGTATTTAAATAAAACCATTATTTATTTATTTTCTTTATTCTCATATTTCATTATCACATTCTTTTATTTTCATCTGTGGGCACAGAGAGACTCAACTTGAGTTGACCCCAGAGGTGTCAATTGGTATTTTGTGATTATGTTCATGTCTGATTGAACACAACACAAATTTTTTCAAGTCGGAGCTCAGATCAATTTGATTTAGTTTCATGTCATCCGAAATCCCAAACAAACCTGACACGAAATCCCAAACAAACCTGACACGAAACAGACTCGTAAACTTAAAAAAAAAAAAAAATACCTGAAAGATCTTCAAAATCAAAATTCACAAGTTGATGTTAACTTTTTTTTTTTATATAATTTACAAGAGATTTTGTGAAATTTATTTACGAATGTATTTTTTTCTGATTTTTCTATATATCTAAAGTATTAATATTTTATATCTTTATTACTACAGATTTTTTATTATTATTATTATACTTGTTGCATTTATTTAAACTTACATAATATTTTTATACACAAAATATTAATTATACATGCAATTGTGCTATACACTGTTTACAGGCTAGTACTAAAAATAATTAAATAGGATATTTGTACATGTTCAATATACTCGATACCATATGTTGCTAATCAATCCCTCAATGCTTGTGGTGTTTAATGGTTCGGTTGATTAGCCATGGAATGATCAATGGCGTGTGTTGACCCACAACACAAAAGGTTTCGTGGTTTAGTTTGTTTGCTCAACTCATGATTCAACAATTCAACATCAATCAATTAATCTTTTTGTATCTTAGTTAATGTATTCAAAGTGTAAAATCAGGAGTACAGAAATTTATGTGTGATTTTTTAACAGTAAATTATATACTAGAAGTATTGTTTTAAATGAAATATGATGTATTATATGAGGGGTCTACTTTTCTTATGTGTGCCTGCCACTGTATAAATACTGGTGAATCTTTCTTTGTTCATCATCTACTTTTCACTGTAAACATTTTGTATTCTGTTTAGTTTTATGTGTCTATATGAAGAAGATATCTTCTTGCTTTCTTCCCATTTATATTATATTGCTTGTTTCTGAGTTGTTTATTCTATGTGTTGCCAAAAATACATCAATTGGTTGTGTTGCAGCAGAGAGGAAAGCTCTTCTCAAGTTCAAATCAAGCCTTGATGATCCTTCGAATATTACACTCCCTTCATGGAGAGGCATTGATTGCTGCACATGGGAAGGTATTACTTGTGATGAGACTACAGGGTATGTTATCGAACTTCGTCTCAGTAATATGTTGAGTGCTGAAAGTGTTGATCCTTCTCTTCTTGGATTAAAGTATCTGAATTATTTGGACTTGAGTGGAAACGACTTCGGATCCAGAATTCCTGAGTTTTTAGGATCACTGAAGCAACTGCATTATCTTAATCTCTCGGAATCGGGCTTTGAAGGCACTGTCCCACGGCATCTTGGCAATCTCTCAAACCTGCACACCCTCGATCTCAGCGGTAATGATGGCTTGAGCTCCATTGATAACTCATGGCTTTGCAATCTGTCATCATTGGAGCGACTTGATTTGAGTCAAGTCGACCTTGGTACAAATAGAAATTTTGTCAAGGTACTCGACATGCTTCCTTCGTTATCAATATTGCGTTTGTCAGGCTGTTCGATGAACAACATTTCTTTGCCGAATTCCTGCATGAATTCGACATTCCTTTCACATGTCCAGTATTTGGATCTTAGTAGGAACTACATTTATGGAGAAACTCCTTGCTTTCTCCAAAATATGTCTTCGCTAAGGTTTCTTGATCTTTCATGGAATCATTATCATTCTTCGCCCATACATTTTGTTAGATTAAGGAACCTTGTTGATCTTAACCTTGCAAGAAACAATCTTGGCCATGCATCGGTTTGGATTTCCAAATTCATGTCTGGTAAATGCCACTTGGAATCACTGAATCTCGAAAATAATTACTTTTACGGGGAGATCTCAGGAGCTTTCAGTAACATTTCAGGATGTTCTAGTCAAAACTTACGGAATCTAAATTTGGCAATCAACAAACTCAGTGGTCAAATTCCAGAATCTCTTGGGAATTTGTCACGCTTAAGAGATTTGAATATGGTGCTAAACAAGTTAGTTGGCCCCATTCCATCATCCTTCGAAAATTTGAAGTCATTGAGAGTGTTGATTCTTTCTGGTAATCAATTAAGTGGTGAAATTCCAATTTCTTTGGGGCAACTATCAAATCTCGAGACCTTGGTCATTTCAAACAATTCATTCAATGGAACAATTTCTGAGGTTCACTTTGACAAGCTCTCGAAATTAAAAGAGCTTTATGTATCCTCAAACTTGATCGATTTTAAGTTTGGACAAGACTGGGTGCCCTCTTTTCAATTAAAGTATCTCGACATGGGATCTTCCAACATTGGAGGTCAGATTCCACCATGGATTCAATCCCAGAAAGCTCTGACTCAGCTAGATTTATCCAATTGCAGCATCTCAGGAACTCTCCCACAGTGGCTTGGCAACATGAATTTGACGTCGTTGGACCTATCTAAGAACCATATATATGGAACAATTCCAATGCTTTCTTCTAGTTTGAGGTCCTTGGATCTTTCAGATAACATAATTATTCATCTTCCAAGCAACATTGATCATAGACTACCTTCTTTAAACATTTTATTATTGGGCCGTAACTCCATCAATGGTTCATTGCCTGAATCATTGTGCAATATGAGGTATTTGATTGTTTTAGAGCTCTCCAGAAATGGTTTCTCGGGCAATGTGGCAGATTGTTGGCAAAACAGTTCTTTAGGGATTTTGGATTTGTCATCCAATGAGCTTTCAGGCATAATCCCGAAATCTATTGGAGTTGGTGGCTCCTTGTCATGGCTGCGCTTGAGCAACAACAGCTTTACAGGACAGATTCCCTCCACTTTGCAGAATTGTACTGGTTTACAAGGGCTAGATGTTGGAGAAAATATGTTATCGGGTAAAATACCTGAATGGATTGGAAACAACTTGCTTGATCTGACAATTCTTAGACTAAGGAATAATCAATTTCAAGGGGTGATACCTCATGCGCTTTGTCATGCTTCTCGGCTTCAAATTCTAGACATTGGAAACAACAACTTGACTGGGTACATCCCGCATTGTGTTGGAAATTTCTCAGGCATGATACATGTACAGATTCTAGATTATCCTTTTAGAGATGTCATACATCAAGTGTTGAAAGGATTAGAGATGGAGTACTACATTAATGGTCTGTCAGCTGTTGTTAATTTTGATCTTTCTTGCAACAATCTTGTTGGGCAAATTCCTTCAGAGCTGATGGGCCTTCGCAGCTTACGTGGTCTCAATTTGTCACATAATTCCTTGGGTAGAGAAATTCCATCAAATATTGGAGACTTCACATTTCTAGAATCTCTTGATCTTTCCAACAACAATTTGGTCGGAAGAATTCCCAGCAATCTATCGAATCTATATTTTTTGAGTCGCCTGAACTTGTCCAATAATAATCTGTCTGGACCAATTCCCACCGGAAATCAACTGCAAACTCTCAATGACCCCTCAATTTATGATGGAAATCCCCAACTCTGTGGAGCTCCCCTGCTGAAGGCATGTCCTGGCGCTGAAACACCAAAGGACTCCAAAAGTGAAAATGATGCTGCAGATGATGGAGATTCAGTGGATAAAATATGGTTTAGTGCATTTGTTGTAGGTGGATTTGGCACTGGATTTTGGGGGTTCGTTGGATTGTTGGTCTTCAAAAGGAGTTTCAGACAGGCTTATTTTCGTTTTACAGAAGAGATGGGCAGCAAGATACTTCTTGCTGCAGCCTTTTTTGTTCGGAGATTCTAAGGTAAGTGACATATATATATAATGTTTTTTCTTTATTGTGGTTTCTTTTTTGTTTTTTTCCTTAACATTTAAGTAATTTGATGTTTTAATTTTGCATTGTGTTGTGTTGGCTTTAGCTCGAAGAACCTGAGACAAACAAGAAAAAAAAAAGTATACACACATCAACTTGCCCCGACTACTTGTCTTAATATCTGCACAGAATCAGAATTGAGAAGTCTTTCAGCTTCATCATTTGGCTCGGCTTGCAATCTCACTCTGCAGTGACACAAGAACGAGAGTCAATCATATGTAAGCCGAATGAGTTAGTGATAGAATTAAGGAGAAGGTAGATGTAATATGCCTCTTCGAGATTCTCAATTTCCATTATTTGCTCGATTTGTTCTGCAACATTTTCCTGCAAGAATTATTAAGCACATCAGAACCATACTACATGACACAATGAGATGGAGTGTACGGCATTGCTTGCTGCTTCAGCTGCGGCAACATCCAAGTCCAGTTCAACTTCAATCTCAATTATCGAGGATATCTGGGAATCGTTCTGGAGTAAGTAAATAAATCATAATGTATTCAAGCATAGCTTTAAATCGAAGAAACTGATATGTTTTTATATTTTCAATTAGCGTTTGTCGATTATGTACTCTGGCATAGCTTTCGATAACTTCAATTTGATTCTTGAGTGGATTATCCAGTCCTTGGCGTACAATTTTGACTCTGCTTCTTCTAGCACTATACAAAAAGTTATATAAAGCAAACAACTTAGGAAGGCTGGAACAGCTCTTATTGAGTTACTTAGCCATAAAATTGAATGCATACCGATATGAAGATTCACCACACATAAATTTTGATCGATCTCTGACTGACACGTGCAAGCAAGCATCCAAACCTGTAGTTAATAAACAAATAGAACATATTTCGGCTTCTTCAACTCCTTGATATGAGTCTGAAGAACAAAAAATCATGTTAATTAAATAGCTTCATTCAGGAAACTTTTAATACCCGAAATAAACCATTCATAACTCTCATACTTATTAGTGTTTCCTTTGTGTATATTGTAATGGAGCGCTGAAGGATTTGTAAACAGTGTTCTTTAGTCATGTTAGACTCCAAAAAACCATTCTCAGGACTTCATCAGCTCATTTACTGAATAGCATCTGCCTTCTCGGGCAGGGGATATACGAATAAAATATGATCTTCACGAATAGTTGTCATAAGGAAATGAGTTTTCTTGCCATGAATCTTTTGTCTTCGATCAAGGCCAGAAGAAAAATAACAGCACATGATGCCCATCCATGATCAAAACAAGAGTTTTGTGAGTCCTTACAATGTCATAGTGGAGCAAAAATCTTCTGATTGATCCATGGTATAGAGATCTACCCAAGTCTCCATCGATTACCGCTTGCAATATAATTCTTAAAGTTTGTCCTAAATGATTGTTTGTTATATTAACTAATTAATATAGATGTTAGTGTACTTATATGTGAAAAATATTTTTCAATCTTGAATGGAGATTATAAAATCTTGAAGCCTTTATTTTCCTTTTTATCTCAATTTAATGAAAAGTATCAAGTGGTAATGGTAGAAGGATCAGATATTGTTGATGAATTGAATGCTTGTTGAATTTTTATGGTGTTCCAAGTTGTCAGGCTTTGTTTACTCAATCTGTCCTATTAAATGAATTAAAATGGGTGGCATGTTGAAAGTTTGCAATGAAGAAACATTGGATGTGAAAGAACTTCATTGAAGTTATGTGCCACTCCATATATAAAGATTAGTCTTTCCTTGTTCATCACCATGTTTTAAGTCTATGTGTCGATATGAAGAAGATATCTGCTTGCTTTCTTGATCTCTTTTCTATTGTATTGCCTTTTTTTCGGAGTTGTGGATTTTATGTGTTGCTAAAAATACATCAATTGGTTGCGTTGCAGCAGAGAGGAAAGCTCTTCTCAAGTTCAAGTCAAGCCTTGTTGATCCTTCAAATAAACTCTCTTCGTGGAGGGGCATCGATTGCTGCACATGGGAAGGTATTACATGTGATGAGATTACAGGGTATGTTGTCAAACTTCATATCAGATGTGTGTTGTTTAGCCATTGCTTAACTAGTGAAAGCTTAGATCCTTCTCTACTTGATTTAAAGTATCTGAATTCTTTGGACTTGAGTGGGAACAACTTCCAATCCAGTATGATTCCTGAGTTTTTAGGATCGATGAAGCAACTGCATTATCGCCGACTTTAAAGGTGTTGTCCCACAGCATCTTGGCGATCTCTCAAACCTGCACACACTTGATCTCAGCGATAATGACGGCTTGAGCTCCACTGATAACACATGGCTTTGCAATCTCTCATCATTGGAGCATCTTGATTTGAGTCAGATCAACCTTAGTACAAATATAAATTTTGTCAACGTACTCAGCATGCTTCCTTCGTTATCGATGTTGAGTTTGTCCAGCTGTTCACTTGACAACATTTCTTTGCCCAATTCCTGCATAAATTCAACATTCCTTTCACATGACGAATACTTGGATCTTAGTTGGAACTCGATTTATGGAGAAACTCCTTGCTTTCTGCAAAACATGACATCTCTAAGGTTTCTTGATCTCTCACATAATCAATATAGTTCTTGGTCCACACATGTTATTAGATTGAGGCACCTTGTTGATCTCAACCTTGAAATGAACAATTTTGACCATGCATCCTATTGGATTTCCAAATTCATGTCTAGTTATTGCCACTTGGAGTCATTGGATCTTGGGAGTAATCACTTCCACGGAGAAATCTCGGGAGCTTTCAAGAACATTTCAAGGTGTTCGACTCAAAACTTAAAGTATCTAAACTTGGCTGGTAACCATTTTAATGGTGAATTACCTAAAGAGTTGGACAAAGTGAAAAGAATAAGATACCTTGGCCTTGGCAATTCAAATATAAGCGGTCGAATTCCAGAATCTCTTGGAAAATTGTCATGCTTAAGATATTTATTTATGGGACGAAACATGTTAGTTGGCCCCATCCCATCATCCTTCGAAAATTTGAAGAAATTGAGAGTGTTGGATCTTTCTGGTAATGGATTAAGTGGAAATGTTCCATTTATTTTAGGACAACTATCAAATCTCAAGAGTTTTGACATTTCATACAACTTTTTCAATGGAACAATTTCTGAGGTTCACTTTGCAAAGCTCTCGAAATTAGAAAGCCTCCATGTATCCAACAACTTGATCAATTTTAAGTTTGGATACAGCTGGGTGCCCCCTTTTCAGTTGCAGTCTCTCAAAATATTTTCCAACAATGGAGGTCAGATTCCGCCATGGCGTCAATACCAGAAGGTGTTGGATGCCGTTGATTTAAACAGCTGCGGCATTTCAGGAACTCTCCCAAAGTGGCTTGGCAACATGAATTTGGAGCTGTTGGATCTATCTAACAACCATATATATGGAACAATTCCAAAGCTTTCTTCCAACTTGACATCCTTAGATCTTTCGGATAACATACTAAATCACCTTCCGAGCAACATTGATCGTCTGGTACCTTCCCTAGAAAGTTTATACTTGACACGTAACTCCATCAATGGTTCACTGCCTGATTCATTGTGCAATATGAGGTATTTGAGTGTTTTATCTCTCTCCAAGAATGGTTTTCTCTGGAAATGTGGCAGATTGTTGGCAAAAAATGGATCGTTTACAACTTTTGGATTTGGCATCCAATGAGTTTTCAAGCGTAATTCCAGAGTCTATTGGAGTTGCTCGCTCCTTGTTATGGCTGCGCTTGAACAACAATAGTTTTACAGGACGAATTCCTTCCACTTTGCAGAATTGTACTAATTTACATGTTTGGATGTCGGACAAAATACGTTGTCTGGAAAAATACCCGAATGGATTGGAAACGATCTGCAGTATCTGAAAATTCTTAGGCTAAGGGATAACCATTTTCAAGGAGCTATACCTCCTGCACTTTGTCGAGCTTCTCAGATTCAAATTCTAGACCTGGGAAAAAACAACTTGACTGGGTACATCCCACATTGTGTCGGAAATTTCTCAGGCATAACTAAAGAGGATGCAGAGGTTCTAGAATATTTCCCGAAAGATGTCATAGATCAAGTATTGAAAGGAACAGATATGGAGTACTACACTGACCGTGGACTAGAAGTTGTCAATTTTTATCTTTCTTACAACAATCTTGTTGGGGAAATTCCTTCAGAGTTGACGGGCCTTGACAACTTACTTGGTCTCAACTTGTCACATAATTCTTTGGATAGAGAGATTCCATCGATGATTGGAAACTTGACATCGCTAGAATCTCTTGATCTTTCCAACAACAATTTGGTCAGGAGAATCCCCAGCAGTCTATCGAATCTACATTTTTTGAGCCGCATGAACTTGTCCAACAATAATCTGTCTGGACCGATCCCCACTGGAAATCAACTGCAAACTCTGGATGAACCTTCAATTTATGACTGCAATCCCCAACTATGTGGAGATCCCCTGCTGAAGAGATGTCCTGCAAAGAACCACCAAAGGACTTCAATCCTGAAAATGATGATGGAGATTCACGGGATAAAATATGGTTTAGTGCATTTGTTGTAGGTGGATTTGGCACTGGATTTTGGGGTTTCGTTGGATTGTTGATCTTCAAAAGGAGTTTCAGGCAGGCTTACTATCGTTTTGTGGAAGAGATGGGCAGCAGGATACTTCTTGCCGGGGCCTTATTTGCTCGGAGATTCTCAGGTAAGTGACACAGACACACACACACATATATATATAATGTATTTCCCTTTAGCTTAACGCAAAGGGTTACGGAATGCTTGGAGCATGGCCATGTATTGTATGGGAAATTCTGCTAGCAAAAAACATAGATACATCGACTAGACCCGACTACTTGTCTAATATCTGCACAGGCTCGGAGTTGAGAAGTCTCTCGGCTTCATCATTTGCCTCGGCTTGCAATCTCCATCGCTGCAGTGACACAAAAATGAGAAGTCAGAAATATATGTAAGTTTAATGAGCAAGTGAATGAATGGGATTATAGATGTAATGATATGCCTCTTCGAGATTCTCGATTTCCATTATTTGCTCGATTTGTTCTGCAATATTTTCCTGCAAGAATTATTACAGAGGAGGGGTGTATAAAATTTAAGCACATTAGATCCATGCTAAATGACACAATGAGATGGAGCTTACAGCATTGCTGGCTGCTTCAGCTGCGGCAACATCCAAGTCCAATTCAACTTCAATCTCAATCATCGAAGATATCTGAGAATCATTACGGATAACTAAATAATAATGTATTATAGCATAGCTTTAAATCAAAGAAACTAATATATTTTTATATTTTCAAGTAGTGTTTGTCGATTATGTACTCTGGCATAGCTTTCCATGAGTTCGATTCGATTCTTGAGTGAATTCTCCAGTCCTTGACGTACCATTTTGACTCTACTTCTTCTCGCACTGTACAAAAAGCTTATTAAAGTTAAAAGGTAACGAAGGTTGAAACAGCTCTTATTGAGTTGCTATAAAGTTGAATGCAGACCGATATGAAGGTTCACCAACAGCATAAATTTTGTTCTCCAACTGACACATGCGAGCAAGCATCCAAACCTGTAGATAACAAATTAAACTTTTAATCATTTGGTATGACAACGCGGTTAAGAATCATGGACTCAAATAGAACCATAAACAAAGAACTGAAAAACAATTATGCCAAAATCAAAATTTCTAACAAAGAACTTCAGTGATGGAACAATTTATACTGACAAAGTGCTTAGGTGTGTTAACCAAAAATGAGCAGATATACTGTTGCCTTAACAGTTGTAAAAGCTTGCAGTGAATTCCTACAAATTCTACGAGCATTGGAAAGTGAAAGGTGAAAGGAGGATGAGATAGTGTGTTAAGTCACTCGGAACTTTAAAAGGAAGAACAACAAACCAAAGTAATGTAATTTAATGGTAAATGGTGCTAAAAATATGACCATCTCAGGAAAAGACCTCATTTTCGGCAGCCTTCTTCAACTCCTTGATACGAGTCTGAAGTACATCATACTGAGACAAGAGCTGCTGCCTTATGGATGTTATATCGACTGATCTCTGAGGAAGCTGCTTTTCAAACAACCAAGATTCAACACATTTATAAAAATAAGAACTGTATGAAATTAAAAGGATAATCAATTTATAGCATAGACTATATAAGTAAGAAACCTGCCTTGTTGAGTTGAGGGAGAATAATACTGTTAAAAGTAACACCAAGAGCAAGTGAAGAAACTGATGTAAGTGCAATTAACTGGGGCAGGCTAGGATCGAGCAATCCGGAGGCAGCATCACCAGTCGCAAACAGTAAAAGAACAGGTAATAAGACAGACGGACTCAACATGGTTTTGCCGGCCTCTTTAGAGGGAGCTCTTAGTAATCGAGACTCTCGGCCATCCTTATGATTTGTCAGGGACATGGGCTCCCCGGGATAGAAATTGGGAGTTCTAGGACTCAACTTTAAAGGTCCGACCTCCTTCTGTACACTTGATGGAGCTGCTGCAGCAACAGTCACTCTTTCTCCTTCCTGGGCAGGGAGATCAACTGTTTCAGTGGCAAACCTGTGAGTTCTTGCCATGCCAGATGGAGTTTCCACCTACAAAGACGAAGACCAGTTGATATATAATTACAATGAAAAGAGATGCAGAAAAACCAATAAAAAATATGAACCAATCTCTCTCATACAGCAGAGAGAGATTAACATTATGGATACATGTCACACAATTGCGCAACCCAACTTAAAAGAACGCTTCAAATTTTTTAAATTGGCTGATCCAGGTAATCCTCCTTAAAGGATGATTTGATCTCAAAAAAATGAAAATAAAAATTAAGAGTTAGCATTCAATCTCCCAGAAGTATAAACAATATTAAATAATTTAAAGAATTCATGCATAAATGTAGAAGTGCATACCACAATAGAGTGAACTGCAGCTGGAATGTTTTGTTTCATTATTTGCAAGAGTTGTAGCCCTCTTTTCCATGCAGGAACATCCATGCTGCGTTCGGCAGGAGGAAATCCTTAGCACAAGTGAGTATCCCAGATCAATTTCACTTGTACTCTTTTTTAAATCAAACTAAAATTATAATTATAAAGAGAAAGCATTTTTTTGTACAAAAGCTGGGAAGTAACATACCTGATTTCTTCTGATTCTATGGAATAGATATTGCCTGAGACTAGTTCATACTGGTAGCGGCACCTTGAGCATGATACAAGCTGCTTAAATCATTTCCCATGTTCATAAATAAAGTAAAAATCACGACGACAACTTGAATCGGTAAATGATTGCTTCTTGTTAGAAATAATAAATACAATGATGTTTTGAAGCAGCCAATAACATAGAGCTCTTTAGAGTGAGATAAATACAGAATTTAACAACCCTAACCATCATCTACAAACCATATACTTGAAACAGAGGCAGGGACCAGAAATTCCTTTTAACATACTAAAAGACTATAGAAACGATGGATAAGGGTATGTATACAAATGTATTAGAAACCCATAGTAACAGTTACGGCTAAAGAACTTTGTAGATGCATCTAGAAGGTCAAAGATACCTCAAAAAAACAGTACATGTGTGTCATATATATGAATACTGACTAGAAGATTTGGGTTGAAAGCACGTGCCTGAATGCCTTGATGTGGTTGGGCAACTGCAATAGCAATCATACAACTCGGACATCTCACAACCTTACCAAAAGGAACCTGCAAACTGATCTTTATCATTTATGGCTTAAATAACCAAGCTTTAAGGCATGAAAATGAAATATATACCTACTCAAAAAAACAACGTACAGATCTTTAAATGGGTGAACAGAGATGTATTATATGTTTGAACAAAATTGATGAGATACCTGAAGTCCTGAACAAATAATCATGTTAACTATCATCTGATGAAATGCACTCCTTAAGATATCAATATGAACAAACTTATCTAAAACTCAACTTAAAAGATATTAGTGCAAAAGGAAAAAAATAATTAATAATGTGTAAGTCATTCATATCATCATCTTTGGATAGCATAAGTTGCATGCAATAATATAGTGAGGACTATGTAGATCATCACATTATCAAATCAAAATAATAGCTTGTATGGGATTAAAACACCTCATTTCATTCCTGCAACAACGCTAGAAAGACACAAATAACAAGATCTAATGCCACACTACATTCAAGCATCTCCACTGGATTCCATTTGAATTCTAAAAAGATGATTTTAAGTTATTAAGCCATCAAACTAAATTGAATGGTTAGAAAATATAACTAAATCACATATACCTCTTCACCAGGAGACACTCCCACTCGGCAAACACAGTCAATCATTCTAAGGGCATCTGAAACCCTTAAAGAGGCTGCAAGATCCCTGACAAGTAACGTATATGTATCCACATCTGGCCTTGACCACTTCCATCTCTCAATTGATGTAGAATTCTCAATCGAACCTGGATCATAAGTGAAGGTTTCAAAACCATATAGCAAGCAATTTAAGAGAGCAAAAAACAATATATCAATAACCAAATGTCCATGTAGCTAAACCTAAAAACAAAAACCATTCATCGTTGTAGAAGCAGTCATTTGTCACCATAAAAATATTCATTATATTATCAGAACCCTTTTGGAATATTCTACCATTACATGCATTGTCAAAAATCCAAATAAGAAGCATTGGATAGACCAACTTATTAAATGTAATGCAGATCAAAAACTTAATAATTTACCGAACCGTTCATGCAATAGAACATTGCAAAGAATCATAAACAACTTAAATCCAATAAGTTAAGCATTGTTTGTAACATCTCATATTCCATCTAACACATGATAAACAAGAGCAAACAATACTAATATTCTCAAATTGTATACCAGAGTCGAAGCTTGAGCGCATGGCGGAGAATACCGAGAGAGCCAACTCAGCATTGCCACGATAAAGCGCAGCCGAGATAATCAAACGGCAATCCGAAGCACTCACCACTCCGCCACTCCTCCCGCGCTCCCGGCCAATCAAATCCAACACCTCTGACGCATCTTTGGCCGCGGAAATCAGAGAGATAAGCTCTTCATCCAAAAGCTCTGAAGGCAACTTCCTCTCCTCAGACGACGACGACACCTGATTATTCGCGGCCGACACAAAATTCCTCGAAATCGGAAAACCTGACGACGTGGATTGATGGCTTCTCTCATAAGAAAGGAAGAAGCAATAAAAATTACGCCGGGAACGGCAGCAAAGGGGGAGACGGAGCGCAGGTAAAGAGGCGGCAGAGCAGCAGCACAATTGAAGATTCATGTATATAAAATAAACTCAATGGAATATGCAGAAGCATGAATGGCGGGACGTTACAGTGGCGGAGAGTGATCGGCAATGGCAGTGGTGAACCCAAAGTAGGATGAGGAACGAGAGGCCGCGGAGAAGACAAGACTGCCCATCATCATAAAAATCACAACTTTCAAAAAAATTAAAAAAATAAAAGAAATTGGAGGTGGAGGTGCGGGGAATCGAACCCCGTGCCTCTCGCATGCGAAGCGAGCGCTCTACCATATGAGCTACACCCCCTTGTTTGTTTTTTATTTTAAATTATTAATTAAATAATTTATAATGATATTATCAATTAATACTGCTTCACTTAGATCATAGAAAATGTGGCAAACTATACCTAGACAGCCTAAGACTGAAAATTAAGATTGAAATGGGAACAAAACTGCTAAATTATCAAATAAATGGTTTTGGGCCTTAATAAACCAAGCATTAAAATGAACTTTTCAATGTAGCAAACAAAGCAAAGGGAAACTCACTCTAGAAAAGATTCAAACCACGATAATCTTCTGTACAATGCATTTCTGAAACAAACTATCATCATTGCAGAAGAAAATTAAGAACCTGCCGAGTGACGGGGCAGGATCGCAATCGACTAATACAAGCACATTAGATCGGCAGCAGAAGTGGGAAATAGAATTATATCTGATGACGATGATTTCTTGCCCATGGTAATCTCGGCTGGCCGCCCACGTTTCGTCTGGATCCTGTGTTCTGTTGAGAGATGGCAGCCTTCATTCTTTGCTCCTTCATGTTGGCGAAGAGGGCGTCTAAAGTTTGAGGCTTCTGCTTCGGCATTGAATTGGCTTGTTGAAATGGTTTCTGCACAATAGAACATTGAAGCATTTGAATACAGCAAGATAGTACAATTGCCATATAAGGTTCGAAAACAAACAAAATTGCTACGCCCTTTCTCATGTCCAATGTCCAAAATGAAATATAGATTGAATGCATATAGAGAAATCAGTTCAATCATCAATTAAATCATTACTAAACAAAAAGAATGCTACCTTCAAGGTTGAGCCACCTCCATTTGCAACGAACTTCTGCACAACTGGGCCACCAACCCTGCAAGAATGTAACAAATAGAAATTGTAGATACAGATTTGAATTGTTAATCAAAACATTGCTGACCCAAGGCACCAAAAGTTGGAATAATGATATTGCTGGCGCAAGCACCCTGTGTGTCATACAGCTCCAATCTCACCATCTCTCCTATTCAATCTTGCAGTGGGCAGTTGAAGGCAAATAAAAACATACCAGAACCAAAGTCGTATCACATTATTGAGTTATGTAGAGGAACACCGGAACAACAATTAGAGGAACACCCTCCATTAAGAAGTGCATAAGTCATCCTTATCCTACAACTGAACGTACATACTGGAACTATTTAACTCTGGATAAGTAAATCACTCGAACTCATGCCAGACTTTGATTACAGGAGAAATGGCCTCTGCTATCAGATCGGTCTCAAGAAAAAAAACTAAGCATGCTAGCAAGCAAGGTGGATCAGTAAAGAAGCTGACATTTACTCCCTTCAATCACTACAATGCCATCCTTTTCATGATTCCAAAGCTCAGAGAGCACTACATTCATGTCGACCATAAACGACCACATCAAACATAAATGTTAATCCAAGAACCACAACAGCAATCCAAATGATCCACCCTTCAACACACCCCAAATAGGAAACAGGATGAACAAGATTAACACAAAAGTAGTTGGTCAGATGCTGAAGATGAAAATCTTCCCCTAGGGTCTTCATCATCTTCATCTTCATCTTGCCAAAGTTATTATGTGGCAGAAGAAATAATTGGCACAACCAGAAGAAGCAACTATCAGAAAGTCCATCCAATAGATTATTACACCTTCACATAAGGTATTTTTCAAGAAAATTGCAATTAGCAAAGATCTTCCATTTTAACACTTCATAACTTTTGAAATGATGCATCAGAAAATAGCACTGCATATAATACTTGAGATCTATTTTCCTTGGACCAACAAACAGCACAATGCACCAACACAACCAGTAACATCAGCATGGAATACTTGGGCTTCACTTCCTCGGAACCATAAACCAAACTGATGTACCACTACAGCTAGTATAAGTTGCCTTAGCCATCTTGGTTCACTGTTTTAACTCCCAAAACTTAAGCTCCACTCATTGAGTAGAAAAAAATTATCTTGGCGTGAACAAAACTCAACTGTAATTCCGAACTTCCTACATGCATGCATCGGATATGAAAGCCCAGGAGGAGAGAAGGAATATCCTTTTAACCTCAGAAGCACCTCCACATTCCCTCCCCCACAACTAAATGTTACTGAACAACCATATGCTTGTAGAAATAGACAAGCAGAGGCACATGTCAAAGTGTACAAAAGACCACTTAATTACCTGCACAAAAACAGAGTAACTTACATTCAATACCATCTTGAAAGCAAGATACTAATATTGACTAAATTTCACCACCAGAAATAGTTTCAGGATCAAATGAAATAATAGTAACAAAAAAATGACATTAAGCACCTTGGTTTATTTGGATTGAATGCTTTATTTCTGCTAAAAGCTCTGTTGCGAAGAGGAGCAACAGCTGCCTTTCTAGCAGCTTCAGTTGCCACAGGAAACTGATTTCCCTGAAAGTTAGACCTTCTTTGTGCAAGAGCTCCCTGACAAAAGATCCTAAATAAATCATACCAAAGAAGGTGATGAAAACAGAACTTCCATACATAATTCAAGATTTCTGCAGTATACCTGTCTAAGAGATGATCTGGTGTCCATAAACCTTCGAGCTTTAGAAAATTTATCTTGAGCAACATTGTTCCCAAATTTCTGACCCCGATTCTGCAAAGATACATTTCAAGTTATTATTGTAAAGATGTTCTAAAATGGATATCAAGAGCTCGAATCAGAAGAGGGCATCTTACAGAAACTCTTTGATTCTTAGGCTTCTTGGTGTCTTTAGTCTTTGACATTTTAATGATGTCATCTGCAAAAGGAAAACAGCATATTTATCATAAAGAAGTGCTCTGGTATTAAGGGAAATAAGTACAGCGTTTTTAAGAGGCATACCTAAAGTCATGTCCATCTTCTTCTCAGTTAGAGCAATTGCTTCAGTTGTCAAAGGTTTAGCTGCCATCTGTAAGAGAAGAAAGCAAATCTATTGATGATATCCAAAGTAATTCCTTTAAAAACTTGAAACCAAAAAATTTATAGTCAAACGAACAAACAAGTTCCCATAGGAAAGGAGGCAACAGAGATATTTTTTTCAAAGACATTACTTAATTTATCCTTCCATGGCTATATTTGTCACTAGAAATTATTGGAAAGCACCCCAAAAAGGCATACGACTAATTCATGGCTTACAGGAAATAACAAAAAGAAAAAAGAAGTTGTTAGAAGCGATCTTGATGCTCCTAAATATCAAACGAAGAGAAAACGTTCGTAAAAAACACAAGGAATCAATTTCTTTTCCAACTTCGGAAAGCAACGAGATTGTACGAGATGAACCTAATGTTACGATTTCCCAAAAAAATAAAAACTCAAATCCTTGCAATCACCAGAAAAACAGCAACGACACAACTTCCTATTCAAAAAATCCATTCCTTATCCGACAACAATAAAAAAATTACAGAACTCAAAAGCTCCACTCCACATCTATCATCCAAACCCTAAACATAATACGCTAAGCACAGAAATCGCAACTAATAACCGCGATAGAATATGATATCCAAGATCCAAATTAACTCCAACATCCACAAAGCATCCAGAACACAAAACGTACCTCCTTACCGAATGATCGAAGAAGATGCTGAGCCTCGGAAGGAAACGATGGGAAAACCCTAGGGTTAGGGTTTGCAGAGAGATCCAACAGAAACTACCCCGCGGAGCGAAAAAAAATATCTCCAATATTGAACTGCAGAAAGAGGCGAGAGAGGCGGTGGGAAATTAATACTGGGGAAAGACTAATATTTACATATATATATAGCGATTGGCGGACGCGTTTCGTAAATTACAAATAAGTCGCATTTCTTACTAATGCGATTTTAATTTGCGTGTGTATTTTCAAACACCAAATTGTGGCGTAGAGCCGCCGAAGCCCAGGCTGACATATCAAGAAATTTGACTTGAAATACTGGGCACAACTAATTATTCAAATTATATTTTTTACTATATATATTAAAAGAATATTATAATTTTATCTATCCTGCATATATATGGATAGTCCAGATTGAGCAAAATTCAGAAACAAATGGCAAAACATTCCAAGCCAAAAAAGGAACAAAAATGGTTGCAGAATTGATGATGAATATGTGAAAATTTGCATAAATATGAAGATTTGGTAACACATTATTGCAGTAGCAATGGAAGAACAGCTCATCTAAAGGAAGCAAATTATTGTTTGGATCATTTTATTTTGCTTCAAATAATTTTAAGAGATGCATATGAGTTGCAGGCATTTGTTGAGTGGGAGCGTCGTTAGTTGATGCCGTAGATCCACTTCTCGCCGTTGCTTGTGTAGCTAACGAGCTCTTCCGGTTTGAACCATAGGTTGATTTCGTCCTTGGCAGTTTCGGGGCCATCGCTGCCATGAATTATATTTCTGCAACAGAGAAGATAGGTTGGTGACACTGGGATAGTGACAAACACTTGATCATATCTTGGCTATCTAATAATTGAAATTAAATTAACCCCTTCAGGTAATCGTATTATCATTGCTCAATGTTGATGGATTTATTCGTATATTTGACACGTGGATGGATTTTATTTGCTGTAGCAATTAGCAAATGAGTAAACATTTACCTCCCAACAACAACAGCAAGATCTCCCCTGATGGTTCCGGGTTCTGATTTTTGGGGGTCCGTAGCTCCAATGAGCTTACGGCCATACTTGATCACACCTTCACCTTCCCAAACCTGGAATATGTAGAGATGCCATTAACTGATCGATTATGGTTGTGTATGTAAAGCGGGAGGAGATGATGTCTTACCATGGCAACTACTGGTCCAGAGCTAAGGAAGTCGCAGAGCCCATCAAAGAAAGGTCTTTCCTTGAGGTCATGATAATGCTTCTTGGCAAAGTCCTTTGAAGGAACTACAACCTTGATTGCCACAAGCTTGTAACCTTTCCGCTCAAACCGGGATAAAATTTCTGAAATCTGCAATCATTTGAATTAAGTACAAGATTAGTTGCTTGCTGTAGACAATACAAGAAGGAAAGCATCTCATTTTATTTTTCCTGGATTTGATTGCAAATCATGGAAAACTGATCATACAGGGCAGTTTAGAGTATAAGAAACCAAGCAATATGCAATATATAACAAGAATTACAACTTGTGAAGCTTTGTTTGTATAATGGTAAAAATAAATCACAGTAGAAAGGCATGGCAGTCAATACCAATCCTCTTTGCACTCCATCAGGCTTGATGGCAATGAAAGTTCGCTCCAGCTTTAAATAAAACAGAAAAGTGCAGTGTCAGTAGGAGAAATGATAATACAATAGGTAACAATTCAAGAAAATTTTGGTATAAGTACCTGGGCAGCATGTGCCTCTTGTTCCTGAAGCATGAAAGCTGTAGGATGAAAGAAGAGGAGACAGGTCAATGAAATCTGACAGTGACAAGAACTAGGATTTGCAACACGAACAACTTTGAAGGATAAGGCAGCTTTCCTAATTTCATTAGCACTGATTTAGCATTCAGTAATTGACAGAAGTAATGTATCAGCTATGTCACACTGTCACTCGTTAACCTAACTTACAATACTATATGTGATGTGATGTGCCCTTTTGTGTGCATAAATACAATCAACAAGCACAAATGAGAAACTAGGTGATTTGTCGAAACCTGCTGCGGGAAGGATCAGAGCGCTAGAAATCCACCCACTGTATGCATTTCCTGACTCAGATGCACCAATTGAAGCTAGGGATGACACTCTACCTCTGCATGAAACGGCAGCCGCAGCAACTGCAGATCGTCCCGCTGAATTACAATGTTTTATTAGAAGAAATTTTGGGGTTTGATATCATATACAATCATAATTGGAACATAAAAACCAATTTGTTTCATAACCACGTGTAAAGAATAAACGCTTCAACAATCCATTCTCAGAAAGCAACTACTTTCCATCGATTCCAGACATTCTTAATTTGATATGCGTAGATCCAAAACTCAAAATGTTTCAGAATCTCCTTTAAAAACTATTCTGTAAACCATAACCATAATCACTCTCCACCAACATCATCCCAACCCGCCGACACTGTATCGCCGAACTCCATGACAAACGTACACAAATAACACAATTATACATTTAATTCAAGAATTAAACAGATTTTTCCTTTAATTCAACAATCTACCTACAGCGATAGGATATAAATCCAAACATAAAATCATGAATACTATACATAATATTTCCGATTAAATCCTGTAAAAAAATAAAAATAAATCAAATACAACTGAATTGACAGAAACGCACTCGAAAACGAACGAGAAGATTGCTTCGAAGCAGCAGACAAGAAGGACCTCGCGGATCTGCAAATCTGAGACCTCATATTCGCAGAATAACCACCCTCACGGTTTCAGATTTTTGCGAGAAATAGCTCGAAATGGTGCCTCAGTGATGGAGCTTGCCTCTGTATTACTTTATATATATACGGACCCACGGGGTGGATTAAGGTTGGCCTTTCTACTAAAAGCCTGTTAGGTACAAATTTCAATGCATACGGTCCAAAAAGTTAGAGCAGCCATTCCGGATAACCAATTTCTCCAGGGTCAAATCTGTAATTTCACTCATCTTAATTGTTGATTTACAATTTTACTTCTTCCTGTGCCTTCACTCCAGACCGTTGCTGACGGCGTGAAAAGCGGAGTTTTTTTGTTGTTCATTGCGCTATAGTTTTTGTACGTACCCTGACGTCGAATTTGGATTCACGGTTAGGATTTCTAGAATTGGATTGGTTGGAAAAAGAAACCCTAGCCAATTGACGGGCCGCAAAAGGTCCAATAAAGATGATCAACAAATTGCAAAATGGTCCTCTAACTATATTAAATTATAACCAGGGCTATATACTTTTACTGAAAAGGGGACAGAAGAAAAAGGAAGGTAAAAATAATATATGTACATGATCCAACAGTCAGGGAATAAAGATAAAGTTAAAAGTGGCAACTTTATAGTTAATGTACAAATGTTATTATGTGCATACGAAGTGTTATGAACAATGGAGTAATAAAATATTTATGCTTGGCTGCTGTTGTCTTCTGAATCTGAAGAAAGCTTGCATTGCTTCTTTAGCACTGCCAACCACGAATCGACCTGACAAACGCGTGCACGAGAAATGGCTATAAAGGCAGTGCAAGATATGCATTAGGAATAACAGGAAAGTTATAAGGTAGAACTAAAATGATGTCTGATGCAATCTTTAGATGTCAAGAAATGAATATAAGAATGTTTATTTCATTCTTTTTCTCTGTAACACTTGATATGCCTATTGTGTTTTTCGATTGGTAAATGGAGAGCAGTCGAATATTGAAATGAATTTAGCAAAAAGGGATTGCTACGACAAACTGTGCACCATTTGATCTATTGGGAGAAACTTAAATAATGAGGGAAATGAAAAGTAAATGAACCTGGATCTCGGATGTGCTCGAGCACTCATATCGCAGCCCGTGGGATGTTAAGATGTAAAAGCAAAATCGAGTTTCCTCATTTTCGCGTGCTAGGCAAGGGAGAGGACCAACTTCGACAACATCAGGCAGGAGGGTTGTGTCCAAAGGACTTAAGTCTGCAAGGTGAAATCCAGAAACAACAAGACAGGTGAATCAATAAAATAACCAACACTACGATAAAAACTAAGATATATAGAACAACATGGAGATAATAAAACACATGGACCAAATTTGAATTACAATTGAGCTAGTAGGGCACGGTTTTGTGTGTATGAAAGATGTCAATAATTACGGTCCATAAACGATGTGACTACTGTGTCTTTTGCACATAGATAGCATAATACGATGTTGTAAAATATATAGCAAATAATTACATGGTGACTTGAGCTTGTCAACAATAGTTTTACTTCATATATTCGGCAGAAGGGGAAGAAGAGTGGTGACTATACATGATCAGTGCCAAAAGTAGTCGCCTGAGGTTTGTCAAAGAAGGCTTAAAGAATCTGAAAATGCAGTAATTCACAATTGGTAAAGGTTCGACTGGACTTGTCCATACAAGGTTCTTTTATCCATAGAAGATCTCATTGAATAAATTTTGTTATCCAGTCAAAAGGGATCTCAAAGCATACTTTTCAAACCTAGAACAAATATAATACCTAGCAAATACACTGGCAGAAATCAGAAACCAAAGGTACAGATCAACTACCTGTAGCAACCATATATATGTAGATGCCGGATCCTTGCAGGACAACAAAGCGTGGAAGCCAATCATCAACTTCAGTGTCATCGATGGGAGGTTCTCCTGGTAATGCTGCCCATCTCTATGAAAAATGTCAACATATGAAATAGATAAAAATCTAAATGCCATGAAAGTAAACTCAAGAAAGGTCAACATTACCGTTCTTAAGAATAGATATCCAGATAGGGAAGCAGATCTCAGTATTTCATCAATATGCTCAAGCCTGCATACAGCCACAGAAATATAAATACCAGGCTACAAAATTTCAAACATTACAAGATAAGGTAAGCCATAGAATTGAGAGATAAAGTCAAAACAATATAATTCATTAGTTTCAAAACCTTAAAAGCCTTAAAGCAGGTGATGATAAAATATCTTTAGTAGCTAATGTATTCAATATGAAGCAGTTCTTACTGAGCTTTATAGTGCGCTTCTCTTTCTTCCAAGGCAGCTATTTCTGAACGAAATGATTCCAACTCGACAGCACTTAATACAACCTGAAAGTTATAAGATTATGACTCATCAGGGAGCTGGAAACAAAATATTCAATGGATTGCATCTGAAAACAGTAATGCATACCTTATCCTGACCATTTAGACCCAATTTCTTTGGTAGTCCCTTAAGATTGAACAAGTTCATCATGGTTACTGTTTGTTCTAATCTTCTCTGAGCCCACGTGTAAGTATTCGATCTAATTCAGTTTTCATTCAATGCAAATGAACACAGAAACATCAGTGTAAAGCTATGCCAATGTGAGTTCAAAATCAGAGCTCTCAGAAGAGCAAACACCTCAAATCTGTGATTGGGGAGGCCAAATGTGGATTTACTAAATCAGAAGTTGATTCTGCTAAATGATCAGGAAGCCTCTTGTGTTCCTCGAAGACCATCTCCCATGAAGCTCAAATGGTCAACCTCACTTATGAAGCCTGTACAAAAGTTATCGATACTAAAAACAGTAAATTAAACAATACAATAATTAACTCCAAACACATACACAGACCACCAACCCCAGCAGAGGCAGCCATGATCTGCCTCTGGCATGTATCAATGGCCAAAAATCGCACCAATAAACATCAAAATGTCTCAGTTAGACATCTAAACCCCAACATACATAAACAATCATCTACAATTACAGCTCACCAACACAAAATTAATTACTGAAAATAACCCTTGCCGAAGGTACATACACAAACCAACATAGCTTTTCACGCAGCTCATTCTTTCTCAACAAAAATTACCAAAATATAACAACCGAAACCATGTAAACCATACTCGTGATATTTCTCAAACAGCTCTGATGCTTTTGCACTTAACAAATATAAAACAAACAGAATACCTCAATCCCCCGCCAAATCAATAGGATACAGCAATCAGTTTGAACAAGATAACAAAATTAGGATACCTGGACTTGCAGATGACGGATGCGGAAGAAGAAGGAGATAACAAGTTCGTCGTCGTCTTGCTGTAGTTGACAGGCAGAAGGAAATCGCTTGAACGATTCACGTGGTGGAGGTGGGTGGTTCTGTGGAATGACATAATTGCCCTCCTAATTTTATTCTACTGCGGATGCTGTCTAGCGATTTTGGTACACATTGCAGAGTCGTTGAAACTGTGACCTTTACGGCGCCTTTTTACAAACCACGACTTTAATTCATATACACAAGGAAATGCAGCTCGATTACATAATTTAGTTAAATTTAATACTAATCTATAACATGTTTTTATCCACCAATTTTTTTAACACGATTTCTAATTAATATTACTCGTTCTGCCATTACTACGTTTTTTTAACAATTTATTTATAATAAATAATGTTATTTACTAATAATTTTATTATTTATTGTAATATATAATAATCAATTTTTACTATTTTATTATTAATATTTTAATAATTTTTTAATAATATTTTACTTTAACATTAAGTTATTATTATTTGTCAGTTTATGTGCTCCACCAAAACTTCATATAAAACGGACAGTATAAAAATATCCAATAATTTTTCTTGAACACGTTTTCAACGTTAATGTTATAGAAAATTATCACATATATATATATATATATATATAAATACCTACACAAAATAAGTCATACATATCATTTCTATTCAAAGAAATAATATTTTTACTGCAATATATTATTTTTATATTATTTATATTTTTTTGAACATAATTTCAAAAAGTAATGATCATAATTATAATTTTACTTTTTCCACCGTAGGAAAAAATTATATTGTTATATTGTTGATCATATTTGTAATTATACTTATTTCGTAAAATTAGAATATTTAAATATGACACGAAGATTTATTTTATTGAAAAATTAATTAAAAAAAATTGAAAATATTTTTTAAAATGTAATCGGTAATTAATACTTGTTTAATGAAAATAACAATTAACTGTTAAAATTTTAATTTGCTATAATTAGTAATGTACTAAATTTTAATGGACTGACAAAAAATTATATAAATTTGACAAACAAAACAAGTAATTAATAAGCAACACAAATTTTTTAAAAAATTGAAAACATATACTTACAATAGAAATGCATGTTACATTACAATACATCACGGGTGTCTGAAAAATATTTTTTTGGAGACCTTTTAATAAAGAACGCAAATTGCAGTAAACGTGTTTGTTTGGGAGTTTGGATTTTAAATTGGAATTTGAATAGTAAAAATTTTGAATTTGAATAAATACGTATTGATGTGATGTTTTTAATGTAAAATTGATTTTTAGTATAATATAAAAAAATAAAAAATAGGTGTTTGATTTGATATTTTCGGTAGAAAAAGATTGGATGAATAGTATAAATTTAATCCAATCCCCCAAACAATCACACCCGTATTTGTTACCTTCTTCGTTCGGCTCCGTGCATAACATGGCCAAAAACGCTTCGAGCTAGTGTCATTCAATAGTTAACATGAAAACTACATTTAGTCAAATACTTTAAACAAATGTGCTTTTGGAGGACAACCTGTTTTAACTTTAGTTGTTTTACTTTAAACATAACCTATTTGATTATTATATTATAAAATATTGTATTTAATTTATTATTTAAATATTTATTTTTATTATTTTTAAAAAAAGCATAGTTACATTTTTATACATTTCTTAATTAGATTCTATATTTTATAAAAAATAAAATAAAAATTCATTTTTTACTAAATTACTGTCATTCTATTCTTTACTTTCAAAGGCTCCCTAAAAACTTTCACCTAAATGCATTTTTTAGGTTTTATTTTGATTTAAAAAATAAAAAGAAAAACCAACAAAAATATAGACCGCGGCGTATGCCTGGATAGATTCACTATTCCTATTCCTGTCCCGCCGCCGCAAACGAGCGATCCATCCGCGAGGCTGTCAAAGTCTTCGCATGCCGGAGGTCAGTTTCCGACATCGGCGTTTTCGTGTTCCGATTGGGTGTTGCCGCAGTTCGGAATTGGTTTGCTTCGTAAGTTTTTGTTTCGGGGAAGGTTTGAATTAGGGTTTCGTTAGGGTTAGCCATTTCTTAATTAGATTTAAGGTAATACGTTTGGGTTATTTTAGTGGCATTTTGCTGGCACTGAAAATCGTGTTGCTTTTTTGTTTTGCAGCTAAGGATTTGGTGTTTCGTTTGCTGAGTTGCAGCTATGCCGAGAAGTTCGAGGCACAAATCGCACAAACACAGCAAACACTCGTCGAGGGATTATTCTGAATCTGACGAGGAAGTGATAAAGTCGGAGAAAAGAAGCAAAGACGAGAGTTCGACTAAGGTCCATCGGGATTCGGCATCTGGTGAGAAGCGAAAGGGTTCATCGCAGGTTCGGGAAGGCAAGGATAGAGATCTGGTTGGCCACGGGAACGGCGAAGCCTTGGAGGATTATGCTTTGTCGAAACGGCGAAAGGAGAAAGTTGATGTTATTGGTGACGATAGATGGTGTGGAGATGGTGACAATGACGGGGAGAAAGAAATGCACAAGGGGAGGAGCTCGAGAGGTGACAATAAGTTGAAGGAGTATAGCAATAAGGGCGATGACATGGAAATTGATTGGAATAATAAGAGTAAACGCCATGAGAGTGGAATTTCTGGGGAGAGAAAAGAGGATAGCATTGCGGCAGGGAAAGAGGAGGGTAAGGTTAAAGGGGAGTCAAAGAGGAGGTCTGAGAGGGATTCTTCCACACGAAAAGAAGTGAGGGAGTTAAAGGAGAAAGACCACAGATCAGACAAGGAGAAGAATGGTGGATATGAGGGTAAGGGAGGTGACTCTGAGTTGAAATTGATGGATGGGGAAGTAGGGAAGAAGCAAGCTGCACAGGTGGGGGATAGTAGCAAGGAGAGACAAAGTAAACGCTTCCGTGAAAATGCTGGTAATTCGTCCTTTATTGATAATATTGATATTGGAGTTTGCTGTTTATGGATGTGCTAACTAATCATTTCTGTGTTTTTCTGTAAGCTTATGTATGTGTGTGTTTTGTGAGCTTTGGATGCATATTAGTAAGATTTTTAGGCAACCGCTTTGTTGTTCCCTGTCTTTCTGATATGCCCTGTATCTTAATGTGCTTAGCCTCTGCTTGTGTATGAGAAATTGTTTTCTTGACATGGAAGTCTATCTATTTGACTGTTCTGTAAGATTTCTTTACAAGATACTAAAAGAGTGAAATTATAATCGAGTATAAAGTGTTTGTTATGGATGTAGGATCATTGATTATGGTGGTCTGTGTAATAACATTGAGTCGTGCAACCTTGATATATATGATTGCTGTTGTGAAAGAAATTGTATGAATATTTAATTAAGTGGAAAAGAAGTTTCTCCTCTGATGTAAGTTACTGGTGAATCTGATTGCATTGCACTTTTCAATTCTGCATGCAGGTATTCTTGTGTTGTCATTCTTATGGGAAGTGCAAAAGTTGTTTATGACTAGAATGTGAATTAACTTGAAAAAACATGAATAGAACAGTGTGGATTAATTGCTTGGAAGCAATATGCTATTTATGATATCTTCTCTTACTGGAATATAAATCTTTATCTTGTTTTCCCCAAGCACTATTTATCCTTGACAATTCTTATGAGAACTACATATGATCAATTTTATAAGTCTCGTGTAGTCATATAATTATTGACTTTGGTGTCTGATTGTTACTGCATTCTAAATGGTTTAGAATTGATTGTGTTGTTATTGGGGATGTGCACCACTAAATGCATTTTGTGCATGGAGTTCTTTTCTTTTTTTGTTCTTTTTCTCCTTTCATGATTTTCCAAGATCATACCTCTGACTTCCTGAATCTATTTGCTAGTGTAGGAATAATGATAATGCAGCCAAAGGGCTGGTTAAGTGGACAATTTCATTGGCAATAATTTGCTTCTGAAAATCTAATTTTTACTTTTTAAGTAGATTAGCTGGTCTATTATTGTTTTCAGGGTTTCTAGGACCCTTCTGGCACGGCTAATTTGTAGAATATTTTAATTTATGAATTGAATTTCCACCTGCAGATCAAACAGACGAGCTGCGGAATGCTGATTCTGAAAAGGAAGTTGAGAAAAAAACACGCAAGAAGAGAGACGGTTCTAGTGAAAGAGATAAACATCACACTGATTCAAAAGAAGGTGATGAGAGACGATTGTCCTCAAGAGGTGACCGAGGAAAGGATGCCAAATATAGAGACACCAAACACAAGGATTCAAGTTATGCAGATAAATACCAGGAAGATGGCCACAAAGATGAAAGGCGAAGGGATGAAAAGCATCGGGATGAAGCTGACAAGGAAAGTAAGTATCTAGATGATAAGTATAGAGAAGATGGTGATAAAGATGGCAGACGTAGAGGTGATAGGCATCGTCAAGATGGTGAGAGAGAAAGACGAAAGGATGAAAAACATCGTGAAGATAGAGAACGAGATAGCATGAGGAAGGATGATAAGTATTGGGAAGGCACTGAAAGAGAAGCTCGTCGAGATGAGAAGTATTATGAAGATGTTGATAGGGATAAAAAACATAAGGATGGGCGGTATGCTGATAAAGATGTTAAGCGTGGGGATGAAAACTACTTGGAGGATGAAAACACGGACGACAGGCACAGGGACACTCATAGAGATGATGGTAATAGAAATAATAGGCACAGGGAAGATAAGTATCGTAAAGATACTGAAAGGCATAAGATAAGTAAGGAAGGGGATGGGAACGACAAAGACAAGAGGTTGAAAGACAGCAAATATTGGGAAGAACCAACCTCAAGAGACCGCTCTAGTCACAGGTCTGATTCCAAACGATCTAGGGATGATGATTATGCTGCTGATCATTATTCTAGAAAATCAGGTGCATATGATGATAGTCCCACCCATGATGACCGATCAGCTAGGTATCGGGATGATCAACGTAGAAGAAGAGCTGATGAGAAGGAAGATTTTAGTGATACTAGATCTCAACCAACCAAGGACAGAAGATCAGATGCTGAAAAGAAAAGTACTGGCAGTGAAAGAATGGATCCTACTAATGATAGAGTAAGGCCTACTTCTAGAACTGCTGATACGGAACTCACTGCTAGCCACAGTAGAAGGCGGAATTCACCTCTGACTACTCATGCCACAAGGGATGACTACAGGTATGCATTCAATACGATAATTAGATATTATGGATCTGACAATAATTGTGTATTAGTGTGAAGCCTTGTGATCTTGAACCTTGTTGGGTCATGGAAACATACCACTCGAGCATCATAAGGATTGTTTACTATTTTGTATTTGATGCTTGTACCTTGGAGGATTTGTTCTCATCTTGTTTGACACAGTATTTTTGTGGTTGTTTGGTCTGTTTAGATAGTGTTTATCTGCATTTGTTTACTCATTTTCCATCACAAGCATTCTATGTAATTTGAATCGACTAGCTGTTGTATTGTCTAAGGATGTCTGCGCATCACATATGCACTCAGCAGATTATTCACACTGTTCAATGTTTTCCCCCCCAGGGCTGGTAAGCATGATGAGTCGAAGTATAGAGACTATAACTATGATGAGAGATCTCGGCACAGCACGTCATCTCGGGATTATGCTGGTGCTTCAGGAGGATCTGACAAGACTTCATCTCGTCCATTAGAGAAACTTGGTCAAAAAGATGGTAATTTACCAGAGATGTCTGCTGAAAGGCATGTGAAGTCTGATATCCACACATCGCCTTTGGAACATCAGGATAAATCTCTACCGTCAAGTACTGATCGGAGGCAATTTAATAGGTCTGATGTACGACGGGGTGTAGATACTGAAGAATCAACACCAAGGAGTGGTGGTTCCCGGGATTGGAAAGAATATTCTGTCAAGGAAGGTAGGGGAGGCCGGGAGTCGGCCATGGATGTACCTCCTGGAGAGGAGTTTTTACAAGCCGATGCAGACACTTTATCTGTTTCTTCACCTTATATGAGAAACAGCCATGTTTCTAACAGTTCTAAGACATTGCCAGCTACCCTTCTCAGGACAGGTGTGGATAGCCCCTCACCATTAGGCTCGGGTGAAGACGAGGGTAGAGGTAAGTCAAACATCCGCCATAGGAGGATTAGCGATTCTAATATGGGAAGGATTCAAGGAAATTCTTGGAGAGGCACACCAAGCTGGCCTTCACCTGTTGCAAATGGCTTCTTGCCTTTTCCACCTCCTGTTGGTTTTCATTCAGTTATCCATCCATTTCCTGCTGCACCTATGTTTGGTGTCCGTCCATCGATGGACTTAGACCATCCTTCCCCTTACCATGTGCCTGATGCCGACAGGTATTCTGGCCCAGGGTACCCAATGGGATGGCGCCCTCAGATTGATAACGCTGGTCGTCCATTACACGCCTGGGATGCCAGTAATTCTGTCTTTGCGGAAGGGTCTAACTTTTATGGGAGGTCTGATTGGGACCATGCTGGGAACATGCCCAGAGGTCAGGACTGGGAGACAAATGAGGACTTGTTGAGAGGTCCGAATAGAACTGCAAGCACAGAAATGACGTTTTCCAACAAGGATAATAGCTCAATGCAAGGTGGAGAGGAATCTTTAGCTGGTCAGTCCCTTCACCCAGCTCAAAATGAACAAAGTGGATCTGATCAACAGGCAGAAAGCACAGATGCTAGTCATCTGACCAAGAACTTAATTAAACGTGAGGCTGAGGATCCTCTTATCAGTCTTGAGGACTCAAGTACCGTTGACAAAATATCAACGAAAAATAAAATTAGCCTTTGCCATGTTTACTTTTCCAAACTTGACATATCTGCAGATCTTGCTGAACCTGAACTTTTTAATGAGTTCATGGGCTTGCTTGATGTAGATCAGAGCATATTCTCTGATGTGGATTCTTCTAAAATTCTATATATGGAGGTAATTTTACAGCTTATTTGAGTCTTTGCATTCATTCACCAATGAACTTGGCATTCGAAAGATTAGCTAATAATATATCTCCTTTTTCACATGACAGGATGAAGAAGCTAAAATGGCATCTCTTAAGGTTCTGAATCATTCCCTGTTTGCATCCACTGATGATTCTGTTTTCCAGGTATTGCATTGAACATCACATACAATCTTGTTCTCTCTCATATGAAAGATAAATTGTTGCCATCTTGTCTGCTTCCATCAATGACTGTGCATCTTATGTGCTCTACTGAATATTGATACTGTGCAAATAGCGAAATTTTGCAGTTTTGCTTGTGTTCATTACTGTTAACTGAAGAAATGATACCCTTTAATAATCCGTGCACATTGTTGCAGGCTTTCTAGAACTCTTCCATTCTTGTCGTGTATCAAATTGCTCTTGTGTGTGTTTTTTACTCTGTGCAAGTGTTACTATTTCTCACAGAAGAATGAAAACGTGGTAGCAATTTGCTTGATACATTTTTATATAGCTTGGAAGCCTTTTGAAAACGTTGCTGGTTTTTATCCCAATTATATACGTGTGATTGTGAAGCCATTTGCTTCCCTATGGCATATCCTGTTTGCCCTAGTCTCTCTGAGTCTCGGTGTTTTCTCTCTCCCCCCATCAGCAATATATTCATGACCCTATTAATTTTAGTTTCTCTTTGAAAGATCCTGTGGTATGAATTCCCAATTATTGTGTTTGATATGAAAGATTCAAAAAATAATTTAACATGTGGATGGATTTCTTTAATATAGTGTGCTGTCATCTTTGGATGCAGAAATCGTTGTCCCTTTATCAGAAGCAAAAAGTGAACGTGAAGGCCCAAGGTGGCGAAAAACTCAATTCTCTAAATAACTCCATGCCAAATTCTGATTTGGAGGATCAGAAAGTGGATGATGTTAAGATCAAGGAGCACCCAGAAGACAAAATACAGGTCGAGGATACACTTCAAAACATTGATACTTGTGTTGATACCAAGAATTGCTTGGAGGAAGAGGATATAGCTACAAAATCTGAGGAGCCAGTTTCTGCCTCAGATGCCAACACGCTGAACTTGGAACTTGACCTGCAGCAACCGAACCATGATGTTGATGAGGAGCCATTGCCGGCTGTAGTCATTGAGGGGCCTGAGCCTGAAACTCCTACACTATCTAATCCCGAAAATGGAGCCATGGAGCCTGTGTGTAAGAGTGAGGAACTGAAGTCGCTAGACGAGTCCAAGTGTTGTTCTGATATGCCCACTGAGGCATCTGAGGATACCATGCAAGAATTGGTTGTGTCTGGGTCAGTTAATTTGAGTCGAATACATCATTCTCCTGAGAATACACATTGAGACAATTTATATTTTCGTGAACATTTTGAAATGCCTTTGGTGGTATTATTCTCATTATCACTTTTGGCTGCTGCTTATCTGCTCATAGTGTTGTATCAAATCTCTAGAGTCTTTTCACTTTGTAGATGCAAAATTGGGCCTTCTTTCTAACTGGAAATCGAAGCTTCGGCTGAGGAAGTCGGTGGAAATTTTGCCCTGTGAATGAATAAGAGCTTTGGACCATCAGGTACTTCCACTTCTTGCTCTGTTAATGATTTTGGAACATTGATGATCACTCTTAGAAGGGCTGGATCTTGTCTCTTGTCTTTTTTATTTATGCATTCATTGCCTTTGATCCTCGAGTCTTTTCAAAGTTTTTAATACCCTGCAAACTAGGTCCGACAAGCAAGTCACACTAGACGAACCATGTGTAGTAGGTGATTTGAGGCGTCGGGGCTTGAACGCATGACTTCACGGTCATACGTGTGAGGTCATGGGTTCAAACCCCCACATTAGAGACCATACTTACGGGACTAAAGTAGCAATTGTGGATCCTATGTTAATTAAAAAAAAAAAAAAAGAATTGGAAAAATAAGTAAATGAATAATTTGCTTCCCTTTTTTTATGATTGGGTTTATCTTTTTATTTTAATAATAATTTAATAGTTTTAATAATATCTTTATAGTTTTGATTTGATGTTTTTTATGTTAAAAAAGTTAAATGAATAGTGAGTTTTTTGAAAATCCACATAAGAACACTAAGGCATTTTTATTCCCTACTATTACGTAATTATCATTAATAATATGCATATTCCTAGAGACTTCACTTTATTTTATTTTTTTTACGATTTTTTTTAAAATTTTCATTATATATATTTTATTATTGTGCAATCATCACTGTAAAATCACATTATAAAAAACTAAAACTTAACTTAGAAAAATAAAAAATAAAAAGTCGGAATATCAGTACATATCACTTTGCCAATATCAGATTTTGACGAGACAAATATATTGCAATTCAGTAAGCAGAAAACCAGTGGTCATGTGCATATACCATTACAATATATGCTGTTATTATTACCAAAATCTCAAGAAATCCAAATTACCAAAATCATAGTTTCAGCACAATCATTCTCCAGCTAAAGCTCAACCAAAATTAAGCATTCAGCCACGATTCTCCAATTGTCTCAAAAATCAAACCAAAACATTAACTAGCTAACATAGTGTGAAAAAAAATTAGATGTTCTTGAAATGAAGCACTTAGTCGAGAGAAGGATCGTCGTAAAACAAAGTCAGACTGTTTGATCTTGATTGGGTTTAGTCATCTCTTCCCAAGGTCAGATACAGCCCCCCAACTGTAACATCAAAACATCAACTAAGATACATAATCTCGAAAGAAAATAGCTCTTAGTTACGAGAAATGTACCCGATGTTCCACTAAAAACAATGAGATCAAAGCATTCTCTACTTACCATAACAGCCTCAATCTCCTCTTGGGTCACTGGAGTTCTTTTCGGCTGATCAGTAGCCTTTCCTCCTACAGACGTGTTTGTTGCAGCCCTTGAGAAGAATTTCTTAACAAGATCATCGTTCGACAGAGCATCATCCGTCACTGATTCTTGAACCTGGCTGCCTGAAAAACATAACTTCTTTGCTATTTAACATAGAAAAACAAGTAGAACTAGCTTTGCAATGCACCGAAATTTTTCACCAATTAGAGACATTAACAAAATCGATCTTGGGCACTTCTTGCTACAATCACAGGCATCGCATACAATAGAAACATTTATAATGTGTTTGTTTGGGGTGAAAAATCCCTCAAATACACTGTTCATCCCATTTTATCCCTCAAATCAAACACCTATATTTCATTTTTTATATTATATTAAAAATCAATTTTACATTCAAAACATCATATCACACCTATTTATATCACATCATACAACTGTTCATATTCAAAATTTTTACTATTCAAATCCCAATTTAAAATTCAAACCCCCAAACGAACACACTTAGAATAAATACTTGCTTGTTGATAGAACATGCTAAGATGATACAACAATCGAAATAGGCTATTTTCTTGAATCTTGAATGCAAACAAGAATTCACAGCTTCTCTTTCACAAAACCTTTGGATGTAGACCACATTCTTGGACTCGAACACCACAACACAGATTATTTGTAATAGGGCCTTTAGCAGTTTCTAAGTGCCTAAGCAACTACTCATGCCAATTTCTTCGATAATGAGTATACATTTATACAGCTTGCATTGGTAATTTAACCATAATTTGAATCTTATATCGGTTTGATCTTTCTCAAGCATTGTAGGATTAATCCCCAAACGTGAATAGATATACCCGTAGGCTAAATCCAGCATCAATTTATTGTTTACAGATCAAAATCGAAGTAAAAGATTTCATCACATGTGAACGATTCATGTGAACCAAAACTTTTGCCATATGAAGCTTTCCGTTTCGTTTCAAATCATTGTAACTAATTACGGTTGATTCTGTTTGAACCGATTACGCAATGCAGGTCGAAAGCACCAAAACTTTTTCCCCAAAAATTAGGGCAATCGATCATCTAGACTCAACAATCGTTCCTCAACAATCAGATCACGACACGGAACACGGTTGCCGGGTGAATCGTAATCCAAAAAAATTTCCAGGCAAACACAACGAATATCGAACAGCAGAGAGATTCGGGGAACGTGGCGAACACATACCGGATACATTGGGACGCCTCTGAGGGAATTTGATGCGTGGGATTCTCTTCATCGCCTGCGCCGCCCCCATTGTTGCTTCTGCTTATCTCTAGAATTGTCTTTACCCAAACACGCGGACAATATTATATATATATATATATATTTTATATAATATATATGTATAACAAATTACCCTATTCATAAGTAAAATTTAAAAATAAAATCTTGAACCCTAAATTATCCAATTTACTCTGGCAAGATCTTGGATCAACAGCAGATATGGATTTGATTAAAGTTCATTGCTTGGAATTTGTGTTACATTTCTTGACTTATTCTGTCATTCATTCAATTTGCCACTTCTTCCTCTCAAGACCTTAGCGCGGAGGATTTCCACGCAAAAAAAATACTCAAAAAATTCCGATTCTTCTTGATCATCTCCATTTCAAATCACATCAATTTTTTTATTTTTTATTTAGTAAAGTATATTATTTTATAAATATATATATATATTTAATGTAATTTTTTTATAAGTTACTAAGATAAACAGTGTCAATGTATCAATTTAAACATAATTTTGATTGACTCTAGAATTAAATTCCCCTAATTCTCATAGTCCTTGAAACTATGTTGTGGAAAGTAACCCAAGGATCCGGCCTAAAGAGAAGAGATGGAACTCTCCACATGATGAAAGACGTGGGGAGTAGTGACCGATTTATGAGCAATCTTAGAAGACAGCCTAAGGTGATGACGTTAGATGAATTGATGTTGTGTTTAACCTCAATTGGCCTCGATGAGTGAAGAAGGAGGCTTGGTGTCGTTGCCGATGAAGTAAAATGTTGTTGTGAAAGATGTAATGTATTCTCACTTTAACGTAAATGTGTATTCTGTCTTGACAGCGCCACAGACATAGATTATTCCGATAGAACCAAATTTTTGTGTTCTTGTGATTTGTTGAAATTTTAGTAACATTATTTACTGTTCAAGATTTACTTTTTTTTTTTTTTTTTTTTTTTTTTTTTTTTTTTTTATAAGACTATTCAAGACTCTTACAAGCATTTCATCTTCATATTTCTCTTTAAATGTCTATTGCTCCATATTGCTGCCCTTATTACTCTCCATAAGCATTTCATCTTCATCACACACCCCACATGCAACGCAGCTAGATCTAGAAAAAAGGTTTACTAGTGTAACAATATACTATAAATTTAAAAAACTCAATTTATTAAAAATATATAGTATAATAATATTATTATTTACTTATATTTTTAAAATATAATTATTTTAAGTGAATTTTAATTATTTAAAAATTGACAGCATTTTAAAATTTCAATAATCAACTTAGATTTTTTAGATAATAATACAGTTTCAAATTTCAAGTATAAGATATTATGATTTTTTTTTAATGGCAACACAATTATTATATTATATATAAAAAAAATTGATAAAATCATCAATAATATATGTTACTACTCTTCAAAACGTAAATCTGTCCCTGCTTACATGTATGTATGTATATATATATTGATCTTTGTTTTTTACAATAGTCATTGCCTTTTCGTTCATTCATATCATATCAAGATTTTTTTTTTTTTCTTCAATCTTTACTACAAAATGTTATGGGCATATAAGGCTCACTCAAATGCTATACCAATGGCGAAAAGAAGGTGCATTTTGAAGAACCATAGCTTCAAATCGATGAAAGAATTAACGATTATCATATTGAGACATCGGTTTCGATAGAGATTGTAGTGACTAAGGAGGAGACGGAGCGAATGTTGTCCAAGCGTAACGATAGAGGGCAGCTTGAGCTCGCGGATGTGGCCAATGACCAAGGCCGGCTCTGGGTAAGGGCGAGAGGAGCGTCCGTTAAAGGTCCACGGTAAACATGGAGTTCATTATATATTTATGTTATATATGTATAATTTACATATATATATATAATTTATTTGATATATATAAATAAAAAAAATTGTAATTTGGTGGTATATAAATTAACTTTTAATATTACAGTTTTAAGTTCAAATTCTATATATTTCAAACATTTATAAATATTTTTTTATCTATTTTTAATCTAAAAATGCTAGAAAATTATTTTATTTAATTATTTATATTTTATTATAAATAAAAATTTATTATTTATATATATTTAGGGTCCATTTTTTCTAGAATTCTTCCAAAATCAGGACCGGCCATGCCAATGACCTAACTCAGATTCCTTACGATTGAGTTTGCGTAGTTGTATGTAAGTAATCACACACATATATTTAAGATGATGAAAGAAGATTGCATGTAGATTTTGTAGTGTTTGATCTTAGGACGTAAACATGCATAATATGTTGTTGCTTCTTAGTTTGTGTAATAAGATTTTTAGTACTTTTCTTCTTTGTAAAAGTCATGAGCCAAATATGACCTTAAAAGTGAACCACCTAGTTAAAGATCCATTAGTCGTGAAAATATTGTCTTAAAAAAATATTGTGGATTTATTTTGTTGTAATTTGAAATGAGATATTAAATTTGAATTTTTGTTTAAATATTACTCCCTTCTTTTCATATCTATATATTTGTTTACTTTTTGCACGAAATTTTAGAAATATTAGTATTATATCGAGATGCAGTAGGAATAAAGTAGAAATAACTAAGGATGTGTTTGTTTGGGGGATTGGATTTCCAATCCACTATTCATCTTATTTTTTTCCCCAAAAAACATCAAATCAAACACCTATTTTTTATATTATACTAAAAATTAATTTTACATTCAAAACATCACATCAACATCTATTTATATCATATCATACAACTATTCAAATTCAATTTTTTTACTATTTAAATCTCAACTCAAAATCCAAACCCCCAAACAAACCTACTCTAAAATAATCTTATTAGTATTGTGAGATACAAAGGAAATGAATAACATTTGTGTAATATATTGTAAATTTGTAAGAATATTTTTAATGTTAGGTAGATAGTACAATTATTAAAAAAAATAAATAGATACTTTGTTAAGGACAATGATGTATTTTAATATGATATTTTGTGGAAAAAAAAATAGTTTATTTTTATTTAAAAGTGTATCAAATGAATATTCTTGATTTTGATATAAAATATTAAAAGAATATATACACTACAAATATTGACATACACTACATAATATATAAATTAATAATATTAAATTTGTGTTAGTATAATATAAATAGTATATACATCACATATTATTATTAAAGTAAGCACATAATGTTGATTAGCCTTATAAACATATCAACGTGTTACATATATATATTGTTATTGTCAAAATAATTTAAAATATTGTAATACTTTTAAATTATAACTGAACAATATCGAGAACAAAAGTTAATTAATGAGATCAAAAGTACGATTTACTTAATATTGTCATTAAATAAATTAATGTTTGTTTTAATCGCAGGTTATTTGTTAAACACTACTCTATAGTAGAGAGGGGATACAACTAATTAATGCCGCTAATACTTTTTTAAAAATATATATATATATAATATAAAAAATAAAAAACTAAATTTGATGTTTTTAGAATATAAAATTAAAACTAAATATAACAAATTAGGATTCATTTGGAAATATTTATATATATAAAAAAAAATTGTATTTAAATAATATTTAGTTTAATAATTTATTAAAGGAGAATAGTAAATTGAATAATGCTTATTAGAAAACAAAATAAAATGAAATTTTAAAGTATTTTAATTAAAAATTATACTTAAATATCTTTTTCTAAAAAAAATATATATTATCTAATAATAAAAACAAAAATCCACCGCTTTTAGCTGGGGGAACAACTTTACGTTCGTTGGTATTACTTATTATTTTACTATTATTATAATAATATTGATATATTATTATTATTATTATTATTATTATTATTATTATTTTATTATTAGGTTCGCGGAAAATATAAAAGCAGGCTGAAGTTTTCACGTGGCCCATCTTCACCCCTCATTTAATTGAGAGTGAACTCTCTGCAAATCTCCGTCGCCACACTCGGTTTCTCGTTGGCCATTCAGAGACTGCTACGCCGCTCGCTTCATTTACTGGTATGCTCAATGACTTCTGCTATTAATTTTGGCGGCGAGGAGCCGCGATCGTTTGATACAGATATGTACATTTGTTGCAGGAAGGAATCGAGGAGTCTGGAGATGTCGAAACAGAGGTTTATCGTGGAGGTGGAGCCTTCCAGGCCTGCCAGTGATGGAAAGCCGTCGATCGGACCGGTTTATAGGAGTGTGTTTGCTAAGGATGGTTTTCCTGAGCCGATTCCGGGGCTGGACAGTTGTTGGGATATTTTCCGGTATCGTATGATTTGTTTGTTTCTGTTTGGCTTGGGATGAGCAATTGAGATTGTTTGTGCTAATGCTTTAATTTACAGGTGTTTTGTTTTGTAATGTTCATTTGGAATTAGGTGTTTCGTGGAGTGAACTTGATGCATGTGTTTTAAATTTGTGAATTATGATCTTGTCTATGACGTTGTGTTTGATTTGACTGCAGAAGTCAACGTTTATGTTTGTCGTTAAGTTTGGATTTAGGAGTTGATTTGACAGCTGCGAGATGGTTACTTTGTTTTTGTTCTTATGATGATATGGAACCGTCTTCCTCTCGAGAGTTGACGATTTTTTTGTTTTATTATTTTAAAAGTAGGATTATTATTTGTAATTTAGTCTCAGCTGCGTTTGGTATATGGTTGGAAACTATGAGTAGCTCCACACGCTTGAGTATTGAGTATTTTCTTTAAAAATTAAAATTTAATTTGTTGGCTTAAATATGGGGTATATGTATCCCTTTCATTATTATTATTATTATTATTATTATTATTATTATTATTTTCTTTCCTTGTTTTTCTTAATACACGTTATCAATCATTTTCAAGTTTTTGGCAGGCTTTTTGCGCTTATTCCATTATATGATTGTTTATGAATAAAGTGATACCTTCATGCCTCTTAACAGAAAATTCATAGTCCCGAGCAAGTAGATGAGTTGTGAGGGATTGGGGAAGGCTGAGTCCTTTTCTGTATTATCATGGAATTAGATAATTTTTTTACCCTATGCTATACATATGAATACTTTTAAAACCCATTGCTCTAACCATACAATCCAATTTTTTCAGGCAAAAGTTAAAATCTATGGCACAACACCATGTTTATTAACTTATTTTAATATTCCATTGTATGGATGTGAAGAGACTGGAATAGTAAGCATAATAATTCCTATAACTGATGAAATTTTCAAGTAAGTACAGGATTCATAATAACAGTGGCAAACTTTTATCTTGCTTGTGATGAAATAATGATCTATAAAGGAGTAGTGGTATCTGAACTGGTCCATTAAAGCCTTGTACTGTTTTTTATTTTTTATCTAATAAACAAGGAATTAGCTCCTGGAGTTTGTACATGCTTCCGTGGATTTAAGATTTTATATTTAAAAAGTGGACTTCGTTTCTTTTACCATTTTAATTATTATATGCTGAATATTTAGTCTAAATGTTTTTTTTGTTGTACAGTTTATCTGTAGAGAAATATCCTGATAACCGCATGCTTGGTCGTCGTGAGATTGTCAATGGGAAGGTATACACTGAACATGTTTTGCTTACCTGTTCAAGATCAGTTATTTCCTCTTTTAACTTTTCTCCTACTAACCTTTGGTCAATTATCATGGCAATCTCCTCCACCAGCCTGGAAAATACATATGGATGACTTACAAAGAAGTCCATGATGTAGTGCTGAAAGTTGGTAATTCAATCCGCAGTTGTGGCGTTGATGAAGTAAGAATCAGTGGACTTGCTTTGGATTATATATTTGCTAGATAAATATTTCTTGAATGCTAATATGATAACAAGTTAGTTTCTATTTTCTTGCAAATTTGTTTAATGACAAGATGCTTGCAATTCACCTGATTTCTCAATATGTTTCTTAATTATATTTTGCTACTATTTCTGATAATATCTGCATGAGGTAGCAAAAACTAGATTTCATGGTTCTCAAGTTTGACTGAGCTACTCAACTGCTCTGTAGTCACCCTGTTGCTTTTTTCATACTGATGATCTCTCTCTTTCTCTCATCTTATATACATCTCATTGTTATTGTATCCTAATGTCTTTTCTTCTGGTAGTAACTGATTGACGATTTCAGGGTGGAAGATGTGGAATTTATGGGGCTAATTCTTCTGAGTGGATTATGAGCATGGAGGTATTCATATATATCTAAATGTGTATATATGTATATTTCTTTTATGTCCACTGTCCTGTGTACATCTTTCGCATATGTTTATTAATATGCATGCTATTGCTTATATTCTTCTAATCTCCTTGTTAGTTTGCTGCTAATCCAAAGTAAGTAGAGTTAATAATAATGCCATAAATATTGTAACAGTTCCTGAATTTTATGGTCATCTCCATGTCACATATTTAATGTGCTTCTCGTGCTAAGTAAAGTTAATCTTGTATTGGTGATTAGTTAGTAATATTTTAATTTTTTTTTTTTTTTTTTTGCCTATCATGATGAGGTGTTACATTGTTTTGCATCCTTGTCATTCTTCATTTTCTTTATCTGCTATCTCGTTACTTATTAAACCTCTCATCTTCATCTTAGTCTTATTATTATGATATTGCTCTAGGCAATGCATCTAGATGAGAGAAGTATATTGCTGAGATAAGGATTAGAAGAACATTTGCAATCATTTCTTGACTTGTTTATTCTCAACCTAAATTCTTTGGTCTCTTTCTAGTTATCTTGATCACCATTAGTTAGATTTTTTCTCATAAAGGTGATTCAATTTAAACCAAGAATATACCTGCCATGTTTGGAATTTCTTTTTGAAGTTAAACTGGATACAAGCATAAAGCTATCTTTTATTATTGTTCAATCATTGCAGGCATGCAACGCTCATGGACTATATTGTGTTCCCTTATATGACACGTTAGGTATGTATTATCTATCTTTAGGTTTTTGTATACTGTTAAGTTTATTCCCTCTGGTAAAAGATATTTTATAAGCTTACAGACTTATGTAATGTGCTGAATACATTTATGAAACAAGTATTCTGTGAAACTGTGATTTTTCATCCTGGTTGGTTCAGGTGCTGGAGCTGTTGAATACATTATATGCCATGCAGAAGTTTCCATTGCTTTTGTTGAAGAAAAAAAGATTCCAGAGGTATAAATGCTGAATAATAGGAAATGGAACTCCTTTTGGATTATTCTTTTTATATGAATCTCTAACCTTAGCAATTTTGTAAATGTGGCTAAGACTGTATATTGTTCGATCTTATCATGTTTCCATCTGTGTATTTTGGGTTGCTTTTGCTGACATTTGCTTTCTGTATTGTCAGCTGTTAAAAACATTTCCTAATGCAGCCAAGTACTTGAAAAGTGAGTCTTTCATGAAATATGCTTTCTCAACATAAATATTACTTGATGCGAATGAAAAAATGAATATGCTGTTTGAATTTCAGCAATTGTAAGCTTTGGAGAAGTTACTCCCCAACAGAAGGAAGAACTAGAAAAGTTTGGTGTGGCAGTTTACTCTTGGGTTGAATTCTTGTCCTTGGTAAGACTGTTAATTAACGTGTTTCATTCTTGCATCTCTAGAGATTGGATCCTTAAACTTGCATTTGACAAGAAAAGTATCCTCCTATCTGAAGCCTTAGCAGATTTCATTATCCCTGTTAAGTGGATTCGTTTCTCTGTTTGAACCTCAATTTCTTTTGATATCTTTCTGATGTTTTGCTTGGAGACATCAAGGTTTCAACACTAAAAAAGGCCTTGTTCTTTTGATGCATCAATATTTATTGTTTGTTGACTATCGTGGCTTTAAGAGTGTGGCAGAAGAAACGCTATGCCATCTCAATGTGGGCTACCTTGTATTCAAAGCTTCTAACTCTGTGGGAGGAAAAATATTGCTTTTTCATCAGGAGCACCTGTGTGTTTTATGATAAATCCATCTACTATTGTTGTGTATATTACAATCTGATGTCCTATTTATGTAGCTTGCCTGTGCATCACTGGTTGATATCATATTTGCTCTGGTCATCCTGATGCACTATTTTGAAGTTAATTGATAAAGAATGATTTATGTATCTTTGCAGGGTGAAAATAAACACTACGACCTTCCTGTTAAAAGGAAGACTGACATTTGTACAATTATGTATACTAGTGGAACTACTGGAGACCCCAAAGGAGTAATGATTTCTAACAACAGCATTGTTACTCTGATTGCTGGAGTAAAGTGTCTGCTAGGGAGTGTTAATGAATCAGTGAGTACTGGATTATCTCTATGATTCATGCAAGAGATAATGTTAAAAACTCAAAACATTATGATGTCTCAGGGCTATGTGGTTCTTTGTCAAAAAATGTTGCCAATGAATCTATTCAATAAATTGTGATATAAGGTGCAACCTCTCTGTTTTGCAGTTGACGGAAAATGATGTTTATTTGTCGTATCTTCCTCTGGCGCACATCTTTGATCGTGTCATTGAGGAGTGTATAATTAATCATGGAGCTTCAATTGGATTTTGGCGCGGGGTAAGAGGGTGCTGTGTGTGTAGCGTATGTATCATTGAAGTTATATCACATATGATATTATGTTATTTCATATGTGCAGGATGTTAAGTTATTGGTTGAAGATATTGGAGAACTGAAACCATCAGTCTTTGTTGCTGTTCCTCGAGTATTAGATCGAATTTATTCAGGTCGTGATTTTTCAATACTTCATTATTTATAATTATGATGAAGTGTAGCATTATTGAACTCTTAAGATTATGCATCTGTCTACTGACCATGTATATGTCCAGTAAGGGGTTATATTAATAATAACATAATTATTAATATGTCCCTTAAGGTAAAAATGCTAAACTATATATTTTAAAATATGTTATATATTTGGTAAGGGGTTCTGTAACATTGTTGCTTCTAGTGAAGTGATCTATATCCAGCCAATGCAATTGTAAAGTTACTGGAAAAGCTTCTAATTTAGAAATTGTCTCCTGATGTCTTTATTGTAAACAATCTCTTATAATCTACCCGTAATACTTGGTGAGGAGGTTAGGTTTTTTATAAGGGAACTCAATGATATTCAGACAATATCTGATGTTCTTATTGTTATTCATCTGTTCATATATCAGGTTTGCAGCAGAAGATTTCTACCGGAGGTTTTATTAAGCACACAATGTTCAACTTTGCCTATTCTTTGTAAGTTCATGTCAATATTTATTCATTCTAGAAAAAAAATTGTTATGGCAGCTCACTGCATTTTGAAACATGGGTTTTATTATTGAGATTTCTGCCTATTCTTAGTTTCATTTGAAGCCTGAGAAATGAGCTCTTTGAACTTTCCTTCTTTTTGACAAAAAAGATCCTATATATTAAGAAGTTATAGTTCCAAATATGATAAATCTATAAATTATATGGTTTTATTTTTTTTTCATATGCTATCAATTTGTGATCAGTGCCATTGGTTTCCAAATTTTGTCAGATTTTCTTTTTAGCTTGTATGCTAAACTTATACACAATCATTTTATTATAAAAAAGTTTATCCACCCATAATTTATTACCCCTACTTAGCAAATAATAAATGATGTCTCAATATTTTTTCTACTTTTAACTCCCTACCTTTTTATCCATTTTTTAATAAATTTCTCATAATACACCTATTTTATTTTTCACCTAATCAACTTTTATAGTATTAAAATATTATTCTTAGTTTCTATGTCCAAACAAAGATGCATAAATATCCCGAATTGAGTGAGTATTTATTAAGCTTAATGCTGTATTTTAACTTTTAATTCATGTCAGAAAACTACGGAACATGAGGAAAGGCATTAAACAATCAGAGGCAGCTCCAGTTGGTAACAAAGTTGTTTTCAGTAAGGTAAGTTCCGTTTATCTTCTGTTTTTCTGCTACCTTATTTGCGATGGTCAAAGTTTAACTGAAGTGTAATATTCACTCTGATGTCGCTTTCCAGATTAAAGAAGGTTTAGGGGGCAATGTGAGGCTCATTTTATCTGGGGCAGCACCCCTGGCTTCTCATGTAGAAGAATTTCTAAGAGTTGTAACATGTTCCTATGTGCTCCAGGGATACGGTATCCTTTCTTCATCCAATTACATATTTGTCATTGCTGAAAATTCTACATATTTTCTAGTGTAATCTACACAGTAGTTGTAGTTCGGTCACTTTCAAGAGGCTCGAACTAACAACTCACACCCTTTTTACACTTTTCTGTGTAGTTGTCTGCCTATGTCCTCGTCACACTTTTATCTTCAAAAAATTCAGTCATGATGGAAATGCATAATCTGACACTTGGGCTTGATGTTGTTATGAATTTATTTATACTTAACCTGCCTTTGTATAGTTTTTAACTTCTGAGGTTTGAGTTTTTGGTTAGTTGAAATTCATTTCCAACCAATATTTAAATCACCGATTTAAATTTACTATTGATGATTGAGTATTGCATGTCTGTTCTTGCTGGTGGCATCTAATGACTTCTCCCTCCTTATCTATGAAGGCTTGACTGAAACCTGTGCTGGTACATTTGTTTCACTACCCGACGAAATGGGTATGCTCGGCACTGTTGGCCCGCCAGTGCCTAATGTGGATGTTTGTCTTGAATCTGTTCCTGAGATGGGATACGATGCCCTTTCTTCTACGCCACGCGGAGAAGTATGTGTGAAGGGTGACACTTTATTTTCCGGCTACCACAAACGCGACGACCTTACTAAGGAAGTATTCATTGATGGCTGGTTTCACACAGGTTACCTTCTCCTTCACTTGTGATTGAGTTCGAGTCTTTGGATGCACGTGTTTTGTTCATAATCCTTAACCCTACGCATTTGTTAATAGATGAATTACTCAGAACCAGATTTCAAATCCCTTTTTACAATCATTCGTGTTCCAATCATTTTCTTGAACCTATTTCACAGGGGATATTGGTGAATGGCAACCCAATGGAAGCTTGAAAATCATAGATCGTAAGAAGAACATTTTCAAACTCTCGCAAGGAGAATATGTTGCAGTGGAAAACTTGGAAAATATCTACGGTCAAGTTTCTGACATCGACGCTGTAAGTTCGATCAGATTCTTGTTAATGTTTATTTAAAATTTTGAATCGTGATTGAGTTTGGTTGGTGTCTATGAACTTCTGAGGTTTGGAAATTGCGACTCATCCGGTGATCTTCGTTTTTATTAATTTCACAACTCTTAACATTTCTGGTACAGATATGGATATACGGTAACAGCTTCGAGTCCTATCTCGTTGCTGTTGTTAACCCGAGCCAACGAGCCGTGGAGCGATGGGCTGAAGAGAATGGCATTTCTGGAGACTTCAAGACCCTCTGTGAAAATTCCTCAGTGAAAGACTACATTCTCGCGGAGCTAACAAAAATTGGAAAAGAAAAGAAGGTTCTCTCTATCCCCAATGCTTATTTATATTTGTTTATCAGATCATTTACATGCCCTAAATTTCAGCTTTAAGTTACAGAACTCATTTTGATATCTTTTGAAACTGGATTATTTATATCTTCATTGTTTTTTTTTGTTGAACAGTTGAAGGGATTTGAATTCATCAAAGCCGTGCATCTTGATCCCGTCCCGTTCGACATGGAACGGGACATGATCACGCCGACATACAAGAAGAAAAGACCGCAGTTGCTCAAATATTACCAGGTCATGATACTCTGTTGTTGATCACAAACAACACTTTTCGACACAATTAAAATTGCCATGCTTAGGCGCGCTAACACCAATTTTCTTTCCTCGACAGAGCGTGATCGACAGCATGTACAAGAGCGGGAAATAAACAGATGAAACATAACAATGCATTATCAGGTTTAGTAACATATTTCACTACAGCATCAAACTCATTCATGCGCTTACATTTTGGTTGGTCGATTATTTATCAGACTGAGGAAGAATTAGATTATATTGTCACACTACTACTACTGATTTTATTATTTTTACATGCTTAATCGTTAATTTAAATTAAGTTACCGTTAAATGTGTGTTCACACTTCAAATTCGAAGTATTTTAAATTCGTTCATTTTAAATCCATTTTCACCAAACCAAACATCCTAAAAATCTTACATAATAGCACAATTTGCAACATACCTAAAATGTTTGGCAGCAGGAAGAGTTGCACACTGCCGTTACAAAATAGAAATTATAATTCCGGTGGCTGTGCCGCCTTACGATTGAAAATTGACGGCTTGACTGGCGGATGTCGAAATTGCTGTAACCGATGGTTGCAAAGCCAGTAATTCTTCTCTGCTATATTTCAACCTCTGATCTGTTTGAGAGTGTTCAGTATCGTCAAATCATCAACTGCCAAAATAGAAGATGGGATCAAATTAGGCTTATCTTACCCAGAATAATCTCACTGGATTGAACAGGAATCACCAGCATCTTGCCGGGCGAGTGCTTACGTTGAGAAGACAACTGTTTGGTGCTGTGCATTTCATTCGGGTCGAACAGCTCATGCCTCAGTTCAATTCGAGGATGTTTGTAACTGAACTGCACAAGAGCATCCTTCGTCAGCAGCCAGCAGTCGTCCAGATCGAGGACTTCAAGAGTCCGCGGAGGAACGAATTGGCTGAGGCCAAAATCAGTCAGCACAGCGCCGCAAATGCCGAGATGCTTCAAGTTTGGCGCAGATGATAAGTGATATAAAGTTTCGTCTGTGAGATGGACGCTTCGGAGGGACAAATGGTTCAATGTGACCAAAGTTGTTAGCGCGGGCACTGCTGTATCTAAGAGGCGTAGTCCCTCCAACTGCAACTTCTCCAAATGGATAAGCTTTTGCAGCGCGTAAAATGACGGGAGTTCTTCGGGATCATTGCCTTTCTGGTAAATCAAACCTGCTTCAAAATAAACACTTAAGAACAATTGAACAAGAAAACGAAAAACCGAAATGGAGTAAAGAAAATGTTCAGACGGCACCTCTAACATAAGTATTGCTTAGGTTGAGGGCTTTAAGGGATTTCAGCATACTAATATATGCAATAGCCCTATCGCCAATGGAGGTCCGAACCAACACTAGAGTCTCGAGGATAGGAAACTTTCCCCGTAGCGCCGCGACACCTTCAATAGTTACTTTCGTACCGCTGAGATCCAAATACTTTATATTTGCTCCGACATACCCAATATGTTTGATTGAATCATCAGTTACGGCACTACCACTCAGGTTCAAATGGGTAAGCGCGTTGACACAGTGCAAAAGGCTGAATGACTCGAGGGTAGAGTAGGATAGATCCAAAAAAGTGAGCCAAGCCGTATCAATACACTCGAAGACTTTAGACTCATCAGTGATCCTCGCTTCAGCTAGGATGAGTTTCTTTAGACAGGGTTTGAGATCTTCTCCATCGGACAGAGAATGTACGGTGCAGTTGCTCATATTTAGTTGCGTAAGAGCAGGCAAATACGGCAACCTGGTTACTCTCGTCCAAGCCACGTTTAAGTTACTCAAGTTTGGAAACAATGTGAGGATAATGACTCCTTCATTAGATACCTCACTTCCCCAGATATCCAAATGTTCCAAGTTCTTCAAAGCCTAAAAATTTCAGAAAAGGAGTAAGAAATGATACAATCAAATTATACCTTCCTTCCGAATTTGAAGCCACAACTTGATTGCAATAGCAAAGACAAATTTAAAAAGATCATGTTGCGACGAAATTTCCATCACTAATTTAATGAAGCATAATAGCTGTTCCGTTAAATACTTTGCACCCCATCACTTCTTTGGAAGATTTTATTCTTTGACGTGAGTCTGAGAACAAATTAACAAAATATAAAAAGCCTATTTTCCACTAACTACTATTTGAACTGAAATTATCTGATGGGGCATAATAAGTTTTACCTTAATAAATAAGAAATGTGAATGGAGCAAAGCATAAATGATAGATCAACTAATAGCAATAATCATCTTGAAAGAGATATGTGAAACAATCAAATAACATACTCAAACACGCGGAAAACAGGAAGGACGTAATATGCAAATTTTCTACCTGCAGAGAGCTCAGAGCAGAATTGGTCACAGGTAAACCGCCTAAATCCAACACCATTAACTTAGAAAGTGAGGCAAGATCCTTGACGCCATCTGCAGTAACCCCCGTTTCCGATAGGTAAAGCTTCTCAAGGGTTGAAACTGATACTAGATGCTTAACGCCAGCATTTGTTATTTTGGGGATTCTTGAAAGGTTTAACTCCGTTAAACACTTCATGCCTGCGAAAGCAACCAAAGAAAAAAAATAGAAGTTTCGATTATATAAAATACAATTGCCCAAAACTTCCATCTTGATTGCATCATTCAAGTGTTAGCTAATAGAGTTGAACTTGCTATTCATATGGTAATCACAAATATAAAAATAGAAAGATAGGAGCAGTAACATTATGAAACCTGCCATAAACATTAGATTTATTCAATCGTGGCTTTGCAAATAAGCGAAAACAGCAACATATTTACACCTGTTGTACTCCAAATGGCTGCATTGTTGATTTTGTGGCAGTCAGCCAGATTCATTGAATGCAAGTATCGAAACCCACCCAAATACGCCATCCATTCTTCATCTACGGATTTATCACCCCTCAAATCGACTTCTTCTACAATGTACTTGAAAACTCTGAAGGGTGACATGAGTAAAGATATGAATCACAATGTAAAGTACAGAAGAACTAATACAGTCAATATGAATGAAAAGCCAATCAGTAACTGCAAAGCACAAGCTGACAATAATTTAACTTCAAATGCTTAAATTCGATTAGTTGAAACAGAAATTCAGATCCAGGTAGAGGAACGTCATCCATCAATCGATACACACTAAGACCATCTATACCAAACTCAAGTGTGCTATCAGCTTAACGTAAAATTAACTTTTAATCGAGATGAAGCAGCGAGATGGACATAATGCATTGAGCAATGGCTATTATGTGTATTTTGAGGTTCACGGTGATATTCTGACTTGATTCAGGCTCAATATGCTATTTTAGAAGTTGAGTTCAATGAAGCTCAAGAAAACGACAAATACTAGAATTTAACTATATGACGCTATCAACTTAACCTAAAACTAATCTTAATCAAGCTGAAGCAACAAGATAGCCATAATGCATTGAGCAATGGCTATTAAGTGTATTTTGAAAGTTCATGGTGATATTATCACTTGATTCGCAATCAATATGCTATTTTATGAGTTGAATTTAATGAAGCTCAAGAAAACGACAAATACTTTAATTTAACTAGGCTGCTGCTTGATGTAGGCTGAGCTTACCAAATCCAAACGAACAGAATAATAGCATACAATCGGTACAATGTCAATGCAATCTCACACGTGCATTTAAAGTAACTTGTAGTCACAGATTTGAACAAAATTAGATGCAGATGCCAGCTTGCGCCGACATAGATCAACACTCACTATAGAAAATTCATGAATACAAATTCCGAAATGAACTAATAAGCGACAAAAGGGCATGTTTGTTAGTGTTTTGTGTTTTCAACCTTGTTTTACCTCCATCCCCGAAAAAAACACCAAATCCACCATTTATCTTCATATAGAAACATCAAAATCATAACCTATTCTTCATTCTAAGCATATGTCCAATACCTTAGAAGTACATCATACAACAGCTATTTAAAGCTCAAATACTTTCAAAATAAACCATCAAAACATCAAAGCATGTCCAAAACACAACCAAACCACCGAATTGCCTTAATTATTACCTCTCATCTGAAAAAAAAAAGTAAAAATGAAGGCATAAACACTAGCGGTTTATAGCTCTTGGCCACAAGTTTGTATACATCAATGACAAAATCAAACTATATCCTATTTATGTTGCTAATACTGGCAACAATGGTGAGAACTTAACAAATAATGAAGCAATAATTAGCTCCCTCGCAGAAATCTCACAATCGGTCTCAAGTTTACCTAGTCGAGCAAGCATATTCTTAAATCTCAGAATTCTGGTGACTCTCCACAAGCTAGCATTCTCTGCTCAACAAATACTAAGCACAGAAACACAAATGAAAATCAAAGCCTAATCAAGGCGACTTACTCGAGAAGTGAAGGATAAAGCAAGCGACGGCGATGGAGACGTTGGAGGAGAGCCTCAGCAAGATGCGACGGCATGCGCTCAAGTGTCCGCCGCTGCCTCCGCCACTTCTCGATGGCGGCGGGGCTGTCGGTCGCCACCTCGATACACTTGCGCACCAACAAACTCTCCATTGATTCAAACTCGCCCCTGCGATTGAGAAATTTTGCGACCGAGTTGAAAATGAAGGCTCAGAAATAAATAATAAATAAATATATAAAGCACAAAGCCCGCAGTTTGCATTACGTGCCGACCAAGCGGCCTGCCAAATTTTTGTCATTACAAATTTTTTATATAAAATATAATTACCAAAATATTTCTTTTTCAATAAAATAGAAGTTTGAATGTTGAGAAGGGGGGGAGCCCGTAGATAGCCCAGAAAAAAGCCCATAAATTTTATTGGACCATAAGTATTTGCATTTGTTCACTTCATTTTATTTTTATTTTCAAATTTGTATTTGTCTTGAATTTTGAGCTTAAATTTTGATTTTTTTAAAAAAAATATATATTTATTAAAATATATAAAATAAAATTAAAAAAAAACCTCAAACAAAACATATTTATAGATATAAGAATTTAAAAAAAATATAATTAATAAATAATTAAAAATATAAGAATAAAAATAATTTTAAACTATAATGCAAACTATATATATATATTTAGTTGATAAAGAAAACAGAAATGTTGCAAAGACTACAACATAAATTAGCAAATGAGCAGCAAAGAACCACAACCCCTTCTGCTTTGCTCTGCTCTTCTCTCTCTCTCTCTCTCTCTCTCTCTCTCTCTCACACACACACTCCATAACCATATTTTCACTCTCTGTAAAAACCTTACAATACATTACATTACCTTCCAATTTCCATGGCGAACAACATATATATATATATATATATAATCTTGGAGAAGAAAGAGGATGAGCACTCTGCACGTGTTTACTTACACCGTCTCGTCGCTCCTTTCGTCCTCCGCCGCCTGCCGTCCACCTTATTCTCCACCGCCGCAGTCGATATTTAAAAACTCCGATTAACTTTCAATAGGGATAACATTTTTTTTAAGTGTGTAGCTGCACAGCATTCGCCGTCGATCAATCCACGACTAATCGAGCTTGTAGCTCGACACCGCGACCTCCGCTTGCGAGGCCGAGTGAATGTACACGAACTCGATGCTTTTCCCCGCCGCCATCGAGTCGATCCACGACGGGAACGAGTAAGAATCGCCCGACTTCGTCAGACCCCACAGAGGCCCGTAAAGCTTCGATACATATAGCTTCAAGTTCCTCACGTTCTTCCCCGATTTGTTCGTCACTATCGCCGAGTATCTGTAGTAAGTCTTCCCATCCAAAACCCACGAGCTCGTCGCCTTTTGTGTCACCACAATCGGGCTCGCGCCGGGAGCTGCATTGCCGCTGGAATCAGTATCTGTCGAGATATTTTACATATTCAGTTTTAAATTTAATAATTTAGATTTTTATTTAGATCTGAGTCTATCGAGTCTGAATATTATGCGCAGTATCGAAACATTTATTGACAAAAACAAATATCGAAAGTACATACCGGGAGATGGATTTTTTGCGGGTTTTGGGATATGAGCAGCTGAATTAAGATCGGGAAGCTCGACGGGGAGGAGCTGATTGTAGCCACTGTGGCCGCCGTGGAGTCTCGCCAATATTCCGAGCATCGGGGCGTTGTTGTAAGTGGCGGGCTCTGTTTGTTCGTAATTGTCTCGTTGATCGGCGAAGTTGTCGTAAGCATCGGGACCGCCGACGAGTGCGCCGGTAAGGAGATTCGGGTCGCTTCCTTTTCGACTGAACCATGTCGCGTAGCCTCCCCTGCAGCTGACGAAGTTTCGGTCGATTTTATAGGACACAATGGAGGATGCCCTGTGGTGCACTTGTCTCGGGTAGTTGTTACCGTACCCGACCATGTAGCTCGTCGCCCGGGGATTGTCGCCAAGAATGTAATCCACCTGATTGTTCAATCGAAGACATAGTCAATCGTAGTTTTCAAGCAAATTTAGATGCCATTGTATGAAATGCAGAGAGAATCAATGATAATCTTCGATGAAATTCAGACTCCATTGTAAGAGATTCAGTCCATAAAATGAACATTGAGTTCAGACAAGCTTAGTTATAATCTTCCACCAAATTCAGACACAATTGTAAGAGATTCAATTCATATAATGAACATTGAGTTGGGACAAGCTTAGTTATAATCTTCAACTAAATTCAGACACAATTGTAAGAGATTCAATTCATATAATGAACATTGAATTAAGACAAGTTCAATTATGATCTTCAACCAAATTCAGACACCATTATAAGAGATTCAATCCAATATAATAATCACTGAGTTTAGACAAGTTCAATTATAATCTTCGAATTACCTGAGATTTAGCGAAGGAGAGTAGCTCAGCAGGGGAAACGGCGCCGTTCGAACACCGGAGGGATTTTCTGGCGGACGTGAGGTAATCGGAGTAGACTGTGGCGAGGAACGAAGCCCCGGTGACAAATTGCATGTTGTTCCATCTCTGTCGGAAGATTAGACCGCCGGGAGTCTTCTGAGCATTGCGGTTGCCCTTGCCTAGACACGAACACATGAAGAACTCTGCCTTCTGCTGGTACTTCTCGAACACCGGCGCATGTCTTCCCCCTTTCCCTGCCATCAGAAACTACACAGACCACCATTATCGGTCAAAACCACCGCTATTGTAATGTCATTACATCAAAACACTTTCCATTACATATATATAAAAATACCTTTGCAACTATTGTCTGAACGCCGGCATACTTGACATCCCAGCCAAACTCAGTCATTGCCCAACCAGTTCCTCCGAGGGAGTCGCCATTTTTGCCGAGGTAGTCCAAATAGTACTGATTGTTTGTCGCCTTGTAGAGCCATGCTGCTGCCCACAGCAGTTCGTCCTGAAGCAAAATCCCAATTATTAAATAAATAAATAAAATAAAATAAAATATTTTTATTTATTTTAAATTAAATTAAATTAATATTTCAACAACGTACTGCGTATCCGCTAACAGATCGGTAGTACTTCTGCGCTATAGTGATGCTATTGTCGTATTTGCCCCTGTATTTGTCCGCAAAGTCGAAGAGCTGAAAACATAACAAACACCTGTGAGCTATAGAAGGGTAGTTACGTAATTACGCACCGACAAGAAGGGGTAGGTTCGACATATCACGACAGTACAATTAATACGCGGGAAAGTTACGGCGACACCGACGCCAATACGTGGCAAAGTCGAGATCTTTAGAAGATTTTCATGATTGACGGTCCAGATTCGATCTTGTACGGGCTTCGGAACACTTCCCGTGATCTGCGGTAACAGGTGGACCCCACCATGTGGTTCCACTTTAGGCGCCGAAATATAATATCGAGGCGGATATTAATTTCGTGCCGTGATTTGAAATATATCTGACGGACCAGAATTTTCCATAATTTTTTTTTTAAAAAAAGAATTTTATGTTACATTTATTTGAAGATATTAAACTATTTTATTCTGTGGCCCCAAATTTAAGTAAATAGATCTCAGAACCTGCATAGAGAAAACATTAATAACTACTAGCAATTTAATATCATGACCATGTTCCTTAATAAATGCAATAAAATATTAAAAATATATATATGGGGTGGGGTGGGGGTACTCATACGGTCATACCCCTGCTAGAGTGCACCGACACCAACACTGACAAAAAAGCTGAACGTAACGTAACTGCCTAATAACTGCGGCCGTTCCGCTAACATACGCACCCCGCCGCATACTAAAATGCGCACATCGAGAACAGACATGCTTCTGCATCAAACAAGCTGGGAAAATAGAGCAAAAAATGGAAGAATAGTTCACCTGGTGAGCGTGTTTGAGGAGCTCCGCCGAGTAGGAAGGGTTGTAGCGGCGGAAAACGATGGATGCGGCGGCCATGGCGGCGGCGGTCTCGCCGGCGAGGTCGGAACCTGGATGGCTTGGATCGAGTCTGTAAGCAGCTCTCGAAGTGGTCATGTCCTCCGGCCGCTGCCAGCAGTAGTGGTCTGTGTTCCCATCTCCAACCTGAAATTCGCATTTGATTTTAATTAATTAACCAAAACCGTTGAAAAGTTAGTGATTAATTAAGTATAGTTTCTGCTAATAGTGGATTTAGGCACTTTAATCGTCATCATTAGTGTTTTTTCTAGCCCTAAAAGGACGCCAATTATTGCTGAAAAGGACAATCAGAATGAGGTCATAACTAAGAATATGTAGATAATTGCACATTTTGCACCATAAGTTAGTAAATCAATCTTGCTGAGTGATTAGAACAGTAGAAATTCCTATCAAATTGTTAGTTAAACATTCTCCCTAGATTTTGGCATCTAATTGAACGGAAATCTATGATTACCTCTCCGTAGAGGACATAAGGCTGTGGGTGGGCTTTGATGAAATAATCAGTGCCCCACTTAACAGCATCAATGGCGTGACCAAGTTCACCACCCATTTGATTTCCATATTCGATGATGCTCCAAGACATCATAGTGATGGTGAATGCCATAGGGAGCCCAAATTTGACATTGTCCCCTGCATCATAGTATCCACCCACAAGATCCACCTGAAATTTTGCAATAGTTTACACCACTTTAGAGTTTAAAAATTAGCAGACCAAGTGTTCGACGTAAGTTCTCTGAAGTGCAACCAAACTTACCCCACTAACTTTACCATCACTGAGGCCAGAATTACCCCTCCATTGGACCCTTTGGTTGCTTGGCAAGTAACCAGATCTCTGAGCTTCGAAAAACAGAATGCTCTTACTCAGAGCTTGGCCATAGTCATGGCCGGCCAAAGCCGTCGGAAGAACAATACCAACAGCCAAAAGCAGGGTTGCTATTGAAAATTTAAGCCCAAAAGATTTCTCCATCTAGAAATTATAATCCCAACCCAGAATGATGAAAAAAATCAAATGGGTTGCAAGAAAACAAGACAATGTGAAGTATACAGATATTTCCTGCTGCTATATTTATGTGTGTGTGTGTATTCTGTGCAAAGTGTATATGACTGAAAACTTAATGTGGCCTTTGGTTTATCAGCTAAAATCTCTGATAAACTCAAAGAGAGCAGAATGCTCTTTAAGATAATGGAGAAAAAAAAGTGGAAAAGGGGAGAGGGGTTTTGGGATTGTGAGGATGGGAAGAGCTCCAGAGGCTGTATATATGGAGGAAAGAAGAAGAAGGTGACAACGGTAGAGAGAAGGTGCTGAGATTAATTAATGCCTCTGTTTTATTTTCTTCTTTTTGTATTTACTATTTTTATCAAAAATAAAAAATACTTCTCTGCATTACTATATTCTTTATGAGGGAAGATGAAAATAGGCAGAGGCATGTGCTTTTGTTCTGTGCTTTTGCTAGGAAGGCCGACTCTATTTATATAATCTACATTTTAATTGAGGTGTCAAATTGTCGAAGTATTCATGTGCAACAGAGTTGTCAGAAGAATGGAGATTAATTAGTTTAATTGATTTATGGTGCTTAGTACAAGTTCTATTTTTTTGAATTATTTTAATCTTTTGGACATGGGACACAGCCTACAAGATTTCTGGTAAGTTTTTTTGGAGTTACCAAAAGCAGTAATTAGTAATTTAGGTTTGGAAACAGAGGAAGAGTCAAAAAGTTTCTTCAGGGCCTGTCTTTGTTCTGTCCCCATTATCTGAATTGTCTATGATAGTCTTGAACTTCTGAGTATCATCTTCCTGGAAGGTCCATGGACTGTAACACCCATAACCATTGGATCAATCAATCAATGGTGTGGATCCATCTAGTGCTGGGATCCCAGGATCTCCCAAGAACCACTCCTATACATTGAATGGCACGTGGCTTGGTGGGTTAAGAATTCATTACCCCTGCATGAGTTAGTTGTAAAGACACACAAAATCATTGAATTATCATGCTGTCAAAAGTTGCTAAACACTCTTGTATAAGCGACTAATTTATTACAGGGCAGACATATGTCTCTGTAATGGATATGTCTTTCACAATTCTTAGCAGAAAGAAACACTAGTGAGCTGACACCATAGGTGAAATAAATACTTATATCACTCACTGCACATATTCACACAAACTTCCAATTTGTTCCCACCAGTGGCACTTGCCTTTACTTGATACTTAGCTTGATATTTACTCATCAGCTACTTGTGGTAAATTCAGAAGAAAAGATACTAAACAGATAAGCTTGACATGTATTAGCTACTAGACAGCATCATTTCCACTTCTGATGAACCTTTATTCTTTATAGAATGTTTAATCAATTTGAATTTCCTAATCAGGCCCCAGCACTCTTGCATTGGAACTGTGAACTTGCATCAACAATTAGTATATACATACATATTGGAAAATTTTGCAGTGTAGAGGACTGATTGATTTGTTTGATGAAATAATGTTGTTATGTGTCTATATATGTATGTATATATGGTTATGTGCTTTGGGGCTTGCATTAGTATATCTTTATTTGGAGCCTTTTTAACACTTTGAGTTGTTATTGTACATGGTTGGAAATCATTTTGCTATGTGGGCTAGTTTTCTTTCTGGAGTATCTGCCAAGATTTTGCAGATTTTGACACCACACACCAAAACTACGTCGTATTGAACCAGAGTTGTAGTGGAAAACGAACAAATTTGTTTTTTGATCCTCTTGCCTCATTATTTTATTGCAAAAATACTCCCTTCATCTCATTGTTGGTTTATTTTACAGCCATTATTAATTTTATTTCGTAAATTATTTAAAACAGCTATTATTGTTGTTATTGTTTATATTTTTTCTTTTTAATACTGTGCTATTACAATTTAGGTTTTATGAGCGCGGCTAAAAGTGGAGGGGCTTACACGTGCCTACGGTGACACGTGGTGTAAGACTATTGGACAATCCGTGAGACAATACAAAATCTCTCCACCGCTTCGAATTGTTCTACATTTTTTATTCTGCCATTCAGATTAAAAAATGGCCACCGACAGCATTCGGTTAAAAAAAAATTAACCGGTTGCAGCCGGTCAAAACGGAGCGGGGCACCCCACACTATTTTGTCCTGTCTTTTGTTCTCTTCTCTCCTTTTTAAATCACATATCCTGTATAATCTTTTTCGTAAATATTAAATTTTTATTTTATTTTTTTATAAAGACAACCAGATTGAAACATGAATTTCGGTGCTTGAGTATGTCAGAGAATATGATTCTCTATAAAATTCATAAAAAAATTAAAATTAAAAAAAAAAAAGTAAAAAGGCAAAGAACACAAACTTCCAAAATAGAAGCAGCTAAGTAGTCTAGGGTAATGCTAAACACACTTTATTCTCAACCGCAATCAACGGCCAAAAAAGAATCTTATAATCCCACAAAATCGCGTGCGCGCTTTTTGGAAAAAAAGCGCTCTCGAAAGTACGTTTATTCATTCAATAGTTTTTTTTTTTTTTTTTTTCCCGCATAGGCCAAAAAGAGCAGGTCTCCGCGATTACCGGCTGCGCCGGTTCCGTCACGGCGACCGTATCAGAGTAGGTGACCGGTGCTTTGGGAGCACCGTCGTCAGCCATTTTACCGGAAGAAATAAACCTGCTTTGTTACCCTTCGCAGTCCCTGCCCTTTGTGGTCCTGATTATATAGATAGCGTTTTTTTAAGTGGTCTAAAACTTGTTATGGTAATGTGGGAGTCCCTCGTATTTTTATTTATTTTTTATTATAAAATTCACTTATGATTTTAGTCGATTTATTTATATGTAAATAAAAATATGAAATAGTATATACTGATATTTAAATTTTGGGGGAACATAGGGCACTTACTACAGAGTGGCATGTCTTGTAGGAAGTGCATTAATTAGGTTTGTGGAGTAAGTTCTTTTTCATTGTCTGAACAATGTAATAAATGCAGATTTATTATTGATTTAATTAATTAATTTAATGCATTCAATGCGGAATTAGTATTAACCACCATAGTGACTATAGTCCCTCAGAAATGCCGTTGGGGTCCACGAGAGAGTAGGATAAGACGGGTGGTCGCGACCGTAGAGGATTACTGCCCCCACCACCTCGTTCACACGTGCGGTTACGTTGGGTCTTTTGCTCCTTGTAATATTAGGATAAATTTTCATTTTGACAATTTTTTTTTTTGTTTGTTAGGATTTATTAAATATTTTTGGGAATTAAAATAAACACTGTATGTACTGGTTTTAGAAGGAGAAAAATTGTAATTATATCCTAGAATTTTGAGGAAAATTATGAATTTTTAATAAATGGCCATTAGAATTTGAAATAAAATTGTAGGAAAAAAAAAATAGGTATACATTTCTTTGTCTGTTGTCCTATTAATATTTAATTTATTCTACTATATGTATTGAAAAAAAATGAAGACTAAAATGATTGGATAGCAATGAAATAGATCAAATTGGAAATAAATAAAGTAAAAGAAACTAGAGCTAAAAAAAGGAATTTTTATCGTAATGTTATGTTGTTTTTTCAATAATTTTTACCTAAATCAAATATTACAGATTTCATGCATATGTTTTATATTTTGTCATTTAATCAAATCGAATTTCTCAATCATAACGAGTGGATGATGCAAATGCATGTGATTAAAAATAAAAAAAATAAAATCTAATGAAAAATCAGTGGATGTATGAACAAAAAATAAATAAAGTTGACAAGATGTGTAAGCACAAATTATTAGTGAAATAATTAAAAGCAAATAATTTGACAGTAGACTGGCGATGCAATGGTAGAGCATGTTAGATGATGGGTATAAACACAACAGGCTCCACGTGGCAGCCGTAATTTCAATAAAATATATTAGTTTTTAATAAAATATTAAATTAAAATAACACTTAAATAACAAAAAAAATTAAGAACCAAACTAAATACAACACAACCCAATCTTATAATACTCATGTTTCTATGTAAAAAAAACCATTGACTTATTTATGTTTTTTAATTTTCTAAATTTAATGGATAATTTAATATAGGGTAAACTATTTTTTTAGTCCCGTAACTGGACCCTCTTATCATTTTAGTCTCGTAAGTGGTGCATGTCGCAAACTAGTCCCATAAGTGCAAAATTTTCATTGTTTTAGTCCTTCGGCGCCGGAGATGCCCGTGTGGCTCGCCGGAGGTGACGTGTCCGCCAGGTGTCGCTGACCTGGCAGACACGTGGATTAATTTTTGTTTTTTCATTTTTTTAAAACTTATTTTTAATTTTATTTGTATTTTTTTATTTGGTCCAATTAAAAAAAATTAAGAAAATAAAAAATAATGAAAATAAATAAATAAATTCGCGTGTCTGCTATGAGTCGCTGACCTGGCGGACACGTCATCTCCGGCGAGCCACGTGGGAGTCTCCGGCGCCAGAGGACTAAAACAGCGAAAATTTTCACTTATTGGACTAGTTTGCGACAGGTTCCACTTACGGGACTAAATGATAAAGGGGTCCAGTTACGGAACTAAAAAAATAGTTTACCCTTTAATATAATATTTTATGATTGAATATGGAGATATCGAGAGTTTAAACTTATGATTTCACGATCACGGGTCTACCCACACACTATCAAACTATCCTTACGGGACTAAGAAATTCATATACTCCCTCCGTCCCCCAAGAAGGTTGCCATTGGCTTTTTGTGTGTTTATCTTTTAATATTAATTATCATATCAATACGTAGTACAAATCATGAAAAAAAAACAAAAATATGTTTATTAGTCTCTTATAATACATATACAATGACATTTGTCGAGTATATTTTTAATATTAAAGTAAAATGACGCAAAAACTAAAGACAATATTTGTTTTATATATGAATGATTTAACCATTGAATGTGTTAAGAATTTTAAGGCCATTTAACAGACTGTTTTAGAATTGTTCATATGTGCAGTGATTTGATTGGACATTTTAATTTTCTATAGTTTTAATAAGTATATAATTTTTGTTTATTTAATTATAATATATGTAAATAAAATAAATATATTATCCATCCAACTCCTAGTTTGATAGTTAGTACGTGCATTAATTGCAGTGCACTTTTTTCATGAGAATGTCACACATTATAACAAAATTTAGGTATAAAATAAATCAACATGTTGAGGTACATATGTCACCCCCATAGTTTTTTTTTTTTTTTTTTAATGTTATTTTTTCTTATAAATTAAAATATTTTATCAATTTAAATAAATTAAAATTAAAATTTATACATCATTTCAAATCAATTTCAAACCACAGCTAAACAAACACTTAACTTTCACCTTATTTAATTCTTGAATTTTGATGCTTCATTTTGTTTTATTATTTTTTTTGTCGGTATTTTTTTTAGTGTATAGGCATGCAATATACTTATAAAATGATTCGACAAGATCACTTGTATTATAGTTCAAATATTTTATTATACCTTGCTAATATCCAATGCCATTCAACAATAATAATTAGTGTTTTATTTTTTTATAGTAAAAAAATGGATATAATTATTTATTAAAAAAAAAAAGAAATGTGAATATTTTTTACTGACATTATATATATAAATTTATATGATATAAATAAAGAAATTTTATTGTACATTCAACACTAAAATTATTAGGTAAAATTTATTAAAAATATAATTCACTTTCACTATATCTCAATCATTTATATTGTGTGACGATAAATATATATATATATATATATAGATGCATAAATATTTGTAGGTATAGTCATTGTGTTTATTACTATTAATATTATAATTTTGCCAATTTTGAAATTTAAAATGTGAAGTGACAATGAAATATAGACCCAACAAAATTTGTTTGGGGAATAATGAAATTGAAAGCCAAACGCATAACGACGCTCATTACATTAATTAATGATATAATTATATTTTTAATACCAAACTATATATATATATATATTTATATATGATTTTACTGTGAGATTTAAATTTAAATTTAAATGGAAGAAACAGTTATGGTATCTGACAACATTAGTTATTCAGTCACTGTCCCAGTCCATTCACATTAATCACATTCTATACTCAATATCTATATATGCACACACATTAAAAAATTAAATATAAATAAATAAAAGTATAGAATTCGTTAAATAGAAATAATAGTAAAATAATTAATTACAAAAAAAAAAAACACCAATGAATATATAATTGTATTTTCGAAGAATTATATATCTGGCAAATATGATTATGCAAATTATTATTATTATTTTTTTTTGTGTTTATATATATATATGTGTGTGTGTGTAGAGAGAGAGAGAGAATGAATGAACGAAGGCCTGCAATATTTTCAAGAATAAATCAATCAAAGACAAATGTGGTACCACAAAATTAATTAAAATCTGTGACACAAAATATCATTTTTGGGGGACAATTAAATACATATATTAAATAGATGGGTTCATACTGATACTTATTGAAAAGAAAAATCTAAAAGCAAGTGGTACTATTAGACAATTAATTGAAAAAAATAAAAATAAAAATAGTAAATAATAATAATATTATTATTATAGAAAGAAAGAAATGGGCCAAGAAATGAAATCGGGATGGGATTAAAAGCCGACACCAGAATCCCAAAAGATAACACTAACTAACTGCATTGGATCTTTGGGTCCCACTTATTTTAAATTATTTTGAATTAAAAGTTTTTGAAAATTTTAAAATAAAATTTTAGATATTATTTTATTTTTTGGATTTATAAGAAAATCAAACAGAAATCTATATAGAAATTTGTTTTGGTTGCAGATCACTAAGTTCAATAAGAAGTTCCCAAGTTTGGTCATCTAATTCTTCTTTATGACTTGTTTTGAATTGGCCTAAAAATGTACCTTCTCAAGAGATAATTATATAGATACTTATTATTTATTTAAAATATTATATTCAAAATTCACTTTTTATTCGACATTATATTTTACTTCAATTTTTTTTTTTTTTTTTTAACTCATATATTACCTCAAATCACATCCAAACAAATATATGTTTTTTTGGCAGGAATAGTTCATAAATTTGGACTAATGGTCAAAATGTTGTAATGGAGCATTTAATTGTGTATGGAAATATTTTTTGGATATTAAATAATTTTATAAACAAATAAATATATATATATAAAAATTAGCAGAAAGAATATTTAACTAAAAATGATGATATAATTATAAAAACTGCAGATGAAAAACCAAATAAACATAACCTTAATCTGATGCTGAAATTTGATTGACTAGAAAATATAGTAAGATTAAGACAGGGTTGCTTTACAAAAATATATATATCATCTTTGAGTACATAATTTTTATATAAAATATAATTATTCAACATAAAAATATAATAGTACTTAAATAAACCATATAATATGTATTGCATTAAAATTTTATTTGAATCAAATAGCATTTTATTGTTTATTATTTTTTTAACGTAAATATCCACCAGCCGACGCAAGAAGTGCTTTGATACGAGGAGGTGCACGGTAAGTACGATGGAGACGAATGAATCCAAGCCGTCCACAACAATATAATCAACGGTGGTTATGGCCCCGTTCGCGATCGATGGTGGTTTTGACTGCATTAATTCAGGAGCACGTGCACCGCCGAGATCTTTAACGGTGGACTCCACCACGTGCCAGCGCACATGCCTCCCTACTTATTTAAATTTGAGTTTTGGGTATATTACATGGGAATTTCCAATTACACTTCCAATAATAATAATAATATTAATATTATCATGTAAATACAAAAAATATAACTGTGTGTAAATTCATTTTGATTTTTGAGACACGAAGAGTCAGTTATCTGTTACTCCACAGGTAAGGTATCTGCCAAAATAAAAATAAATAAATATATAAAGAAAAAGACGTATTTGTTTCGATTATACTGAACGCAGAATCAAAGAAAATCAGAGTTTGTACCGTAAAGACACTGAACATGAATAATGTGGCCAAAAATAATGTAATTTGTAGCATGTGTAGAGGACAAATGATTATGCAACGGTCACATGAGTTTGTTGTTTCCATAATATTTTAACAAAATTATTTATTTTTTCTGCTTTATGGGAGACATATATATATATATATCACATATATTTACTTTATATTTTTACTGTATATTGTTACACATAAATTATTTACATATTTACGCATAGAAATATAAAATATACAAAGTAAGTTCAAATGGGCCAGTATTGAGGCCCAAATCCACCACAAGATTCATTGGGCTAAAGCCCAATATATAACATTTAGTAGTTTTTTCTGGATCAGCCAATGAATGATTGGGCTTTCAATGGGTCTAAATTAGATTAAAGCCCATAAGCCCAATACAGATGTAGATAGAGAAAATGAGTGAAATGCCCAAAATAACCCTGCTTAAGACATCATTTCAGCAACAATTAATCTATAATGATCACGAATGAAACTATTCACCTGTAGAACATCAGATCACGGTTACATATTGATCTACTGGCATATCGAATGTTTCTATGATACCCTGAATCTCAAAATTTATCAAGACGAAGAGTACAGCAGTGTGAACTCACCAGAAAACCCGGGATGTCCCGCGATGGCGTAAATTTCTGCAGCTAGTCATTCCAGGCGTCCTTATTGAACTTTCTTGAAGCTATGCCTTTGGAAGAAAGGCTTGGAGTGATCGGCATTGATGGAGTCAGTGGTGCTTCCTCGTCGTCCCAATTGTCTCCCCAGCTGTCATCCCATCCCTCGATGCCGCCGGCCTCAAGCTTGCTGCCATGTGAGACGGGGAGCTCTGCGTCTAGCTTTTGGTATTTAGGACCTTTTCCGGTAAAATACCTTGAGCCGAATCTGGTGTAGATGAAAAATGATGCAGCAGCTACGATTGCCACTCCAAGAATTAGGAATCCTGTGGATAAAGTTCGGTTAAAGATAGAAGAGTGTGGATCCTTGGGGATATGGTCAGCTTTCTTCAGGGCCAAATATTGTTCAGAAAAATTGAGTCTGCATACGCCTTGCCCGGCAGAGAGTTCAATGGTGTCGCCACTTTCTAAGCCATCAATTGTAACCTTGACCTGTAAGTCGGAAGCATCCATTGGAATTTAGTGCATTAAAAGATAACGAAGGAAAGAAGTGGATACTTTGGGATAAAAGTCTGGATTTTCAGGGAGAGATACGCCACAATGAAATCATACAGAAGTTAATGCCATGGATAGAAATCTGAAACAAATCCCAAAAGCTAAAACACATATATCTCTCATCAAATATAACAATGGTCACCAGATATTGAGAATCCGTGTAATCTCCGAATAGTGTTATTGGGAAAGAACAGTGCCAAAGAAAAACCAGTCACAGAGTATACAAACACATTCTAACTTCAGAACGTCATATTTTTAATATAGAAATTAACATTTTAATCCAAGATTTCTAAAGCAAGGACGTAACCTTTCAGTTGAAAAGGGAGGAGGAATATCGATTCCACTCTACTCTCCTCACGGAAGTTGCAAAACAATGACCAGGACACGAGACACCAAGAAAGATTTCCAATGATCAGCAAGTGTAGCACAAACACTCACGGTTTTATCAAGTCAATTAAATAATAATAATTTCTCAAAAATACATGTGAAGCCTGGTTGCTACTGTATCACCAAAATAAAATTTTATAGTTGCAATATGATTTTAGGGAAAGTGAAATTCCTACTGTATCAACATGTTACATTCGAAACGAAAGCCAGGCTGATAAATTGAAGAAACAGTTGAATGCATGTAATGCCAAATATCATAAGCTTCCAATAAGATATAAGCAACAATGCTTTATCAATTAATTATAGTAATGGATTGAACTATATAGCATATACCTCATCATCTTTGTTCTCTTGAAGCTTAATATTGCCTTTATCCAGCTTAACTAAGTTGGGTGCTGAAATTGTAATAGTTCGGGATCCTTTTCCTTTGTTTTGAATCAAGAGAGATAGAGCTGGAGAATCTGGGAACCACAGCATTTCTTTTTCAAGCCCAGTTAAAAATTTTGGAAATTTAAAGGCTGCAACCTACTAGATATAACTAACAGCAATATCTAATATCCAAACAAACATTCCTAATAAGAATTTCAGTTATTCAAGTAAAGATTCAGATGGCCAGGATTTGGCAAGCAGATAGTGTATATTTGCTCACATCCTCCATATAAAGGCCAAAATGATCAATACTTGCTTTAGTTTCTTAATCATAATCCTCACTGTTGTTTACACTTCAGATGGCCTTCCTAAAAGTAGAAGTAACAGTTTCACATAAATTTAAGCTACATTCAATTGAAAAGCATTTAGTATTTTGCTATAATAGCCACATTCCATTCCAAGAAGAAAATGAATTGCTCTACAGTAAAATTACTGTGCAATGGTTTTTATTAATAAAGTACAATCTTATTTACTACAGTGAGAATATGTAATAGAAAAGGGAAACTACAAGTAACAGATCAGTTCAATAGCCCATTTAAACAAGCAAATTCATGGCATTATCAACCATTCAATCTACGAAAAGTTAAACTCACATACCATTCCCAGGAACTCTCAAACAAGCAACCAACATGTTATCATCAGCTGTGCAACTATTTGAAGAAGAATCACATTTTTCGCTTGGTGGCCGAAACCTATCCTCCTCTGTCTCTCCCTTCGACTTAGCATCTAATCCCTTATTCTCCTTCTCATCTTTCTGATCATTATCCTTACCGTTCTTTTGCTCACGATCCCCTCCTTTGGGCTCGACAAGCACATTCGGATCAGTTGTAACTGATTCACCTGCCTTGCCCTTCTTTGCAGCATCATTTGGATTCACTCCCCTGTCATTACCATCGTGATTTTTGGTATCCTCAGAATCCTAACAATACGGATTCCAAAATTAAAATCAGCACCGGAATCATCCCAATCAACACCAAATTACCAAAACCTAACACTCCGTGTTATTACCTTCGGTTCTGCTGTCACATGACAACATATGATGGAGAATATAATTACAACCGCCAGCAATCTACAATTTATCCTCATCTCCCCGCAGATTCACCTAATTTTAATTACACTCGATCAAATAACGAGACCAGGCAAACACACAAGCAAATGATACAGTATTTTTCAAAAGTGTACAGTTATTCGACTCAATGCGGAAAGTAGCATGCCAAGTGCAAGGATTATCAACTACTTACCTTCAAAAAACGCGATCCTGATGCATCTACTTCCGGATTAAATTCCTGCAATTAATTTTCCAGAACATACAATAGACAAGTGGAAATAAATAAACTCCGGAGTGAAAATCTAGGGTTCGCCGGTTTCGAAGCTCTCTTCAGAAGGCAGAAATGATTCAAAGTCATCGCTGGCGAGTCAACTCATTTGACCAAATAAACTTCGCAGAAATATTCCAACTTCGTATAAGGGTTTATATATGGGCTGATAACGGGCCTACTGTTTGGCCCAATAAATTAATATTACCCTTTAGCCCAATTGACAGGAATAGGGTAATACTGTGGCGTATGATATTTAATATCACACGTGGTAAATTATATACTACTTATTTTAAGGGAAAAAAAAGGATATATCTATTTAGGTTGTATTTAAATATGTTTTGAATGTGTTTTAGAGTTTTTGAAAATAATAAATATATAAATACGAAATAAGTATTTAATCTCATTTATGTATTTGATGTATTATTTTTGTGTATATATTTTAGATGTAATCTTTTAATTGCAAATTAAAGTATTATTTTATGTGATATATATTTTTAATTTTTTTATTGATAGTGTGAAAAGTAATTTTAAAATACATAAAATGAAACATTAATACATAAAACTCTTATTGATTGTTTAGTGATGTTGAAGATTTGTAACTAGTCAAGAGGAATGATTGTAATAGGATATATTGTTTTAAAACCAAAATATTCATTCATTCATTTAATGGTCAAAATTATTTAAAAAAATATATTATTTCTTTTAACAAAACATCACATTAAAATACTATTTAAACAAAAATTTAAATCAACATCACATTTCAAATCAATTTTAAACTACAATCAAACAAACCCAAAGTGTATAAGAATTTTTTTTTAACAATAAATGAAAAGATATATTTTTTGTGAACATATATTTTTATTTTTTTTTTAAAAAAACAAACATATATATTGATTTTGTGAACAAATGGAGTATATAGATATGAAAATTGAAGGGTGTGTCTCTTGTTTGGTTTTCTACTTTATTTTTGAATTTATTGTTTGAAGAGTAGATTAAATATAATGTTTTATTAGATAAGATATTTATTGTTATAGGAAATATATATTAAAAAAAAAAATTGAAACCAAATAAATAAATAAAATACATAGAAAATTATATATAGGGTGGGGGTGGCCGTGGCACCTTATCAGTCAAATTACCTTAAAATTAGGGTTTACCAAGATCATGTTGGGCACTTGGACAGTGACAAGTGTTGGACCAAATTACATTTGCAGCAGCAGCCACATTTAATTCCAATTCAATAATTTAGTAAGCCAGAGGTGTGAATAATTATTGTTCTACTTATTAAATTAATTCCAGCCATTACGCCTTCATTCAATTCAAAAAGGTCCTATATTTATTTATTTAATTAATTAATTAATTAATTAATTAATTATGACAAGTTTTGTCAAACCGACTCATCGGAAAATAGTTCTTTTCATTTTATGGGATTCTTGAAAGGTTAAAAGCTATATAGCATTCATGTGTCGATGTTCCATTTAAAAGAGAGAGACCCTACAACAACATTTTCGACAAGGACACGAATGTAAGAAAATAATTAGGCAACCTCAAGTTCATTCTTGATAATTGTCGTCGCGTTGTGGTCGATCGAAATATTATCCGTTGATTATCGCTTATTGTAAGATTGTAAGCCGGAATTGTGGTGAAATCGTAGCCCGGAACATCGATCACTAGTTGAATGGATAATAATAAATTTATGGTTGTCATTGTATATCAAATAGAATTAGGAAAATTATATATCAAACATGCACAAAAATTGTTCATTTTGTTTTTCAAGAACAAAAAATTATGATAAGGATAAAGGGCAGTGCTAAAAAAGCAAAATATATAAATAATAAATTAAATAAAAAATTATTGGATTGAAAAATGGGAAAGAGGTAAAGGGCAGTGAGTATATAAAACTACTCTGTATTTTTTATTAATTGCAATATCTTACGAAAAAATTAATTTAAATAATTTGTTCTAAATTGTACGATAAAAATGTTTATGTCAATGTAAAACCTAAGACTTACAAACAAAAAAAATTTGTGTAGTAGAGTTTGTTTGGGGAGTTGATGCAATTCGCATGTCATGGTGACGTCACTGAAAAACGGCGTCGTCTGAAGAAGCTGTAAATGTACACTTTTGAGGTGTCTTGTTAAATAAAGGACACGTCACTGTGCAGTTGGGCAGTGACGTGTCGCTTTCACGGGACGCCGGGACCACCGCTGTGACCGAAAGTCCTGCTAAACGCCAAAACACAACTTTTTGCAATAATGCTAGTTTTCCCATATGTATATCTACCTTTACGTGTATTTACAATTTTGTCCTTCCAACTTGACATTACACCATCAAGATCACCTATGAGAATATTCAAACACTTAAATATAGATTGTAAGCAATTCTTTTCAAATAAAAATAAAATATGGGTTGCATATGTACAAATTTGGTAAATTTAGAACAACACTAATTTTTAAATAATTTCTTCAAATAAGGTTTAAGATTTTCATATGAAAAATATACTTAAAAATGAATTGGAAGTACCTATCTTTATCAATATGCACATGTCATGTTAAATCGCCCGGATGAATAAATATGACAGCGAACTATAAACACGCTTTAAAAAGTATAAAAAGAACGGTATTACCAAAAAAGGAAAATTTAAACTTTGTCATGTTTGATTTATATCTTTTTTTCAATTTTCTTTTTATATTACAATCCATATGTTTTTGCAAAAATACACTCTTTTTTTTTTCCTGTTAGAAAATATTTAAATCCAAACGGATGCTGCATTTCCTTTAACAACAAACTCTTTGGAATAAATTATCAAAATTACTATTAGATCTTTTATATTCCGAATCTTTTTTTTTTTTTTTTTTTTTTTTTTTAACATTAAGAAATGTTCCAATAATAATAATAATAAGGGACAAGAATGGGGTGGGACGTGGGATTTGACTTTGGGAGGGAGAAGTCACATGCGAATACGAAAAACAACTTTTTCATGTAATAATGGACCCAACTATCACGAGCCTTGTCTACTAAAGCTTATCATCACATTCACATACCCTTTACACATTTAATGCAATCAACTACACCAATCTATCTATCTATCTATCTATCTATCTTCGATTTTAAATTTTATTTTAATTTAATTAATGGGTCTTTCAACTTGTTCTTCTTTGTGACCTCATTACATTCCCATGTAATTACCTAATTGCATCTCCCTAGCTGCCACATCAATCACTCATCTATATAATTTGGTCCGAATCTTGTTGCAATACTTCTCACATCCATTTGGGATAAAAATTGGTGTGCTTTTCATAACGTGGAAAAATTGACATTTTGTATCAAGGGTTTTATTTTTGTGACACCAAAAAATCCTTAGAATTGAAATAAAAAAAATAAAAAAGGGAAAAAAAATATCAACCAGAAAATAACGCGTGGCAGTAGTGCAATCAATTGAAGGCTGTTGAGGTCATAAAAGGCTGACTTTTGTAATAAATTCAAAAAGTAAGATTTTTAATTTGTGTCAGACGTACGGTCCACCACAAGTTGGTCCACACGGGGGAAGATTTTGGGATGAACTGAGTCAAAATATTATACTTTCTAAGCAAGGTACAATGTTTATACGCCGATTTAGAAATTAGATGATGCGATTGAGAGAAAAATAAATATTTTATTTTTTTATTTTGATGATGTGGAGTAGAGATTAAGTATAATTAATTATTTTTTATTTTAAAAATATTGCAGAATATTTGAGACATAGTAAAAAAAATATTGTAGGGTATTTGGGACGGAGAAGGGAGTAATAGATTTCAAGAAAACTCATCATATGACGACACTAGTGCCAATAAAATCTTGGTGTATATCTGTGGTGAGGGTATTCTTGTCATATCGTGTTAAGGCAGGACATAAATGTGAATACTGTATGTGAACTCCAACTTGGGCAGCATAAAGGGACGACCTTTCGCACTATAAATGCTTGCGATAAGATTTGGGAGTTCTTCAAACTCCACGATCTCCTTTCTTCCTCAATTCTATCAAACTCATCTCTGTCGATCCTTAAAGTTTTTTTTGTCTTGGATCATCACTCAGCTCTGATTCTGATTCTTCCCACAATTTGTGTTCTTTTATTTTCTTCTTCTTCTTCCTTGAATTCGTCAAAAAAGGGGCGATTTTTTGCAGTCCCTGTTTTGAGTCCCCTGTTTTGGTTTTCGGTTTTTTTCTTGATCTAAAAATGGAAGGAATTGACGGAAACGCCCTCCCGTTCGCCGCCGGGAGCAATTCTCCGATCGGCGTTTCGCTGTCGGAATTAATTTTGAGCAGCAATTTGTCGACCATAGATTCGATTTTCTCCCAATCGGAGCAGAGTTCGGCGATCAACACTGTGTCGGAGCCTCTGGGATCTTCGGTGTACCTGCGACACAGAGAATTGCTGCAGAAATTCTCCGACGAGAACCGGGCGGTCCACTCGGTTTCGACGGCGGCGAACCCGGTCCGGAAGCCGGGGCATTTCCCGGCGTATCTTCTGGCGAGCAAGAAGAAGCTGTACCGCGGCGTACGGCAGCGGCAGTGGGGCAAGTGGGTGGCGGAGATTCGGCTGCCGCAGAACCGGACGCGCGTGTGGCTAGGAACCTACGACTCCGCCGAGGCAGCCGCCTACGCCTACGACAGGGCGGCGTACAAGCTCCGGGGAGAATACGCCCGCCTGAATTTCCCGAACCTCCGAGACCCGACCCGGATTGGGCTCGGGGACGGGTCGCGGGTCGAGACGCTGAAGAATGCTGTGGACGCGAAGATCCAGGCGATATGCCAGAAGGTCCGGCGGGAGAAGCAAGCCCGACGCGCCGCCAGGAAGGCGGCGGCGGCGGATATGAAAGAAAATACGAGTTCCGACGCGGCGGCGACGGTGGAGAAGAACAGTACGACCGATTCGTGCGAATCGAGCCGGAGCGCGAGCGACGACGGGTTTTGGTGGGGCGGAGAGTCGCCGGGATCGGTGTCGTACGAGTGGAGCTCGACGGCGGCGCCGCTGGGGGAGGTGGGAATAGAGGAGTGTTCTCTGGCGCGGCTGCCGTCGTTCGACCCGGAATTGATTTGGGAAGTTCTTGCTAACTGAGTCGGGTCTAATTTAGGGATTAAGCAAGACTAGACAGACATGTTTTGGATAATTAGCTGTCGTTTCGTGTGTAAAAATTCTTGGTTTCCAGATAATTAATGAACTTTTAATTGTGGTTTGATTTTCGTCTTTATCTATATATCTATATATATATTTTTTATTTTTTATTTTTTTCTTGCAAATTGAATGAGTTTGGACACTCAGAATGGGCTTTGGACTTAATAGAAATGCAAATTTTTGATGGGCCATTTCATTATATTCTACTACTGCCCCAACAAGTATAAGTCCACTATAAAACTTATAGGGCCATCTTTGCCTATATGGTCATCTAATTTAGGGATCTAATATAAATTTGCATTTAATAATGAAAATATCTTGTCAAAGTTTTGATTTTTTTCATTCATATATATATATATATATATTTTTAATAATACAATTTTCAGCATATAATATATATATTCTAATTATTTTTTAAAAATTCAATATTCAACAAAAATTATGCTTTTCATCCGACAAATTTATGTAAATTTGTTTGGAAATAAGTAATAGTAATTTGATGTTGAAAAGTGGTCAGTAAAAAGTAAATTAGAAGTATTATAAAATTTTATTAAAAAATTAGTAAAAATTTAATATAGGAAATAAAAAAAATGATAAATTAATTATTATTAGTTAGACTAACGATAATAAAATTGAGAATGTATAAAATTGTTTAATATAAATAATAAACATAAAATTAACGGACAAAAAAATAGTAACATAACACGCTAAAGTTGTACTCAATTACGTTCATTTGGTTTAATTTATCGATTCTAAATTTAATAAATTAAAATAAAAATAATTTAATAAATTGTGCTACTCAATTATATGGGACATCCCATTGGCTTGGCTTGGCATGCTCATCCTAGAATACAGTTGATGTTACGTCAACGCCATGTGACCACTTTACTTGCATTGCATATTCTAATTCTACTAAAATGATCAAATTAAATAAAAAATTAAAATTACACAAACAAACAGATAAACACGCAGGCAAAACTACTGACGACGAATTGGATGGAGTCACCATCATCTTAAGGATAACTCTAGAATTTAAATTCCTCTTTTGCCCCTCCCTGAATTGACGGGAACAGAAACTTCCGGCGGATGGAAATGTAATTTCGCAGTCCCTCTTGTCCTTTCCCAGCAGCTCAACCAACCTTCTAAATGTCGAAAAGTAGGTTTCTAATTTTAGACCAATTAAAATTTAGAAAGCACTTGGTGGGACCCATTTAAACTCTTTTTTTAAAAATAAAAATAAAAAGAAAAAAGGGAAAATGAAAATAGTATTATTCCCCCACTAATTGGTTTTTTATTTTAATATATATAAAAATGGCTCCTTTTCCCATTGAGAGAAGAAACATGTAGAAGCTATTTTGGACCATTCTGTGCAAGTTGCAGGTGCTGCCATTCGCGGTGTGATTTGGAGGTTTTTGTGGATTTCTTAGGCCTGTCTGCGTCTTTGATTTGGCTTCTCATTCGCTTCGGATCCCCTGATCAGATCGAATATCCGGTCGATTTCACGGAGGTTATTTTTCCCCCAATTTCTGCTGATTTCATAATGGTTGGCCCGATGAACGACGGCGGAACGGAGGGGGATTTCATAAGGAGGTACCATAAGCACGATGTTAGGGAAAATCAGTGCAGTTCGTCGTTGGTGAAGCACATCAAAGCTCCGCTGCCTCTCGTGAGTTGTGGATGATTTCAGTTGCTTTAATTTTGTTTGTTGAATTTTTTCGTTAGATCTGCAATATTTGATTGGATGAGTTGACGCGATTTAGATTCGATTCGTTTTAGGTATGGTCGTTGGTTAGGAGATTCGATCAGCCGCAGAGGTACAAGCCTTTTGTGAGTAGATGTATAGTTGAAGGAGACTTGCGGATTGGAACTGTTCGCGAGGTGAACGTTAAATCTGGCCTTCCGGCGACGACGAGCAAGGAGCGGCTGGAGCTGTTGGACGACGAGGAGCACATTTTCAGCATGCGGATTGTCGGCGGCGATCACCGCCTCAAGGTAATCCCCACCTTTAAGCCTCCGATTTGAGTTCTTCAATTTCCTTCATCGAAATTGCGACGATTGGATTAAGTTTGATGAGCTAGTCCACGAGAAACAACCGTAGATTTTCAACATGGTTATAATATATCCATAGAGAACGAAGAATCGGATTCTGATTAGGATTTTGACAAGGTTTATCTTCTCCTACATTCATGGGAATCGAATCAAAATGATTCAAATCCGATCCAATCAATTTACAATTTGCAACAATTCAATTTTCTGCTTGCAGGACTACTCTTCCATCATCACAGTTCATCCTGAGATCATAGATGGAAGACCAGGGACAATGGTGATCGAATCATTCGTGGTGGATGTGCCCGACGGCAACACCACAGACGAGACGTGCTACTTCGTGGAGGCCTTGATCAAGTGCAATCTCAAGTCCCTAGCCGATGTTTCGGAGCGCCTCGCCGTGCAGGGCCGAACAGAGCCAATCGACAGGATCTGATCAAAGAGTATGTATCCATCCAATTCCATTTATCACACTCATCTTTGCAGAAAGAACATCCCATGATGATTCTCGAGAGGTTGCCATTTTTCACATCTCTGGATTTTTTGTTGCCTTAAATTAGTTGAATTGCATTTCTTCCCATCATCACACCATTTCTAGTTTCAGTCTAAACTATATATATATATATATATATATATGAACTGCTGAGATGGTGTTTGAGATTGGAATTTGGATTGTAAATATCTCTAGTTTAGGACATAAAACCTTTCCTCTCTTCTGTTTGTTGCATTCCGTACTGTCATCGAAGTCGCATTTTCAATTCCAATAATTACAAAGCACGCTTCTTTCTGCTTTTCACGCTGTTATTTTTACTTATTCAGAGCCAATAATATGTTTAGGGAACATGTATTTTTATGTAACAAGTCTATAAATAGAATAAAGCCTTCAGATTCTTACCCCCATCATCATTTTACCAATTTAAGAAATGTATAAGAAGCAAGAATAATTAACTTTTTGCCACCATCAATTATTGGTAAATTAAACACATGATTAAATTCATTTACAATCTTTGTCTTTTTCAGATATTATTCCAGTAGGAATTTCGAACAACAAAACATTTCTAGTTTTTGCAAATTCACAAGCGTGTTGAACTCTGCCATCATCACACATTCATGCCCTAAACATCTACCCCAATTTCATCAAATATTTCATGGCTATAATTTGTTCCACTTTCCCAATCATATGATTTAACAGTTTCAGCCAATTTTCAATTATTTAATTATTTCACTATTTGTTGTGTAGCAGACCTTTTTTTATTTTTTAAAAAATGTTAATTTGTGACAATTAATTATGGGAATTGAGAAGACAGAGTGTTGAGGTAAGGTTGTCGATGAACTGGCAAGAGTTTAATGGGACAATGTGGGTGCACATGCCTTTGCTTATTCTGTCTCTGTGGTCTGAACTTATACTCAATTATTATTATTATTATTATTATTATTAATTAATTAATTAAATTAAATTTACATGTTGTCTTGTGTGCATACAAAAGCAGCCATGTTTGTGTGTAGTGGATTTAATTTGGATAAATTAAGGCCACCTGTTTTTGCATAATTCTTTGGACATGACGAGAGGATTCCAATTTTTGTTTTTTCATTTGTTTCTTTGACTGATTGTAATTTTATTTATTATGGGTTCTCGATACTTTAGTATCAATGCATGTTATTCTAATTATTATTTATATTTTATAAATTATAGTTTACCATTAATTAAATTGCACAAATATTACCTCAACAGTCAACACTCAACTCATACCCAACCTTGCTATTTTTAAGAAGAGTTCAGTTCCTGTTTTAGAAAATAACAAACTTAGCACTGAACGTTGTTCGAAATTATTTTTATGTGATTTAGTAAATTTTGTCGTTGATGCTCAACAAATCTACTTCTTATGTATGCAATAGAGGCTGTGTTTTGTTGTGATTTAAAATTTAAATCAACATTATTTATTTTTAAGAAGTTTCAATACTTTTTAAATCAAAAATTTAAGTAAACATACCATTTCAAATCATTTTTAAACAACCAAACAAACTCAAAATTTTTAATTATTCAACAAAATATTTTTAAGCTATACTTATTATTTAATTACTATTCTTGTTTATACAATTTTTTATTAAAAAAAAAAAAAAAAAACTTCACGTCAATGTATTGGCTCTTTTTACATAACCAATTTTTAAGCCATTTGGCACTTTTCATTTTCTTAAAAATATCATATTAAATATATATATATTTATAAAACATTAAATCGAATATTAATTTTTTATTTTTGCAAAACTTTTAAATTTTCAAAAGTTTGAGTTATTATTATTATTATTTTTTTAAATATCATATTAATTAATATCATTATTATTATTATTATTATTATTATTATTATTATTATTATCTTAAATTTTAAAATTTTTATCTAAATCGAATGCATCACTGATTTTTTATTTTCCTCAAATTACAAATTTATATACATTTCTCATTTTATTTTATATAATTCCACCAAAAAAAATAATCGAAAGAAAAGTCACGAGAGCAGTGGAGGGCAGGCGTCAGGCTTAAATAGACTATCCGTTATTTTTTAATTCGTTCATTCCCTCAACAGTACAATATGTATATATAATAATTTATTATTATTTCTTTGACGAAATTATAATTGTGTTCCATACTGTCTCACACCATACACGCTCTTCTATGCTTGGTTAGATATTCTCTCTCCACACGAGCTCTTTTTGCTGCTTCTGCTGCTCGTGGTGGTTTCCATCGATCGCCATAGCTGCTTCTTCGGCTCGACGACAATCGCTTGTTGACAAACGTGAGCTCTTGTTTCTCGCTTCAGGTAGTAGTCTTATGGATGAATTTTCTATTCGAGCGATTGTGTTGCTTTAATTTGTATGCTGAGGGTTAATTTATTGCTCAATGTTTTTGTTGCTTGCTGTTGGCTCGAGTGCAGCAGGTTCGGCTTTACTCAACCGCCATTGTCGAAGATTGCTTGCGTTTGGAATTTTCTGGTTGGATCGTTTCCAGATCTCGCGGTTTATTTTATTCAGCGTTGGTTAGTGGTTTCTCTCGGAGGTTTTCGCTTCTTCTACTGAAGTGGTGTTTAATAGATTTCGTATTTTGTACTCATTTCCTTGGACGTGATTGCGAAATGCTTTTGATGTCTTTTGCAGGTATTGTTCTCTGTTAACTACATACTTTCCACTTCGATACTTTTTGTGGTCTTCTGTATCTTTCCCCCAATTTATTAATTTCTATCGCCATGAACCGCCGCGATTATTATTCAATTTGGCTCTGCTTTGGGGCTGTTACGATACTTTCGATGCATTTTGCGTCATTTGCAAGCGCTGAGTGGCCAACGTGCTCTGGTATGGTCCCTGTGAACTATCGTAACGACAAGATATCCATAACTGATTATGGAGGTGTTGGTGATGGAGTAACTCTCAACACAAAAGCATTCAGAGCAGCAATATACAGAATCGAGCATTTGAAGAGGAGGGGTGGTACTCTGCTGTATATACCTCCTGGAGAGTATTTAACTGGCCCCTTCAATTTGACCAGTAGAATGACTCTTTACTTGGCTAGAGGAGCTGTTATCAAAGCCACAATGGTATTGGAACTTTTTCCCTTTGTCTTCTCTACAAATCCGTTTTTCTTGATCATAGTTTTTCATTCCTGTTTGATATTTATCTGCTCATTGATTGGTCATGAAATTTCGAAATTAGGTCCTACATGTGATGTTGAAAGTTGCGGTTGGATTATGTTGAAAACTTGAAATTGGCATGAAAACAGATATAGTATTAAATTATGTACTGGGAGGGCTTAGAGTAGAGAGTGTAGAGTGTTAGCCTGTAAGGAATATGGGCTGTGTTTTGGGAACACATTAAAGTATGTTGTGGGCCGAGAAGATAGTTGGGAGGCACCATGGCATGTGCAAGTCATTTTAGCAGTCAACAATTAATATGTCCTTCCCTGCCAGCAATACACCACTTAAAAATGAGCACACCATGAAATAGTTATGGAGGTCCCCCAAATAGTATGAGATCATGTCCTTTTTGAATCGTTTTAGTACACCCTGGATAGAATATTGTATTTGTACCTTAGTTTAATTGTTTTTCTTCACTTAATGCTTCAGGACAGTCGACACTGGCCAGTAGTACCTCCATTGCCTTCATATGGAAGAGGGAGGGAACGACCTGGCGGGAGGTATATGAGCTTCATACATGGTGATGGGCTGCATGATGTGATCATTACAGGTCAGTTACATGACATAAATCTGAGAATTTCACCAAAGAAAAGCTCTGTAAAATTGTTTTTCATTATTTACCATCTCTCTAGGTGAAAATGGAACCATTGATGGCCAAGGCGGCATATGGTGGAACATGTGGAGGCTGGGAACTCTTTTGTTTACCAGACCAAACCTAATTGAACTGATGAATTCCAGAGATATATTGATTTCCAATGTAGTATTCAAGAACTCGCCCTTTTGGAACATACACCCTGTCTACTGCAGGTAATTGCTATTACGAGCTTCGTCGAATGTTTTTCTGATATTAAGAATATAGAATCACCTTTGATTTAATTCTAATATTTCCCTCTTTCCCAGTAATGTTGTGATTCGATATGTCACCATACTAGCTCCTTCAAACTCGCCAAACACCGATGGAATTGATCCAGGTATTACACACTTCGATGTTTCTTATTACACAATCATTCGATTTGAATCTTTGCTCTTGTCCATTTCTTGACACAGATTCAAGCTCCCATGTTTGCATAGAGGACTCCCACATAACAACAGGTGATGATCTAGTAGCAGTCAAGAGTGGCTGGGATGAATACGGAATTGCATACGGTCGTCCCAGCCACGATATTACCATACGACGGATCACCGGGTCATCCCCGTTCGCCGGAATCGCAATCGGAAGTGAAACCTCAGGCGGCATCCAGAACATTGTCGCCGAGCACATAAACCTATTCAACGTCGGCATCGGGATCCATCTCAAGACCAACATCGGTAGAGGAGGAGTCATCCGTAACATAACATTCTCAAATATTTACATGCAAAACGCCCGCAAAGGCGTCAAAATATCCGGTGATGTCGGAGACCACCCGGATGAGTATTACAACACGAATGCTCTACCAATCGTTAAGGATGTTACCGTCAAGAATGTCTGGGGCGACAATGTACAGCAACCCGGGCTGATCCACGGTCTGAGGAATGCGCCGTTCACCGGAATTTGCCTCTCGAACATTCACCTCCGAGGTGGACAACGGGTCAGGAACTCGGGTTGGCAGTGCTCCGACGTCAGCGGCGGCGCCGTTCAAGTTAGCCCCTGGCCTTGTTCTCAACTAACAAGCAGCCAACAATGGGGTGCGTGCTCTTCTTCATTCTAAATATTTTGTGAAATTTTTTCCAGTGAGATTTATTCATATGTTGTATCTTTGTGTGTGTAGCTGAAATTATTTGCTTTGAATATATGATTATGAAGTATAATATATGTTATATTCACATCACCATAGCATTCATGAACAGAGCAAATGCTGCATGATCAAATACATTGTTGATTAGAGATCATACTCCAGAAAAGCATAATATATATTTGATCATATTCTAATCTTCTAGAAGTAATGATCCATGAATTTGTGCAGACGCTCCATGAATCCTAACTTCTTACCTTCCTCGTCGGTCCACTTCCTGAAATTCATATTCAGTTTCTTCTGTTTATTGACTCTGTCGTGGTCGTAGTGTCTAATCCTGATCCTTGTTATTTTACCTTGATCCTCATCACCGCCGTCCCTGCTCCGATCGCGGCGGTGCAACCTCAGCAACTGACCGGAAATCCGCCGCGGTCCGCCGCGAAATTTGGTGTATTCGATCATACCGTTTCCGATTGCATTCGATTTCACAGGGAAGCGGCGGTTGATCGGCCGGAAATTGAATTTGATAAACCGCTCGGCGGTTACGACTGCGGCAGCGTTAGCGTCGGTTTCTGGAAGGTCGGCGGAATCCTTGTCGGCGATGACGTGTTCCGGCGAGGTCCGGGCGAATGCGAGCGTGAGGAAGAACAAAAGTGCGATGATCGTGAAGCAGTACTTCGCCATCGGTAAATTTTAGGGTTTAGTTTTAGGTCGAGATTGGGAAAGTTTTTATCTGTTAGGATTATTTAGGGCGGTGATAAAAGTGGCATGACAACTGGCAATCGTGGACCGTCCACGTGTCTAAACGGATTTGTATGTTCACGGCTCAGATTCTCTGCGACTGTTGAGCCAATAATAGAAGGCACGCTCGGACCGGTTCCGAGGCTGTGCTCTAGGCTGTTGTCGGTACCTTCATATAATTTTCTTTTAAATTCTAATTCCATTTACGAATGTACATTAATTACTACTACTTCAAAAAAATACTCCTAGGATAAGTGCACAAATCTCGAGGCATATGGTACAGTATGTGTGTACTCACAGTCATACCTCATTTCATAACTTGCAGTGGGACGAATTTTCTCTATTTATTTATTTTATTTATCAATAAATTCGAACTCATAGGACTGGTCACTCACACGTGTGGAACAAGTTGTGGAGGGACTATGGGTTCTTGCGCCGTGATCAATGATTGAGAAAGGATAACTATAACAAGAAGATGTAATATTAATCGAATTTAAGAAGACCAATACCAAACATTTGTTTAAACTGATGAGTGAAAGAATGTATAAATAATAAAAAAAATTTATCTTAACTCCATCTTCTTAAGAAGTCATTTATTTACAGCTCTTCTCAATAACTTTGTTAAGTAAATTGAGCAATAAAATTGTGTATTAGCACGTGAGGTGAGGAAGACTATCTATCATACAATGATGATCAGGACGGACAGCTAGGACTGAGCAATAAATGGCTGACAAGTGTCAGCAGCATCCACGTGCAATCTGTTATGTACGGTTGTTACCCCCTTTCACCAACTGACTAGCTGACACGTGTCGAGCTCGTATAATTTCTCAACCAAAATTACCAAATTAGGGTTTTGTTTAGGGTGCGTTTGATTTTGATTTAAATTTAATATTTTAAAATTTACTTAATATTTTAATATATATTTTACAAACGTAAGATACTATATTATTATTAAAAATTGTACCGTATAAATAATGTAAATATTGATTTGAAATCATAAGCAAGCAAAGGAGTTGTATTTGAAAATTTTGAAATATTGAAAAAATTAATAAAAATATAGTATATTTATCGTAATTTTTGTAAAAAAATAGTGTTTAATTTAATACATATATATTTTAAAATATTATTAATAACTTGGAATTTAAAAAAATGATGTAAATAAAGAAAGCATCCGTTTTCCAGTTTTAAATGATCCCAATTATAATTTGGACGTAGTAGGTACGTAGGTAAGGCATCATTTGTCAAATGTGAATGGACACTTTAGCCCCCGCCCCAAAAATCAAACATGTACCACTAGTAGTGCACGACATACATACAAATTAAAACATTAGTATATCGTAACAACCCGTAATAAACTACAATTAGTGTTGACTTTATTATGATTTTAAATTAATTACTTTACTAAACCCTAGGGTAAGAATCATCATCATCATGCTACTTTGTCAAAAATTAATCTCTATGGATCCAATCAGATCATTGCATTCTCGTTATTAAGTTAGATATATATATATATATATATAAAAAAAAACAATAATATATTACCCAGAATTGTCAAAAGAAAACTTAAATTAATTCTTTTATGTCGAATTAAAAAATAAAATAATGGATTTTTTTTTATTTTTTTATTTTTACGAATAATAGAGGTCATGTGAATGTGCATAAATAGTCAGATATCCTGCAGGCAGTTTTCCGCCATTCACCTTTCCCTTAGGTTTTCAACTTCTTACAAAACATTATACAGACATACACATATATATATATATATAGAGAGAGAGAGAGGGTGAAAACTATAAGGTTTGATGATGGAAGTAACAAAATCAGAGCTACATTTTGTTTTCATGAACTACGATCCTGAATACGAGCGCCTCCGATCTAACAAGTACTACTTTGTTTCTCTGTCTTTTTTTGTTTTTTTATTATTATTTATTTTTAAGATTACTGTGTCTGTGTGTGTTTTGCAGAACGAAGAGAGGGGCACAGGAGCTGGATATGTATCTGAGTAGGAAGCACGATGAAGTATTGGCGAAGAATCTGCAGCCAGGAACTTACAATAAGACACTTTCTCTCGTAATCGTCGATGGATTTGCTGTCGAAATCTCCGAGGATCAGGTATGTCAGGATTTGTGATGGTAATAAGGCTGAATTGAAACTGTATATATATAATTCTAGGATTTGAGAAATGTTGATGAATTGAAGTATAATTATTAGGCGAAGGTGCTTAGATCTCTGGAGGAAGTGAGGATTGTCGAGAAGAATCAGGAACTTGCTTGACCATTGCATCCTCGTATTAATTACATACATATTTGGAGATCTATATATATATATATATATATATATAAGCATTCTTCATCGACTGCCTGTAATCAGGACATTCAGCGTACGCGGTGTATGAATGTAAGTCATTAGTGTAATTGGGGAATCGAAATTAAGAGGAAGACGAAGAAGGAGAATGGGGAAATGGAGGAGTGTTGGAAAAGTAATTAATTAATCATTATATTAATTATGTAGTAATAATCTGTTTGTTTGTTTGTTGTTCTTTTGCTCTCTTCTAACTCATCTCTTTCTCTTCATTTAGATGTTGGTGTTTATGTGATGTAAGTATACTTAGGAATATATCCAACCACTACAGAAATGATTTTTTGGTCTGAAAATGAAGACAAATAATGGCTGTCTGTCACTCTCTGTGCAAGAAATGAAATGAAGATTCCTCTGTCTGTATGTCTGTAACCATAGAGAAAAAGAAAAAGAAAATATTGATGTGATATGGTTGAGTAATTCCACTTTATCTTGTTAAGGTTAAGTTGTGTAGTGTAGAGAGTTGCCATTTTCCCTCAAACTTCCATCAAACAAACAAAACATCATATTAAAGCCTGCAACTGCAACTGCAACTGCTACTGAAGCACTCACATGCATTGCTATTGCTAATATTGCTGTTGCACACATATATTTATTTACCTATTATATCTCTATCCCGCTCTAAAAGGTCTCATTTTTTTAAAATTTTTTTTTTTTTTTTTTTTATGTATTTTGATATTTGAATATTAATTATTATACGATAAAAATACTTCTATTAGTATTTTATAATACTATTATAATGATATTTGTGCAAAAAATTATATAAATATAAAGTCGGAAGGAGGGTGTATTATTTTAGGTATAATTCATAAGTCATTATTGGTTATTTATTTATTTATTTGGCTTTTGTTTTCTGCTCAGTTTCATCATTATAATTCATTCTCCACATTGTATGGCTCTCTTGCTCCCCCCCCACCCTCTCTCTCTCTCTCTCTCTCTATATATATATATATATATATATTGAATTCCAGCAATGCAATGGATCTGGTCGTGGTCATGTTAAATTTAAAGGTGGGGTTGAGTCGTTTCGTCTGGTAGTAAAGTAGTAGGGGTGTTGACTTTAATTAACCATTGACAAAACTGCCACACGTGTGTAGTAGTAGTAACTAGTAAGTAGTAGGGTGGGTGGGTAGGTTCGCACTTTGAAATTACAGGGAAATTCTTGCACGTACATATTTAATTAATAATAATTACTCGTGTGCCTGCCTGCCTGTCATGGATCCGACAAACCTTAATTTATATCATCCTCGCCCCCATTCTTCACCCCACTATCCATAATCTATCTATATAGATGCTGTTACAATAGTAAATAATTAAATATTTTAGCATTGTGTTAATAACACACTCAATAATACATAATGTATAAATAGATTGGCAGTAAAAATATATATGTTAATATAACTTATAGTATACAAATTGACAACGTGAATGACAATAATACATACAATGCGTATCTAAACAGTAGACATAAATAGAGTTAATCAGCACTTGCATTGCATTGCATGCACTCATGAATCATCCACCAATAATATTATTTTCAAATTTCTTTAAGTATGGGCCGCAGAGTTTTCGGAAAATTATGTTTACATTTTAAACCGGGCCAATACTTGAGCCCAATTTAAATTATTCCGGCCCAGTAAGAAAATACCGATGGGCCTTATAATACGTACATATTTACTAATACTCTATTATCAGCTGAAGTGGGATTTTGTCATCTGCCACCATTGCATACTTTATATTATCCTCTCTTTTTTCCCATGCAAGAATATATTCTAAATTTTCCATCCAGGATTTTTTTTTTCTTTTTTCTCAGTATTTTTGGTGTAGACTTACGTGCATATGAAACAAGTGTTGAACAACTGGCATTCATAATTGCTGGGGGAATATATGTCGTTTGAAAATTGCTATAAAATTCACTGAAGAAGGAAAATGCAAGAAAAGATAAAATTGTAGTTCTTCCCTTTGTTACTAATCAGCTATTTAAGTGAAAGATTATATAAACATATATTTTCCCAATAAGCATGTAAAACATACAAATAACACACCTTTTTTTAAGAATTATTATATAAATATATAAAATTAATGATGACACATATTAGGTAAAAGTATACCACTGTTATCCTGTCGACACTATGTTGAAAGTATATTATGTTGAATTAACATAAGGTGACCACAGAATCCCCCTACCCCCAACCTCTGTATAAAATACCTTGACCATGTCCAGTTCTGCAAAGAAACATCCCAACAATCTTTGTTCTGAAAAGCTTTCAACAGCCATGGCCTCTGCCCAGTGCCACAAGCCCTCAGGGCAAACCAACAACCATGTCCAACACACAGCCTACTATGAACAATCCACCACAACTGAGGTCACATACCAGCAAAAGAACAAGCCCCGCCCGGCGAACAACGATCACCACTCCTTGACAGACAAGGTGAAGGAGATGGCGAATTCAGCCAAGAAAATGTTCCATCATGACGAGCACCATGGGTCTCATGGTCCTCGTAATGAACACAACAACACTCCAACCGAGGGGAAGAAGAAGAAGAAGAAGAAGGTGAACAACACGGAAGGGAATTGCTTGCCAAAGATGCACATAAAGGTGCACAAGAAGAAGCACAGTGGTAATAACAGTAGCAGTGACAGTGGTGGAAGCAGCAGCGAGAGTGAGAAAGAGTCGCGCAAGAAGGTAAAACTAAGGTGATTTTTCATAATTCTAATGATAATATGAACATATTATTAACTTGGCCTTTGTGATCTATAATTGCAGCAGCACTGAGCGACGACAAACCTTAAAAGTATGGAAATGAAACTATTATCCTGGTATACATAACAATAGCCTTTCCGTAAAATGGGACAAAGCATGAAAATAAGAATAATCTCAATATGTATGTGTGTGCAGAAAACACTAAACCTTAAAGATTATAAACAGGTAATGTAATGCTACAGATTGCCTGAAGAAACTATTGTGTATCTGGTTGAAACATCACATGATTTATAAGAAATAAACATGAGTTATGAACAAAGCATTTCTAGTTTTGGTTGAACGTATTGGATCATTAGGAATGAACTTGTAATTTTTATATCATTTGTGTGCACCAGGCAGGCATGAATGTAGTGTTCCAACATCCCAAACTTATAAACCCGACAGGTCATTAAAATCATCAAGTGAAAACTAAACATATTCCCCAAAACTTTGCATCACTCATAAGCAAGAAGTGAAAACCAATGAAGTAAGAAATCCAGAATCACCAGAGACAGTAATCAACTCACCTGTGGCACCGACAAAGGCAAGCAAGAAGTGAAAACTGGAAACGGTGAGCTTTCCGGATTTGATGATGAAATATGAGAAACAGTCACTCTGGAGTTGTTCCAGCCGTCTTCTTCCTTAAATAACCACCGTAAGATTGGGCAATACATAAATAAGAGATTCCTGAGTAAGTGTAGTCACTTTCTCGCCCGGAAAATGGAGTTGATGTGTTCCAAAGTGGATGATTAGAAGCCATACACAGATTCATGCACACTTTAATTATTGACGAGATGATGATTGCCCTTTTATGTCAACAGTAAGAATTATGTAAAATTGAGTTCAATTACAAAATCAACATAACAAAAGAGGACAAAAGGGCACAATGGCATACCTGTGTGTGTGTGTGTGTGTGCAAAAATTGAAAACTATAGATTAATGCACAAAGGTATAACATAACAAAACATGACAATAGTGTTGAATTCCTGTTCGAAGAACTATTAATATGCAAGTAGTTCAAACATATATAAAATTATATATGCAAATACTTTACATACATTTAAGAAGGGCCTCTAAAAATGCTAACAAAACAGTGAGGAATTATGTACAAAACCTGATTAAGAGAAAAGCCATTGTCAACACGTGGAGGGTGAAAAGAAACCTGCAAAAATTGGAGAAGAATGTACACAACGAGAGAACCTAAATGGAGACCTCCTGCTTTGTCTAATAAGGGGAATCAAAATCTATAACTGAAGTTACGTACAAACTAAGAGACAACCAAGGCACCGAAAAGTGTACCATTTGCTACCTAAACAGATGACTTCTCCTTGTCTTCGACACCTGGGGTTGAGTCTGAAGTGCTTTCATCTCTGTCTTCACCTTTTCTAAGAGCTTCCCTAAGACCTAAGACGATGAATATGTTGGTGAGAGTGAGCATAGACTCAGCTCCACCATGCAGCCAATCGACGTTCGACAAGGATGTTCCGTAGTGAACCTTTGCTGTTTGGTGTGTGCACATTGATAAATTACACAAGAATTAAGATTCAAGCCATTTAACAAATTAGCAAGAGCTATTCTGCAGGAAAGACTCACCATATATTCCAGCAGGTACTGCAACAAAGCAAAAGATTATGAATGATTGTTAGTATTTGAAGTTCCATGGATTGAAATTCGAAAGGGACATGTTAACCATATATATCAATGATTACTTATCCCCTTGTTGTAAATTCAATTAATTTGCCAACAATTTAGCCAAAACAAGCACAAAACCCATCAATGTAGTAGTAATTCGACATCCTAAAATTTAGAATTAACTCAGCCAATTCGAATCTTCAAGTGAAAAATAAAATGTATTAACTATAAGCATCTACTGTTATAACGACCAAAAAGCCCTAATTCAAAGTTCGTTAAGAGCAAAAGAAACTTACTTGTGGCGCCAACGAAGGCAAGCAAGAAGTAGAATCCAAAAAGGGTGAGTTTTGGGGCAGATTTTGATTTGGTGATGAAATACAAGAAACCCAGATAAGGAAACAGGGAGAAAGCAAAGAGCTGCGAAGCTATGCTCTCTGAATCGACTGTAGGCGCCCATGGATCCACTGGAAACAAAGATCCGTTGCAAACAATTCCATTTCCCTTCCTATATGTCATTCTTCTTCCATTTTCAGTTGGAGCCGAGTGTCTGAATTTGATTCGCTTCTTAGGAGTGAGAAGGGTCTCTCTGCTATTGCTCCATGGCCTCTTCATTAAACAATCATCTCTGCACAAGATTGAACAGCTCATTAATGAAGGATTCTTGAGAAAGGGTTGAATTTGCACGAAACCAGTCATTCTTTCCCTCCCCTAAAACGATTCACTTGTTCGAAGGTGTATGATTCACATCATATCCATTCCGGGTGGCAGTCAGAGACCGAGAGTCCAGACATTGCTTGTCGATACCTACATCGTGGGCTCGAAGATGGCCCTACAGTCTAGAGATAACACAGAAAATGTTAGCCCATTTAATTGAAATACCACGAGACTATGTAAAGAAAATCAGAAGTATTTCTGCAACAAAAAAGGCTATTTGGTTTTGATTGATCACTTTTCTCTCTTGATTAGGTTAAGAAATTAAAGCCCCATAACTGTATGTTCTTAAATTTCTTGATTTGAAATTTTTTAATTTTATCTGGACAAACCTAACCCCCTCACTAATGCCGTACCTGCATACTTTGAGCAGATTTCCAGCAAATGCACAGATCAATGACCGCGGTAAATGCAGTAATTAATTTTTATTCACATATCTTATGTGAGTCTTTCTGCTCATAGCGCACACTGCAAAGAACTTCGATATAAACGATCTTCCACCTAATCAGTTAACATCCATCTGCAACAAATTGCTTCAAGAAACGATGGCAACAAATGTAGCAGGTTTCAGTTGGCCGTTAATCTTGTTAAACAGAGAGAATAAATCCTGTTACCCTGGTTTCAATTGCCCAAAAATCCCTTGCAAATTGTGGACAATTTCCAAAGTGGGAAGAGCTTGTTCATCTTCCACATCAGGTTTAGCTCCAAAAAATCTTGAAGTTAAAGAATTAAAGCTTCTCTGGGATGACGGCTATGGAACTCAGACAGTGAAAGATTATCTAGAAGCAGCAAGAGATATGACTAACCATGATGATGCTGGACCTCCCCGGTGGTTCTGCCCAATAGAATCTGGCCCTCCCCTGAAGAACTCACCTGTCCTCTTCTATTTACCTGGTACTGTTGCATCGAATTTTGGCGCCAAGTGTAATGTTTTTCATATTGTTTTTCACTTGTGCAGGACTGGATGGTGTTGGCATGGGCATGATCTTGCATCACAAGCCACTTGGCAAGGTTTTCGAACTCCGATGTATGCACATTCCTGTTCGGGACAGAACTCCATACCAACAGCTGGTGCGATTTGTTGAAACTGCTGTGAGGATCGAGTACGCCTCTCATCCAAATAGGCCGATATATTTGGTTGGAGACTCTTTTGGAGGATGCCTAGCCCTTTCTGTTGCAGCTGCCAATCCTACAATAGATTTAGTACTGATATTAGTCAATCCAGGTACATACATGATCTTGATCTGTTCTTTTTACTTCCATGAGCAACTAATACTTCTTTTCTGGAATGTTCTGCAGCAACATCATTTAACATGTCGCAGCTGCAGCCATTGATCCCCCTTTTGGAGGCCGTACCTGAAGAATTATACAAATTTCTTCCTTACCTGTTCACCACAACTTTCGGAAATCCAATCAAGATGTCCAACATGGTAAACATCACGAATCCATCAAGTTCTCCAGCAAAAAAACTCGAGAAGCTTATCCTCCAGGCTTCTGTTTTGCTCGATAAAATCGTAAGTGTTCCTGATATATTATTGCCCAAGCAAACCTTGATCTGGAAGATAGAACTGCTCAAGACTGCTGCTGCACATTCGAATTCCCGTCTCCACACTTTTCGTGGCGAAGTACTTATTCTTGCTAGCGGTAAAGATTCTGTACTTCCTAGCAAATCCGAGGCCGGAAGACTCACAGATACACTAAAGAATTGCAGGGTCAGGTTCTTCAAGGACAATGGCCACCTACTTCTGATGGAAGAAGGGATTAATCTATTGAGTTTACTGAAAGGCCTTGGCATGTTCCGTCGTTCTAAAAAACACCATGACATCTCCGATTTTCTTCCTCCAAGCAAGGCAGAATTCCAAACTCTATTCGATCGAGATTTTCGATTCTATCGCATTGCCACTAGTCCAGTCATGCTATCAACTCTACCAGATGGAAAGATGGTTAAAGGCCTCGCCGGAATTCCTCAGCAAGGCCCTGTTTTGCTTGTCGGCAATCACATGCTTCTTGGAGTTGACCTCATTTCCATTGCCGAAGGCTTTCTAAGAGAAAGAAATATATTGATTCGTGGCCTGGCACATCCAGCAGTATTCACCAAGGATATGGATAAACATTTGCAAGAAGTATCGTTATTTGATTCTTTCAGAGTTTTTGGTGCAGTACCTGCGACGCCAACAAACTTCTTCAAACTATTGTCAAAGAAATCCCACGTGCTTCTTTATCCAGGCGGGGTTCGGGAAGCCCTGCATGGTAAAGGAGAACTACACAAACTATTCTGGCTAGATGAACCTGAATTTGTAAGGATGGCAATAAAATACAGAGCAACAATTGTACCTTTTGGAGCTGTTGGTGAAGATGATCTATTTGAGATGTTCCTTGACTATGAAGATCTGGCAGGAATACCTGTTTTGAAGAATAAAATTGAGGGCATTCGCATTGATAGGAATGTTGCTACGTTAAAGAGAGGAAATCAAAGAGAAGAAGAAACCAACAAGCCAGATTATTTCATACCTGGGCTCTACCCCAAAGTGCCTGGTCGGTTATACTTTCTATTTGGAAAGCCAATAGAGACAAAAGGTAAGGAAGAGCTATTGAAAGACAATATCAAGGTGAAAGAACTTTACCTTGAGATAAAATCTGGTGTTGAACAGAATATAGCATATTTATTAGAGAAGCGGGAGGAGGATCCATACCGTCAGCTCTCTGAGAGGTTGTTCTACCGTGCGATTTCATCGCCTGCTCATCAAATCCCATCTTTTGATCCATGAAGTCACTTCTATTAGCAAACACACACACACATATATCTATATATATATATATATGCCCAAGACACATTCTCAAGACAATACACACAGCACAGAAATTAAGACACTTCATACGATATTCGATATCTTGCTCACGTTCTGATGAATGAAAATTCAGGATCTGACTCATAATATAGCCCCAATTGCTCAATCAACATCAGCAAGATAACAAGTTTAGTAAAGCATTTTGAAAAGAATGCCACTTCCTTACAAAGATAATGTCATAGGAAGAAACAAAAATAAGAACCAAATCTATCATTAATGTCACTCAAGTAATTTTCTTGCAAATAAAAGCGCAATGCGAATATTACCTAAAATCCAACTTAAGAAGAAACAAAGAAAAGAATCGCACACCGCTAGGTCATCCCTTATAGTACCCTAAAAATACAACTTTGATTTCATTCAAATATTACTCTACCAAATGCTTTATAGTCTGAAGAACCTGCAGAGATCTCCATTGTCTCTAGAGATCTATATCGATATGTTCAGCTATAGCTGTGTTCATCATATACATATATGTTTGGTCACGGGGATAATGAAATATGAAAAGCAGTTGACAAATCGGATTTCCGCAAGACTAGGTCTAGAATCTAGTGATTGCTCAATTGAGCCAATTCATTAGATACACAAACCATGGATGTGCACACAACTGTACACAATCAACCTAATATCCTCATAAACAGATAATCCAAATTCCAAAAACAAATATATTTCCCACCTCATTCAGATCTATTTATTGTATGTCCAATCATCAAGTTGGAACATCTCTAAGCATATTAAAAAGTACAGCGCTGGTAAATGTCCATGATAATTTTCCCATAAATTACATATACACATTAACTTATAAAAACACAAATTTCTGTTACTTTTAGGGTGATCGAGGAATATGATGTCAAGATGTATATATTAAAAGTTAAAGGCATACAAAGTCCATGCTCATATGAGTTACAATTCAAGGGAGGATGTACGTAGTCCATGCTCATATAAACTGAAACGAGATCAAACAACAAAATTTACAGGTCAAGGGGATTGCATCCTTTTGCAGAGTAAAACATTTAAGAATAATTGCAAATCACTATATTTTAAATAAATATTCGTGACCATCCACCGAAGATAAGCAACAAACAAATTCTTGATGCAATTTTGTCATTGGATTATTCCAAAATTAAAGCTGTATTTACCAAAAATAGGAATGAATTAATAACTTTTGAACAGTGTTTGTAAATAATCCCATCCAAATTATCGAAAATCCAAGATTGAAAAAGAAACATTCAAGATTGGACTTCCTTCTCGTCCCCGGTAGCCATGGGAGCTTCCTTCGCCGCAATCCCGTTTTTCAACGCCTTCATGGCCGCCTCAAGATTTTCAAGGTCTTCAAACTCTAAGTTCTCTATCATCTTACCCCAGGCTGGTCGTTCATCCGCCATGGCCTTAGAAATTATATTACAAATCTTTTCTGGCAGTTTCTCCTCCTTCTCGACCCGAGACGTGCCAAACTGTTCCGCACTTCCCGTAGCCATGCCAGAAGCATGATCAGCCTGTAGATAACACTCGACCACTTGATCTACCAGAGTATTACTGTAGGCGAACAGGTTTCCAGCGTTGGAGAAAACAATAACCGCGACCTCGCCGCCGCATAAGTCGCAGAGATTTTCCGCTTTCCTGCAAAGGCCATTCCTCCGCTTCGTGAAAGCAGTGTTCCGCTTCGCTTTATCCTCTATTGGCTTGATTTCCAACCTTTTCTTCCCCATGTATGAACGAATTTCAGGATCGATCACTAGGATTTCATTATTCCGACCGAATTCACTATGGTTTCGTTATTCATACTTCACTAGGGTTTCTTTATTCCCAATCTCAGCAGAATTACAAATTGATTGCTTGCGGCTCAAGGCCATTGCATCTTTCAGTTTTCTTTGGAAAGAGCCCAACGGGCCCACTTCTTTTTCTTTTTTAATTAAACTTTTCTTTTTTATTAATTTAAATAATAATTACATTGTACCAATTTTCTCCATTGGCTTCCATTTCTCAGCAGCAGTGACAAGTGCTTTAATGGCGGACCCATCTTCCCCGAGAGCTCCACGCGCCGCCTCCCGGAGATCCTTCGTCCGGCGCCGCACCTCCGCTCCTTCTTCCCCTTCCATCAACTCTCTCACCACCCTCGCAATCTCCTCGCCATCCACTGCGCCGTCATCGTCCTCGTCCTCCCTAACCCTAAATCGCAGCGCCACTTTCAGCTCTCGGCACAACAGGTCGGCGTTCATTTCCTGCTCGCCGAAGAGCGGCCACGCGATCAAAGGAACTCCATGAACGATGCTCTCCAACGTTGAATTCCATCCGCAGTGCGTCAGAAATCCGCCAACCGCCGGGTGCCTCAGGATCTCAATTTGAGGAGCCCACCGTCGCAGCACGAAGCCGTTTCCCGCCGTCCTCGCAATAAAACCCGCCGGAAAGTACTCGACAGGTTCCGGCGCATCACGTTCGCCGCCGCCGGTAAAATATTGGGCATGGCGGAGCCTATCGTTCGGTTTTCCGGCGACGAGAATAAATCTCCGGCCACTCATTTCCAATCCCCTCGCCAATTCTTTCAACTGTACGGTCGACAAGGTTCCCCCGCTGCCAAACGCCACGTACACAACCGACCCGTCGTCCTGCTTGTCTAGCCACTCCAAACACTCCCTGTCGTCGTCTCCACCATTTCCCGAGCCCGCACGGACCAACGGGCCGACAGGGTAAACCGGTGGAACAGGACCCGAACCGCCGGGTTCCGCAAAAAACCGGAAAGCATCCGGCTCCATATCGGGGAAGGAATTGACCAAAATGCCCTCGGCTAGTCTGAACTTCCTACACATCGCCACGATCACTTGAAAATTCTGAGCTTCTCCGTCCAGGCCCGTATCCAGAGCCCGGCCCGACAGGTCCAGCGGCTCCGGCTCCGGCTCCAGCTCAGGTGGAAAGTATAAGAAAGCACAAGATAACGCCTTGGCTCCACTAGAGTAGAACAGGTACGCCGGAATGCCTAACTCCTTCACCGCCGGTAATGTAAATGCGCCGAAGAGGTCAGCCACGTAAGCCGAGAGCCGAGCCGACTGGTGCAGCTCGCGCAGCAATTGCAGGAGACCTGGAATAAATCGGAGGACAGTGATCACTACCCTGGTTTCGATCAGTGCGTTTTCAGGGAAGTCGTGGGGGGCGCAGACAGGCGGGAGAAAGACTGGAATTATGCCTGGATCCGTCGGGAAGAGGTTTTTTAACGATTGGGATCCGGCGTCGGCGACGGCGACGGTGATAGTGAAGCCGTGGAGGCGTCGGAGCTTGCGAGCTAACTCAATAATGGGAATTAGATGGCCTTTCCCGGCGGTGGAGAACATTGCAATGTGAGGCTGTGGATGAGTTAACATGGCGGATTATTGTTTCGGGAGTATCGATTCGATATGGTCCGTCTGTCTGTGTGTCTGTCTGTCTGTACTGAAACGATTGACGAGGATGATGATGAAATAGGAGAGTTGAGAGTGGAGGGAGCTGTCGTGTGGTAGCAATTACTGGGCACAGAAAGTGAGGGTTGCTATTAATGGCGTGCAGTGGCAAATAGTCAGATCAGTCAGTGCCCAGTGGAGGTGTCGCCCACTGCTGTTCAAATTATTGTAAACAACAAAACATTATTTGATTCGACCACTTATCCCAAAAGTGAGAAATTATTTGCATTGCTTCAATCTCGTCCTTGGAAAATATATCGTCACACCTTTTTATATTGTATATTTGTGCCTTGTCTCGGGTATTAAGGGTGTGTTTGTTTGGGGGTTTGAATTTTGAGTTGGGATTTGAATAGTAAAATTTTTGAATTTGAATAGTTGTATGATGTGATATAAATAGGTGATGATGTGATGTTTTGAATGTAAAATTGATTTTTAGTATAATATAAAAAATAAAAAATAGGTGTTTGATTTGATGTTTTTGGGAAGAAAATTTTGGATGAACAGTGGAATTTAATCCAAATCCATCAAACGAACACACCCTTAAATGAATATTGGATTCTAGTACTGATAAGAACAGCTCATGCTACGTATCTCCTCAGCAAATATATTCTCCCACGTGTCGTTGTTCGTTGTCATTTCTGTCAGATCTTTATACCATATCATTTTTTTTTTTTCGGAAAGGAGATAGTATTTTACTAGCGTGTACGATCCAATGGGATTGTTACTAGCGTGTTTTTTTTCATCAAACTTTCTATGTTTAATTTATTTTTTCTAAAAAATATAAATATATTATATTTTTTTACAAACCAAAGTTTTTTTCGAATCGATAAAAAGAAAAAGCACACCAGTACAAGCAGAAACCCTTAAAAAGGAAAAAGAACGTTCAATTGATCAAAAATAGTTGTATTATTTAAATCACTCCAATTTTTTGCGCCAAATTAGCAACAGCTTTACTGGTCTCTCCCATGGCAGCGCCGGCGGCTTCCTTGAGTTCTCTCGCCCTCCGCCCCTTCCATCACTTTCCTCACCAGCTTCGCTATCTGATCGCCGTCCACAACGCCGTTCTCGTTCTCCATCACCCTCACCGCCACGCGCAGCCCTTATTGAGCGTTACTAAACGACAAGATTGTCGGCCGAGTGGGGTATACTTGAGAAGGTGGGTTAATAAGGGGCCTAGAAGACTCGAGAGGCAAGGGCTTTTACTATTATTATTAATATTATTATTATTTAGACAATAATTTGTAAGCAAAATTATGAAGTACATGAATGCCCAATGCTATATTCTATAAAGTTTGTATACTACCTCGGTCCCCAAAAAAAAAAAAAAAAAAAAAAGTAATATTCATTTTTTACATTTATGTAAAAGTAATATTTAATAATATTTTGTATGATATAAAAGTAATGATATTTATGTAATATATTGGAGTATTAATTATGTTAGGTATATATTGTATCTTTGTTTTAGAACGAATAAAAATAAAAAATTGTATTTTTTTTATAAGACGGAGGGAGTATTATACTTGAAATATTTATTTCAGAACATCGTTTCTGTATATTTCCCTTTAGTTAGTAATCACCTTAGATTTACTGCAAAGAAAGACCATCTCTAACATTCAAGTGAAATATAATTATTAGATTATTGATATGACGGGCTATTACAAATGTTTTATTTGCAAAATTCATAGGGTGTGTTTACCTGCCCGTTAAAATTTTGAAATGAAATAATTGTTTGATATAATATAAATATATATTGATGTGATATTTTGAATATAAAATTAGATTTTAGTTTAATAAAATAAATAAAAATTGAATATTTGATTTGATGTTTTCAGAGGAAAAAGAAAATTAGAATAGTAAAATCAGAGATAAAATCTTACAAGTAAACACACCCGTAATGATTTAGGCCCTACTTATATAAATATATCGCTCTGATTTTCATACTGATTACAAACTCTCATCATGATCCAAATCACATTCCGTGAATCGAAAGGGTAAGTCTACTCATCTATTCACTAATCTTGTATGCCGGAGCAATTTTACAAGACGGCTAAGCATAGTTCACTTCCATTGATCAATCAAGAAACTTGCCGTCACTTCTTTTTCTACTATATTATGATTTTTTGTAATATTTATAAGAAAGCGTATTAATTTAATTTTTTTTTTTTTTTTCGCGGTTAACACATCAATATCTCAACTGCGCTATGTCTTCAAGAATGTAACACTTAATTTATATCCAAATCTTATTGGAGGTAGTATTATAAAAGTAATACGGGTTCCATTGTTTTGTGAAATGGTTTGAAGGTGTATTTTTTTTATATAAGATATAGAATAATGAAATATGTGTAATATATTAATTTTTATTTTAAAGAAAACGTGTATTTTTATTTATTTCAAAAAGAACACAGTCTAAATTATTTGTATATTTGGTTCAATTCAATTTGTTCAATTCACGAACTCGAACTTTGGTAGTAACCATTAAATAGTATTCATTAGAAATTTAAAATTAAGATTTTTAAAATGATAATAATATACTTATATATTTATACAAAATTTATTAATAAAATTAATAACAATAGTTTGTTTTTAATCTATTGGGTAGAAATAGAAAAGCGATTAATAGAAACATATCCTTCCGCTTGAGGCGTGTATAACTCACTTATGCAAAATTAATATATTTGAATGCTAAGTGGATCTATGTATATATTAATAATTATGTAATTGGATTATTTTTTTACCAATGGCGTGCAGTAGCAATGTTCAGTGTCCGGTGAGCGAGCAAAATATCAAAAATTCGATTTTGAATTTTCGACTGAGTTCGAACTGAAAATTTTATAAAAGATTAATTTTTAGATCTATATAATAATAGAAAGCATAAATATATCCGAAATAATATTTTAATATATTTTAATATTATATAGATTAAATAAACTCAAAATTATTAATTATATTTTAGTATACTTTTTTTTATTTAAATTTTATAAAATAATTATAAAAATACAAAATAAAATTAAAATTATAAAAATAAATAAATTCTGGATTAATTCGAATTTTCCAATTTGATTCAAACTATAAATAAAATATTGGATTCTTTGTAGCAGTGAATAGGCTAGAACAGCACGTGCTACATATCTCCATTGGGCGAAACAATTAGATAGAAGCATCATATTACGTCACAGTTACATTCTCTCCATTCAATTCATCACTAAAGTAAAAATACCATATTACGTCACAGTTACTTTCTCTGTCACTCCAATTCTTTTCGCCAAATCAGCAACAGCTTTATTGCACGACCCGTCTTCTCCCATGGCCGCGCCGGCAGCTTCCTTGAGTTCTCTCGCCCTCCGCCGCAGCTCCGCGCCCTCCGCCCCTTCCATTACTTTACTCACCAGCTTCGCTATCTGATCGCCGTCCACAACGCCGTTCTCGTCCTCCCTCACCCTCACAGCCACGCGCAGCCCTTCGCTCAGCAGCGCCGCGTTCATCTTCTGATCCCCAAACAGCGGCCACGCGATCAGCGGCACGCCGCCGTAGACCAGGCTCTCCAGCGTCGAATTCCACCCACAGTGCGTCAGAAACCCTCCCACCGCCGCGTGCCGAAGCACCTCCACCTGAGGAACCCAGTTCGCCACCACGAACCCCTTCCCGGACTTCACCCTCTCCATGAAAGACGCCGGAAAATATTCGCCGGGATCCATTTTCCCCTCGCCGGAGAAATACGCTCCGGTCCGAACAAGATCGTCGGGCCTTCTCGCCACCAGAAGAAATCTCTGCCCGCTCCCTTCCAGGCCGGCGGCCAATTCCTTCATCTGCAAACTGGAGAGCGTCCCCCCGCTCCCAAACGACACAAATAACACCATTAAAAATATATTAATATATTATTATTTTTATATATTTTTAAAATATTAAAAGTTGATTATTTTTTATATTATGAAATAATTGTAAAAAATATTTTTGTTGAATTATAAATATATATCAAATAATTTTAATTAAAAAGTGAAAATAACAATAAATATGACCTACAATATGATTATATTGAAAACATGGTCGTGAACATGACCTAGAACATAGTTGTATTGAGAACATGGGCAAGAATATGACCTAGAACATGGCTGTGTTGAGAACATGGAGAAGAACATGGTTGTGTTCAGAACACGGGCAGCAACACGGCCGTGTTCAGAAGTGCAGGGATTACAATACGGCCGTGTTCCCTGCCTGGGACGCCCAGTCACCTTCTGAGTCATCCACCACGGCCGTGTTCAAGCCAACACGGCCATGTTCAGTCCCAATCGACCATCTTGGGACTAAAATTGATAAATTTTCATTTGAGTGAGACCAAAATTGATAATTTTTTTTTTAATATGACTAAAATTGATAATTATGATATTAAATGAGACCAAAATGATTTTTATTCATATTAGTATTATATTAGTTTGTAGTAAGACGAAAATGCCCCTATTAGTATGGTATGTCATAAAAGTGATGACATTTGTGTAATAAATTGTAAGTTGTAAGGGTATTTTATTATGTTAGGTAGATAGTAAAATTACTAAATTACTAAATTAAGAAATAATATCCTTCTATTGGGATAAATAAAAATAAAAAATAGTATCATTCTTATTAGACGGATGGAGTAATATATATTAAATTTAGTTTAACACTATCAATATAACGAAGTACATAATAAAATATTATTATTACTCACTATTATTAACTAATTGAATATAATTATTTTAAATAATATTATAAATTAAAATTAAAATAACTAAATAATATAATCCCTCCGTCTCGTTGGAAGGGTGACGTTTGCTTTTTGCACGTAGATTTTTTAATATTAGTATTATATTATATTGTAGTAAAAAAAGACGAGAATACCCTTATTAGTATGGTGTAATATAAAAGTAATGACATTTGTGTAATATATTGTAAGTTAAAAAGGTATTTATTATATTATGTAAGTAGTACAATTACTAAATTAGGAAATGATAATCTTGTTTTGGGACGGACGAAAATAAAAAATGATAACCTTCTAATAGGACGGAGGGAGTAAATAAGATTAAAAATTATAAATTATAAAATTTTAAATGAAATTAAAATATATAATTATATTTGTTAAAAAAAAAAAAAAAAACCAAATAAAATTAAAAGGCAAGAATATTACTTATCCAATCTCTTTAAAAAAAAAAAAACATCTGATCAATCAATTCCACTAAACAAACAAACACATTGTACATTCCTCAACCACATAATCTACCTACCAGTTCTCACTGATGACTAGGGAAGGACTTCTATGAAATGGTTTCATGGAGTACTCCCTCTTCCCAATCTTATTGACACATTTCTTTTTTTTGTTTGTTACAAAAAATTGATTTTTACTCTAAATCTTAAATACTAATCTTCATCCCAAATATCCTATAATATTTCTTTTTTGTTATGTCCCAAACATCATGCAATATTTTTAAAATAGAAAATAATTAATTATATTTAATCTCTACCTCACATTTATCCCCTCACATCATCCAAATAAAAAAATAAATATATATTTATCTCTCTATCACATCACCTAATTTATGAATTATCCTACTTAATACTACTCACCTAAAAATCTGTGTCAAAGGTAAATATTGCACCTTATTTGGAATGGATGTAGTATTTTTCTATACATTCACAACAGTCTGTCAATTGGACCCACATCCGGATCCGGAATCTCATATGCATAATGGATACCGGATTATATATGGATTCAAATTTTGTAGTTCCTCGGTCCCACGTAATTTTACCTTATTTTCTATTTTCGTTCGTCCCACATAATTTGTCCATTCCTTTTTTGACAATATAATTATACACTCTAATCTTATTTTAAATTTTAAATTTTATAATTTTTTTTAATCTTAATTAAACTATTTAGTTATCTTAATCTTAATCCACAATTATTTTTATTATACAATAATTATTTTTACTAATATACTTCTTAATTACTTACTAGTCATACTTTACCTAAATTCTCGTATCTACAGTAATAGATCCATAATACATGGAACGAAAAGAGTATTTTTAATTCCGATTCGAAGTTCCAGATGTTTATATATATATATATATTTATTATTAATTAGTATATTGTATAACAATATATTATTTAACTTATCTTTGCCATCATGACGTTATTAATTTTTGCAAATATTGATAAATTTTATGTAATTGATTCAAACCAATATTCAAACATTATTTGTTGGACACTCCCTCTATCTCATGTAATATACTGTAGATACGTGAATTTAGGTAAAGTATAATTAGTAAGTAATTAAGAAGTGTATCAGTAAAAATAATTATTATTTAATAAAAATATTTATAGATTAAGATTAAGATAAGTAAATAGTTTAATTAAGATTAAGAAAATTATAAAATTTAAAATTTAAAATACGATTAAAGTGCATAATTATATTTCCAAAAATGGAATGGACAAATTAGGTGGGACGGACGAAAATAAAAAATAGGGACAAATTATGTGGGACGGAGGGAGTATTAGATTTAGAATCGGATCCGAATCGAACCAAATCTGATTGGACCGGATTCGGTAAGCATTTTTTAGTTTTGGATTCGAAAACCGTAATTAGAGGTCGCATCCGGATCTGGAACACCACAATTCAAACCAGATCCGACCCATTGAAATGCCTATGATCACACTTCTTACATTTGTTTTACTTTAATTCAAAATTTATATTATTATCATTATAAAAATTTTAATTATATTTTTATAAAAAAATATTAAAATATTGTTTTTTTAATTATTATCTCAAAAATTTGAGCACACTTTTACAAAACAGGATAGAATATTATTTTATTTAATTAATAAGTTTTGTATAAAATTCTTAAGTTGAGTATAGCATTATCATTTTTAATAATATAAAATTAAGTTCAAATAAATTGAATTGCGAATTTACAATCTTCCTTCACTGGATAAGTTTATATTTATCTCTCACCTCGTTACTTTTAATATTAAAAATATTATGTAATATATTTGTAATATAAAATATTTTAAAAAAAATATTTTTGTCCTTTTTTATTTATACTATATTTTAATACCCCTTCGCTCATTTTCTATTTTTGTCCGTCCTATAAAACAAGGTTATCATTTTCTAATTTAGTAATTGTACTATCTCCCTAACATAATAAATACACTTCCAACTTACACTATATTAAACAAATGTCATTATTTTTTTATTACATAATACTAATAAGGGTATTTTCGTTTTTTTCACTACAATCAATTAGAATACTAATATTAACAAATCTACGTGCAAAAAGTAATCGACAACCTTTCATCGACAACCTTTCATCGATACGATATTTTTATATTTTTATGATTAGTTTTTACAAATGGCTACCGTGATTACTAGGGTCATTCAAAATAGGGAAACTTTTCATGGGTTTATTTTTATTTTTTTTACAAATATTCATAATTATTTTTTACACACACATTAAATGTCTTAATTTTTTTTTTTTTCATTTCATATTTTAATAAATGTTTAAAAATATATGTATACTTTCATATTTTCTTTTTACAATATGTAATAAAAATAGAACAATTAGGTTTTTTATCAAGACAAATAATTAAATAAAAAAATCATTTTTAAATGTCGCACTCAAATTAATAATAATACTAATAAGAATTTTGTTGTTTAGTAACGCTAGATTCGGCGGATAACATAACGTGTTTTTGTATGTACCTGTCTTTTTCTTTGATCTCAGAAAATTTAAGATATTTATTATTTGGATATGCATTTTCCACAAAAAAAGACATATCATATATTTCTGATTGTTTAAATTTTATGATATATTATTTTAATATTAAATTTAAATTAAAAATTTTCAAATTTCATTCAAAGAAATACTGTGTATTTTTAATGCTGATTGTTTAAATTTTATGATATATTATTTTAATATTAAATTTAAATTACAAATTTTCAAACTTCATTCAAAGAAATACTGTGTGTTTTTAATGCTGATTGTTTAAATTTTATGATATATTATTTTTGTCCCAATTAAGTTGTCATCTTTAACTTAAATACAGAGTTTTATATATTGTCTAATTACTAAGTACTTAAAAAGTATTAATAAAAATAATTACAATTTAATTAAAATAATTATATATTAATATTAAAATAACTAATTTGATAGGATAAAATATAAATAAATTTAAAATAATTATAAGTTTTATTTGAGTTATGATTTACTTACTCAATATTATTTGTTTGTTTTTATTTTTGTTACTATATATATTATTTAGTATGTTGTTTGAACATTATTCATTATTCACCACTGAAAGCAAACAACCATATATAAATGACGACAAATTTCTTTTAAATTTATTTTGATCTTTAATTTAAAGATGATTATGAATAATTATTTTTTATTTCTATTATGTTTGAATTTAAATTGTAATATATATTAATGAATTTTTGATTCGCTTACTTAATATTCTTTTATTTTGTTTAGTTACCGTATTTTTTATTTATAATTTATTTTTTATATAAATTACTTTTAGCTATATTTATACAAAATTTTATTATCAAAATAAAATTTATTATTTAAAATATAAAAATTAAATTAATATTACAATTTCTATAACACTGGTAATAGGCTAGTTTATAATATTTATACAGTAAACTAAAACTTTCTATAACATGAAATAGTATTTATCTTTTTATTAGAAGAATGAAAATAAAATACTGCTAATACTAATAAAAAAACTGGAACCAAAGTTTGAAATTGATTATTTAATTTTAAAATAAAATATATTATTTCAAACAATAATTTTAAAAATATAAAAAAATATTTATCGTAATTTTTTGAATAAACAAATTTATCAGTTCTAATATTTACTGTCAAAACACATGGGATAAATAAAAAATAGTTTCCTCCATCACTCGTCCACTTTTACACGTCTTCTCCAAGGCGACAGGAAATAAAAAAAGCGTACACTATGAATATAAATTAAATGTTTATATAATAAAATTAAATAAAATAAGTATTTATTTATTTATAATTAATAAAATTAATTTTATAAATTTTGAGTATATATATATATAATACTCTATTAAAGAAAGAAATTTTAAGTAAACTAAATATGATAGTAATATTAAAAAATAAAAAAATAGAATATAATGTTAATTTGACTGCAACCAAACTTTACCCTTAATTTGAGTATATATTTGCGTTAAACAGGTGAATATATGCTTTGGGAACGAATCAAGAAAATATAATAAATAATGGAATCAAATCACAAGTTAGGTTTGAATTTAATTTTAAATTTTAAAATAATAAATTTTGAATCAAATAAAGTAAATTTGGCCCTCAAACGTTCATACTATGCGTGTGTTTGTTTGAGATTTTATATTTTGAATCGAGATTTAAATAATAAAATTTTTGAGCTGATTGTAATATAAATAAATTGATATTTTAAATTTAAAAATATTTTTAATATAATAAAATAATAAAAAATAAATATTTGATTTTAAGTTTTTTTTAAAGAAGAAATTCATAAATACTGTAGTTTTGGAAGAGGATTCTACAACCGAACACACATAGGTATATTCTGCGTTTTCGAAAATAATATATATATATATATTTCTTTACAAATTATTTTAGTTTTTTAATATTAAATTTAAATTAAATTTTTTTGGAAGGCATCAAAAGAACCGTATCCTTAGCTTTGTTCACATAGAATTTTGTTCCAATTTCAATATATAAAACATTAAACAAATAAATCTATCTAATTGTATAAATAAATACGGATTATTTTTTATTATAATATTTTAAATAAAAAATTTGATTATTACTCATGAAACACGCCTAAATATATAAGAGAGCTTCCTCCTTCATCAATCATCCACCCACACCTTCTCCGAATGAATTACTCCGCCACCGCCATGGAAGCAGTAGCACAGCCACAGCCCCATGTTGCGATGTTCGCGGCCACAGGGAAGGGCCACCTCTTCCCGCTCATCGAGCTAGCCCGCAAGCTCCTCCGATGCCAAAGCTTCGCCGTCACCGTCATCATCCCCGACGACGGCTCCTCCCTGGAACCCCAGAAGGACCTCCTCCGTACAGTTCCAGGCACCAATCTCGCCCTGCTACCTCCCGTCAGCCTCGACGACATTCCTCCCACTGCACCCATCGAAATCCCCATCATCCTCAGCGTCACCCGCTCCATTCCCGCCCTCCGCCGCGTCCTCGCCGACCTCCAGTCGTCGGTGCACCTCACGGCGTTTATCGCCGACGTCTTCGGAGTCCATGCCTTTCCGATGGTAAAGGAATTGGGAATTCAGATCTACCTGTTCCAGCCCAGCCCTGCAATGATGATGTCCCTGGTTCTGCACTTGCCCCAGCTCGACCAGTCGTGCACGTGTCAGTTCAGGGACCTTCCCGAGCCGGTGAAGCTGCCGGGGTGCGTGCCCGTTAACGGGTCGGACTTATTTGACCCGATTCAGGATAGGCAGAGCGAGGTCTACAAATCGGTGCTTGAGATGTTCGGCCATTTCAAGGAAGCCGATGGGGTTTTGATCAACAGCTTTCCGGCCATGGAAGAGGATACTTTCAAGGCATTGGAGGAAGCTTGTGAATCCGGCGGTTTTCCGCCGGTTTACCCGATCGGACCGGTGATCCGGTCAGGTTCGGAGAATTGTAATAGCAAGGAGGAATGCCTGAAATGGCTGGATGAACAGCCCGACAGGTCGGTGTTATTTGTGTCGTTTGGGAGCGGGGGGACGCTGTCGAGTTTGCAGATGAAGGAACTGGCCGCCGGACTGGAGGGGAGCGGGCAGAGATTTCTTCTGGTGGCGAGAAGGCCCAACGATCTTGTTCGGACCGGAGCGTATTTCTCCGGCAAGGGGGAAATGGATCCCGGCGTATATTTTCCGGCGTCTTTCATGGAGAAGGTGAAGGCCGGGAAGGGGTTCGTGGTGACGAATTGGGTTCCTCAGGTGGAGGTGCTCCGGCACGCGGCGGTGGGAGGGTTTCTGACGCACTGTGGGTGGAACTCGGCGCTGGAGAGCGTGGTGCACGGCGGCGTGCCGCTGATTGCGTGGCCGCTGTTTGCGGAGCAGAAGATGAACGCGGTGCTGCTGAGCGAAGGGCTGCGCGTGGCGGTGAGGGTGAGGGAGGGCGAGGACGGCGTTGTGGACGGCGATCAGATAGCGAAGCTGGTGAGAAAAGTGGTGGAAGGGGCGGAGGGCGCGGAGCTGCGGCGGAGGGCGAGAGAACTCAAGGAAGCTGCCGGCGCGGCCATGGGAGAAGACGGGTCGTGCAATAAAGCTGTTGCTGATTTGGCTCGAAAAGTTAGTGGGAAAAAGTAATTGTCACGTAATGCTGCTATACTTACTATTTTTAAATTAATGGAGTAATAAATTGGCCAGTGTTCCTTCCTTCAAAATTTGGACATACTTTTTAATTATGTTGAGGCAGACACGAAAAGAAAACAGCCATTGCAAAACATGACAACAAAAAAGAAGCCATTATCGATCAGCAGTTAGTTAGTCCAGTCCAGTCCAGTCCAGTTCAATCATCAAAAAACAACTAATTTGCTAAGTTCGTTCAACAAGACATGTCTAAGTTGAACACCTCCCCTTCTAGTCTGTCTGTCTGTCTGTTCTATTCACTCCTACTACTCCTGCTCTGCTTCTGCTAATTTGTTAGTGTAGCTTTCCAACTCTTTCTTGTATGCTTCCATTGCCTTAGCAGCCTTATCATTCCAAACTCGCTTCTCCTCTTCACTCAGTTCCTTCCACTTGACCGAAATCAGAGCATTCAGGGTCGAGTTGCTGATCCCGGGACGCTCCTCTGCTAAATTCTTCCTTGCATCTTTGCTGCAGAAACAACAAATATGTTATATTACTTGCATACACAACAGCATTATGTTCGAATAATCGAATCAAATTGAATTGAATTTAATCACACCTGAAGAGGAGGAATGAAGAAGCAGGCTTCTTTGGTTTATTTGGATCAACAATCTTGTCTCCCCCCTTCTTCTCTTTCTTCTTCTTCTCTTTGGTTTTCTGCAAACCACCATTAATACACATTTTAGTTCTCGGAGAATCGGAGAAATGCAAAATTATGGGCAAAAAAGGCGCAAACTTTGATGAGCGTTTCGGTTTTCTCCTTCTTCTTTAGCAGTTGCAGGGCTTCTTGCTTCTGAAGCTTTTGAAGCTCTTCTTCTTCTCTTTTAAGGTTGGAGGCTTCTTCCTCTTTCTTCTTCTTGTACACTTCCATCTCTTCCATGTACTGCTCCTTGTTCTTCATTGCCATCTGCAAAATTAATCAACCCAAATCATATAAATCCAAACTTCTGTAGTTCAATAATCATACAGACAAATGATAATGGCATTCCAACTAATGTATGAACCTGTTCATAAGGTGCTCTTTGTTCCTCAGTCATGCTTTTCCACTCCTCCCCAGTGGCCTTCGCAACCTGTTTTTCGACAATTCAAATATATGTCTAATGCAGCAGCTCCAAACAAACAACCCACTTCAAAAATGTAGAGATTGGGAATCAAGCAAGCCACAATTTTACCTCCAAGATGTTCTTGTTCTTCGCAAGCAGTGTAGTTCGACGCTCGTTCGAGTAGATGAAGTAGGCTGACATAGGTTGTTTCGGCTTCAATGGATCCTTTGTTTTCCTGTCAATGTAAAAGAACCACATAAAATTATTACCGAACAAACTTTAATGAGACTTGGTAAAAGTAAATAAATCGATGGCTGCCTACTTTGTTTTCTTGTTTTCTTTCTCAGATTCTTGTTTGAACTGAAGATATTGTTCGAGCAACTCCATAGCTGTCTTCTGTTTCTGCTCTTCCTCCAACAGCTTCATTGCTTCTTGCTCGCGCTTCTCGTTTCCGACTACCTTCAAATAGGCTTCCTTCTCAGCTTGATACCTCTCCTCATATGGCTTCTTCTCTTCGGCACTAACTGACTTCCATTTTGCCCCCAACAGGTTCGACATCTCCTTGAAATCTGCTTCTGGATTAGCTTTCTTCACCTGATTAATTTCATTATATTAGATCAGATCAGATTTCCAATCTCAGAAACACTTCGACAATTAGGATTCAAAAAATTATAATTCTAACCTCATTCCACAGATCTTTGAACCACAGAATATATGGTGGGGATGGCCTCTTTGTCGCATTCTTCTTCTTATCTTTCTTATCCTGTTCGTGATCTTTGACTGATAATCCAAAGGGTAGAGTCTGAAAAACAAAATTAAATCGGATATAACCAATTCTTGTCAAGATCTGGACAAGAAAAGAGAATAAAATCAAATTAATTAAGGCTAACCATGGTGGGCTTGAATTCCTTTATCTTTTGCAACTTCTTGAGTTCAATCTTGAGTTTCTCTTGTTCCTTGTCCTTTGTTTCGAGTTCTTCCTCCTTCTTCTTCAAAATCTCATCCGTCTGCTCCTTCTCAAGTTTCAATTTCTGGAGCTGCTCTTGCATTTTTTGCAGCTCCTCCTCCAGGGACGACTGCGCCTCCGATTGTTGCTGCTGTTGCTTTTTCCCCTTCGCAGCAGCCCCCTTTTTGGTTTTCTTCTGAACCAGGCTTTCCTGGTTCTCTTTCCCGGCAGAGATTTCCGGCGCCGTCGGAGGAGCAACGACGACAGGGGAAGGCACGGAGACGGTTCCAGCGGCAATGTTGGCCTCACTTGAGGAAGTAGTCTTCGATTTTAGGGGCTTCCTTGTTCTCCCCTTCTTGGTCGGCGCAGGATCGACAACGTTGGGAGTTTCCGCCACGGCTGCCATTGTTAGGGTTTCACGAGAGACTGAAGAGACGGAGAGAGAGTGATGAATGGTTGTGTGAGGAGCGGAGGAGAAAAGAAAAGCCTTTTAATGAAGGGCAAATCTAACGGTCGGGTATTTTCAAATTTGAAATTTTATAACCGTTGTGTAAATATAATATCTATATTTTGCGTTCTTTTTAAAATGTCAATAGATGATAGAGTTACCATACATAAATTATAACCGTTGTGTAAACATAATCCCTTTTGCGTTCTTTTTAAAATGTCAGTAGATAGAGTTACCATATAATAATCAACAAGCAAATTTTAAAAATAGTGTATATAATTATTGATTAAAAAATAGGGAATATAGATTATTTAATCGAAACGATATTACAATTAAAAATGACATATCATAAATTTTATAAATTAAAAAAAAAACACAAAAGAATATGGTCAATGATTTTTTTTTTATGTTCATTTTTCAAAATTTAACAATTGATCAATAATGTCAAAAATTCTAAAAATATATATATTTTTAAATAATTTATTATTATTTTTTTTTTAAAAAAAAAAGTATGTTAAAACATGTTCAATGGTAAAGAATTTGTTGAGGACTCCCGTTTGCGGGATATGTAACTAATGTCTTAGTTTCCCTAATAAGTTTGAGCTTTTAGGTTCGAGTCCCGCCCGTCCCCATTTGTGGCATATGCATGTGCAAGTTTCGCAGACCCACTTGCACCTGAGGGGGCGTTGTTCGAGCTTTTAGGTGAGACGGTTATTAGCCTTAATGCATCGTGATCAAGTGTACTAACTTTGTAACACTCAGAGAATTAAAAATAGTACAAAAATTAAGGATAAAACGCTTTTAGCTCCTGAATCAGCTTATTCATCAGCATGAGACAAGGCATGTGCTGCCAGGTAAGGACGCACGTGACAAGCAGAGTTTGGGCGCCACCCCCATACCCGTCACCGATTTTCTTCTTTAAGTAAATCATAAAAAATATTTGGATACTCTATCAGGTTGCTTATTATTAAAACAAAATAAATTTGTCAATTTCATACGGCCCATATTGTTTTAAGTATTCTTGTGACTAACAAAATTGTGCGAAATTACAATTAATTGAACGGACCATTAAATACTTCTTACAATTAAAACTTATTAGCTCAAATGTTTATTTTTTTTAATTTTTACTCAAAACATATATACTAATTTTTAAATAGATGCAATCTAAATATATATCATATTACCGTCCCGTTTAGAGAAAGACTTTTAAAGTTTTACATTTTAAATAAAATTTAAAATAGTAACAAAATTGTATTTGATGTAATATTTTATATGCGAAATAAATACACTCCCTAGGTCCTGTCTTAATATATACATTAACTTTAATTTTATCACAAGTTTTAAAAAATAATAATAATAATAATATTTTTTTATGTACACTGGATCATGCTTTAATATTTCCTTGAAAATTATAAAATGGTTAGTGGTGCAAACGAGACAATTGTTGGTTTTAAAATATTTATTCCAAAATATTAAAGGGAGGGAGCGCCGGCAGGTCCGGTAGCCGGTCGCCCGAAAAAGCCATGGGAATAAATAACGGCAAACAAACATGCGTATGCATTTGCAGAGCGCATAGCAGAGGGGAGGCGACCCCATACCCCATTCATTCATCCCTACCGCACCGCTCCGCACCGCATCACTTGCTGTTTTCGCAAGTGGCCTCTGCGGCGTTCTTCTCTCTTTGCCAAACGGCCAAACAACCTCTTACCTAATCGCTTGCTTGCTTGCGGAGAGAGAATGGCGGCAGTGGATAACAAGTTGCTTTCGCTCCGGATGTTTACCGCATTTCTTTTTGCTTTCGCGATCTTCGTGCCAGCCGTGCACGCTCAGGGAACCGACGCTTTGGCCCCCGCTCCGCCCCCGATGAGTGACGGTTAGTGCCAATTTTGGGTTGTTGTTGCGGGGCATTTTGATTTAGGGTTTAATTTCTTCCGGATTTTGAAATGCTCTTCAAGTTTTGCTCGGAATTTTGGGTTAATTATTTGATTCGAATTGAAAATTGCTGAAAATTGCTGGAATTTGGTTGCTTGGTTTGTATATTTTGAGAAATGTGAATTAATTTGGGGAAAATGTGGCATATGGATCGAGCCTGTGGGCTATTGGATGCACTTGAAATGTTCATTTGAATGGGTAATTTCTGGTTGATTATTTGATCCAGAGCAGTTTATTATGTTTATGAGTTCGACATTGTCAACATTGGAGCAGGAAAATTATGGAACAGAGTTCTTATGTTGTGCTCTGAAACAAATTAAAGAGAAGTTCTCTTATTTGCGATATTTTGTGTATAGAGAGACCAGAGATTAGTGGAAAACATTCTTCTTGCAGATATTTTGGGAGATGTCAATAAATGCAGTCACAATAATAGATTTTATGTCTCCATTGAGTGGCTATAGCCATAGAATTTACGGGAATTTTGGGACAATGTTAGGTGGATGGATGGATATGTGTTTCATCAATGAAGTTCTCTAAAAAGTTGTAGTAACTTTTACTGATTTTAAGAACAAAATGCTGTTGGGAATTAGTTGCTGGTTTAGTTTTGCAGATTTGATAGCTGTAGGAAGACATTGCCATTAAATGAAATTCTGAACATGTGTCTTTGCTGTTATTTTCTTGATAAGTTTGGTAGAACTATAAGCATTTCTCGTTAAGTAAATAAATTGTAAATTTGGCACAGGGACAGCCATTGACCAGGGAATTGCATATGTGTTGATGGTGTTGGCTTTGGTGCTGACTTATCTCATCCACACCTTTGAAACTCCATTGATGAACTAATTAAGTTCTTGCCATGGCTGTTGGATTGGGCAGTTGCTGCTGTATCATTATTTTATTTTGTGGTTTGATTTTGGACATTGTCGTACCTCGATTTTATTGAATGTTTGTGGTAAGGATCTTTAACTTTAATGTGCCTGTAGATCTTTCAGTTTGAAGAATTGCTTTATTTAAGGGTATGGACTTTGGAGTTGTCATGTGATGACATGTTTGGTCCCATTTTATCTCTCTAAATAAAATTGTGAGTTTTTTTATTTTATCCTCTTTCTAGGCTGTACTTTCGGTTTGGGTTGTAAATATAATGAATTTTAAATAATTTATTTTGTTGTTTTTTGCCCTCAAAATTTATATTCGAAAATAACAAAAATCCGCCGTACCACCAATAAAGCTCGAAGAACAAACCCTTGTACGCTCACAGGCGGCGCAAGTTAGGCAGTGGCAGGCTTTTGCTGCCAGCGCAGTATCAAGTGGACCAGTAGTGGTTCAGCCCATTAGAATTTAGAAGTGGATTGTGGGCCCTAGGGGACCACGGCCCAATTCTATGGTCCATTTGGAGCAAAACACCTGGTAAACCATCATCAGCCGATTTGTTGAATTATTTTAATAATAATAATAATAAATAACTTGTATAAAGCATCGAGAATTGTTGAATTATTTTGTTCAATAAATTTAGCTTATGTTTTAGCATATCTTTTGTACAGTTTTAATAGTTATAAGAAATTATTTTAAATTAGAGTATTATGTAATTACTATAGTGTCAAAATAATAATTAAATCATTTCCAATACTTGATGATATTTTTGGAAATTACTATTCGATCCACTCTCTTTATGAAATATACTAAATCCTACAATATTTTAGTCATCAAGAAAATGATCACCCAAATAAGTAAAAAAGTAAACCAATGCCCTTTTCACCTTTTTTACAAAGTGAGTAATATATTTAACCAATTTATGTTTCATTACTATCATGTCAGGTCCCCTATATTAAACATCTGTAACAACTATATCAAAATGTCCTGAAAATTAAATAAATCAAGCAAAATATAATAATAACAATAACAAGCACGCTTAACTTTCTTTCGTTTTTCCATAATTTTTTATTATTTAATATTAGTTTTTTTCCTTCAAATTATCATATTCAACATTCTAGTAACTATAATAAATGTCTACTTACACTTCTTATTTAATTTCATAATAAAGAAATGTTTAGATAAGATTGTAAATATAAATAATGGGAAATTACACTGCACTGCACTGCATTGCATATATTTCACCAAAAAATAATAATCACACTGACAAAGATTGCTACAAAACTAATTAATTTAAGCAGCAATATGGGTCAAAAGGAAATGATTTATTACATCTATGTTGGGTAACGTACGAGGTAAAATGATAATAACACTGTCACAAGAACTGCCAATTTTTTATTTTATTTTATTTAATTTTTCTTCTGAGAAAAAATACAGTGTATAACAGATTTGGAAATGTTTTATTGAAAGGATATTTGTTTGTCCAAATCAATGTCATCATTTCAACTCAACTGTCGGACCACTTACAATTAGAAACAAACTGTCATCAAAATTCAAACTTCTTGTTATACGAGCCTTCACAAATATATATATATATATACATATATAAATAATTTTGTCAATTTATTTTTTCAAAATTAAGAGTATTACAATGACACCCATGTTTCAGTTTTAGTTTATAAGTCGTTTATATATTTTTAAATATTCAAGAAATTTAAAACGGAAGAGATATAGATGAGCTAATTAAAGAATTCGTTTTAAGTTCAACTCAAGTTGCAATTTTGGTTACTATATTGCGAAAAAAGACAAATGCACGAGAGATCGATCGAGGACTAATTTCATTTTCCGTTATTAATTGATTGTGTATTTCCGAAGAAAAATGTTGTCGATACATTGCAACAAACGAAATTAATTAGATGAAAAAAAAAAAAGGAAAAAAAAAAACTCAACTAATGTTCATACTTCATATAAATGGATCTTTCTTGAGCTGTCTATTTATAGATTTGATTACACGTAGTATTATCTATTTTTAGTGGACTAAAAGATAGATGACGATTTAAATATAAAATACCCTTTTTAAAAGATAATAATATAAATTGTATCTACAAAAATAAAAAAATAAAATAAAAATAATTTGGCCTATTTTAAAGGAGGGAGGGATAGAAAATATGGGAAGGGGCAAGGAAATCTGTGTTTCATTAATTAAGCACGTGCTGGTTTAATTCTTACTGTATCTGTGGTGGTGTTCATTCCATTTCATTCTTTTACCTAATTAAAATGCAAGGCCGCTCACGTGACTCTCACGTGCTCTTCAACTGACAAAGGTAACATGTATCGCCACGAATCTCGACCGTCGGTCGCCCTGCCGGCCGGACACCGCCTTCGTTAATAATCACGCTACTTACCATTATTAATTATTTATTATTTAATGTCGGTAAGTAATTATTTACTAACGATAAAAATGAAACAATAATTAAAATAGATAACGACAAAAACTCAAAATAAAAAAAGAAGATAAATTAATATTAAATTTAAGGCTCAAAACTGGTGAAATCTCAGCAAATTGCTTGCTGATTTTTCTAATTACAATGTTCTTATCCCTTAAGGCTGCACTCATATGGAAATGAGAGGGTCCGACCCGAATATGTCCCCCAAGTCTTGGAAGTAATCATCGTCCACGGGCGGGGCGGGGGACCCGAATCTTAAATCCGTATTCGATCCGATAAGCATCTCATTGCTGCAGTAGTCCAAATCAATCCCGAATATGTTATCGGGTAGACCCGCTTGGCTGAACAAATCGGGTAGGGGCTCCGGGTTTTCGAAGCCGGCGAAGAGGTCATCGGCGAACATGGAGAACCGCGAGAAGTTCTCGTCGTCGGCATCTTTTGTCGGAGGTAATTTATTGGAGGGGGAGAATATGGAAGACGTCTCGACGTCGGGTTCGGGTTCGGGCTCGGGTTCAGGGTCGGGCTGGGAATCGGCGGCGGAGATGCAGCGGAGGACGGACTTGGGAGACTTATGGGACTCCTCGCCGGAGAAGTAACCGGAGCTTTCTTTGTTGCTATCGGCCGGCGGCGGTGAGAAGTTTGTGAGCGCGTCGGGGCCACGGAGCTGGATGGCGGCGTGGTCGTACACCATGGCGGCCTCCTCCGCCGTGTCGTAGGTGCCGAGCCAAAGCCGCACCCGCCGGAGGGGGTCCCGGATCTCCGCCGCCCATTTCCCCCAGGGCCGCTGACGCACGCCGCGGAACTTTCGAACATCCCCTGACTTCGCGGCTCGCCCGGCGGCGCTCTTCTTCCTTATCCGGCGGTTACAGGCACCTAACACGTCAGCATTCCGGCCACCGTTCCGACAACAATAGGGCTGAATTTTAACCTCGTTGATAAATTTTCTGACCCGCCGTCGCTTGGAATGAAACCCGTCGTTCTCGTCCCCGGAGGAATCGGTGGCGTCGGCGTCCGTGACGCAGAACCGTACGGTTCGGGCCGCCATGGGAGGGGAGGTGATGGTACTGTAGATTGTAGTTTGGGTGATTTGTTGGGTGTATTTGAGCAGCGGTGAATCGGACAACATGATTTTTTGAGAAGAGAGAGATATTTAGTGCTTTTCAGATTCGCATTGAAAGCGAAAGGGGATTTGATTAATGGCGTGAAGAGATAAAGGAAGAAGATGAGGTAAGAGAAGAGAAGAGAAGAGAAGACAGATTCTGTAAGAATAAAGAGAGGAAGGCAACGTTAAAGCGAAGGCATAGTGACACAGAAAAGAGGAAACAAACCCTCGGATTAGTGAGAAAGTTTGTAGGAAAGTGAAGCTCAAAAGAAGAGATGTTTGTGTGAATCAAAGAGAAAGAAAGCTTCTTTATTCATCTTTCCCAGAAGATAACAGAAGAAGAAGAAGAAGAAGAAGAAGAAGAAGAAGATTAAGACAACACACAGTAAACAAATTAAACGCACACTTCTGTTGTGAACATGGCACAGAAAGAAAATGAAGAGAGACCAAGGAGGAGGAGCAATAACGAATGGGTGTACTGTATGTATGACTAATTAGGGTAGGTTAGAAATTGAATTCCAGTAAAAACCCAGATGGAAGCTCCGATTCGTTTCCCTGCTGCTTAATTTCTTCTCCAACCTTTCCTCCACAGACACTGCACTGCACTCGATACCTAAAAAAAGGCTTCGGATTCAGACCAGAGCCCAGTAAAGAAGACAAGTGTGTGTATATTTTTATATAATATTCTTTTCCAAAGAGATAGCAATGCGTAGCTTTGGATACAGAGACTCAACCCAATGCGTCCTTCTCCAGTTGCTCTCTAGGCAGCCTTATATATATACATACATACGTACATATGTATTTTTTCAAAGTATATCATGATAAGAGGGTAATCAAGACTATGACCGAATCGAAAGGCGGGAGGAGGCGTTTATTACCGTAGGAGGCGAAAACGTCGTCGTTTTAAACGAGCCGCCGCATCTAACTCTTCTTAGGCTTTCGACACGTGTCCAGTCGGGGGTAAATCTGAGGATTAACTGAGGTAGTTACTATTTATTATTCGATTTTTTTTTTTTTAATTTTAAATTCAACTCCCCGTTATTCTTGAGACCTGTGTGCCTCTGAGGCGTCTGCTCGTCACGTGACTAACGGACTCCGTTACTTCGGCCGGTCAAAATGACCGAACGATACACGTCAGTCTATCTTTGACTCAAAGCCAGGGGCGTTTCCGTCATTTCGGATCACTTATAACAGAAATTACAGATCTTTAAATAAATACAGTTTCGATTTTTGGTATCGATAATTATGACACGAGTTAATGGATAGGTGCTGATAATTAATACTCCATTAAGTATGCAGCAAAGATTTTTGGTGTCCTCACCAGCCATTATTCCAATTGGGGCCAATAATTATTCCACCCCTAATTATGACTCAAAAATCCTGTCCTATTAAATTCAATTTTGTCATATTAAATTATCAATTGCAAATTTTATTTTATTTTATTTTTGCAATTATTTTACACTCATTTATAATAACTACTATACTGCTTGCTGCAATGAATCAAACCGTTGGGCAGTTGGCACGCGCATTAACACGTGCGACAAATAAAGGCTGGAACAAACCAGTCAATTATTTTTCCTACTGTATGATTAAATTAAATTCCCCCAAGTATCATCTAATTAAGCACTTCTATAAAATTTCTTACGTACTTTAGTTCTTATACTTAAAAAATAATAATTCAATTATCATATTTGAACTATTGAATTAAACACAAATTCAATTACTAGAACTATTCTAATGGTTCAAAGTGTTAATACACACATTTCAATGATGCCGATTAAATTACACTATTGTCCTCCCATCGGAATTACTATTACACAAAAACTTCTATCTAACTAATTGATAAATAATTATTCATCAAATTAGAAAAATATATATATATATATGTATATGTAAATTAAAGAGCATAGTAGATAAGTGAAAAAAATAAAATAAATTATTTCCCGCTAATTAATTAATTAAAACATGTTTCGAATTTGGGAACAAGGCAAGAAAATCCAAGTACAGGGGCATAATGGTAATTGAGGTAACTGACAGGAAAAGAACCGGGCCGGCCCAAGTGTATTGGGTCAATCCAGTGCCTATAAGTCCAAATATTTATTACCAAAGCATCAAACAAAACAAGCCGACCCGATTCCAGCTCTTAGATATCTACAAAATGAATTAATTAATTAAAATAATAATAATAACCACCTGTTCAGACTGCTTCATAAAAAAAATTCCCTTACTACAATTAGCAACAAAATTTTGTCTGGATATAAGTGAAAGCGTGGAACCACAAAATTAGTACACGATTAATTAGCTGTAATTAATTAAAATAATTATATTTCAGAATGAAAACTAATTCGTCTCGACTTGGGAAATTAAAATATAATGTAAGAGAAATGGCTCAATCATTTGCCGATTTGTAGTTTGATTAATTTGGACTATATTCCATCACTTTGTGTTTAGGCAATTCTCTTCTTCCTTGTCCGTACTTAAATAAATTTATATAATCTTGCAAAGTAGAGTTTTGTCCCGACTATGCATGATTGGTTGCCATCTATTTTTTTAATATAAATAAATTAAATAAAAAAAATCAGATCTTCCTCCTACCTCCTTAGCTGGTCGAAAGGATTTACTTTAATATCACTATTAAAAAATAATAGTAATAAAAAAAAAAAATCATAAAGGTTGATATGTGTATATATATATATATTATATATTAATTCTTTGTAAATATAATTACTACGCGTAAGGGTTAATTAATTATTAGCATGCATGCATGGGAATATTTTTACGTAAGAAAAGACTGCAGTGAAGTTTTGCGTTAATTAATTCATTTTCTCTCACTAAGCATTAAACGCTCAAAACAAACACATAATTTCAATCAATGGTCAAATATGATTTAATTAACAAACTTGTATGTAAAATCGAGATATGGTGTTACAAAAATAATACAAAAACAAAAGATAATTAATATGAAACTCAAGTTAATATATGTATGTAGTTCGATCCAATTTTTACTTTTTATTTTATGATGTGGAAACCTGCAGCCGCTATTCGAAAGTTACGTGGTGCTATAAAACCACAAATCCTATTAAGTTATTTGACTTAAGAATTTGGATGTGCTTTGAGGTTTGAATTTTTTATTTAAATAATATTTAATATGATGTTTTTGTGAGATACATATATATATATATTCTTAAATGAGAAATTCAAATTTTTAAAAAATGGAAACAAACCTAAAAAAAAATGTAACACAACTTAGGCGATTAAGAATGTGTGTTTTTTCCAGAAAATGCAGAGTCCATATATTTATATTGATATACATATATACATACATAAATTTTAATCTAGGGACGCGTTGAAATGGGAGCGGGTCATAAGATGTAATTAAATAATTTTAATATATGAAAATTACAAAAATATGTATATATATGAAAATTTGCTAGCTAGCTTTGAATTTGGAAAATGATTTATTTGTGAAATTTAAATAAAAAGGTACAAAGTTGTAAATAAACGTGTGCATATGAGGACAAGAAGCCAAAACACAATAGATTGGACAAAAAACTCGAGGGATTTTTGGTTTTTAGTGCAACTAATTAAATTGGTTATTTAAATTAATTAATTATTGTGTTTGTTTGTTTGAATTAATGATCGATCAATCACCAACATTAATCATTCCAATAATTTCCAACATTGTTTATTTTGCAACTTGTACTGATGCTCGCTATTTTATTACTGTATTTGTTTATTTATTTATTTATTATTATTATTATTAATTAATAAAACTATTAATTAATTTAGATATTTAGGCCACCTACAATGAAGTACAAGACAAATAACGTACGTACAAACATCAACCCCAAGATAGCAATTTTTACTGCTACTTTGAGCCACACAAAATATAGAAAACCACACATATCTCAAATCTCAAAATTGTACTTCCATTATTTAATTTTAAATAAATAATTGTGTCGATGATTTTGTATTAAAAAAAAAAATACAAACTATTTGAAATTTTAAGATCAAATTCGGAGGAAAAGGTAATTTACATAAATTTGACAAAAAAATATACTTTGAATATATATATGTATTAAAATAATTCTAAAGTTAAACAGATATATTTTATTATATCACACTCTTATTTTTATCGATGAGAGTGATGTCAAATATGTATGAGTTGGAACCTTATGTGAGAATTAAATTAATATAGAAAATCAGCTGTCATAAATTTCTTTAACCCTAAATTAATAATATATGTATATACTTTATTATAAGGTATCTGATGCTCTTTGTCATCACGTTCTTGTGTTGATTCCTTTATTCAAATCTCTTCACTAAATTGATTATGATGTTTCTCTATTTTGTTTTAATTAAAATTTCTGACCAAAAACATATTCCATTATGTGTGTTTTGTATATTAGTACATATATATATATACACTTAAAAAAAATAAATAAAGAAAAAGATGGCAAATTTATTTGGCACGTGCTTAATAAATCTTGAAAATAATGAAAAGTATTAAATGAAGTCCATCGTAAATAATAGTAGTAGATTATTGATTTGTTAGAACATAACTGCTTTACGTGTGAAATGACAGCAATTAAAGTTGCTGTCTGATTTGATTCTGTCCCGTGGGTGTGTTTCTTAACATTAAATTTAAACAAGAAAAGATTAGTAGCTACTCTTTTAAGGGAGGGACAAACATTTTAATTAATTAATTTTATGTTGGATTTTATTATTATTACTATTATGTTTCGACTTCACTTTACTGCCTGAAAGTCAAATTGTCGGACTCAAATAATTCTTACTTAATGCAAGTTAAATTTAGTACTACAACGCAATTGTTGTACACCAACTCCCAGCCCAATATGAATGTTACTGGGCCTTCAATAATTCTACTTAAAGCCCGTATACAGTAATGCCCCAATCGAAATATTACTGGGCTTAAAATAGTTATATTAAAAGCCAATAATAGTAATGGCCCAATTTTACAGTACTTATACTAAAAGCCAATAAATACTAATTGGCCATTGTGACCTGGGCCTACAAGTGGTAGGCCGATACTTGGTCCCGCTAATTATTTTTATTAATATACTTTTTAATTAATTATTAAATTAATAAATATTTTATTGAAAAAATGACAAAAATTAAAAGATAATTGATAATATTTTTAAAAAATTAATTCAAAATTAAAGTAAATGAAAAACTAAAATGTAATAAGAGGGTACTCATACTATTTGTTAAATAAGAGTGGAAAGAAAGACAATAATCTAAGAAAGTAATGATTAACCGAGGAATATAATAAAAATAATTATGTCATGACAAATTTCTGTCTGCACCAAATACATACAGAAAAGAAGAAACGAAACCCATACAAACGTAAAAACAACTCCAAAAACACACAAAAACATTAATGAAAAATCTCAGCCCAACCCACTTTCCGACAACCATAATCCATCCGTCCACCAAGTCAGTGAACTAAAACCACTCCCAAACCTGCCGGAAACCGGCGCTCCGCCGCCTCCCTCAAACCCCGGGCGACGCCGGCGTCGAATCCTCCGTAAAACCTCCGGCCCGGACATTCTCGACCATCTTCGCGACCTCCGCCATCTTCGGCCTCTGCTCCGGCATCCTTGCCACGCACGCCATCGCAATCTGCAGCATCTCCACCAGCTCCTCCTCGATGTTCGGATGCCTCAGCAGCTCCGTATCGAACACCTCAGCCGTCCACTCCTCGCGCACCACCGAGTGCACCCACCGCACCAAATGGACAACCTCGTCCCCGTTCATTGTATGGATTGCCGTCTTCCCGCTGAGCAGCTCCAGCAGTATCACCCCGAAGCTGTAAACATCCGACGCCTGCGTCGTTTTGCGGGTGTCCGTCACCTCGGGCCCACGGTACCCCGCCGCGCGCGCGATCGGGGGAGCCAATCCGCTCATTATCGCCGACAAACCAAAATCCGAGACGCACCCGAGCTTCTGATCGTTGAGGAATATATTCGACGATTTGACGTTCCCATGCACAAGCTTCCCGCCGTTTTCGCCGTGGATATGCGCTATCCCCCTCGCTGCACCTACAGCGATCCTCAGCCGCGTCTCCCAATCCACGGGATTCTTGTATTCTCCTCGTTTCCCTGCGAAAAAAGCGCGCGATTATCGAGCATTGAACCAACCCTCTTCGATGTCGAAGATTTTCTTACATTCTGTAACAATTATAGTGTGTAATAAGGCTAATTGTCAAGGAGATTCCTCTACCCTACAAAGATGCTTCGACAGCTTGAATCGTCCAAAAGCCATTCTTCTATGAACACAACACTTTTGTTTCTATGGATGCATCCAAAAAGGAATGAATTCAATTCAATTCATCGGGCCCATAATTCGCTCGATCGAGCCGATAACAACAAGCTTAAGGAATGCCGACATTTGCAGCATTCGTTCAAGTTGATTAAGCATAGCACGAATTTAAATCAACTCACCATGAAGCATCGAGGCGAGGCTGCCGTGATTGTAATAATCGTGGACGATGAGCTTCTCGTCTTTGGAGTAATAGTACGCCCTCAATTCGATCACATTTTCGTGCTTGATCCTCCCGATTATATCCATCTGTTGCTCGAATTCTCTCTTCCCAGCCGCGACTCCCTTTAGCCGTTTCACGACCACCATTGTCGCGTCCTCTAGTATCGCTTTATAGGCCGTGCCAAATGTGCCTTTCCCCAAGACCTCGGCGGAAGCTCTCAACAGATCCTCCAAGTCAAAAGCGAAGTTACAGCCCTCGAAGAACACGAGCTTATTGCTCGCGTCCTGGCTGCGGGAGATTGCTTTTTCCGGCGACATGTCGCCCTTTTCCAATGCGCCGGGGAATCCGTCGGGGACATTCCGGCGAAGTATGCAGACAAGGAATAGAAAACTGAAGCCGACGAGCACGAGGACGGCGCCGGCGATGATGATTCCGAGCAAGGCTTTTTCACTTATTCTTCGACCAACGTTCTTATCCCTAACATGAGGAGCTAACACAATTGGGGAATCGGTGACTGTGTAATTCAGCAGGGATTCATTGTTTCCCCAAAACGAAGATTTGGGGAACCTCCGGAGTGATTCAGGGACGATGCCGGTAAGTCTGTTGTGGGACAGATTGAGCATCTGCAAATTGGGGGAATGCAGGTCGGGAATGGCGCCGGAAAGAGAGTTTCCGGCGAGATTCAAAGCTACGAGATGATTCAGCCCGGAAATGGAAGAAGGAACGCTGCCATTAAAGGAGTTGTGCGAGAGGTTAACAATGGTGAGATTCTTCCACAGGGAGAAGTCCGGAGGCAAAGGGCCTGAGAAATTGTTGTGCTGAAGATAAAGAAAGGCTAGATTTTTAAGGTTACCGAAATCCAGGGGGAATGAACCAGTGATCCTGTTGGATCTGAGGCTCAAGATCTGCAGACCTGATAAACGGCTCAATGTGTTCTCTGGAATGGGGCCATGAAACCCTAATCCTGGCAGCCTCACGGCGACCACTCTGCTTTCGTCTTCATTACACCCAATTCCTGTCCAGTTCTTACAGACTGGGGAGCTTTCGTCCCAGTTCAGGGCTCGGACATGATTAAGCTTGCTAGCAAACTCCATTAAAGCTTGCTTGTCGCTTTCAAGAAGAGCTCCGTACAGCACATTGGAGAAGAGAGTCAAAATCCCCAAAACCATAGGCAAAGCTGGAGGAACTAGGAGCTTGCTCTCCATTTCGACAATGGGCTTGATTGAACCTTCGAATTATTTTTTTTCAAAATAAAGAACCCATTTTTTATTTTAATTTTGGAATTGAATTAAAAGGTGAGCGACAAATATATACATGTGAGAAGAGGGTAAAAGGGGAGGCGAAGTCCAAGAATGGTGTCTGGTAAAAGCAGAGTAAGAACCTGGAAATGAGCTTTAAAAAAATGGAGCTATCAGAGTTTGAAATTGGTGGGTTCGAGTCAAAAAGGGTGTTGGTTTTGCAGAAGAGAAGCAGAAGGTTTCTACTTTTTGTTCGCTACCCTTTGGATTTAGGGTTGTGTGCCCACCATTGATGTAAGAAAATTTCTTCCTCACACAGAGTTAAAAACCAGCAAGAAATTGCAGATAGGGTTTTCAAAATCATGGAAAGATCCAAGATAAAGCTTTAAAGGTATGGTGGCAATTCTTTACCCTCAACACTTTTTTATTTTTTCTTTATTTTAAATTCAAATTAGTTTCATTTGTCACAGAACAAAGGGATTATCAATTACCCGTGGTAAGATTCTTACAACCAATGTAGAAACTCAATCATAATAAAAGCAAATTGGATTCACTCGGTAGGTGTCTTTTTTTGTCCTTGATTGAAAATGATGATGGCCATAAAAACCACATATTAGCTCATAATTAGGAGGTTTGACACAAAGCCCCATTTGCAATCATGGAGCAGATACATATCACCAAAAAGAATATTAATGTGTTTGTTTGAAGGATTTTGAATGATTTCCACTGTTTATCCAATTTTTTTCCCCCAAAAATATCAAATTAAACACCTATTTTTCATTTTTTATATTATACTAAAAATCAATTTTACATTCAAAACATCACATCAAACCCTATTTATATCACATCATACAACTATTCAAATTCAAAATTTTTACTATTCAAATCCCAATCCAAAATCCAAACCCCCGAACAAACACAGCAGTGCAATAAGCCCTAATATGCTGCTGTAAAAATTCCATTTACTGAGCAGGGATTGTATTGTTATTCTTTTTAACCCCAGTAAAGAAAATCAAATTAAATAAAATAAAACTGAAATTGGCGTTTTACTTGTATATAAGTCAACGAGTTGAAATAAAATAAATGAATGCCAAATTGACCCCAAATAAAGAGCTTTTGCTGGATAGGGTTGAGATAATTGCAGAAAAATTGGGACCATAGGTTATTTAATTATTTATGCTACAAAAATCCATTGGGCACTTACATCAAAATTTATTGATGCATTAGGTATAGTGGGATTTTTGCTAGTGTTGAGAATAATTAAAAAGAATATAATAAAAATACGTATGTGTGTGTATTATTATGTATTAATATTTATGTCAATTTTGGGAGGGTCTCTATTCATTAAATTTTATTGTAAAGACAAGAATTGAGTGGTGGGGATTGGGACTTTAGGCAAACATGTCTGGATATCAATCTTAATTCTTGCAACTACCCTTTTGCTAAGTCTATTTATCTCAACACATTGTATGAATAAAATAGTTGTGTTTGATTTGGTATTTCTCTATTTTGTGTGTTTGTAAAATACAAATTAGGGTTCTTGCACTTACACTGCTCAAATTCAGCATATGGATTGTCCACGTTTCCGTACAACATGACAAGAAAGTGGCTCAACCATATAGGTTTGGTTCATCTAAGATGGAATTTTATCTTTTCATCATCATCATTCTTATTATTATTATTATTTATTTGGTCAGATAATGAAATTGTTATTTGTCACATTCCTATAGCTATTTTCTCAACTCCTCTACTTTTCAACAAGATTATTAAATACAGTGTATCACAAAAAATAATTGAAAAGAAAAGAACTTTTGGGTATGTTTTCTTGTAATTTGGATTATTTTGATATGATCTTTTTTTAAAAAAAATATATATATTCATCAATTTCAGTTATTGATTATGAATTTGAGGTTTAAAGTGCCAACGGGCCCAACTCTATCCAAGCCCGTTTCAGCCCACGGACCGGATAGTTAACATGGCCTCTATCCGACCCGGCTGGAGCCCATTATATATTTAAAATTAGAATAATATAAATTATATATATAAATTTATGATAAACTTACAACAAATCAAAGTGGCGCAGCGGAAGCGTGGTGGGCCCATAACCCACAGGTCCCAGGATCGAAACCTGGCTTTGATAATTACATTTTTTTTTTTTTTTATTTCCTTTTCTATCAAAACTTGACTATTTCTCCGAGCAATCACAACTTCACCTTCACGAAACACTTATAAAAAATATCAAAAACCATTGACAAAAAGAATTGCAGCAATCACACAAACAAACATTAGACAATAAAAATTGAAACCATCAAACTAGCAGTAAGTACTTCACAAGAAGCCATTTCCACAAAATACACAGAAATAGCCTCTGCGATTATTATTATTATTATAATTATTATTGGCTTTCTGCTGACCACGTATTTGATCATTTGTGGCGACTCTGAAATAAAGGTCGCCATCGACGGTCAATCAGCAAAATAGGTTAGTTGTATCAGCTCCGGCGCCGGCAGCAGCTTTACTGTATCGACGGCATCACCGAAATCTCGACTCGGCCGGTCCATTCCTCCCCCGGCTTCAACGTTATCGGCTTCTCGATAGCAGCAGCGTCGACGCAGAGCATTTGCTTGTACTCGTCGTCTCCGAAATCGGGCATTGCCCTTGCTTTCTTCTCCCATGGATTCCAAACTACTGCAGTTTTCCAAATTAGATTAGATCAAGATTTGCAAATTCGGACATTGTCGTTTTTATAGGACTTTTAAGGTTGCTTACCGACGTCGGGAAGCCCTTCCTTTGCGATTACGAATGTGCGCTTCTTCTCGTGGTCGAATACCGCGACTGCGTCCGTTGAGCTGAGGTAGACTCGGTCGACCTGCGAAGGAATAATGTTAATTAACAGTTTGGTTGAATTAAGGTTAGGACATGACCCGAGAGGATCGAGTGTTACCTCGGACTCAAAGGTCAGGGCATCGCCTTGCTCGGTGAATCGTTCCTTGTTGTTCAGGTTGTCGAGGTAGTCGAGTGTCTCCAATCCCTCCACTCTTACCTCGCTGCCGATCAATCAAAACTATCGATTAAGTTCAATGCCAAATATTAAGTCCTGGCGTATTGATTAAGGTTGTACCTGATGTCCGAAACGGATAAATACGTGTGATAGGCGAAGGTGAAACTAAATGGCTTGCAGTTGACGTTCCGGACTCGCGATATCATCCCGAGATGTCCATCGGCGGACAGAATTACACGAAGCCGGAGCTCGAAACTACAGAAATAATGAAGTAAATCGAATCAAAACTAAACTCCATTGAGACAACAATGGAACAGTTTTATGAGTAACATAATTAGTCTGATCCCGATATATTCATACCCATGGGGCCATATCTTGAGATCATCATCGGACGATTTCAGGACCAAGTCGACGAACGCTTTGCTGCCGGAATCCGCAGGCGGCGGCGCTTCGTCCACGGCCCACAACCTGTTCCTGGCAAATCCATGCTGCTCCAGTGATCCACGATTCCCAAACTTGATCATAATTAACAGTAGGAACACATTCAATAACCCAATTAACATTCAGACAACCATTGAATTTAAATTTAATTGGATTGGACTGGATAAGATTAGATTAGAAACCTGCGGGAAACAAATGGGAATTCCTCCTCGAACAGAAGCCGGCGGCTTCGAAATCGACTGTTACGAAGGTTATCCATTCGTGTTCATATCACTTTCTGATTTCGTAAGTGCAAATCGAAAACTGGTAAAAAATTAATTGAGGGGTTGGTGTTCGTTTACCTTTGCGCTGGTGAACAGCAATTCTTCGCCCCTGTCGGTTTTCCAGGAACGAATCTGTCCTCCATGAAGACTCACCTGATAGGATGAAGAATATTCAGATTTTTTCGAGAATTAGGAAATATACTGTAATGATAAAAAACCACAAGATCCACTGAAATTCTGACCTTTGCCGAAGCTCCCTTCAATGTCCGAAGCAACACCTGTGAAATTCCATTCTCGTCCTTGGTGATTTCAACTGCTGCAGGATGATCCATATCGAGGGTTTATTCATCAAAGGGCAAAAAAGGAACCGAAAGAATGCTCCAGCAATCGTCTTCAAATCCTTACAATCTCAGACAAAACAAAACCCTAATCCAAGTAATAATTTTTTGACGAAATTGTAACCACCCAAACCCCCAAATCAAGAACCCTAATCTGTAGTGATAAATTCCCTGTGTGGGCAAAATCGACACAGCCCCGAAATCAGTTCTTATTGTCCGAAAACAACACTTGGGGCAGAGTATATACGTCAAAAGAAGGACAACAAAGCATTTGGCTTCGTTAGGCAAAAACAAGAAACTGTGGGATTAAAAAGGGTTTCCCTTTTGCTGTTCTAAACAAGGTAAGGTAAAAAACGAAACACAAGAAGAACTTAAATAAACATGCCTGCCTGCCTGCAATTTTGAAGAAGACTAGAAGAGCCCCTTTATTACAGAAGTTAGTCCATATTTTGGTATTGACTCTGTCCCCTTTCTTGGTTCTTGAAAACTTAAATAAGCAATATGGAAAGGTCAGATCTTGAACAGATACCCTTTGTTACAATTCATAGGATGTGGAAATGGATTATCCTACTGTGTGAGATTTAAGTCAATTTTGATACTCAATTTTGAAATTTATTATTTTAATCTCACATACAGCAAATGGTCATTAACCTAACTACCTGAATTAACTGTAGGAAATTATTATTTAAAAAAAAAAAAAAAGATTATGAGAAAGGACATTATGGGAGCTCAAATATTTAAAGCTTGTGTCTTGGAAAGTCTTCTATTAAGAAATTGGGGGTAAGAAAGGTTCATTTAATTTCCAATATTATTCAACCTTTATCAATTTCTTTTTACAAAAATCATTTTCAAATTCCATAATTAGCACAAGAAAATGGGTTTTATTGTTGGTTTTATTTCACACTATACATATTTTTTTTTTTTGAAATATTTATTATTATTTTAAAAATAATAATAAAAAAAATAGATTCAAGACAAATAAGAGATAAGGTGTACTTTTTACTTTTCATCTCTAGAATTCAGTTGGGGAATTATACTTCAAGAATCAAAATGCAAACAGTTCAATCACATTAATGAACAAGTTGGGCAATTTTTATTTTTATTTATTTTTAATAAATGGGACATGTATAACTAATAATAAATCTGGTGAGGGTTGGTCCATAATTTAAAAAGCTGTAAAGCTGCAAATACATGGTCCACTTTGAATGAACATAATTTGTCTTATATCTTTCCCATTCTGATAATTTATTTCACTATTATTTCTCTTGACATTATTACATGTTAAAGTTAATATAACATGGAAACCAGATTGAGTGAATTTTGAGAAATTATTTACATTCCCATTATTGCTTCATTTTTTTTCTTAGAATCGTTCATTTCTCCCTTTGACTTATAATTGTGAAAAAAAAAAAGGCGAAGAAGAAAATTCAATAATTACTTGTGTTGAAATTTTCTTTTCAAGATTGATGATCAATAAAAGGTGACGTGGAAAGTAGCTGAATATGAAAAAGGAATATAAGAATAGAAAATATTAAACACATACTTGGGCTTCACTTCTTGGGCTTTTAAACTAAAAGCTCAATATAGTTGGGCCTAAATTTTACTCTTAATTGGGCCTCTGAACAACATTTGACTCTCTGTCGCCTAAAATTAAGGACATTAATTTGGAAGAACATAATTTAGGGGTTAGGTTTTTTGCTCGCAATTTACTCTAAATTGCAAACGTCTGACGATGATGAATTGGGGTTTAGGGTCAATTCGCAATTTGCCATAAAATCCCTGAAAATTTCCGATTTGAGGATGTTTGACTTTCCAACGGTGTTCAACTACTTGCCCTGTTACAACACACTGCGTTTCTTGGCCGTGGAATTCCAACAAGAATTCGATAATCGGCAGTTCATCATTATCTTCTCTTGACGGCTTTCGTCTTCTTCTTTACGAAGGTATAGAAACTCGATGTTTTCTTGGTCCTTACAGATGAACTGTGTCATAGGTTTAATCACTTTATTTCCTCTCTTCTTCGTTCTGCTAACTTAATTTTATCCATTCGGTGAACCCTTTTTCTGATTAAGGCATATGCTTTTCTGGAGGAACAAATAACTGATTTGTAGGAAACGGGCTTTTGTAAGAACCATGGATCTTGCGAACTCTGTCGGTCCCGGTTCCACACAATACGACGTCGTTCCGGAGGTAATTCCCAATTGTTTATTGTTTTGGTATCTGTTTTGGGATTGCCCGTGATCTATAGAATGATTATCTTGATTTTGGTATCTGTTTTAAGGGTTGATTGAATTTGTGATTGAATGTCTTATTAATGGATGTATCGAATTGTGATGCGATGATCCCTTTAAGTTAACACACTTGTTTAAGTTATCCGAATTCGATTTTTCGATTCATGTTGTAATGCAGGAGGATAGTTATTCGGACAACGTTAATGTTGGTCTGGAGACGAACTGTTGGGGATGTGGGCTTCGTGTTCTTGTTGCTTCATATGCACGTGTCTTTAAATGTGGTTGGTGTGGAGCTTTAACGAGGAAAAACGATATAAAGATCGGCAACAACGATCTCCGGTGGAGACGCTTGCGCGATCGATGTTTTGTCTTCATTGTGATTCTATTCATGTTGTTCTTTATATGTAAGCATTTCTTCGGTCCTAATCAACCGCCGTTTTTGTCAAGAGTTTCAATGTCTTGCAGCGTTTTGAATTTGTAAAGGTTCGTGCAGGTGGCGGCGTCTGGGCTGTGTATCCTGTCATGTTCTCGATAAGTTACTTATGCGGCATTTTCCACTCTGTCCTAACAGCAATGCTGTCTGTATCCACGTTGTCTTCATTTTCCCTCGCGGCATTCCGGCCAGCTGGCGCTTCCCCGGCGATAAGTTGGGGCAGCTATCCGACGGTGGAGAAAGACGGACTGCAGAACTACACGTTCTGTCAGTACTGTCTGAAGCCGAAATCGCCGAGAACGCACCACTGCCGTTCATGCGGGACTTGCGTATTGGACATGGATCATCACTGCCCATTCGTAAGTTCCGGAAGCTTCTATCACCTTCTCGTTTTTTGAACAATTTGACATGTGCGAATTCTGTGCAGATCGGGAACTGCGTTGGCGCGGCGAATCACCGCTGGTTTGTCCTATTTCTGACATCTACGGTGTGCAGTACGGTGTATGTCGCCGTAATGACGTCGTATTCGGCGAGCTACGTCTGGCCGCCGTTGGACATTCGAGCACGATGGTTCGTCGAATCAGGCTGGGTGGGTCTGGGAATTGTGAGGGAGATCGTTCTTTCGATCTTGAGATCGGCAGTGTTCCTTCCGATTCGGGGGCTCGTCCTCGTCTACTTGTTCGTCGCGAGCGTATCGGTCGGGATCGGTCTGAGCGTTCTCCTGTGGCAGCAACTCAGCTACATATATGCTGGGAAGACATATTTGGATCATCTGAGTTCTGTGGACAGTGAAGAAATGGCTGAAAGGGACTGTCGAAACCTCGTCAGGTTCTTTGGGTGTTCTTGCCATGGTCCAACGTTGTACTTGCCAAGTTATTGGAAATCAAGGAAAAGGCATAAGACATGATCAGGCCTTCGATTGGTACGATGATGGCTTGGATTGGTTTGGTTTGATTATGTTTTATACTGTGGATTGTTGAAGTTTTGATTTTGAAATTTGGGCATGTGACTGGCACGTGATGTGGGGTTTGGTTGATTTGGGCTGTGGCCCAAGATGGGATTTTTCTGAATGTGGGGGGTTTTGGGCCGAAGCCCATGAAATGTTGTCTTTGTTGTGTAAAAGCCCATGAGAAAAGAGATGGTAATATTCTTTTGCTTAGATTTAGTTCTTGAAAAGAGATGCTGTCATATATTTTTAATGATTATATTTTGATTGGTATGAAATCATGGAATTTAATTAAAAGTTTTAAATTTGATTACTAAAAATAATTAAAATCCCAACCGAAAAACTTAAAAGATATTGAGGAAAGATGAATACACACTATAACTAAACTTCTCTTTATATAGAGATTTTTTTAGTTTTGAAATTTTATAAAATTTTTAAAAGAGTAAAAGTTGAGTATTTTTTTTGTGATGCATAGTGAGAAAAAAAAAAAAGAAAAAAAAAAAGAAGAAATTAAATTGAGTGTGATTTTCTTATTGATAAATAATTCTAAAAGTTGAATGATGAAGTGACATTCACAAAAATTGTGATAATATTTCTTCTAACTTTGAATAGTATCTAACCTAAGCTCTTCTTTGTTTATTTATTTATTATTATTTTTGTAGATAGCTTTGCATCTCATCTAAGCTGCTTAAGTTGTGTTCATATTCTTCTTCGTGTATTTTATATTATTGATTCTTAAACAGTCAAAAGTTGAGTGATGTCCCTTCATATGCTTTAATTTGGAATGAAATTAAATAAATTCACTGCAAACTTTTTTAATGCCAAAATTTCCGACATGAAGAATTTTATGCTGGCATTATATAAATGAACTTTGTAGCATTATACCTACATGATGGAGGCTGGATTTGGATTTGGATTTGGATTTAGGTATATCTCTTAAATGACCACTATCATTTCTATTACTATATAAACCATCAAAGAAATTATCTTCAAAACATTTCCAGAATCTTATATATGCAGATTGATTTTAATATTGTTGCTTTTGAATGAAGATATTTGATTAATTAATAGTATGCATATTGTCATTGCAAGCAACCTAAATTAGAAAATTCGAGAAAAAAAAAATAATAAGTATTTGTTATGATGTTTTGTTGAGAATATTTTTATTTTCCTGATTTGATATTTTATTAAAAAAATATTATTAGTGAATAGTAATCAAACTTTCAAAAGCATCAATGTTTTTTCTTTGAACTAATTGAAAAGTAAAAAATTAAAAAACTACACCTTTAATCAAGTATACATCCTGAACAAAATATCAAATTATCACTAGTTTTTCATAATTAAAAAAAAAAGGGAAAAAGCTAACATATAGTAAGAAATTTGCTAAAATTGTTACTAAAATCATTTTATTTTTTTTTATGTTAGTATATATATATTATATATATTTATATGTATTGTTGTTATTGAATCATAGATTAATACTTACGTATCAATTGATAATATACAACAATACTCCACAAAATATACACTATCATTAATTTTAAAATATATAAAATATATTTATGCAAAATACCTACAATATCTAGTGTCTCCATCCTAACCATCTTCATTTATATAAATAATTAAACAAAAGGGTTTGTTCTTTTCATAATTTTCTTTCAAAAAATTCTCCCAAAAAAATTAATACACTGTAGAAATTCATTATATTTATATTTCTCATACATTTTATTTGTTTTTGTTATGACAACAGTTGTTATATGAGTAGATCTATATCTATATATTAAAATATATTATGCATATTATTATTTTTGATTTGAAGGGCTATTGATGCTAAACAAAATTCGTATCTATATATGTGACAATTTCTCAAATGCTATCAGGAAAATTTTGCAAAGAGACAAAACTCAATGGAATTTTCTACATACATCAAATGGGACGTGCACAGATGTGCAGCCCATCATGCAGCAGGTGACTTAAATATTTCAATTATTTCTCACTAGACAATAAATAAAATAAAATAAAATAAAATAAAATACAAATTGAATGATGTATAAATATTCCAATTCTGTCAACTTTTTTATTGAATAATCAAACCATTGTTTTTTCCTTAAATACTTTAGAGCATTATTGTGTATGAGCCATGTATGTATACGTTACTAGTTAACTAGTACATATCTTAATTTTATTCCTTGTAATTTAAGAATTCCTTAATTAGGTTAAAATGTTTTAATTCCTGTTAAAAAGTGAAACAAATTGGGGTTTTTGAGTAGGGTTTCCGTGTAATAGTTGAAAAGATCTAAAGAAGAAATGGATAAAGCTGGAGAAGATACATCTGTGAAATGTCACAACAGCGGCAGATGAAGGGTCAGGATTTAGTTTCAATTTTTCACCAGGTGTAAAAAAAAAAAAAAAACTTTGAGTTGGAGTGATGGTTGAGAGAAGGGAAGTGTAAAAAAGTGTGACGATGACAAGTGATGATCAAAAACTGATCCTTCAGAATCAGAATCAGAATCCCATCACAGGAAGAACCTCCAGGTAAAAGGGGAATGCAACAATGGCTGCCCGAATTGAATTGAATTTAATTGAATCGATGAATAGTACAAATGAAATTAATTAATGGCTGCTTAATTAAGACATAAATACAGCTGGTCTGAATATCATTTCATGGGACAACCCCATTTGTCCAATGACTCATACATCTCTGAAGTCTGATCTGATCTTCGGTCTGTGAGGTTCCATTGGTACTTGTGCTGTCCCTTGAGTTCTGCCCCCGTCTTCAAAGGGACCTTCTCTCTCTCTCATCTTTCTCACTCTAATTTTTTTTTTATGATGATTAATAGTTTCAAGAAATCGATATGCACAGCAAAGAGTTCTTCTACCATATCTTCTCAGGCTCAGTCCCTAAGAAAATTCAATATTTCATGAAAGACTGCTAAACATGGAAGGGAGCTTTTTTATTAAATTGAATAAAGCTGTAAAGTGACAAACACCAACACCATTCTGCACTAATATGTAAATCAAACCGAAAGTATATATATACATAAAAAAAAACACACACACACACACACAAGAAAATGTAACAAATTTAAAATAAAAGATTCAGCTTTGTGCAACACATGGCTCCACAGGTTTACAGGCGACATTGCATTTGTTTTGAAGAAAATGTGTCCCAACACAACATAATTGATGTTTTCACTTATTAAATAAACAATTAGGAATTAATTTATTAATTCAATTAATATATGGAGAAAAGATGTATCATATTGATGCATAGATTGGATGTGATGGATGGATGGATGGATACAAAGCAGTGAAAAGGATGTGATTGGACAAATATTTCTGCCTAAAAAAACACTGTTGATTATTTCTACATTGATGGATCAGAAGGTAAAGTAAAGTAAAGATTTAAGTATACATCCATTTAGTTGTACATATTTGAGAGGTAGGGCAAGACAGCCTTTTTAGATTGACAAGACATCCATTTTTTATTTTTATTTTTATATATTTTTCATCATCATCTTCCCTATATATTCCCTTCTTCATTTTTTTCAAAGATAATAGATTCATAAACACTAAACTTAGTTACTACTTGGGAGATCACCAATTAATTAATTTTAGTGCTTTTTTTGGATTACCTTTTAGATGCTTCAGAATAATCACATCACTTATGCATTAATCAGTTTTTAAACATTACTATTAGTATTTTGATTCTTTAACTCTTTACTTTGATTTTAATTCCCTTATGTCAGATAATATATAACTTTTTTTATTTTAACATAAAATCTTTTCAAATGTAAATCCAACTTTGATTGATATGCATGGGTTCTTAGAGATAAGGTTAATTTCTTTAATTTATCTTGTTTTATTTGTTTATTGATTTATTGTATACGGTGTCCAAGTCCAACAACTCCCATGTAGTTCCAATTACAAAGTGGTGCATGAATCAGTAGTTCCAAGGGTAAGTACATGTAGATATATATTTTTATGCATGGACTGTTCCCAAAGCTCCTGGCAATGTGAATAAAAAAATGAACAGCCCCAAAATGTGATGTTCTTATGTCTAAAGAGGTTCATTCCAAATATGGAAACTGATCTACGTTACAGCACACAAACCCTTGTTTCGACTATTTAATAACATTCTTACATACATACCCATGTACTTAGTTTATTGGTTTGATACAATGTAATTGAAATCTGTACTTAACTGATGTTCTGTCTCTCTCTCTCTCTCTCTCTCTCTCTCTATATATATATATAATTAATATACTTATATACTAACCCTCGTGATGATCTGACATGTTTGGAAAGCACGTTTATAATTATATTCAGTTTAGATAGATACTTTTCGAATTTTTAAAATTATAAAAATTTACTCTGATATTTTATAAAAAAAAATAATGAATATTTGATGTGATATTTTTAAAATATTAAATAATGTTCAAATATTCAAAATTTTTGCCTAAGCATGATTAACCTAACTTTTCTATTAAACCCTTTATATATATATATATAGTGGTAGTGGAATGATCCTCAAACTAGGGTTTGAAGTGAGATTGGGGTTTTCAATTCAAACCCTAAGCGAACAGATTGATTTTGCATATATACACGAAGTGAAAATAGGTGTGGTGTGGATTCTGTGGAGAACTTTTGAGGTGGAGGGTTTGGAGCATGGGAACAGAATCTTGAATTTATATTACATTTAATGAGCTCTCGAAGATGCACAATTTCCTGGATGGGTAATATTAAAGTAATCGAAGAAAATTGTAGTGGAGATTTATTGGGCTACACTAAGGAAAAGGATGCTTAATTTGATTAAAAAATTTAACAGCATAAGTTCTTTTGAAGGCCCTTTGGCAGCCCATTTGTGTTTAAAAAACACATTTTGCTTTTTCATTTTAGATGTCATTAATTAGAAGCAGCTCGAGTTTTACATTCTTTTTTTTTTAAAAAAAAACTCCAAAGTTGTGCAACTTGTGACCAATCTCTCTCTCTCCCCTTCTCTCTCTCTAAGTTTGTTTTGTTATTATTTAATTAAAACTGTATCTGCAGACTATAATGGTGTGCGAGGAGTAATTATCCATCCACTCCTTCCCCTTGCTATAAAAAGGCAGTCATTCTTAGGACAAACATGCCATTCTTGTTTAGTTCTTCCCTATTTCCCTCTGTATTTTCAAAGGTTTAATGGATGACTTTATGCAAGTTGTTCTAATTTAAAGAAAAAAAAAAAAAAAAAAAGAATCTAAATGAGTTCCTCAAGGGTTTGGGATTTCCTTAAAATATTATAAGCAGTTTTTTTTATGCTGTTCCTTTCCTTACATTCTGGTTATGTTTAATGATGTCTGAATTGAATTGCTTCAAGTAATGCTTCTTTTCTTCGATGATCTGCAGGCAGAAATAGAGAGAGAGAGCTTTTCTTCAGTCCAAATATAGGGAGAGGTACGATTCAATTTGCTGCTAAATCATTCATCCAAATGCTGAGCTGTTAATGGATCGATCGATTGCTCAGTGACTGAGTGAATGGCGTGGGAGTCAACTTGAATCTTAAACTTCCTGTTCTTGGACTGAAGGGAGCTCCCTATCATTTTTCCCTCTTCGAATCTTCCTGTTCTTGTTGTATTTAGGGTTTAGGAATTTTTATCTGCAGTACAGGTTCTATTACATCAGTTTTTCATTTTATATGTTAACAAGGTTTGATCTTAGATGTTTTAATTAAGAATCTCTTGGGGAAGATCTTTGTTGGGTTCTCTGATGTGATAATTATTATTTAATTGGATTTGTTTGCAGAAATATGTTGAGCAACGTGCAGGTGCAAATGCAATCAGAGAGAGAAAGATACAGCTGCAGAAATTAGGGTTTGCAGAAAGAAAAAACAGCCTCTATTAATTCGGCCATAATATTAATGGTTTCTTGGGCTTTGCTAACTGCTGAGGTGTGCAACAAGTTCCCAGATTTGACTTTTTTTATGTTTTACTTTTGCATTTGTATTGCAAATTTGCAATTATCCAAGTGAAATTAAAAGTGCTTCCTTTAAAATTATAAAATACACACCTACAAATGTGTGTGTAATTTTATTTTATATGAATCTTTGAACTTGAATTTGAATTATTAAATACATTGTTCTTGAAAGATTCCTTCATTTAGATTTATAAATTTGTAATTTGTTCAACATTGTTATATTTCTTTTGTTGATCATTCAATTAAATTACAGCGACTATAATTTATTGAACTAACTAATTTAAAGGGAATAAAGTTGAAGCGTTGATGATAAACATAAAAATAAAGACAGGAAATTAATATATTACTCTTTACAAATTTATTTGGTAATAAATTAAACGTAAGGGAACATATCGAATAAGTTGATAGAACGTCAGTTCTATCATTTACTACCCTTTTACACAGATATTATTATTAACATATCAAAAGGTCACACACATCACTTCAATCTCAGATTTTCAGAATCTTTGAACGAAACCCTAAAAATTATTTGGACAGAAAAAAGTTTGCAATGATGGAAAGGATTGGGAAGCTGCTAGAGTGGTCTTTCGTTTAATTAATGGATCATAAAATAACCCTACCCATCATTTTCCAAAAGATCCCTAAAAAAAAAAAAAAAAAAAAAAAAAAAAAAAGGGTATTTTAGAACTTGAGAAATATATTTGAAGTAATTTTTTGGGAAGTAGAAATTTAGGGTAAAAGAAAAGCATTTATCATCTAATATAGGGTCTCAATAAGTTAATAGTATAAACTCAACATGGTGTGTAATTTCGTTTGGTAATATTTTGAGAAAAAAAAAAGTACAATTGAAATGAAATGGTTGATCAATGTAAATATTTTGAATGAAAGTTAAAATAGGTTTATCTATAAAAGAATGATATGGACTTTTAAAAATAGAACCAAATATTAAGGATAATTAATTTAGATCTGTTATAATATTAGGGTACACATGATCTTTTTTTATTCAATAAAGTTGTCCATCTAGAATGATTTATAAGAAAAAATATTTAGTATGATAAAAGAAAGATTATGTATTAGTATTTTTGCACTAGAATGCAATGCAACAATATTAAGAAAATAAAACTAATACTTGAATAAAGTCAAATTACTATGAATTGGGTACATAATTATTAGTGTTGGCAACTAATAAGCCTGGAATTCTTGAATATTTGTTTCCATGTTCTGTCTTCTTCTTGCAATAATTAAGTTGGAATTATTGATGCTGACTTTGGATCAACTTGAGGGATCGCCACACTTTTAAACTCAATCAATTTTAGATAATTAATTAATTCATTTATTTTTATACAGAGAGAAATTGAGAAAATTAAATTTGTAGGAATAAAAAATATATACTAGTTATTTTCAATATATTTTATGCTGTACTAAAATTTATTTTTGATACTATATTCTTTTGTCAAGTTTTCTCTTTCGTCTTCAACACCGTTGTTTTCATCACACCCTTCGTTGCGATTTGAGAGCTCTCCAAATTAGTAATAAAAATAAATATAATAATTGATTATCTATAATATTCTTCTCTTTTTGTGCAATTGAATTCTTTTATTTTTTTATATTAAAAGTAACTTCAGTTCAAAGCACTATTATTATTTTTTTTACCACATATAAGGAAACAACTCTTATTCGTTTGTATTGTAAGATGTTCATAATTATTATTGTTGGGAGATATGTAATATTAATTAAAAATACACAATAAAAAATATATAATAAGTTGTGTTGGCAATCTAAGCCCAATACACAAAAAACAAATTTGGCCCATATTAGAAAACTGGCCCAACATAACCTTTAAGACATAAATATGTATATATATATCTTAATTGTTACTCCTTTATGTATAAATATGTATATTGACCTGACACACACACACACACATATATATATATATATATTTTTAAACAAAAGTAAAAATGATTTTTTTTTTATATTAAAAAACAATAAAAAGTAGTATTTTCTAATTTAAAAAAAGAAATAAATATTTTTTATGAAAATTAGAAAAAAAAAAAAACATAAGTTTAAATGATCGAAAATATTTTTATTATTATTGTTATTATTCTTCCCCCTCAATTTTAACTGCAACTATTTATTCAGACAGGCAAGAAATTTGTCGAAATTGTTATAGGAAGACCCTCCAGCCTCCACGCTGTCTGCACACATTTTCTTGAGTTTGATTGCATTCTCCCTCAATCTCAGTCCGCCATTAGAGAACACCTCATCAATCTTGTATCTGATTTCATGCCTGCTTCTGACCCCATTCTTGTCGGCTTCAATCCTCAACCCCACCCCCCATTTATCGCAGACATAATTCTGGTTATGAGCCTGGTCGGCAAAGTACGGCCAGCACAGAAACGGCACGCCGGCGATCAAACCTTCCATCGTCGAATTCCATCCGCAGTGCGACAAGAAACAGGCCGTCGATGGATGCGAAAGCACCCTTTCTTGATCTGTCCATCCCACAATCTTCCCGACACCCTTAATCCTCTCCAAAAACCCCTCAGGATACACAACCGGCGACCCGTTTGCCAGGTCGGGCCGGGCCACCCACAGAAAAGCCCTCCCGGAAAGCTCGAGCCCGATCGCGAGCTCGTCGAGCTGCTCCAGCGAGAACACCGCCAGACTGCCGAATGAAACGTAGATCACTGATCCAGGCGGTTTCGTGTCCAGCCACGACAGACAGACCTCGTCCGCTGGATGGAAATTGGCTGAAGATTTGATCCTGTCGGAATCTAGCAACGGCCCGATCGGAAGCACGTTCGGACACAGGTCGCAGGCCGACGGCTCGATTTCGTAGCACGTGTTGGTTAGCAGCCACTTGGCTTCCCTGGCAGCTTTCTCCGCTCTTACAGAGCATTCGAAGAAGATTCTTTGGGTTTTCAGGTCCACCGGAGCGCTCCAGGGCAGGTCGTTTTGTTTCCAGGCGAGTATGTCTTCCGACAGCGTGATGACTTCGCCTGCCTTCAGGGTTCCTTAAATGCAAGAAAACAGACATCTCATCAGTTCATTGAATTAGGGCTTCTGTGCTGTAAATAATTAGACATTTTAAATTGATTATTGTAGTACTTTAATAATGATATACCAGTGCATATATTACCATTGGAATCCAGCTTCCCTTGTTCGAGGAGTGTCGGAATTTGCAGAATGGGGATCAGGGACGCCGCCGACGGCGGCGAGAAGATAACCGCCTCAGCCCCAAACTTCCGGCCGGTGTCCAGAATCCAGCCAATTGTAATATCAGCAATGACACAGGTAACATTATTATTATTATTTGAATTAGTGTTGATTCGGTGAATCAAATCAGCGACGGAAGCGGGCATGGAGGACCTGAGACTTTCCAGAAGGCTACAAATGTCATTTTGATCTTCGCCAGGCCTCCCGCCATCTGGGATGGAGGTCAGTACGATGTTGTCGTCTTCCTTCTCAGCCGCCTGAGAACTGCTGGCAATGATTCTGGAATGTATGGATTCGATGTTGACGAAGGTTACCTTAATTCCTCCTCTTGATCGCCTCACTATCTGTCTGCACAGTTTCAGGAGAGGCTTCACGTGGCCCTGAGCAGGGAACGGCACCGCCACGATATGACCAGCTGCACCACCACCTTCACCTTCAGACACACCCATGGATAATAATTTATTAATTAATTAGATATTCTGATTCTATATGTACATATTCTGTGCTAGATTAGGGGTATTTATAGATCTCCTGAATTTTGTTTTTGTTTTTGTTTTTGTTTTTTTTATCGGAAAAGGGTAAAATTTCCATCGAATCTAATAATCTTCAATTTAGATTCGATAAGGCAATACATACTAGACGAAATTATGTGTGACAAACAATACCTGAAGGTGTCGAGTTTGAACCTATGATCTCATGGCACAAGTTCATCTCGACATCACCGGGCCATCCTTATAGAACCAATAACATGCGATGACGGTTAAATCCAACCGAATTTTAGGTATGATAGTTTAGCATTGCTAATTTTGTCGTGTTGGAAATAATTTCGATTTCGAAACTTATATATCTCAATTTCATTCGTAGAAGTCACATGGAATTGAATTATTAGTTTAATTTTTGTAAGAAGAATTTATTGACACATTCAATGCTACAAACGAGAGTTGGACACATCAAAGAGAGCCCCACCAATCGGTTAATTTGTTTGTAGCTTTGAAACTTGGTGAAACATGCTTCACAAGTTCTTGCCAAAAATAAAATAAAATAAAATAAAAATTTATTAGATATAATCGACATATGTTTGACAGACTCGTTGAGGTACTGGATTTAGATTCCCATAAATGTTGTTCGAGTTTGGGATCATCGACCTTTTTGTCTTTGTCCAATTGTCTTGTTTAAAGCATCCAAACTAATATTTACAAAAATTAGAGCCAAGAATTTTGAAAAAGCCAAAATGTCTTTTTAACTTTTTGAGTTAAACATATAGAGAATATCACTTGTGAATGAAGCTGCTTCATAAAACCAGACATGTTTTGTTTGCCTTATCTGAATTTTTTTAACTGAAAGACATTTGCTGTTTTTACCATAATTTTTTTAGTTACCGTGCTTATGTACAACATATTTACATGAAAATGTATGAAAAGACGATAAAAATGAAAGAAAGTTCGAATAATTTAGATGAGGTTCTATAAATGAAGAAGAACATGGAAATTATTCATGGCAGCTCAAGATCTTATTCTTCTTCACTTGTGCTACATAACTTGGTTGAAAGAGCATTCCGAGTCATGGGTTTCAATTGAAAATTCGAGCAAAGAAACTTCAGCTACCTAATGTTTCCAACACGATCATTACAGTCTCATTCAGCAAGGAGATTCTGTATGTCTTTCTGCAAGAATAAGCACACATAATCATATAAATAAATTTCAGAAAATCCAGTACAGCATTATTTGCATTTCGATACAACACTTGCAATGACAATGTGATTATATGAGGAAGAATTCAAGAGCATGTCCTACCTCAATCGAATTTGGAGATGTATATGGACCATATCTTGCCACGACTTTCCCTGATCTGCTTATCAGAAACTTTGTGAAGTTCCATTTGATAGCATTGAGCAACAGACCGGCTTTTTGTGACTTCAAGAACTTGTACAACGGCGACGCATTCTTTCCATTGACATCAACCTAAAAACACAATTCATCCCCAAACAACACTGTCACAATTCAAGAGTTGGAGGCGTAAAAAGCACCATAAACATCAACAAACAGAGCAAGTGATACAATTAGCATTTCATTTATCGACAACCATGGCAGGAAGGGGAACATAATGGATCAACACAATGAGACAATAAGAAAGGAATACCTTGTCGAAAATTGGGAATTCAGCTTTAAACCTAGTGCATACAGTCTCCTTAATTTCTTCATTCGTCCCCCGTTCTTGCAAAAACTGATTGCAAGGAAAGGCTAGTATTTCAAAACCTGAGGCCCCAACACAACACGCATTGACACAGGAGGCATTTCAACGAAAAATAGTATTTAATTGTGGCTTGTTGATGAAACACAAACCTTGATCTTTGTACTGGTCATACAAACTATTCAACTCTTTGTAATTTGATTGTGTCAAACCGCTAAAGACGAAGAAGAAAGCAGAACATAAGGATCATAATCATATCATACTTGTGAGTCACAATGAAAATAGCAACATGAAGGCCTAAGCATTTCATATCATTGATACACTATAGAGGAACGGTTACGGTACCATTTAGAGGCAACATTAACAATCAGAAGAACCTTCCCAGCATAATTGTTCAAGGGCACATCATTTCCATGGATGTCCTGATTCAAAGCTTAATTCATCACAACACATTAAACGAAAACGCAGCAATACATTCGAGAAACGATGAAAGCAATCAACGGTTTCTAACGAGGCTGATCTCAAATTTGGAGCATATATTAACCAAAAACGATAACAAAATTGCCAATCGCAAATCCACTACGAACTCTATACAATACCTTCACGGTGAGCTCGTAAATCGAATTAGACGCTTCTGCAGCCATATCCTCGACGCCACGGCGACCGTAATACACCCAAACGGCCAGAACGAGGACTAGAATAGATACCCACTGTACCGGTCTTAATAGAAACGCCGTTCTCTTCATGGATTACAGGAAAAGGATCTCGCCTCTCAGACGCCATGGAAGACACTATAGTGATCTATAACGGTCCGTACTTGCCAAATACGGTGATAAATGGGTAACGGCGTTTTAAATGCCAAAGCCCAATGGGCCTACAATTGGGCCGTTTGGAAATAACTCATATAACCCAATATTCATGCATCGCAATTTGATTGCTTGATTGCAGGTGAGCAAAAAATGCTAAATTTGAATTTGGAACATATTTGAATACGCCCACCCAGCTAGGAATCGTATGCTCATATTATACTTTAATTCAACTTTGCTGATTCTCATTATTAAATGGATAAAATTATATTTTTAACTTTCTACCAAGTAATACTAAATAAGATTAACGGTCGTGATTAACTTCAGCCGTGCTGATTTTTACAATTTCAGCATGATATCCGTGTTGTACCCACCCACCCATAGTTTGATTTTATCACCTAATTTGGTGCCTATTTCATTACAAGCAAGAATCTAAAACAAGTGGATTCGATTTTGACTAAAGGGGTAAGGAGTGTGTATATGTACCATATATAGATACATAATTTGGTAAAGGGGTGTGGCCATCTATGGCCAGACAGGATGTACAGAGCCCACAAATGGTTGTTTTTAATGATTTTGATTAGGTATAATATTTTCTTGTTGAAGAAGATAACCTAAACCCACAACCCACTTCTCCAATCCTTCTTGAAGTTTTCACTCACTAACTCCCTAAATGCCTTCAAAGTCAAGAATTATTAGGACAAACTTTCTTATCCAATAAGGGTAAAAGCTTTCGATAATGGTGAAACCATTCTTGCCGGCTCCCGGGACTGCCCAACTCCCGGATGTAGCCACACCGGACGGGAGCTAAGATCCCGGGACCTTCCAAAATAACCCACCAAGTCCAACGTCCACTATATATACAACCCATGTAAGTATTGCTAACGCCGGGACGACATCATAGTTTTCATCACATCATTTTTTCGCTCAAAGGTTTTGATTTGCAACCGCCATGGCTGCCGCCGTCGCCGCCGTATTAATCGGCGTTCTTCTTATTATCGGGTCCTCGGCCGCCGCGGAGGCGGCGCCTCGGCGGCGGCGGCCTTGCAAGAGGATGGTGTTCTATTTCCACGACATACTGTACAACGGGAAGAACGCCGGCAACGCGACGGCGGCTATCGTGGCGGCGCCGGCGTGGGGGAACACGACGATCCTGTCGGGGCAGAACCATTTCGGGGACGTGGTGGTTTTCGACGACCCGATCACGAGGGACAACAATCTGCACTCGCCGGCGGTGGGGAGGGCGCAGGGAATGTATTTGTACGACAAGAAGGAAATTTTCACGGCGTGGCTAGGGTTCTCCTTCGTCTTCAATTCGACGGAGCTGAAAGGGTCGCTGACGTTCGCCGGCGCCGATCCGCTGATGAACAAGACGAGGGACGTGTCGGTGATCGGCGGCACCGGCGACTTCTTCATGGCCAGAGGAATCGCCACGCTCTCCACCGACGCCTTTGAAGGAGAGGTTTATTTCAGGCTCTGTACGGACATCAAGCTCTACGAGTGTTGGTAATGAATAATTCAAAAATTAAATGTATACAATATATAGATATATATATGTAATGTTGTTAATGGTGTATTTCGTTTGCATCTTCAAAATGTGTAATCTTCGATTTTTTATTTTTATTTTTAATAGTTATTATCTTCAATCATTGTTTTTCACGTGATTATTTGTATGACAAAATGTATTGATCCACTTGGTTCAACATGTTCAAGCACTCATTCAACAAGAAGCAGTATTTTTATTTGCATTTTACTAAAAATTTATGTTTGTTAATTATTATTGATAATGGCATTGTGCTTATGAGGCTAATAAAAATAATTAAGAATAGTGTGTTTTCAATGATTATGATTGAATACAACGTTGAATTTAAAAATCTTAATATTAATTCCCATGTCATTTATTTACAAAGTGTGCATAAGATATAATTTTATAACTTCTCTTGTGTTTTTTTTTTCTTTATTACTCATTTCGTCCAAAAAGTACAGTATCTTTGTGTTGGACACAAAATTTTTAAAATATTAATATTATATTAATAGTTGATAAAAAGTAAAGATAAATAATTTTTTTTCTCTATTAATATATCAGTGTAAAAAGGAATGACAATGATGTAATAATAATTAAAATATAATATGATAGTTTTATGATGATATGATTATTTATAAAAATAAAAATATTATTTTAGAACGAACAAAAATTATAAACAATAATACTGTACTGAGATGGTGAGAGTATTTGAAAGCTCGCAATTTCTATCAAATTTTCATTTATGCATAGAGTGTAGTTGAATGTTTATTTAATTTTAAATAAACAATATATTGTAATGATTTTTAGATAAAAAAGCTCTCATAATAAACTTATAAATTATACATTAAAAAAAAAAAAAAGAACACACATTCCGTCTGCTTAGGAATATTCCTGGAGGTGAAGGTATATTCTATATTGGCTGACGTCATGTCGTTGCATTGCACATACGTGGCTACAGTGTAACCCATAAAATTTTACTTATTCATTATTGTTGGCTATAATCATTTTACACGTCATAAAATAGATTTTTTTGTATATAATTTTCTGCTTCGTACAATATCAGCCTATTATTTTATTTACTCAGAAAAATTAACAAAACTGAATTATATAAAATTGTAAATTATAAAAAAATTTAATTGAGACACCGCGCCTGTGACCTGTTTTAGTACAGGCGTGCGATGAGGATCTACAACCCGACCCGATCATTGGACCCGCTCCAAATTACAGCTTGTCGGCAATATGTACATATATATTTAAAGAAAAATTGTATTTTGACCCTGTATAAAAGTTTTCAGCAAAATAATTATAATAGAAATGAATATGCTATCAAATCAGTTCAAATAAGGGTTCATAAATTTTAATTTAATATGTATAAAATACTTGTATATTGTTAAAAATGTTTATTATTAGTACAGTTTTTTTTTTAGTAAAGATATTGTTGCAAACTTGGCTTTCGCGATAAACAAACGACGTCGTTTCTCCACAAATTCCAACCCCACACGAAACCCTATCAAATCTTTAATTGGAAATTTTAAATTAAATTTCTTATAATTTATTGCGAGTAAGATGAGATTATACTTTATTATATATATATATGTAACAAATTTGATTTGAAGGATTTCATTATTATAGTAAGTTTTATTACTTATTAATTATTTATATTATATAAATATATAAAAAATCTAATAAAAAATAAGACTAAAACAAAAACACCCCTTGGCAATTAGGGGAAAACCATGTGCAGATGTGAATATTCTTGTACTAAAAAGCCATATCAATTTCAACAGGTCATTTTGTTGTACTAAAATATTAAAAATTCTATTTTATTTTTCAATAAAAACAAGTTAAGCAGGTGTACTCTACATTAAAAGGGAAAAAAAAAAAAAAAAAAAAGACAGACCATAAAAGTGAAACTAATAATTTAGACAGTAACTAAAATAATGCTTATTATGAGAACTTTATTGGGTTTTTACTATTCTCTTTAAATAAATTAATTAATTTTAAAAAAAATTATAATTACTATTTAAAGAATACAAACCTCCGCCGCTAGACAATTTTCCAAATTCTTACGCTGGTCATATGCACGCACATATATACATATATATATATAATATTTTAATAAAACAATATAGATAGAGACGCTCGTGGTTTGAGAAAACCGAACGCACCTCTGCCCTTTCGCACTATCGCCGGCGCGCTCAAAAGGCCCTTTTTCTGTTTACTTGGTTGAGTAATCTATCGGGTTGTTGGTTCAATTATCGATCGGATCGAAGAGGTGAGGATTTATCTATCTGTTTCGTCAATTGGAGTTCGGTTCTTGATTTTGCTATCGAAATTGCTGTGGTTTGATGTGTTCTTGAATTAACTTTTTTGGTAAATTAGGTTAAGATTTAACATCGTATGCGTTTTTCTTTTTAACCTTGAATCTTGATGAATTCTACTGCCTAAATTCGAATTTTGGTGATACGACTAATGTGTTCTGTAGTTTCTCAGGAAGTTAAGAGTCTAGATGTTTCCAGTCTGAAGTAAAATAAAAGCTTCATGCTTGCTTGATGCTGATTGGTTTTTTTTCGTTTTTTCTAGGGCAAAGAATGAACTTTTCTAGTAGTGAGCATCTGTTTAAATTGACAAGTCTTTAGGTTTTACACGTATTAACTGCTGGTGACCCTTAATTTGGTGTTGAAAGATGTTGTTTTGTGGATGGGAAGTGGTAATGTTTCATTGGAAGACACAAATCATGGATATCTGGAATAACTATCCAAGAGGTATTCAGAAATTTAAAAAGTGAGAACAACTTTCAAACAAAAGTTCAACAATTGGGATCCCTCAAACAATCTCCCTACAACTACTTTTGAAGTTCTATTTCGTTTGGTCCTTAAACAAATAGCTTTGTGATTTCTGTCTGTCTTAGTTTCTTCTATAGCATTAAGCTTGACCTTGATAGCAAAGAGCTTGTGCGTACTTTTTAGTTACAATCATTGTCATTTCTAGTGCTCCTTCATATCCTCTTCAAATTCCCAGATCATTTTCTCATCCTTTTCTGTAACCAAGAAGTCATCTATGAAAACCAAAAGCTTATAAATTGCCCTCTTCTTCATATGGAGTAGCCTTAATTTCGCTTATGAAACATCCATATTTAACTATAAAAAAATTGATACTGAGTTCTTGGAGCTTGTTTAAGGCCATAATGCATTGAGCAGTTTGTAGACCTGATTACTATTGGGTCTATAGTTCTCTTATGGTTAGATGAAAATATCGTTGATGAAAGCTGAATGTAATGCACTTCCGTTGTTATGCTGCCGACAACGTCAGGATTAACCCTATGGTATCATGCCAATTTGCAGAAGAAACTCTACTGATAATCATATATATATATATAATTATTACATTCTTACAGATTTTGGAAAGGGAATACCAATCTTATTATTATAGATATATTTTTGAAGTCTTCTTGTCTGTCAACTTATGTTCATGCTCTCATTTTTGTCATATATAGTTCCTCTAACCTTTTTCTACCCCTCATTCTTTATGGCTCTTTCAGTCGAAATTGTTTTAAAAGTTTGATATCTGCATTGCTCCTTCACGGTGCCTTGTTCAATTTGTAATTTGTAATTATTAAACAAGGTAAGATTGGTAGAATCAAGACTTCATTCCCTTTTCGTATATGCAACCTGGACATTTGGTATGTGAATGCCCAGCTGAGAAAATAGCAATAAATAGCATCACTTAAATCATGGGCGTATGACATGTGGATGACCTGGATAGGAGCTATAGAGAACTTTTTTCATGTTGGAATTATGTATCTGTTACGCCTTCTTCCACTTGAGATTTATTCATGTATGCTGAGAACTTATCATCATTTGTCTCTAGTGATATATACTTTTTGTTGATCTTGTATTAGTTCAGTTGTAAATCATGTTGAGAAGGAAAGCAGCATCTTGTACCAATGTTGTAATTTGATGATTAGATCTTTAAAAAGCATATAAATTTTATTGGAAATCTGGTCTTATACTTGATTCTAATAATATGGCTGATTGTTGATTTCATTCTTTTAGAACAACATGACCAGCAGCCATGTATTGAGGGGCAGCAAACTCGTTTGACGCGACAAGTACTTTCTCTTCAGTTCGAGAAGCTTTGGGTTTCCTTACAAGCAACAATGGATCGCCGTGACACATCAGGATTTGTTAGTGGGGGTGGATTGTACTTTTTTCGAGACAGCTAATACTAGTTTTGTAGATAGTATCTATATACCCGGAAGTCAGGCAGACTGTTCATTAGCAACTGAGTAGTTTTGTGCAAAGATATTCTGTCATGGATGCCAGATTCAACAACCTTGGTTTTGCTGCTAACCCACCACCATATGCATTCAAGTATTTGGGCAATGCCATCCATATTGGAGGAGCCGGAGATAAATCTGTATTCCGTGCTGATACAACCTTACGACTTGATTCACAAGGGTTTGAAGTTCCTTTCCCGTCAGCTCCAAAGGGTGTGAAACGTAAGTGGAGCTTTATAGATGGTGCTGTACCTCAGCAAGTTGAAAATCTGCTAGATCTTCGCCTTGGGAACTCATCAAGTTCTTCAGACAGTAAGGGGAGTACGGCAACTGTATGCTCATCAATGTCTTCAGCCAAGGAATCAGAAGAGGAATCTCCAATGGATCTGGAACTGGACTTTAGTCTCCATCTTGGCGGCGATAAATTATCAGGGACAGACAAATCAACTAGCTCTAATATGAAATTGCTGAATGTGTGCCCTGAGGTTGATCTACAATTGAGCCTTTCCAGTGGCCCCGCTCATTCTGATATCACATCTATCCACCCAAGAGCTGATGCACCTAAAAGTTGCACCAAGTTGGTCGGTGACTCTGGAGGTTACACTGATGAAGCATCCACAAGAATTGCCTCAATAGAGTTTCAAACTACTCAGAGCTTGGGAAACCAGAATTTCGTCGATCAAACTGTGGGACAAAAGAAGACAACATCTCCATCTCTCTCCTCAAGCCTTATAACAACACCGAAAAGCTCAGTCACCTGCACTTCCGGGGTAACACAGTCACAACAGCAGCATCGTACTAGCAGTACTAAACAGTGTCAATTTCAGGGATGTTTGAAGGGTGCAAGAGGGGCCTCTGGTCTTTGTATTGCTCATGGGGGTGGTCGCAGGTGCCAGCGTACTGGCTGCCACAAAGGAGCAGAGGGTCGAACTGCATTTTGTAAGGCTCATGGTGGTGGTCGCCGGTGTGAATTTTTGGGCTGTACAAAGAGCGCTGAAGGCCGCACAGATTTCTGTATTGCTCATGGTGGTGGCCGGCGATGCAGTCATGAAGGATGCACTCGGGCTGCCAGAGGAAAATCTGGTTTGTGCATTCGGCATGGTGGTGGGAAGAGATGCCAGATGGAAAACTGCACAAAAAGCGCTGAAGGCCTCTCTGGTCTCTGCATCTCTCATGGAGGTGGTCGCCGTTGTCAATATCCTGAATGCACCAAGGGGGCTCAAGGAAGCACGATGTTTTGCAAGGCCCATGGCGGCGGAAAACGGTGCACGTATCCAGGTTGTAACAAGGGTGCAGAAGGAAGCACCCCCTTCTGCAAAGGCCATGGAGGTGGAAAACGATGCTCATTCCAAGGCGGTGGGATTTGCCCCAAGAGTGTGCATGGGGGCACCCTTTACTGTGTAGCTCATGGTGGTGGAAAGAGGTGTGCTGTTCCTGAGTGTACAAAGAGTGCTAGGGGACGTACTGACTTTTGTGTTCGTCATGGCGGAGGCAAGCGATGCAGATTTGAAGGGTGTGGGAAAAGTGCTCAGGGAAGCACTGATTTCTGCAAGGCTCATGGTGGAGGCAAGAGGTGCTCCTGGGGCCACCCCGGTTCTGAATTTGGTTGCAGTGATGTTCCTTGCAGCACATTTGCTCGTGGTAGAATGGGGCTTTGTGCATCTCATAGTTCTCTTGTTCTGGATAAAAGGGTTCATGGTGGCGCTACTGTGGGAATTGTTGCCGAGGATTCCAAATCTGATCAATCTGCTATGGCAAATCCAAAAATTTCTGATGAAGACATGAATGTTGACATTGCTAAGACAGGGGATAGTTCGAACTGCTATGGAAGCAAACCATCGTCAGAAAACATACCAGAAGGAAGAGTTCATGGAGGTAATCTGATGGCCATGCTCGCACACAGTCGGGGATTCAATTATTCAAATAACTAATGTACTATGCTGGCCCCTTGGAGCCTGGGAAGTGTTTCGCAACGTTGCAGACCTGGACGAAAGGTAGAATCTGTTGCCTGCCTGCCTATTTATCTCTGCCAATCTTCGAATTTACATTTAAAGAACCATGATTAGGCTTGTATTATTGTTATTATCTGTTGTTCTGTGAGATGGTGTGTCAGTTGTTTCAATGTGAAACACACTCTTGTTTTTATTTGTTTGGCATTTGTCACAATTGCAACTCAGGCAAATGTGTGGTGATGATAATAAAGGGTAATTGGAACTTGTGTGTGTTGGTTTTGTACTTGTGTTTTTATGCAAATGGTAATGTATGTTTGGTATTGTTCTACTTTTTGTATCAGCATATGTTTTTTTATGCCACAATTGACTTCTGCCATATGCCTTTTGTGAGATACTGTCTTTGCCGATAGCGTCTTACTTCCTGTCGATTATATTTTCAATTTTATTAATGTATTCGTATTTGGAATGCAACAAGCGCTTGTAGTCCAACGGTTAGGATAATTGCCTTCCAAGCAATAGACCCGGGTTCGACTCCCGGCAAACGCATGCTTTTCCACTTTCTTTTTTGGGATTTTTAATCTCGTGTCCAATATCGTTTTTTTCTGCAGATTTTTTGGTGGAGTAGGTAGTAATGATGTTTACACTGCGTTTTCGTCGCCGGTGTAAATCATGTGAAAAGAGGGTTGAAAGCTTTAACGCCATCCACAGTCGGGAGCTCTGATGTGATGCTTGCCCAAACCCTTACATTCCTTCCTCGTCAAGATCAGTCAACGTCGCCGTAGCCGACAAAAATCCGTACTGAAACCGCCGGACACTTTCTTCAATCTCGATTCTTGATCAGCACTGGAATTGGATGCCCTCACCAGCAATTAATCCTTCACTATGGGTAACAATAGCAGCGGTTCGACCCCTCAAAACAGAAGCCTTTTTCAGCCAAACGCCGCCGCGGCGCCTCCCGTCCCCACCGGCCGCGTCCTCGGAAATCCTATTTCCGACATCAATTCCGTTTATATTTTCAGCAGGGAGCTTGGGCACGGCCAATTCGGCGTGACCCGCCTCGTCATCCACCGGGCTACGATGGAGACCTTCGCCTGCAAATCAATTGCGACGCGGAAGCTCGTCAAGCCTAGCGACCTCGCTGCCGTCCGCCGCGAGGTGCAGATTATGCACCATCTGACCGGCCACCGGAACATCGTGGAGTTGAAAGAGGTTTTCGAGGATCGACTCCATGTACATTTGGTGATGGAGCTCTGCGCCGGCGGGGAGCTCTTCGACCGGATTATCGCCAAGGGGCATTACTCCGAGCGCGAGGCGGCGGCGCTCTGCCGGCAGATTGTCACGGTGGTGCACGCCTGCCATTCCATGGGGGTTATGCATAGGGATTTGAAGCCCGAGAATTTCTTGTTCTTGGAATCCGATGATGATTCCCCTCTCAAGGCTACAGATTTTGGGCTCTCTGTTTTCACAAAGCCTGGTAAATTTCTCTGTCCTAAATTTGGTATCCTTCTTGTCCGAACAATCTCTGCCCTGTCCATATGTGTGTTCGTCTGATTGCAGGTGACATATTCAAAGATCTTGTTGGCAGTGCTTACTACGTTGCTCCTGAAGTATTGCGTAGAAGTTATGGGACTGAAGCCGACATTTGGAGTGCTGGAGTGATCCTATATGTTTTACTAAGTGGGATTCCCCCCTTCTGGGGACGTGAGTTTTTTGATCTTCTTCACTTGTTTAATCGAAGATGGCCGTGATTAAATTTGTGTCTTTTAATTTCAGCAAACGATAGGTGCATTTTCGATGCTATTCTGCGAGGACATCTGGATTTCAGCTTCGATGTTTGGCAATCAGTGTCGACTAGTGCCAAAGATCTTGTAATGAAGATGCTGGAAGCGGACCCGAAAAAACGAGCCACTGCTGTGGAAGTTTTAAGTGTGTGCTGCGTCTTTGCAACTTCATGTTTTAATGTTTTGATGACTCTGAGGTTTTGATTGCCTGAATTTCGATTGTGCAGGCCATCCGTGGATAAGGGAAGACAGCGATGTCTCCGACGAGCCTCTTGATATTGCTGTCTTGTCTAGATTGAAGCAATTTCATGCTACCAATAAGCTCAAGAAAGTTGCTCTTAAGGTTGTCTTGTATCCGTTGTAGCACGTTCTTGCATTCGATTCGATGAATTGTAAATGTTGGCATTGTTAGTAGGTGGTTGCTGAAAATTTGTCTGGAGAAGAGATAGCGGGATTGATGGAGCTGTTCAAATCGATGGACATGGATAACAGTGGAACGATCACTCTTGAAGAGTTGAAAAATGGTTTGTCGAATTTGGGTTCAAAGGTTTCCGAATCGGAAGTCAGGAAGTTAATGGAAGCGGTAACCTCATAATCTTACATTGTCTTCATATGATTGTCTGTTTATAACATTCCCTATTTGTCTTGGTGCACATTTGTAATGACGTCGAAATGGATTGTTTTCACTCAGGCTGATGTGGATGGAAATGGGATGATTGACTACATTGAATTCGTTACATCGACAATGCATATGAATCGAATGGAGAGGGAAAACCGACTCTACAAAGCGTTCGAGTATTTTGACAAGGACAAGAGCGGGTAGACTGCGATTTTCTTGCAAGCATTTATAGACGTTCCAATGCATATATGGTGATTCTTTTATTACAATTCAGGTACATCACTGTCGAAGAATTAGAGCACGCTTTGAAGGAGTACCACATCAGCGCTAGAGCAATTACCGACATTCTTGTAGAAGTCGACACTGACCGGGTAACGCTGTCTCGGAAAACATACCTTTAGCGTTGGAGATGCTAGTGAATTAAACTAAACTAACTCATGGCTTGGTTGTGCAGGATGGGAAGATAAACTATGATGAGTTTGTTGTAATGATGAGGAAAGGCTATCCTGACTTGTAAACAAATGATCAAAGAATTACAGACAGACAACATTGTATACATTTACAAGACAACGTTGTATTTGTTGATTATGAATGAAGAGGAGTGTCTTTCATCTTTTTATTGTTCTGTTCTGCTGTCTTTATCTTTACTGCAGTTCTAATCAGGAAAACAATTAAAACGTGGTTTACTGTTTGGGGTTGGGGAGAATTTTTTTTATTGGAAGCAGTGAACTTTGGGCAAGGAATGGTTAATTATTTGACCAAATCATGTAATAAGATAAGATAATGGGACAAACATGACAGGAATGATTTGTTTGGTAGATGGAAGAAGCAGCTGATGAAAGTTCCTGTCCTCTTTCCCCTGCCATTAAAGAACAGAAAGCAACCCAATAAATTTTCTTTCTTTTCTTACATTCTCCATCGTCAAATTTACTACTTGTATTATTATTTTTTTTTTATCTTCTTGGCTATTTATAGGTTAATATAATAAGGTGAGGAAAAATCTGGAGCAATTTCGGTCGAGTTAGGGTTCTTTGTGCTCTACAAAAATGCGTGACAACCCGATTTTTGTCCAATCACTTCCTCCGCCAATTTAGGGCTTTGATGCACCATCCCAGTGCTAATCTGATGCTGAGCTTCAATTGCGTTCATTCGCTACCTCTTCGCCCCCGCCGCTACACCTCCACTCCTTGGGTTTGGGTTCCCAAATTCACAGCCAAATCGCCATTTTCGTCTAGCTCGAGCTTTCGGGGTGTGGATGCTCGTCAGAGGTTATCGACCAAGGTATGTGATTGATGTTATGGGTAGTTCGTTGGCTACGGTGATTGATCGATTTCTGTGGTCAAGCGGGTGTGAAGATGTGTGGTGGGTCTTTGTCTGCGATTTGATTGTGCTTGTTTATGTGTAGAAATAATTTCTTCATTCGCGTGTTTATGCATCTGTGCTTTTAATGGCTGAAATGGTTTCCAGTATTGAATCAATATATCTTTGTAACAGTCAGATTCTTGCTAATCTTATAGAGTTCATCTGTGTGTTCTTACTAAGTCTAGTGAATTCATTTAGGAGCCATTAGTTTGTCTACTACTGGAAAACGATTCAGGATCTTGGAGTGATTCACAGACGTGCAAAGTGTGTTTGCGTAAGTTATTTGTGTTCATGTGTTTCAGAAGTGGAGAATCTCTTGCTTTAGGCATGACGAAATACCGCCTGCCAATCTGAATCAAGAGTCTTCAGAGGAGCTTCTTCATGACTCAGAGAAGCCCGGGAGTAATAAATTCAGTGGCAGAAGAAGCTGGGTGTCCAAGGTTGTAGAGGTGATATTTTTTTTGATGATATGTTGTTGTTTGTTTAATCGATACTAATTGTTGGCATCACAAATTGTAAGCCTCGTGCGTATTATTCTGCATAAATTTAGTCTGTTTTCTCTTTGTGAAGGATTAGTTAATGGATATTACTGTGATGCACGACCAAGATACTCTTTTAGCTTCTGTGTTTAGAACAAGACTCTTATGGTTAAATGGTTGGAATTTGAGATGATATTTGTCCTGACTCAAGGAAATAGTGTAAAACGATTTTGATGATGAAAGGGAACTAGGCTGTAAGGTTGGATATCAGGAACTTGCTGCTTTTTATTTACATTTTAGGTGTTGTTACTTATTGTGTATGTCGGTTTTTGTGGGGTGATTTAAGATGATTGAGTTCAAATGTTATAACGAAATGAATTTGCACAAATCGAATAAGAATGCGTTTCTACAACACGTCATGCTATGTTCTTGTTTTTATTATAATGTAGGAGATATTGTGATGATATAATAATGTAGGAGATATTGTGATGATTGCATATGATAGGAACATCAAAAAACACTAATAAAGGGATAATTTTACTTTCGTTTTCAAATTACAAATGCACTTTTTAGTGTAATTGGTTTATTACAAAGTAGGTGACAGTTGCGGCAGGATTTTCAAAGGCATAATATGCACATTTTTTTCTTACACTATTGTTTTCCGGATTACGTTGGCACTTTTTAGAGTTCTTGTTTTTTATTACAAAGTAGATGAAGTTGCGATGATTTCATATTCTATGAACTTCAAAAACATAATAATCATGTTTATTACTTTCGTTTTCCAGATTACAAAATCACTTTTCAGTGTGAGTGTGAAGCCATGGACTGTGCCATGGACTGCAGAGACTATCCTAAAGGCAAAAAGTTACAATAAATTTTTCAGTTTCTATCGCATCATTAACAAATTCAGTATATTACCATTTGGAATTCAAAATGTTTGCAATAAAATGGATGAAACTCGATTAAACTCCTCACTTTGTCAATTTCATCGCAATGTAGGTGACGCTCCTCTGGATTGTATCTTTCTGGTTCGTGGGGTCGTGGATGATCCCGTTCGGAGCTCATATCGTCGGTTTCAACAAGGAATTGCTCACATTTAGAGGACAGGCTTTGTTCAGCCTTCTGACGGACGTAACTGAAGGCCTCGCCGGAATTCTAATTCTCCATCGCTGCTTGTCTCAGTTCCGGCCCCTTCCGCCCGACTGGTTCAAATTTAGCCTAAGAGGGAACTGGATGATCGACGTATTGATCGGCTGCTTCATGTTCCCTTTGGTCAATTATCTCTCTCAATTCAACCTCAATTTATTGCCCATCCTGCCTTCGACTCCCGTGACGCTTTCGAGCGTCGAGCAGTCGATAATGGCGCGTGACCCTATTGCGATGGCGCTGTATGCGTTAGTTCTCGTCGTGTGCGCGCCCCTTTGGGAGGAAATTGTGTTCCGAGGCTTCCTTCTGCCGTCGCTGACTAAATACATGCCGGTTTGGTGCTCAATTTTGGTCAGCTCGTTCGCGTTTGCGCTGGCGCATTTCAATGTTCAGAGGATGCTGCCGCTGATTTTCCTTGGGGTTGTGATGGGCGGAAGCTATGCCCGGTCGAGGAACCTGTTGCCGTCGATGCTATTACACAGCCTGTGGAATGGATTCGTGTTCTTGGACTTGATGAAGTGAAAAATGCTCGTCGGCGGGCTCTGATTCTGATTCGTCGCCGGTGTAGACAATGTAGGAAGGCTATGTCTTAAGAGTAGCAGTTTATCCATGCTCTAATGTTATTATTCAAAGGTGTAAATGTCAGGAATAATAGCCATCGAATTCTTATTGCCTAAATTATTTTGTAAGAAAGTTTGAAAAATAAAATTTTTGTCAGAAGTGGGATTTGAACCCACGCCCTCTTACGAAGACCAGAACTTGAGTCTGGCGCCTTAGACCACTCGGCCATCCTGACTTTTATTTTTAAATGATATAAAGAATTTTATTAATTGAAGAAATGTTTGGACAGCTGCATCGAAAGAAGTTGCTGCTGGAGTCACGTGGGCTGCACGAGGTTTCCAAAAATAGAAAGCTCTTATCTCTAGAAGATAAGGTTGGTGGACTGGAGTGCCGACAAAGACAGCAGCCATATGATAGTTAAAGATTTGGATCTTTTTTGGCTGATTGGGTGTCCGTCTCGGCGCGCCATGCTGCACTTGGTGCCCTATTTTTGTATTTTGTTGGGTTGAAATGGATTGATGGAGGCCCATGTATCGCAATTGCGACTGGACTCCACGTGTGATGCGCATTCCTTCCGAGTAACCGCCGGAGAAAGCGGGAGAGCAACCGTCTCTTTAGAGAAGAAGAAATGAAATGGAGAGAAACAAACTAACCACCGTACGACCGTCAACCAATCCTTGAGAGATATTTATTTTCGAATCCATTGCGCCAAATTGGTTTTCGGTTTGATTGATTGTATGTATGGACGACGACGGCGCCGGAGTCGTTTCAAGTTTCGTCGGTTTCGAATTTTGAATCACAACAACGATAATCGTTATACCTCAACAACGCTCGGCGCTCGTTTGAGTATAGATAATAATTACGGATTGGATTGAATTGAATTTATTGGTCGAGAAGAAATGGAATCGAAGCAAGTGTTGATGTCGGCGTTGGGGGTGGGGATAGGAGTCGGCGTCGGGCTCGGTTTGGGATCGCAAGCCGTCGGAAAATGGACAGGCGGGGACTCGCCGTCTTCCGGCGTTACACCGGAGATTATGGAGAGGGAGATGCTTAATCTCCTCTCTAATGGCAGGGATAGCAAGGTTACCTTCGATAAATTTCCTTACTATCTAAGGTAAATTTTCCGGTAATCTTCTTCCTCTTAACTTCTTCGTTTAGATTTTGTTGCTTTCATTCGTAAGTTAAAACTGCAATATGGACGTCTCTTTCTTCTCAAATCATTCGAAATGTAGAGGAACAGTTAAGAAATAGCATATCCTTGTCCTTGTTAATAATTTGAAGTTGAAACTTCTTGGATTTTGATGGCCAAAATGCTAATTCGGTGAATGGTTTTTATTCCTTTCTTACAGTGAACAAACAAGAGTCTTGCTAACGAGCGCAGCAGTTGTTCATTTGCAAAAAACGGATTTCGCAAGGCATACGAGGAACCTCTCTCCTGCAAGTCAAACAATTTTGCTATCTGGACCGGCTGGTAGGTTTCGAAGATGTTTGTTTGATTGGATTACATTTTTGTGTTTCTTGTAATAGGCTGTGTTTCAATTTCCTTGTTTCAGAGATGTATCAGCAGATGCTTGCTAAGGCATTGGCTCATTATTTTGAGGCGAAGTTGTTGCTGTTAGATGTAACCGATTTTTCGCTTAAGGTGAATGGACTGTATGGATTGTGTTTGAATTGATCATTTTTGGATAATCATGTTCTTCTTCTAATGTTTGAATGGATTCTTTGGCAGATTCAAAGCAAGTATGGGAGTTCTAGTAAGGATTCTGTGAGTTTATAAAGATGAAAACTTTTCGATCATCCTTAATATCTCATATTGACATAATATGAGAATGTAAGTTGTGACTTGTTTCTTGTTTTCTGTTTTTCCTCTGTATGGAACTTCTCTGGTGCAGTCTCTTCCAAGGTCTGTATCTTCAACAACGTTGAGCCGAGTGTCTGAATTATTTGGATCTCTTTCCTTACTTAAACCAAAAGAGGGCGTCCCTGGTATGAATTGATGCATGTTTTTGGATTTGTCTTTGTCAATTAGAGGACTTCAATTGTTCATTATCTAACCATGGCTACCTGAACTGAGTTTAGGAAAGTTTAGGTTTCTTCAAGGGTGTTATGTTCTACGTATGATTTCGTCATCCATGGGAGTAGTGGCAAGTTTCATGCTTTGATATTAGTTGGTTTAGCAAGTCCCTGTATTATGTTCAATTTGCACAAGAAAATTCTTGCTTTTATTTTATTAGAGCCATACGAAAAAGGTTTAATGTAACTTATCAGCACAGGATATCATTCAGATTATACTTTTTAGTTTGATGGATACGCTTTGGTTAGTTGAAATCAAATCGATGTGTTCATATTTCTCTATATTAACATGTGCTGTTGATGGTGAATCCAAGTAGAAATATACCTATTACATTTATCTTCTCTGCGACTTTTCTATTGCATGTATAGTGTTTTCTGCGCCATTTTCACAGCAGCAAGGTAATGTGTTTGTTGCAGGTACGTTGCGAAGGCAAAGCAGCGGGGTTGATCTTGGATCAATGTCCGTATTTGAATCTTTGTAATATTCATTAATTTTTTCATATCTCTTCTCTTTTTTTAATTGCAGCATGCTTGTGCATGTGTGCAGGGGCCAGGAAAGCACTAAACCTGGAAAGCTTCGTAGAAATGCATCCTCGGCAAGCATCAGTAACATGGGTTCAGCCACTGCACTATCAGGTTTTGAATCAAACCAATTCTGAGAGTAATTTAGTTGGAAAAACCCTTAGAAAGATACCTATACTTACAAATGGACAATGCCACAGGCCTTTTAGGTTTTGATTTTGTGTTGTGAATTCACTCCAAGTCGTTGAATCTCAAACATAGATTAAGTAAACATCAAAATTGATGTTAATAAATAATTAATGTTGTAGCAGACATTTATCAACATGTTCATCTTTCTCTGTTCATTGCTGTTTTTTAATCGTTCTGCTTTTGAATGATCGAGTAACAGTCAATCATTATCTGCTCTTCAGATACTCGCAGCAGCAGTTGGTGTTTTGATGATAAGCTTTTTATTCAAACACTTTACAGGGTATGAATATGTTTCCGGAAAGCTATTATGCGTCTTTAGAGAAGAACTGTTCAAATACTGAACTTACACAATTAATCTTATGATTACCAATCTGCATTACTTCATGCAGGCCCTTATGAAAATATCGAAAATGAGTCCTTTAGTCGTCTATCTTAGGGATGTTGAGAAGCTTCTTTGCAAGTCACAGACGATGTATATCTTGTTCCAGAAAATGCTGAAGAAATTGTCTGGACCCATATTGATCCTTGGTTCAAAGATTATTAATCCAGAAAGTGATTATAGAGTAGTTGATGAAAAAGTTTCTTCCATATTCCCTTATAATATCGAAATAAGGCCGCCTGATGATGAAAATCATCTTGTGAGCTGGAAGGCTCAGCTGGAGGAGGATATGAAAATGATTCAGTACCAGGACAATAAAAATCACATAATGGAGGTACTTGCCTCGAACGATCTTGATTGTGATGATCTGGGTTCTATCTGTTTGGCGGACACCATGATTCTTAGCGAATACATAGAAGAAATCGTCGTATCTGCCATCTCTTACCATCTGATGAATACAAAGGAACCTGAATACAGAAATGGGAAACTTGTTATGTCATCCACAAGGTGAACTTGCCCATCTTACACATGCTTGTTTATATATATATATATGTCCTAACATTGTATTGGCCTTGTTAGTTTGTCCCATGGATTGGGTATATTTCAAGAAGGTAAATCTGTAAAGCTAGAATCACAAGCTGAAATGCCTAAGGTTGGTTGTCCTGAATTTGTGGGAGATGCTAGAATATGTAAATAGAACATGTTCATATATCGTTTTTTCAATAATTAGGCTGCAGGTGCTAAGGATGCAGAACCGGTGAAGCCAGCCGCAGTTGAAACAAAGCCGGAAGCCTCCGCTGCAGAACCCAAGAATGAAGATCCACCTGTTTCAAAAGCACCAGTAAGGCAAATAATCCATTTCTCAGAGCATCACAAAATTTATCTGTCCTTTGACGATGCAGTTAGCCTTCGAATGTTCTATGAAGCTTGGTGCTGCGTAATTGTTATGTGGTTCAGTACTTGCATTCATTGTTTTTCCTCTTTATTCTGTAAATGTTGCAGGAAGTCCCTCCTGATAATGAATTTGAAAAGCGCATTAGGCCGGAAGTCATTCCAGCAAATCAGATCGGTGTGACATTTGCAGATATAGGAGCATTGGATGAGGTTAAAGATTCACTTCAGGAGTTAGTCATGTTGCCTCTTAGAAGACCCGACCTTTTTGAAGGCGGCCTACTGAAGCCGTGCCGAGGAATACTGCTCTTTGGGCCTCCTGGCACAGGGAAGACCATGCTGGCCAAGGCCATAGCTAATGAAGCTGGAGCAAGCTTCATTAATGCTTCAATGTCTGCAATTACTTCGAAGTGGTTTGGTGAAGACGAAAAGAATGTTAGAGCCTTGTTCACTCTTGCAGCCAAGGTCTCGCCTACTATTATATTTGTAGATGAGGTTGACAGCATGCTCGGGCAGCGGAACAGAGCTGGGGAGCACGAGGCAATGAGGAAGATAAAGAATGAGTTCATGACACAATGGGATGGACTTTTGACAAAACCCGGCGAAAGAATCTTAGTACTTGCTGCAACCAATAGACCATTTGATCTCGATGAAGCAATCATTAGACGCTTTGAGAGAAGGTAATGATACACATTCGAAGTTTTTTTTTTGAATGAATGGATGGTAACTGATGCCAATTCTTTTGTGAATGGCAGAATAATGGTCGGCTTACCGTGTGTGGAGAACAGAGAGAAGATCCTAAGGACATTGCTATCTAAAGAGAAAGTTGATCCAAGTATGAACTTTGAGGAGCTTGCAAGAATGACTGAAGGATTCTCCGGGAGCGATCTAAAGGTTTCTCTCCGACTTCTTTCGACATTGATTTTTATTTACATGTGAATCCTTAGAAAGTTATTTGTGAAACAGAATTTATGTGTTACTGCTGCCTATCGACCGGTTCGAGAGCTAATACAGCAAGAGAGGCGACGAGATCAGGCAAGTGTAAATCTTATACCAACTAAGTTGTAAAGGCTGAATTTTGTTTGTTTTTTTAGCATAGTCTGGCATGATTAATTTGGCTTCTGGTCATTCCCTTTGTACCAGGAAAAGAAGCGTAAGGCAGACAACAAAGAACAATCTTGTAAAGATGATAACACAGAGAGAAAAATCACTATCAGGCCATTAACTATGGTAGATCTCAAGGAGGCTAAAAATCAGGTCAAAAAACAATCTTTACAATTTCTCTGATTGCTGCTAGAAAAGATCGGTACATGCATTTACATATATGGGTTCTTTTAAAGTGACTGGATGTATGTATGCATGTAGGTGGCTGCTAGCTTTGCTTCTGAAGGCTCCATAATGGCAGAGCTGAAGCAATGGAACGACCTCTACGGCGAAGGCGGGTCGAGGAAGAAGGAACAGCTGTCTTACTTCTTGTAAGATTAATATATATTTACTATATATGTGTTTCTGGACGACAGTTTTATGGCTTGGAACTATTAGGGTTCTTAATTTAGGATTTTTTTTTTTTTAATAGCATATATATAGCAAGTAGTATTAGTGCTGGCTATGGTGCTATGAATAGAAATACCAACAAATATTATACGTAGATTTTATAATTTACCTGTTGCATCTATTCATGTGTTTACTTTACACACCCATAATATACATTGCAAAATTAAATTAGGAGGAAGCTGCCGTTTTGAAGCAGGAGAAATCCTGCAAAGAATGAGTTGTTGGATTCACTTTCATGGTGCAGTTCATCTTCACGACGACATGACTTCTTTTAATGATATTTTTAATGCTAATTTTCCCCATCATTGTGGTACGACTACTCAGTACGGGTAGATTCCCTCCCGCCGTTATAACGTCCTCCGCCACCGGCACGTTGATCTTCACCGAAATCGTTTTTCCGGCGAGGATTTCCCCCGCCGGCGTCGACGCCTCGCCGGCCGGCGACCCGTTACAGTACACAGACGTCGTCGTATTGTAGAACTTGAATGACGCCACGTTAGGATTTTTTACGGAGACGTTCGCCGTCAGTGTCAGCTTGATTGTGCCGTTAGCGTTTCCGTTTCCGTTGCCGGCGGCCGCATCCCAGCCGTTGATCTCGACGGAGTTCATCTTGATTTTGGGATTCTTGATTCGGAAAACGGTGAGGACCAGCGCGAGCGCGATCACCGCCAGAACGAGCATCACGGCGGCGGCGCAGCCGCAGCACTTGACGCAGCATGATTTCCGCCGCCGGTGAGATGAATAATTGAACTCCGGCGAGAACGCGAACGCGCCGTCGTCGCTGGGGCTGGAGAACGGCGCCACGGCGGCGGGGGCCAGCGGCTTCACCTGGTCTTTATTGTCAGCCATGGCAGACGACGTCGTCGTACAAAGCTCTAAGCTTATACGAAATTGAGCAATTGAAGGGAGTAGTAATTAATAATAAGAATATTACATTAATTAATCTATTATATAAATAAGGTTACGTAAATTGAATTAATATAATAGTGTCCTAAAAGTTATAAGCGCGTTTGCTAGACTTTGACTGCTGACTTGACGGACGGAGTGCATTTATGATGGAATTTGGGAAGACCATGTCATTAATTAATGATGACGTGCCAATTATGTGAAGAAGATAAAATTTTCTGCACTGTTTGTTGTCCATATCTGTGTAGGAGTTGTGTTGACGACGTAACGAGGAATAAATTAATAATAAGCAAACAAAATTTCAGACAAAAGACTAGGAAGGTTCGTTGGCCGAATGATGAGAAACAGACAAATAGGATAAATTTGAGGGATCGGAAGGGAAGGAAATAGTATCATATAATAATAAGTCAACTGTGTGTGTGTGTGTGTGTATTCATTCTTTCAGTGGCAAATTTGCTGTATAGGTTCTTGTAGTCCACTTATAACCACAAGATTTGAATTTGATTCACATTCGAGCGAGTTTGAATGAGAAGCCATTTTTCAAGAAGAATAGCATGGTTGTGTTATGTAAGTCAATGAAATGTGCATGTATAATTGATTTGGTTATGAAAATAATTATACTTGGGGATGACTAGTCAGTTATGGGGGAGAGTTTATCCCAATTTTTTTGATCTAATAGTATTTTGTGGACAAGTTGATGATGTATGTATTTTATGATTGGATTTTGATAAGCCCAAAGGAAAAGTGTGAAAATCGAGAGAGAGAGAGACGAGAGTGATGCACCAATTAAGTCATGATGGACCCCATTCTTCATTATATTCTATTTCTATTTTCAAGCAAAATTTAACTGCATCATGTGTGTATATATATATATATATATATATTTATTTATTATTACAAACAAAAAAAAAAAGGAAAAGACGTAAATAGGTGAGATAAATTTGGAAATGGTTAGCAGTTAGCCGCATTTGCCGTTACCTAGAAGAAATAAACAAACAAACAAACATCAATTCTAACATCTTAATACTAACCGAATCATTGATCACATCAATTCTATGCTTAGCTTCTTACACCACACCCTCTAACAAACTAACTAAACATATATAAACATCAATTCTACCATACAGAAAAAAAAAAAAAAAAACTAAACTCAAGCAAGATCCAATAAGGAATAAATAATATCATTTATTCTTTATTCTTTCCTCCACTCACCCTGATATAAATAAATATAAGTACTTAGCAAACCCCATTATAATCAATCGAAAAAACATTCTACCAAGTAACCAATTAATTAATCAATCCCAAGAAGATGCATATGATGATCATTCATGATAAATGGCGAGTGTGTATTATATTTTAGAGATCCATTATTATAATTATTATAGATGTAACAAATAAATGATTTATTTAATTTTATTGACACGACAAATCCTGAATCTGCCGGGAAGTGACGTTCAAACCCATACTGCAATTCAACACAGCACTTCTCCGGCGTCCAACAATCTTCACCACACGCACTTCACCTTTCAATTTTCCAAAGCTTTTCATCTCAATCAAATCCAATTCTTTATCCAATTTCACTTTCACTTTCATCGTCACGTTAAACTCTCTGCTCTCCCGCCGGCCAACGCCTCCGCCGCCGATGCTCGCCGCCCCAATAATTCCGCCTCCCGATCCATCCCGGAAAGTGGCGTTTCCGGCCCGGAAATTGAAGCGGCCGAAGTTGGGGTTGTGAAGGCGGAGGTGCGCGAGGAGAGTGGCGTTTGTGCGGCGGAGGTCCCCCACGTGGACGTCGGATAGCCGGAGAGTTGGTGGCTGGATGCGGAGGACGACGGCGGCGAAGATCAGGAGGAAGATGCTGAAGACGACGATGATCAGGAGAGTGTACACGAAGCATTTACTGCTGCCTTGTTGGGGTTTAATTATATTCGAATTCATTGATTGGAATGGGAATCGGGAATCTTCTTGATCGTTTTGGTTGCCTAATCTTGATCTTGATCTTGATCTGTTGTTGGTATTCGTGTGTTCTGATTGTGAATTCAGATATCGTTCTTCTTCCTCCTCCATTTCTGATTGGAGATTTTGATGGTGATGATTGTGGTTGGGTTTTTGAATTCAGTTTGGGTGCAAATTAAAGGGTTCTTTCTGCTTCTACGCATCTACTACGCACATGCATATATCTATCTATCTATGCATGTACAATTGACGTGGAGTTGCCGTAGGATTCTTGGGAGCTCCGGGGACCACGGAAGCCAGATGGCACGCCCATAACGTTGATTGTGAGGTCCTGGGAGTTATTAGTTTCTTAGAAAGAAATTAAATGATAATAATAGTAATGTACATGGATATATTAAATTAAATGCTAAGTTCACAGCGCACATCAGGTTCTAAACGTTTAGGAATGAATGTGTGATTGAATGATATAAATATTTTAGAATTATATGCAAAATTTGTTTACTGAAATTTATACAAAATCTATTTAATGATATTATTATGTTGAATATTAATAGTATTACGGTCTGAATGAAATGTCCACAATTTTTGAATTCGAGTGCCAATTCATAACTTTATAATTGATTAATATTTGACATATGTATTGCTTATAAATTCGATTTTAATACTTGATGCGTAATTTTCTACACCAATTGATGATATATATAAAATAAATAATTCCTTTCATTGGCTAATAATGGGCTGACTCGAAAACATGTAAAATACCACACCAAAACATAATAGATAGATCATACATGAGATAAAAAACCTGTGACTCAATATGGATCCAATCCACATCACCATTCACCACTTTTAATATACTAAACTTGTATTTATTTACATTTACATTTTAGTTACGCGCGTATCCTTGCTTACAACATTCCATGAATGTAATAAATAAGACAAGGGCTTCAAGCAGCGCCGGATTTCCAGAATGGAAAATTGTACAACTACAAGCCTACCTTTTACTTTTACTTTTAGCACATCCAAAAAAAGTCCAATATTAATAATTGCAAGAATTGAAACAAAAACCTGCTCCATAAACCTACAAATTTCCCCAATCCACTATACCATCATAGATCAATCCTTTCTGCTGTAATCCACGCTTTCATCTTCAATGTCATCCAACGCCCTGAAATCTGCCACGTGGCAGATAACTATGCATCTCACCGATCACTTTCTGGGCTCGTCTTGCCAGCAGCTCATCACAATATACCTTAGCATATATATATATATATATATATATATTTTCCTACAAAGTAGTATATCAGTATTATTTCTATTTTACCATTTCTTTTGTGGGCAGATTCAGCCAGCATAGAATTGTGGAAAGGGAGAGTTGATTGCAAGGGAAAAAATTGGTAGTGGAATGAAGCAAGTGGCTGATTTGATTTGGTTTTAGAAATGCTCCTTGTGGAATTCAAATTTGGTGGTGCCTTTCTGATTGTACTCATAGCATAGCTGTTTGAGTTCTTTTGCAAGTACTGGTGCTCCACAGTAGAACACTCCTGCATTTGCACAATTTCATCACTTTCTCTCAATGTTATATATGCATTAGCTAATGGACAGGAATTTTGGAATGGTAAGACTCACCTATTCTGGCATTGGCATGCTTTGTGCCAATTTTGGACAGAACTTTCTTCCAATTTGGCCTTGCAAAGTGTGTTCTGACCTGTTAGAATCAGTAGTGTAGTTATACACTCAAAGAAAGTGATGATATGGCTGTCGCTTATAACTGTGTTAGGACCTTACCCTTGTGCCAGAAACAATGTCGACTCCATTTTTGGCATGGTTAAGTGCCTGGACCATGGTGATGAGTGCTGAACGAGCATCTCCTTCTTCGTATACGCTGGTTAAATAATTGTGCATCTCAATGACCCCCTGTAATGGAGCCAGAGATTTTAGTATACATATGGTTAATTAAGTAGATAAAAATATGGATGTAATTAATGCTGATGAATGATGCATTACTACATTACCCTTTGATCAAGTTCAGCAACCTCATTCATGACCCCCTTGAACCAATCGAATGATCCTTGCTCTCTCGTGACCCAATAGAAGTAAGCATTAGTTGTCCTCAGAGGTTTCTTCTGTTTAGGAGAAGACTTGTTGAGTTGTGCGGAGTTGAAAGAGCTCATACACTGGTCCGAGAACCTGGTGAAATCCGAAATTGAATCCTGGAAAAAACAGTGAACAGATTGTCTCTTTTAAATTTCGGTTATAACTGTAATTCAGACTTTCATATTCTGATTAGTGATGCTTACAGCCAACTCTTCCATTTTGACAATGTTGTTGAGTAAATCTTTAAGGATGCTGATGAAAGGTGTTGCTCCAATGCCAAGACCAACGAGTAAGAGAACGTCGTACTTCCTGTAGCCTTGGGCTGGAGCGCCGTAAGGTCCATCTATTAGCAGCTTTGGTAAGCTGAATTTAGAGGTTGCATTTCAGATTTTATCCAAGAAAATGAAATTGGCAAACCATGACTATTGAGATTGATAGGGATGATTGCATGCATACCTTTTCCTTGTAGTTTCATCAGCTCTGAGTAATCCGCTCTTTCCAATGGCAGGAGGTTCACATGCCTCAGAGAATACCCTCTTAAGATCATGTGTCCAGTCGCCTAATTGCCGTATGTGAATGCTAAGGTAATCATCATCGGGCGCTGAGGTTATTGAAAATGGATGCCTGTTCATTTGCAACATGGCAATAAACTTAGATGGAGAAACTTTTTTGCATTCTTCATTGTATATTAGAAGATCTTACCACTCAAATGGAGAAACAGCTGGGCATTGAACAAACATGTATTGTCCGCTTCGATACTTGAACTGTGGAGGCTTTGACATTTGTAGCGTCAGGACATTTCCAGGATAAATGGCAGCCTGAAAAAATGTAAGTTAGTTAAACCTTAAGACATTTCAATCATTAAGTGCTCTGAGTTTGAACAACAATCATCACTCTTACACCCACCTTTAGAATTCGGACACTATAGAAGCCTGATCGGAAGAATCTAAGAGTCCTTTCACCAGCATACAATAGAACAGGGACTGCAAGATACATCCATGTCTGCAAACAAACTAAAATATCTTAATCAATGACAAGAAACTAGACCACTATGATCTTAACTGTTGAGCAAAATTTTCTTAGTTTGTTCAAAACTTCAAGATCACTTATAGCTTACCGTCTTTTTATACCAGTGATGATCAAGATAAAGGAAGGTGCCATGGAGGATAAGCAAGATGTAGACAAGAATGAGCAGATGATGTGAATACCAAAAGGCATTGTAACCTGTGAGCCTGTCTAATGGTTTAGGCAATTTAATGAGACTCCTTCTGAACCACCTTGTTGCCAATATAAAAGCAATTAGCATGAAAATCACCATCAGAATTCCGGTTACACCCTCGATTCCTTTGATAAGATCTAAGTACTTGGGCTTGCGATTGCCAAAGTCATTGATTAAATAAAGTTCATATATGGCATCAGGTTCATTCACAAGCCTTGGGAAGTCACAGGCAAGATGGTTACCAGCATGGAGTATGACACCAACTACAATGGCTGCTGCAATTGTCTGCTTGTATCAAATATTTAACAAGAAAAAACAGAGTTAGCAGCTTATAGATAAAAATAATTCAGCAGTGATTCATATAATGATGTAATTTAGTAATTAGAACTCAAATGGCATGATGGGAATAAGACACAATTTCATAGATAGGAGCTTTTTTGGATAACGTTTGCTTTGTGATTGAATTGGGTTACTGTAATTACATTATGGGCAGATAGTGCTGCAAATAACTATGACCACTGGAATTGCTTTTAGAGGGTATGCTCTTATCTTAAATTAACTTTAATCTAAAACTAGGCTGACCTTCTAAAATTCAGTTTCATCATTCAGACAGAGAATCAAATTATCACCAGTAACTTTTCTACAAGTCAAGCAAGTGGGGTCCAAGACAACGAAGGCATTAAAGAAAAGTGATAAAAAGGAGTAGATGATGTCCACGGAATATCTTGTTTGTTAGCTTATTTTACTTATCATGCTTTTATTACTATATGGTTTCTTAGCTGTCACACGATCATAAAAGTCGTTAGGGCAGTATTACCTTATGGAAGTTGATGTTGTCATCAAACGGCACAAAGTGTCCCATCCTGGAAGTTCTCAGCCAAGTAATGGTGTTCCTGCACACAGGCAATAGTATGATTGCCATATTGAATTTCAGAGTCTCTGCAGCACCTTTAGCCGTGGGGAGACAATAGCCCATGACCTTGAATGCATTCTTGTGTTTGTACAGATAGAATTTCCAAGTGAAAAGTCCAATCATTATCATTATCCAGAGTGTTAGAACCCATATTCTCCTCCAATTTTCTTGCAGAAAATATAGCAACTTAGTGCTCATTCTCTGGAATCGGCTTCTGTATCTGAGTCCATGAAGGTTTTGGCTCAGGGCTTGGCTCGTGTAGCTCAGGGCTTGACTGTAATTCAAGTACGTGTCCTTTTGCAGCAGTAGTGTTTCCAGCTGCCATAGCTGCATCATAACATGACGAGAAAAGTTAGATCATGCGGATTTGTCCTTATAGGAGCAATAGAATAATGTTGGACGGGGACCATGTAGTGTTTCTATTACATGTGTTCAGTCATCAGTGCTAAAGACACGCTTTTCTGGTCTGGAAAGCACTACATTGTCCACATGGGATGGATTTTTACAATCTAATTGAAACGTCACCGTCATACATAGAGATATAGAGAATGGTGGAAGAATTATAGGCCCCCTTTTTTGGGTAAGCTAGTTTACAAAAATGTAATTCTCCTTCAATCATTAATCTCTTAATAATTTTCATAATAACGCACTTTATTATACACATATATAACGCCACACCTTTTCTATTAAGCGTTACTTATTTTTCAGTTAATTACTTAATTATATATTCACCTAAGTGACAAACTGACAATTCATGAATATCAGCCTGAAAAATACTATATTTTTTTATTTATACAATAATCTACAATATTTTGGGGATAAATTGAACGCAAATATTAGAAGCAAGTTGATATTCTAAAACTTTATTGTTAAATTTTTGCACCTATTTAAGGATAGCCAGGTTTACCTAGGTAGAGTAAAAGAATAGTATTTTTTTTTCTTAAAAAAAATTAAATACAAAATGTTATTATTCAATCGAATCATTTTCAATAAAAATATGCTCCCTCCGTCTCGCAAGAAGGTTGTCATGGTCTTTTTGCTGTTAATCTTTAAATATTAATTATTATATCAATAAGTGGTAGAAATCAAGAGAAAAAGACAAAAATAAGTTTATCAGTCTCTTATAATACAAATACAATATATTTTTCGAATAAATTATTCAAATATAAGGATATTTTTAATATTAAGTACAATGATGAAAAAATTAAATGACAACCTTCTTCCGGGACTGAGGGAGTATATATTTTTATAAAATCATATCAAAATACTATTTAAATAAAAATTCAAATTAATTTAAATCAAACAAACATGCTTGTCTATATATATATATATAGGGAAATGGAAGGGAAAACATGAAAAACAAAATAAAGGAGAAATATATAGATTAAAGAAGAAAAATAAAAAAGGATTAAAAGGATAAATAAATAAATGAAGCCCTATGTCCCTAATTTCGAATAAAGCACATAGATATATAGCAACTAAATCTTGATAAAATTTATTTCTGTGGCTTATATTTAAGATGAAAAATAAATACACAGGCTCAAAAGTTTGAATATTTATAATACCATAAAAAATTACCATAAAACTGTAACTAAATGTTTAGTGGCCTTAAACTAATGAGTAGACGTAAGAAAAAGTAGTAGCTGAAAGGTTTGTATGGGTTGAGGAATAGTCTATCTAACAAAGCAAGTCAACAACATTATTGATTAAGAAGGTTTTCTTGAACTCTATTGCACATTTTATTATCAATTTCAGTTTATTTCATGAACTTGATCTTCTCTGGCTCATCTACCAGGGAATACCGTAACCAGTTATATATTTGAAACGTTATCCAAATGGCTATCCCTGAACTGACTCAGCAATCATTCAACCACATATTTCTGACATCACAAAATTTCTTAATCCAGTTTAGTAGAGCTAAAAGCCAATAAACCATCGTTTTTAAACTGAGAAAAACAAACTTAAAAAAAAAAGAAAAAAAAAAAAAAGAACTAGTTATACCTAAGTCAATTTTGAGGGTTGTTCACCTATCAGTATGGGCTTGTATTGCATTCACAAAAGAATATATAGGCCTGACTCGCCCAACAGCATTTCCATTTTGACTGAAACAAATTGGAGATGGTAAACAGTCTCTATTAAAGGCTGGATATTCAATTAAGTAGATGCTTATAAATGTATTATTTGCATATTTATATATGTAAGGTTGAGCATACGGTATTTTATTCAACGTGTATAGGTGAACAACACGCGTTAACCCTAGAGTAATCATATCTAGTCAGTCATTTGTTTGTCGTCTAACTAATGACTTTTTTTAGAAACTCCAAAGTCCAACATCATGATTTTAGTTGCAACCAATTTTCATTCTATGGTTAGCTAAGTGCTGTGGTTGGTCTATTCGCAATCAACTACTACTAAAAGCATGTATAATCTGTGGGTGTAAGGCAGGAATTTAACACATCTCTGATCCCTTGAAAATAAGTTCAAATTATTCGTGTGTGGGTTAAATAAAAGAGATTAATTAATCTTATTTAAATACCTCAATGTAGCCAAGTCTTTCGGGGTCCAATTCTTCCATGATCAGAGCTGCGTATTCTTCAGCCTGCTCTTTTAATCTCGACAATTTATTTGCAGAGGCACTCACCATGATAATCTACATGACGAAATAATTAAGAACATTAATTCAAATGAGTGTTAATTATTACATATATCATACAAAGTCAATATATGTTTGTACACAATTACAAAGCTACCCCTACCAACCCCGCGAAGACAAATTAAGTCACAGGAGAAGTTGGTGGTATTTGGAGAGTTCGGTACGCGATATACTCATACAATATCAAACTAACTACGATCACAAGTCACAACAATATGTTAATCGACCCATTAGACTTTACGCGACTTTATGTATAATAAAAGTATACGGCTTTTGAATTGATGTATATAACAAGAATGATTGATTATAAATATATGAACACTCATATATATATATATATTTATTGGAGTTGTTGGATAAATTTTTTCTAACAAAACCCGTCATGCCTAACTTTGGACCTACGTAAAACCCCACTCTCAAAAGAAAAAAAATAAAAAACCTTTTACTAAAATTGAACAAGAAAATAAACAATACAATATTGATTTCCTTCTCAATAATACCTATCGTGCCACAAGAAAATGTCAGCTCCACTATTATATTCATGCCACTGGAATCTGACAGTCTGTGCTTTGCCTCATAATCAGAGGTTTGCTAATATTAAATATATCAGCTTAATCAGATATTGATTGCTTTAATTAATTAATTAAGATTTAAAGCAAAAAGAAACAAATCCGTGTTACCTCTTTAACTTCTTCTTCCGTGATCCGACCATCTTCGTTTTTGTCCACCCTGCAGTGCACCACTGTAATTGATTAGCTTAAGCTATGGATAATCAATCTTTGTACGAATTCTTCTTTTTGAAGCAAACTGCAGCAATTTGGACTTTCTTCATACTCTTCCAATTTTTTACTGTAGCACGATTTAGTGATTAACTTGTGGTTTTTGATAACTTACATGTCGAAGAAAATCTGGAGCCTGGAATCGAAACTCTGATCGGTAATTTGTGACCAGAATTCGTAGAGCTCGTCTCTGCTGATCTTCTCGACCTTCAGTCGTCTCCTTCTGCTTAATGCGTCAAATAATTCCAATGCGAATTCCTTCGAATCTCTCATTCCTGTTTTCAAAATTAGAATGGCGTGTATAATTGAGATTAGGAGGATGATATGATTACTGAAGAGTGAATTTGCTTATTGAGATTGGATTAACCTATGCATTGCGCAAAATCGGCACGATAAAGGTAACCGTCTTTGGCGAGCTTCTCGAAATTGCTCTGGACTTCGTTCCAAGCTTCGATGCGGTTATTTTTAATGTTACTGATGAATTTAAGCCCTCGGAGAGCCTTTCGAGCTCCGGAACGGGTACGATCCAGCTGCGCTCGTTGCCGGCGCATCGCTCTGGCCGCCAGAGCGGAGTCCAAGCCGCTGTTACCTGCGCCGGAGAGTATCCGAGACGCATGTCCGTGGCTCCACGAAAACCGCCTCAGTTCCTGCGAGAACTGCTTCGCTTTCGCCAGCGCCTCCGCCTTCAACTCCTGAGAAAACTGAAGCAGTTTATTGGAAGCACTCCGGCGCATGGTCGGAGATCTGGAAGTCGACGCCGACGCCGACGCCGACGCCGGAGTTGAAGTTTCAACCCCTGTGATTCCAGAAATAACCTCATTGCCATCGATGCTGATCAACGTCGCCGGCTCGACGCTCCGCAATATAATAGTGTCATCGTCTTGCAGATCAAGCGTGACCTCAACGAACTCCTCCTCCTCCGCGTTGCTCGCCGAAGCTCCGGAATACTCAGTTCCAGGCGAGGACAGCTCCGTATCAAAATTTCCATCCGGTAAGTTCTCCGACGACCCCCAGCGGCGGTCGCGCTTCCCAATCCCCCTCATTTATCCACCGCCAGATTCAACTCAGTCGGTATCAACATAAACGAAGAAATGAAGGATGATTCAAGGCTGACGCAAGCCAGATCGATTGAGCAGGTTCAGAAACGCAACAACCTGAGCCAATGAATTGAACCACTCCAATTAAACAAAGCAACATATATAATAAAATGCAGGCACAACAGATACTGAGATATATATAAAGAATAAAATGCAAAGAGAATTGCAGTGTAGAATGAAGGCAAAAGGAGGAGACGCCACGAAAGAAAGAAGGTGGAGGCGTCGACAGGGACAAGCTTCAGTGCATACTCCACACTGCAGATCACATCACCCCACACAGTCCTTCCGGGGAGGGGACCAAACAAATTTTACTTACACATCTAAACACTCACTAATTAATACTGGAGGGAGGATTCCTATGCAATCATTCATTTATTTTTTTTGTTAATTAAAATTTAAATATTAATTATTATATTAAAATATAGTATAAATTAAAAAGAAATTGCAAAAGTATTTCAACAGTGTCTTATAATATTAATAAAATGACATTTATAAAAAAAATAAAATTATACAAATATAAAAATATATTTAATATTAAGTATAACGACACAAAAAAAATAAATATGACCTTAAAAGGCGGAGTATAATATAAAATGTAGAATTATTCTACTACAAAATATGTTAAATTATATTTTTCTCATCCCCACTTAAATATAAATAAAAAGTGTGAATTTTATTATTTTGTAAAATATAGTCTAATGGTGTGAGGTGTAGTGACAATAGTTTAAACTCAAGCATATTTGGTGAAGGGTGAGGTGAATTGGACCAGCTTTGTCTAAGCCCGGCCCAATATGGCCCAATCAGATTAACAAGCAACAAAAATAATGCAGGTGAGCTAATATATAAAAATAGTTCGAAACTAGCTCCAATCACTAAAGAAATACTATAAAGATATCAGTGCAGAATATTCCAGAAATTAAAATTTGAAAAAATTACATATGAAAGTAGTTCAAAAAATCAAAATCAAAGTCATGAATTGAATTGTTGATTTTATTTTTGAAATAGTTAGTATGATTATTTTCTACGAGAAGAACGTATCCCACAAGTTAATCTTTAAAAGTAGGTTCAGTTTGTTGATTCTTCCTATCTTTCAACCACTTTTTTTTTTTTTTTATTTACTGTTTCTTTCAATTTCATATTAATTAGAGAATAACATATATATATATATATCTATGAATGTTTTGTAAGTTTACTATAGTATTTTAAAAAATATTTTAATGTTTGGAAAGCACTTATTAGTGTGGCCTTTTAGTGGTCAATAATTTATGTTACTATTATTATCCTTAAAGGGATAGTATATAAATAAATTACAAAAATCACATCAAATATGTAAATGGTGTTGTGCTGAGTAGGTGGAATGGGCTTCTAGAAGATCTAAAGAGAGGTCCCACCAATTTAGTGGGCCTTACCTCGGAAGCTTCTAAATCCAGGATCCCACCAACTCTTGATATCAGAAAATCAAATATAAAATTTACTTATTTAAATTCTCGTTTTCAATATTTATCATACATATATATTTTATTCTATAATATTTATTTATAATTTTATACTAATTATATTTAGACCTGTTTTATGAACTTGATTCGATTCGATGATTCTATTTAAATTCATTCGTTATGTTAATAAATATGTTTAGGCCTTGTTACACATACTATTTATAGTAAGATATTTTATCCACTTACAATTTTATTATATTTGTTTTAATAAATAATATTCCCTCCGTCCACAAAGTAACGTCTTATTTTTTTATTTGGAATGTTCAATTATTATTGTTCTCTTTCTATTTTTATACACAAAATTTACTCTTTTAACCTTATTTTGTTTACTCTTTCATTTTCTATACACAAGATTAAGAGCAAATTTGTTATTTTATTATAAAAACCCTAATCGCCTAAAAATACGTATAAATATGAAATAGGAGATTAGAAAATGGACGGAGGGAGTAATAATTTTTACTATATTTCTACTTATCATTACTTTTTTATCAACCACTTAATATATTTTTTATAATACCTCTAATTTATTTTTTTAGTTACTCTATTCCAACTTTAATTTTCCAATAATAATAATAATAATAATAATGTAAGCCTATATTTGTTTTGATGAGCCTAAAGAGTATGAAAAAATCCACAAATAAATGCAATCCAATTTGTTATCGACCATCATATTTAATTTTTTTCAAATTTATATGCCAATAATTTCCATGTGAAACGTAACACATACCAACCCCACCACTCACAAATATATATTATACACACATAATATTATCTATTAAATAAAGTAGCCTTTTTGATAAATTAAATTATATAGTACTAAAAGGCACATTGACACAAAAGTCAATGCGTCACGACTACAAATTACCACTACATTATCACAAAATTTGGTTAAATTATAGCCAGAAAAAAGTGTTAAGATTCAGTATTATACAAATGATTGACAATATTAGATTTTGTTCAGATATGCGTTTCAAAATTTTGAAAAATATTTGATAAAAAAATTAAATATTTAATTTGATACAATTTATTTTATTTTATTTTTGAAAAAGTGAGATTAATATTGTATGATATATTTTTTGTTCCAACTGAAAATATTATCTTTATCATCTTTGTCCGTTTAATTTACAAGTATATTTTTTATTATAGTAAAAAAATTTATAAACTAATACCAAAATACTGTTTAATTTTTTTTTTACATACATTACAATTATACTATGTTGCATACAATTAATTTATAAATAAAATATCAATAAAAAATATTAAAAAATATTTTATAAATTTCTATTAATTAATAAATATTATTATTTTTTAATTTATTAAAAAAAATTAATAGTACTATAATTATAGTAAAAACAAAAGGCAAAAAAACACATCTCATTCTCAGTTGTCAAAGTCGAGGCATGAATCTTAAATGTATTATAACTTAGAAAAAAGATTACCGGACAAACTATGAAGCAGAAATGGATGACACGTGGCAGAAGGTTTGAATGGCAGACAGCTGAATGATTGGACCATAATAAATAGGGACAGGCACAAACAATCATCTTATTTTTAATTTAAAGATGATTAATTTAAGTTAGAGATAATATTTTTTTATTTATTTATTTTATCAAACTTAGTTTATATAGTATTATATTCAATTGAAAATTTATCAAAACTCACTCACTCAGAGAGTCTTGATCTATTTTCCACTTAAAATATAAATAAATTGTAATAATGAAATAATAAAAATAAAATCAAAACATGCTAACTAATTTGATAAGCCCATTAAACATAGAGCCGAACGGGCCCGTTCTTAGGATGAAACTTTACTCTTATTGGGCTTTAGTATATTTAACTTAAATGGACACTTAGAAAAGTTCAAGGAAAAAAAAAAAAAAAAAGAAAAAAGAAAGAATTGAATCAAATAGAGAAATTATGTTTTATCGATCACAAGATTTATCAGAACTTGATAAGAATAAAAATAAATTAATTTCGAATACACATCAATTATATCCAAATCAACGTCGACTCTATATTATAAAGTTTATGTACCTTTTATCGAAATAAATCACTTAACCGAGAAGTATATATACACATAATCGAAAATTGAAGGGTCATAAAGTTTTCGTCTATAAAAAATTATATACATAATAATGAAAAGGAATAAATATTCAAATAGTTTTATATCGGCTCGGCAATATCAATTCATCCATCCGACTTTCACACAAGCAAACATGATCCGCCGCCAAGCTAGAATTATCCCGCCAAGGGGCTAAATGGTTTTGTTGAAGTTGAAGATATTTTTATCATTTTTTGAGTTAAATTAATGATAAAAACATAAGATTTGATGTATTCAATAAATATAAAAATATTGACATGATAAGAATTATATAGCCAAATCCGACCGAATGGACAATCTATATTGTCAAAAATATAATTGGGGCCCCAACCATAATTATAGTAAATGGCTTCCATTTATTCATTTCATGAATTTTAGAGTGTACATATATAGTCGCCGGCTACTGTACTTATTTTTAAAATTTAACATAATATTGACAATGCATTACGTGCTCACCGACAATACACAATATTATCATAAACAATATATTATTTATATTAATATATTACAAATACAATATTCGTACTAACAATATATATAATAATTGATTTTAACATATTATGTACTCTTATACACATACGTTATAAATATGAGTAGACATCAAATATCTTTATTTCACATAGTATATATTTATATATATATAATATCAATGTAATTACATCGCTACAAAGTACATTAAGGATATCCTATGTATATATATATTTATGTAACAATACAAATATGTATACATACGCATTATTGAATGCATATGTATACGTGTGTGTATATATATACAATTACTGTACATAGTCGATCGGACATTCATTGTCAGACAATCGAAGAGGTTAATTTCGTGCAAGAAATTCGAATATATGTATGGTCAGAATCTGGAGAGGAACTGAAGCTGTTTGAGAAGTGGGCTTAGGGTTTCCATGAGCTTCTCACATGGATGATTGTGGATTCCTTCGTAGGTTGTCACGACGATGCTCGTATCCTTCGATAGCCGTTGGATTTGCTTCTTAACATTGCATGTATGATGAGTGCAACGATAATAGCTCCTTGCAAGAACAAATTAGTCCAGCCATAACATATGTAATTTCAATTTAAATAAAACGATCATTTTATTTAATTTTTATCTTAATACAAAATAACATAACAAATCGCTTACATAAAATGGAGACCTTGATCAAAAGACGTGACATACCAAATAATATGTTGCTTTATATTATAACCTCTCTCTCTCTCTCTCTCTCTCTCTCTCTCTCTCTCTCTCTCTCTCTCTCTCTATATAATTTATATATGAATGTATCATAATTATAATAATTAAAGTGTACATGATGTCATATTGTAAATCAAGAAAGATTGAGCATTTTATAAAAGTGAAGGAAATTGCATGGATAAGGAGTGATTGGAGAAATTTAATTATTTAAAGTAAATAGAAAAAAAAAAGGTTAAAGGACATAAATATAAACCAAGATGTAATTGAAGAAATAATGTAAGAAACCTACATAATAAAAAAAATAATTTAAAAATCCACTACCTTTAATTTAATTAGCATGCCCTTAATTATTTTTTCCTTTAAAAAATGATCAACTTACACCAAGAATACTTCATGCGTAACAATCTTGCACAATCAATCAATTCATATATATGTAAATGAGAAATGAATTTGAAAGATGATAGATGATTATATATATATACCTGGGATGGGCACTGTTCTTGACAGATTTCTGGCCATATTTCCTCCATTTATAACCATCATCAAGAATGTCTTCTTCACACCTCGTATGGAACGCCACTCTTGCCGGGACACTTTTTTTCCTCTTATTCCCAATTCTCATTCCCTTACTGTTACTGCTGCTACTATTCATCATATTCATATCGATCATATTCACATTCACATTCCTATTATTACTGTTAATGTTACTACCACCTGCGCCATCATTAAAGCTGTCGAAAATTTGCTGCTGTTGCTGTTGCTGTTGATGAAGAAGATTGGCGAGCAGCTGGTGTTGATGATCATCGGACTGATCTAAAACTACATTGCCCGACTGCCCTAAAAAGTAGTTGGGGAAGATGGGCTGATCTCCGCCGTCCATTCATGCAATACTAATTGTCAATTATTGTTGTGATCGATCGATTGATCGAGGAGCTAGAGGAAGACTGTTTAATTCTCTGCAACGTTAACCTAACTATTTCTTCACGACAGATTTATAGAGGGTTTGGTGGGAAAAAGCTTGATCGAGAATTCTTGTCATAAATTTATAAAATGGGCAAGAACAAGATCTGGGGTGGGTTCAAGAAAGTAGAGTGAGAAAGAGAGATAGAGAAGAGAGAGAGAGGTTCCTTGTGGAAATGGGGTTGAAGGGTTTTTATAATAAGATTAAATTTAGAGAGAGTTTAGTGAGAATTAAGAAAGCCAACAAGAATTCACCTAATTAAATTGATCTGTTCAACGGCTTTCTTTTCTCTCTCTCTCTTGATCTTCTTGGATTAGGGTAGACGTGCCAATATACACAATGCTTTTGCAGACTTGTGTCCTCCTTTCTCTCTCATCTCTCACTCATCAAATTAAGAGGAAAGTGGGATTTTGAAGTATTTGTTAGAAAATGCAACTACCCTAAAGATGGATCAGTTACAATACATAACATATAAACTAACATACCCATTGATTTGATTAATTTGCTGTTAGGGGTTGTTTGGAAACTTCTTCTTTAGACAAACTATACTTTCTAATAAATAGTAATTTATTTACCCACAGCAATTACAAGCATTCATTGTTTTAATTCTTTCTCTTATTACATGTATATATACATATAGTTGCATGTTTGTATTATATTATATATGCTCCTTTTAACGTGACCCTTTTTTTGGGCTTGTCATCTATTGACATTATTAGTTTATTTTTTTTATCACGATATTAGGGAAGGGGAAAAATAAACATTGGTTGATTAAATTTTAGTATACCATTCATTTTGATATTTTTTCATGTTTTCATAATTTTTAGTAAGAATATATTATTCTACTTTTAGTTATATATATATATTATACTTTTACAATATAAATAAATGGAGAAATAATCGCTTCAAGTGTGTTTTGCTTATAGTTTTTAGTTTTAGTTGTTTCTTTGCGTTAGATAAGTATAAAGAATGATATCTATATAAGTGTTGAATTTTTTGTTTTTATTTATGGTTCAATTATCAATTTTAATTTTGTCTTGTGTGTATATATTTTATTAATAAATATAATATTATTCAGAAAGCGTATCTAGATTTATTAATATGTGAATGGAACCACTTTAAGATTATGTAGCATATTTCATTTAAAATTATATTATTATTTGTTATGGAAATTTCAGTAAATCAAGAAGACACAAACAATGACACAAAGAATTTGATAACTCAATTCGATCACGATTATTTATATCTTGGAACGCTGCCAAATGAAAATTTTTACTATAAAGTACGCATACATGGATATTTATAGGTCAAACCTATGCCAATAAATCATATCCAAATGATATCACTATATTTTAGAATATAATCAGGCTTCGTAGCCCAACATTATTATTATTATTATTATTATTATTATTATTATTATTATTATTATTGTTTTGGTTTACAAATTTACAACAACAAAAAAAAAAGAAAAGAAAAAAAACCCTACTACAAGAGATGTAGACAATTAAATTTTGATGGAGTTGCTAGTTATTTATATTTAAGGAACTGAGTACTTAATTAATTTAATCACAAGGTAATTAAATAATTGGACTTAGGTACGTATATGAAGAACACCTAAACATGCCCATAAAATTAACCCATCTGATGAATTTGATGTGGGTAGTTAACCTAAAATATACCACATTCAATATCTATATATATCTGATTTCTTGTGAGTCCCAAGTCAACCTAAGCTAGCTACACGTAATAATAATTAGCCATTCTTCATATATATGCATGCGTTACGCTTCATAATTAATTTTCTTTTTATTTAATTTCTTAATTAATTTCTCAATGTTACAAAATTTATCATGATGCTCTTTTAATTAATTTTTTATGATTGATTAGGGCTAGGATTAATTGATGGCATTATGTATGATATGTAGGATTCTTAGTATAATTTTAAGTTAATTCCATGTCTTCTTTTTTTTTCATAAAAAAAAAAAGAAAAAAACGAGGCACCCAATGTGTGTATATATATATATATATATATATATATAGCTAAGATTAGTTAAAGGGCATGGCAAAATGCATAAATTAATATAAATTTCAATTACCTAACCAGAGACAAACATGCACACGTAGTTTATGAATTCATTGAACATGATCGAAAATCCATTACATTATTGAGTAAACATATGTATCTATACAAATATATATGAATATGATTATTTACAACATGTGGGTAATTGAATGACGTGATACATCAGTATGGGCTGATAAAATTATATATATATATATCCCCGTCTATATATAAACAATTATTTTATACATGCAATATGCTTGAGATATATATAATATATATATAGATTAATACTTGTTAAATAAAGTTAAATGATTATTTGACCTAAAAATTAATTAATTTATTTATATATATACGAGGGAGTCAATCAATTAACATACTTCCTCACGTCCCGTGAATATATGCCACTTATGAATCTTGTATGTCGACGATGATGAATAAAAGGCGATGAAATTTAAATAGGAGATTTTTAACTTTGATATCATATTAAATAAAGTTAAATGACCGTCTCATACGAAAAATTGAAATTAATCCACATACATATAATTTATTTATTTATTTATATAGAAACTCATAATTAATTAAATGTGCATTGAGAATTAAACTCCTGAATAATATTGTGGATAAATTTGTGCAATTAGTATATAGTAATCAACAAAGACACAATAATTCAAATATAGAAACACTCATTGTCCATGACCTTTTTTTTCCAGCACAATAATATATATTTTCTATTCTTTTACAAAAGTCAACATTCAATATAAAAATTGTCTTTTTATATTATCAACATGATTCTTTATAATAAAATAAAATAAAATCAAAACACTAAACAAACAACCTCTCAAATTTGAGACCAAAAAAAAAAAAAACACACACAATAAATTCACATATAGAATTAGAAACACTCAAATTTGAGACAATAATAATAATAATAATAATAATAATAATAATAATAATAATAATAAAATCGTAAACTTATTTATATCATGATAGCCGTCGAAATGGATTAAACGGTGGGGTTTCTACCCTTTAAAATACAAGAGTAAATAAACCAATTCACATACAAGTTACGAGTTGAAAAACAACGTTATAGGATAATATACATATAATATACGGATAAATAACACATCTTATATATATTATTATAGCAAATTATATAGTGGACCTACTACAATGTAAATTATGAATTTCTAACTTTTTTTTTCTTTTTTTTTTTTCTCAATTTTTGATTGGGGTGTGTTCGTTATAGGATTTTATTAAAACTTTACTATTCATTCAAAATTTTTCCTTAAAAAACATTAAATTAAATACCTATTTTTTATTTTTTATATTATAATAAAAATTAATTTTACATTCAAAACATTACATCAATATCTATTTAAATCACATCATACAACTATTTCAATTCAAAATTTTTACTATTCAAATTCCAATTTAAAATCCAAACACACCCCAAATAAATAAATTAAGATTGTTTAATTTATATTTTATGCATAAAAATGTACTATAAGATTTATAATACATTTTTATTTTATGATTATTATTTAATATGACGATAATTTATTTTAATTATTTTTGTAAGCATTTAATTTTCCATTATTATTATACATATGTAAACATAAATTAATATGAAGTTCTCTTTATTAATTAAATATTATTTATTTAAAAATTTATTTTTAAAAGTTGAGGATATCAATAAATTTGTATATATATGTTATCTTTTTAAAATTTTTATATATTTTTTTATCTCTTTTTTTTTTATTATTGTAAAGATAAATATGTTTATAAATATAGAGTAAAATGTGGTAGATAAATTTGTGTTTAGATTGGCTAAATCATAGTTATTATAGTCAAAGTGTAATTAAAATAGTTAGTGTTAATTGTCTGAATACCATTTTATGTTTTTGGATGTTACTATGAAAACAATACTAAATAAAAATAAAAAATTTCTATTATAAATAAAGAATGTGAAAGATCTCTGCAAATAACTAATTTGATAACATATATCTAGAAATAATCATTAAGATCTTCATCAAATCCAATTAAGAAATAGAATTTGTTTTGTAAAATCTTTATAAATGTGTTAAATTTAATTTAAAAAATTATTCATTACAATACTCATTTTAGCACTGTAATTTTCAGAAAATAATGAAACAAATTTTGAAAAATATCCATACCATAGAATGGGCTGAAGGAAGAATATATATATATATATATATATATAACTAGTTGTTCTGGATCTTAACCCATTTACAAATAAAACAGCATATCTTTTAATTCAAGATCCTTAAATTAATAAAATAAAAAAATAAAAATGTCATTATGTTACTATTGAAATAATATTATATTAACAAAAAAAAAAAAAAAAAAAACCATTTTGGCAGTTACTATTATGTTTAAAAAAAAAAAAAATGTAAAAAAATCGCATGAAGTTAGTTGAAGTGGTAAACGTCAGTTTTGGAATAATCACATGAATTGTTTTCTTATCTCATTCTTCAAATTCGGTAGATTTGATCTCTACTATTTGTTTTTAAAAATTACTTGACATAAATTAGAAATTTGATTAATTGAATTCTATTTAAAGAATATTGAGATAGATAGGACTGTAAATATCTAATTAATTTTCAAATAATGCGTCAGTGTATGTAATATTAAAAATGGTCCTTGTAATATTTACGATATAAAATTATATTTCGATAACATTGCTCGTAACTCCAATTTAGTTTCGAAATTTAACATAAATGCCACATGTATTTTAAAATTTGCAGGACATATTGTTTTGTATGTCTATATTTTTATTTCTTATTTTTGCATGACAGAGATTTTATACAATATTTTTAAAATTATAAGAAACCCATACAATATTGTTTAAAAAAATTTATACTAAATTTCGAAATAACATCAGAATTATTGGTAATTTTGCGATATATTTCTATGATTGGTAAAAATTATGGTTGTAACGAATTCAAACAGTACAAGATAAGGTCCTACTCAAACCCAAAAAAGAGTCAATTATTGATTCCCAAATTACCATTAAAATTCAATAACAGGACATTCATTCCGATCAGACACATTACCACGCCATACTCCAAATGTACCCATGACGTTACCTATTATATATTTAATTAAATAAATAGAATAATGACCAATTATTATTATGATACGATATTTGTATCTGCCCAATTTTAATTGCGTTACGGTCTTGTATAAATCATGGGCAGATATCCGAATTTACCATTTTTTAATAAATGGCTTCCCACATTAGATTTGAGTAGTCAATTTTACAAGTAAGATATCTCCCTAAATAGTTAAAACATTTATTGAGAATTAAACCAAATTAAATTTTGGACAAATATAAATACAAGGAATAGTTGTTGTATTCTACAATATAATACATTAATACGTACATACATACATACATAACTATGGCGGCTTCAAATGTTCTTACAATACTGGTCGGCTCATGTCTTCTTACTACATTGTTGTGCATTTGGATAACTCCGGCGGCTTCTGCGCCGGCCGGCGGCGATTACCGGGAGGCTTTAGGCAAAGCCATTCTGTTCTTTGAAGGGCAACGGGCAGGGAAGCTGCCGGCGAACCAGAGGGCTAAGTGGAGAGGCGACTCGGCGCTCTCCGACGGCTCGCCGGAAAAGGTATAGTATTTTGTGAAAAAAAAAATAATATATATTTAATTTTTAAATGATATTTGTAGTCTATTTTTGATCGATTTTTTTATGAAGGTTAATCTGGCCGGAGGTTACTATGACGCCGGCGACAATGTCAAGTTCGGTTGGCCAATGGCGTTTACGACGAGCCTGTTGAGTTGGGCCGCCGTTGAGTATGGCGCCGGCGTGCAGGCCGCCGGCGAAATGGAAAATCTCCGGGCGGCGATCCAGTGGGGGACGGATTTCTTGATCAATGCTCATGCTTCTCCGACGACACTCTACACTCAGGTCTTTTAATTTGATTTTGTCTCAATTTTTATCTGTCGTCGGAATCTGTACGGATTTGATCCTATTATTTGCATATATATATATATATGTATGTATGTATAGGTTGGTGATGGGAATAAAGATCACGAGTGTTGGGAGAGGCCGGAGGATATGGACACGGACCGGACGCTGTACAAGGTGACGGAGGCGTCGCCGGGGAGTGAACCGGCGGCGGACGCCGCCGCCGCACTTGCAGCGGCGTCAATGGTTTTTAAACAGGGTGATGCAAAGTACTCCCAGACCCTGCTGAGCCACGCAAAACAGGCAAAATAAAAAAATCCCTAAATATATTCATGCATGCATTAATTAATTTTTTATTCAATATATATATATTAATATTCTCGTGATTTTTGTTGTGGCAGCTTTTTGAATTTGCAGACAAGCATCAAGGATCTTACAAGTCATCCTGCCCATTCTATTGCTCCTACTCTGGTTTTCAGGTAATAAATTACTAAACCTAAATTGTAATTGTCCGTACAAATCAAGAATGTAGAATCTGACCTGTGTGAATGTTTTGTGAAGGATGAGTTGCTTTGGGCAGCTGCTTGGCTTTACAAGGCTACTGGAGACAACACTTATCTGAACTATTTATCGACCAATCAGGGGTGGTCTCAATCTGTTTCTGAATTCAGTTGGGACAACAAATTTGCAGGAGCTCAAGCCTTGCTAGCAAAGGCAAATCAAGAAACATCTTTTAATTAAAAAATCAGACATTTTTCTTGGTTGTAAGAGACTGACTGATGAAACCATGTTTTTTATTTTCCAGGAATTTCTTGCAGGAAAGCAAAGCCTGTCGAAGTACAAGCAAGGTGCAGATTCATTTGTCTGCTCGTTGATTCCTGGGAGTGGTTCTGCTAGTTTCAAGACAACCCCTGGTGAGCCTCGGATTTTGGTTTTTTTTTTACGATGTAACTAATTAAACTCAGATTTATGATGTAATAATGACGCAATCATTTCCAGGTGGGCTTCTATTCTTCAGGGACGCCAGCAACCTGCAATACACTGCATCTGCTTCCATGGTCCTTCTTTCCTACGCTAATACCCTCGCCGCCGCACGCGCCGACGGCGTTCAGTGTGGATCCACGAAATTCCCCGCCGACAAGATCAGATCCTTTGCCCAATCCCAGGTTAATTAAAGAAACAACCATATCTATATATACAGACATCGATTAACGTTATAATTCAATCATCGTTAATTAAACATTACAAAACTGTATCCAGGTCGACTACATTCTGGGAAACAATCCGATGAAAATGTCGTACATGGTCGGATTTGGGAACAAATTTCCTACCCAGTTACATCACAGAGGCTCGTCGATTCCTTCGATCCGGTCCAATCCAAACAAAATCGGCTGCAACGACGGAAAATCCTGGTTTTCTTCCCAAAAGCCGAATCCGAACATTCACGTCGGCGCCATTGTCGGAGGGCCCGATTCCAACGACCGTTACCCAGATTCGAGATCCGATTACGCGCACGCGGAACCCACGACTTATATAAACGCAGCTTTTGTCGGCTCCGTCGCGGCGCTGCTCGGACAAAGTAAACCTGCGGGTTTACACATGGGACCGTTTGGTGGTGCTGATTATGACCGGTCCGACATGATCGACTACTGATCTCGCCGGAATATTCCATAGCTAGTTTGTACGTGGTAAATAAGGCCGGAGTATTGTTACATCGTGTGGTTTTAACTTAGAACAAGAAAACAATCTATACACACACACACATATATGTAATGGGATTGATTAATTACCAGATATGATCTATATGTAATAACAAAGGCTGTATTATTATATATGTCCTAAACTTGTCTGTCAGCTGTAAGATCTTAAGGGAAGTTGCTGTGACTGCAGCCCGAACACGAAATCATCGAATTCTTCCAGGCCCGAGAAGAAATCTTCATTCAGTACAAAACCAGGGATGGTGAAATCGTGATTGTCATAGTAGGTTAGATCATCTGATCCACGCAGGTTGTCTTCCTGATCGAATTTAGTGGTCTCGTCGTTGACTGAAGGAGGTTTAGGGGAGGATGGAGATTGCTTAATTGTTATTTCTTGTTTGGGTTTTGAAGATGGGAATTTCTGCCTGACAGTTCCTGCCAAGGAATTCCTCCTGGTGGGCTGACTGTGGCTGTGCTCTGCTGTGTATGTGATCACGTACATTCCTGGATCCGTACAGCTTTGCTCCACTTGCTTTCTTGCCAAACAACCTTTGGAGCTGCTGCAACGATAATAGCTCCTGTTCGAACACAATTCATACATTAATTTAATTAATTTATAATCGAATCAAATCTGATCGGATTACCTTGGGTAAGGAGAGCCCTTGATGGGTTTCTGGCCATACTTACGCCAAGCCCACATGTCTGAAGCTAATCCCTCAGCCGACACGTGAATCACTTCCCTTTTATGCTGATTCTTCCTGCAAAACTCCATTTTTCTTTCATTACCTTAATCTACACGAAGCAGGAGCATTAATTTCGTATGTCCGTACGTACGTACCTTCTCTTGTATTTTGGCACACAAGCAGCAGCAGCAGCAGCAGCAGTCTCTGATGACCGATCGGATTTCCCGTCGTGGCCGACGTTCTGTTGCTGAAACTCACCGGCGGCTTCCGCCGGAAGAGAATCCGCGGAAGCTGCCGGATAAAACGGCTTGTAAAAATCTTGCAACTCGTCGGGAAAACTGAGCAGAAATTCTCCATCAAATCCGTGACGACAGTGGATTGAGTCCGATACGACGTCGTCTGAAAAGGGCACTTTCTGATTCTCAGACATCTTCGATAGATCGCCACTTGGCCCTCTGACTATTGCCTGCAAACTCCAATCCTCCATTCCTGCTGCAGCCATAACAATGGCGGCCCTATTCCAATACTGTAAATTAATTATTTGCAGAGACGATTACAACGAAGATGATGAAGGAAGAGGAAAGTAAACTTAATTTGCGGCGATTTGACTGCGCCGAACGTTTTCTAGAAAGAAGAATTTTTTAAGCATGGAAGTGTAAGGAAATCTATGGAAGTTTTTATAGTAGTGATGGTGGATCTCTTTGGGGAAGCCGAGATTAGGGTTTTGTCTTCTTATGCAATTTGTGGTATGGGTTTGACTTTTTTTTAGTTGGGTGTCAATTGTCAAAACCGCCACTGTGTCGCACGCGCTTTTCAGCCGTCCGATTTAAGTTCTCATTTACACACGTGTGTATATATTGGACCAAGCAAACCCTATCGACTTCTCATTTATATATATATCATATATGCTTTAAATATTGGTTGACAAATAATATTAAAAATATTATAATAAATACATATTTAATGTATCTCACAAAATACGATATGAAATAATTTTTTTTATTATATTTAAAATTTCAAAATTTTAAAAATCATTATCTAAACGAACATGTGTAAATGAATATTTTGAATAATTTAGTTTCAAAGCTTACATAATATGCTCATGTTACATCAAATACGTATTGCATTTAGATAATTGCTACATGTAACGCATAACAAGTCGTTGAAAGTATTAGAAAAAGCCTATAGTTTGTAATAGGACCAAAAGTATTATTGCATGGTTTGTTGATATATATGACCAACTTTGCTGCTTTTTGTCTTAATTAAAATATTTACAAGAAATTAGTGACAAGTCGAGTCTGTCTATTCAACCATTAATTAATATATAAACCCACGAATAACCATCAAAAGTAAAATATGGTTTAGGTAAATCACTCATATATAATTATATATATATATAAGTTTATGCCCCAAAAATGGTTCATAACCATGAGAAATACATTAATTAATAGAACATTATTGAACTCATCAAATTAATTTGCCCCATTTGGGAGGAAATTAAGCACTAATTTTGTCGTTATAATTAATACAGTTTGATTTTAAGTGGGTGTAACACTTAATTTTTGTACGACATTATTAATTGACTAATAATTTTTTTTAAAAAATTTTCAATTACGTAGGAATATGCAGCCGCTATTCGAAAGTGCACACTGAGAACTCTCGACCGAACCTAATATCCTGCAAACTAGACTTGACAAGAAAAATCACACTAGATGAACCATATTTGACAAGTAAACTGGAGCGTCGGGATTTAAACACATGACTAATAAGTTTTTGTTTGATCACTTAAATGCATATAGGTATCATAATATAATGTGTAAATTTAAATATTAATTTTATATGTAGCTACGTCACGTTTGGCCTAACGCTAAAACTCCAAACCTAAAGTAATTCAATAAATATAGACATAGGGAAATATATATATATATATTCAATAATGCTAGCAATGAATTAGCTCTTGGACACCTAATGGCTTTTTTTTAAAAAAAAAAAATCAAAATTACTTATTACTATTTAGTTTTCATAACAATTTTTTTTTTTTTTTTAACTTGTTTTTTTTCCTACAAACTATCAAATAAAAATACTATTTAGACAAGTTACTCAAAACTTGAATTAAAACCAAACAACATGGAGACAATGGATTCAGAAATTTTGATGTTCAATTTATACAGATGTTTAATTTTAGCATTAATTGGATAATTTTAAAGTTAATAAACGTTCAAGCCAATATAAATTGTATTTAAAACCATGTCAATAATGTCACAATTATGGTTCCTTTCTTTAATTATTATTCTCAAGCAGGTTGATTTTCCTTTTTAGCAATATTACTAGTGTTATTTTATTAGTTTCTAAATTTTAAAAGAAAATAAATTTGATCGAACCTAATAACCTACAAATTAAGTTCAGCCAAATAAGTCACACTTAGCGAATATGTGTAGCAAGCCAAATCTGGAGGATCTCACGATTACGACTTCATCCCACGCCGTGAGATAAACCTTTATGGGACTTCTAAATTTCAATTTTGTTTAATTAAGAGTGTTATCAATTATTCGGGATGGATGTCATGCTAAACTAGAAAATTCAATACAACTAAATTTAATCTACACCCTTAATTATTAGATTTTTTATTTAATCAAAATACTTAAATTTAAAATTAATGGTTAAGATTGAATAACATATAGTAAATTCATATGATCTAATCCCTCAATTATTTGGTTATTTGAAAGTACAAATGTTAGCTGCATTATACCTATGTATTTGCGCACAATGCATAATTTCATTTTATGCCAATATAATACTCCCTCCGTCCCACATACATACAGTGTCTGCTACAGTGTAGACACGATATTTTAGGAGGAGTAATTAGTAGATAATTAAGAATGTATTCGTGAAAATAATTATCCGATAATATAAATAATTATAAATTAAGATTAAGATAACTAATTAGTTTAATTAAAATAAAAAAATAATATTTAAAAATTTAAAATAAGATTAAAGTGTGTAATCATTTTCCAAAAAAAGAAAGTGATATGGCATGTGGGACGAACAGAAACGGGAACGTGGACATGGTACGTGGGACGGGGGAGTATTAGATAAAATTGCTACTATACAATAAATTTGATTTAATTTACTGTTTTTTTTTTTTTTTTTCCTCTTGAATTGATATTTGAATTTATTATCAATTTATTGACCGAAGTAAAAACTGCCAAAAATAATAATACACTTTACTTGTAGGATATTTCATCTATTTGAATTAACATGTATGCATTATAAAAAAAAAATATATAATTGATCATATTCTTTTTAGAAAAATCTTCAACGAGAATCACTTTTTTCTTGAACATTTATGCAGGAACATAACTTTGCATTCATCCCCCATCGGTCTTGTCGTCTTCTTGCAACTTGCATAGTAAAACAAGATACACCCCACACGTATATCGTAGTATAAGGCCTATTCTAAACACTTATTACAAGTCGCAATTTCAACAATATATATATATATATAATCAAAGACCCTAATTTAGTTTTATAAAATAAGTGTTCATTTAAATACTTATTTTTCATTTATTTTAAACAAAATCAAATTTAAATTGCATAGAAATATATAAAAACACTTCAAAACTCTAAAAATTACACCCTTAATAACTCCCCCCCAACGTGTGCTCTAGGGTTTACAAATATGGACACTCTAGGACCACTTAATTATCCCCACCTAGCAATTCACCTCTAAATAAAAAAAAAAACCCATATATTATTCTTAAGTCGATGTTATCTTTAGATGTAATAATACTACACGACACACGTATACATCAAAATACCATAGGTAGCTAAGATCATTGTATTGATGACTTAAGTTTATAGACTTCACGACTTTGGGATTGCTTAGACTCGGTATTTTTCCAAGATGGTACCGTGGATGAGCTATGCATGGTGATGGCCCTCTTAATGAATTAGCTATAATATAACTACAACAAGTTTTATACTCTTTAATGAAGGCATACTTGGGTATTTTATGTATACAAAGGTGAATCTTTAATTTTCTCAATATTGAATAATTATGTATATATATAGGGTGGTAGGCTGCAGCAATATCTTATAAATTAGGCCATCTGCCCAACCTTTGTATAAGACTGAAATTTTATACTACTATAAGATATTAAATTTAAATAATTATTATTTTTTTTAATAAAGAATATATATTTGAAATGATAAATTGAAAAATAAAATTGTACTGTAGAGATGCGTAGTTCGTAGGATGGGGTAACGCGCAAAAAGACTTGGCGACCTTTGAGCGTGCGGAGTGGATATGCATAAGCATAAATCATAATGCAATGCATTGGAAGTCGCTTTTTATCGAAAGCAAAAGCGTCAACATCCGTCACTAGCGACTTCTGTTTTCAACATTTTACGCTGGAAGTCGCTAACGCTTTCGTCAGGGAATGATTGTACTACTATTTTTTATTTTTTATTTTATTTTCGGTTTAATAAATAAATCAAGTGGGCCGTGCCCATTACGACGATCTTCTGGGGTCAGGAATCTGGTCAATTTATGTGGCCAAATTTTCTTTTCGTTTATTTTCAATTTCTAGTATATCAAAATTTCAAAAATACATATTTATTTATTTATAAAATTTTGTCAAATATTATTTAAATAAAAATTTTAAAATATAACTAGCCTTTTTTATTTTAATATATTATGTAGCCTGCAATTGCAGGCCGAAATATTGGAGGGCCATGAAAAGCCCAAGCCCAAACAACGGCTGATATATATAGTGCCGCGTTACTGGTGTGTGTTTCTTTTGAAAGGTTTAGGAAAGCCCGCGAAGGATGCGCCCCGCGGAAATGGGAGAGCTATTGAAGAACTCGATCTTCTCTTCAGATCAATACCTTTGCTACGCTGATATTCTACCTCCTCTTCAGGTTTTGATGTTTTGTTCAGGACGGTAGAATATGTTTTAAGTTAAGCTTTGTGACTCGAATTGCTCTAGTTGTTTTTTCGTAAAATTCAGGTTCGAGCTCGGATTGAAGTTGCAGTCCTTAATTTCCTGAAGAATCTGAACTCCTCGGTTCCATCAGTATCGGATCTGCCTCTGGTTCGATGGAATTTTTTTGCAATTTTACGTGCATTGGAGTAGTTGATCAAAAACCTAGTAAAATAAAAATAAAAAACGAAAAACAGACAAAAAAATGTCAAGGTAAGTATTTGTTTCATAGATTTGATAATCGTAAATTTGAAACAGATTAGCAGGAAAATGAGCAATAGCAGAGTCAGGCGTGGATTGCTAACTGAAAGCGCGAATATATTTCTTTCGCATTCGTTTTGCATAAAATCATTGATGAATGAGAGCACGGGCAATTCATTTATTAGAGGTATTAAATTGCTTCAGTCTAGTATTTGATGCATCATTCATTACTTCCATTATCATGTTCATTGATTCGTTGATTTGAAACCTCCTTACTGCTTACAAAGTGTGGAAGGTGATGGAAATGTGTTATCAAATCCTAGCTCAAGAAAAGAGGGTAACTCAAAGGGAGCTATTCTACAAACTGCTATGTGGTTCATCAAAATATTTTACTTCTCAAGCACAGGTCAACCGGAGCATACAAGGTCTCCCCTGTTTTCTTTAGGGAATTATTCTTTCAGTAGATTGCCTTTGTTGTGTTTGATTCTTATCAAATGGAGAAGTAGATAACATAACAATTTTATAGAGTACTTGATGACAAATTGTAGATATCTCAATTTTGCCAGCAAGAAAAGGCCTAGGTTCTTATTAATGTTTATATGAATGCAAGCCAGATTTGGTGGCATTGCTAATGTGCAGCCGATATAGCCTTGGAATCATGGCGTCCAGCAGAGGAGCAGTAGTGGGTCGCCTGTTGCTGCAGGCATGCATAAAAACTTCATCGTATGCTTTACTAGTGTTTAAACAACAAAATAAACTAAGGTTATGGACATTCACATCAATACATGAATATGCAGTCTGCAACTAGTTATGAAAAGACAGTTATACCTGATTCTGTTTCATTTTAATTTGTTGAAAGGAACCAAACCAAGATGTTGTGGACTGTTCTGCTTGTGGATCTTCTGGTTACCCCATTTCTGGAGACCTTAATTTGCTTGAAAACTTGGTCATGAAAAGTGACGCTAGATACATCATTGTGGTGGAGAAGGTAAATATTAGCAATTCACATTCACTTTTTGTGAGGCATATAAGAAGGATTTCGGCCCCTGTTATGATAAGGAAGTGAATGAATGCTATCACAGCATGCAATATTTCAGCGGCTGGCTGAGGATTGTGTGTTCAATCAAATTCCCTCCATTCTCATCACAGCCAAAGGGTATCCAGATATTGGAACCAGGTATTTCTAACATTGCAAAAGTTTATATATCTTAATGAGTACTGATATGCCAATGCAACAACAAAGTCATATGATGTTGGAAAATGCCAAACAGGCTTCTTCTTCATCGAATGAGTCGAGAGTTCCCTGAACTCCCAATCCTAGGCCTGGTTGATTGGTATGATTCACCCTTGACCACCATTGATCTCTATCACAGTTCTTGATCAGATTAGTTACCCTGCACGAATGAGCTCAATTATGTAGGAACCCTGCTGGACTTGCAATATTGTGCACCTTTAAGCATGGAAGTATAACAATGGGCCTGGAAGCATACAGATACGGTGCTACTCCCTTTTCCACCCTTTCGCATCCTCTCATATTAGAATCATCGTCGAAGCTCACTTTTTCCCTGTAATTCAGCTTGCAACATCAAGTGGCTTGGATTGCGTAAGGATGACATTGAGCAGCTCATACCTGAAGAATCTTTAATTCCATTGACGCCAAAAGACCATCAAATCGCCAAAAGCTTGGCTTCCTCAGAGATCCTCCAGGTAAATTTTACATTGCTTTCAGTTATGCACCTTTGTCCCTCTAGATAAGATTATGCCATTTTTCTAGGACAACTATAAGGAAGAGCTTGCCTTCATGATTGAAAGAGGTAGAGCAGAAATTGAAGCTCTTTACATTCATGGATATGATTATTTAACCAAGTACATAGGAAAGAAAATCGTACAAGCCAATTACATATGATTTAGGATGTGAAGGTATTGCTGGCTTGCAAGGTCTTAGAGAATTTGATTTTGATTAATCTTGTGGTTAGTCAATGAAGCATTAGATTCTACATAGTGGAGTTTCTGGATGATGTAGATATAAGAAAAATCGAATTTGAGGAAAACCATAATAAGTTAAACGAAGTTTACTCGCGTGGATCGAGGAAGATTCAAAAAGTCAATCTGAACATGCTTTTAAGTGTGGAATAAATGATGTTCTTACTTAGTTCGACGCTTCCTGTCAATTATACCTCCATTTAAATGTTTATGATATGTAAAATATGATGACTTTGATTTGATTTGACTTATTTTAATTTCATTAAAACGCTAAGGACTTCTAGGAAATAACCTACTAACATTCTTGCCACTTAGCATGAGGCTAGTCTCGACATTGGATTAGGCAGTTGTACCAAAAATAAAAAAGTTGAAGTGTTTTTTATTTTTATCTTTTGTTTTCAAAGTTGTATTCAAATGATTATATATATATATTTGTATCAACCTTCAAGCAATAGGGTAAGTTTTGAGCCCATCAACAATTATAATCTCAGGGTGTAGTAATATTTGCATGTATTTACTTTTCGGTAAAAAACTGCTTGCACGTGAATAATTATCAAGGCACATTAATTCACATAAAACGAAACACATAGAGATATTTATATGGATAGATGAGGACGAAAATAAAATTATTAATTACGTTGAGTCAACGCGGTTGACGATAATTTTGAGTCTAAATGTACGTACAACTATAAAGTATATTAATTATTAGCGGAATGCGAAAGGTGCATAATTCAATGTACCACGAGGGCCAATAAATTGGCACACAGCCACACATAGTTTATTTTATATATTCATTTACTTTAGTCTCAAGTAATTTGTCTGAATTATGATATAATAAAAATAAGTATCATTCTATCAATTAATTAAATTGAATAATCTAAGAAAAATCACGTAACAAATTTAAATAATTTTAAACATTAGGATAATTTTTTACTAATAAGTAACAAACTAGACCACATTCATTGAGGTTTCTGGCAAATAAAAAAAATATCTGAGTTTGAGACTAACACCCTAACATTACTTCCATATTATTTAACCTCATATGTTTCTTTTCATAACAGATTTTTGTACCCCATCAATCCCTAAGTTCTGGAAAATTGTTAATGTATTCTTCACTGAATTTGTCTGCATTACATGTGCAATGCCTGCGACATATATAGGCATGGTGATTACAACATCATGCTAAGTGAAGTGTCCTAATTGTCGTTTAAATCCATATATTAATTAATTTGAAAGCCTCTTAGTTTTAATTGTTAAGGAGTAGATGCATAATAATCTTACCAAATAGATCTTCACTTGTGTAGTGTGTTGATCTTGCTCCTAGCAGAAATAGAAATCATAGACTGTAAAAAAATAAATTAAAAAAAAAAAATCAATGGAAAATATAATTGAAACTAAAATCTAAAGTTTAGAAATATGTTGAAGAAACAATTAATAGATAAAAATATTTTTTTTAAATCTAAAAAAAAAAAGATAATTGGAGCAAAAATACAAATAAAGGGGTAATAATTGGTGTAGGTTCCAGGGACCACGAGACGGATGAATGGTGTAGATTAATCTGGTGTTGGGGACCAGGGACCTTCCATAGAAACTATTATGGCAACATTCTAACTTCTTACACCAAACCCTTGTTTAATTGATGAATTAATTAGGAGATTTATATAGATCTAAAAACAACAAGTGTTGAAGATCTTTCCTCGTCACCTCAGTCTCAGTTATTTGAAAAAATACCTTACCTAATTATATATAATATGGATCCATTTCCATCCACCCATCCAATAAATAAATAAATAAATAATTGTTACAATTAATTAAGAACTGGAGTGAAAGAAGGGCTAATTACAGCCATTCCCTTAAATGAAAAATGGAATGTTTCACGAATGAGGAAAGGATCAGAATTGGAATCAACAGACAATGCAAGAACCAAAATACGGCAATGCTCCTGATTTTATTTCTTCATTTTATCACGACAACTCCCACCGCGTGATCGTAATCCTAATCTAATCGATTTTCTGCTAAATAATTGGAATTAAATTAAGAACACCATTTTTATTTTTATTTTTATTTTTATTTTTACATTTACATGGGAATGAATTATTAGGCAAACAAACATTGCATTGGCGACACCAATTAATTCCACACCCATATACGAGCTGTTGGAACACTCGAGAATTTCAACATTTATTATTACTATTATAAGTTTGGTGCATCATCGTATTCCCCTTAAATCTTTTGGTACAAACCATTTTGATGTTAAAGATTGTGTTGTTGGGATTTATAATTACTGAATGAATGGCAATCTAGCTAGGTAAGAAATTTTACCGTGTTTTTCTTCACCTCTTAGTTATAAATTCATCATATATACATACACCACAATAATAATAATAATAATAATAATAATAATAATAATAAATAGTTAGACTAATATAGACCGTGTTATTTACGTTAATATTTAAAATATTATCAGTATAGTAGTGAATAATGTTATTAGGAAAAACTACCTCCTACAAAAATTAACCTTAACCCTTATTTAATAGCACTATATATTTAATCCTTTTAATAAAGCCATGAGGGATAAAATATAATTGTGGTTTACTGGTTTAGGACACTCATAATCGCTGAAATAAAAAGCCGCCTGTCAAACTGACTCCAACATTCAAAGTTCATTCATGTCGTTAATCAATTTTTATTTTAATTTCTTCTAAAAAAAATAAATTTGTAAATACGTGTCTGCCATTCATGGAAGCTTCACAAACAATTCCATTGTCCTCGCTGCTACAAAATCCTACAACCATATATAACTATAAATACATAACCAAATTACTCATCTAAAACATTATCGATCCTCTTCACAATTACATACATACATACATTTGTATTTCTTGTCTTCACTTTACTTACTGCTCTCCAACGTTAATTCTCAATCTGTTAGGACAATGGAGCTCGTGTTGAGGAACCAAGAACAAGTCTTGTCGAAGATTGCCACGAGCGACGGCCATGGTGAGAACTCGGCGTACTTTGATGGCTGGAAGGCCTACGACAGCGATCCTTACAACCCTGTCAATAATCCCGATGGCGTCATTCAGATGGGGTTGTCCGAAAATCAGGTACAACATTGACATCTATCGATACCACCATCGTCATCAACTATGTTTCGCTATAGTTTTCCTGTCCTAACTAACTTTTTGTCGATCAGCTTTCATTTGATTTAGTTCAAGAATGGGTTCTGAGCCACCCGGAGGCGTCCCTCTGCACGCCGGAAGGCGCGCGCGAGTTTAAGGATATCGCCATCTTTCAGGACTACCATGGATTGCAAGAATTCAGAAATGTACTTACAACTTAGTAACTTACACCACTCTTTCGATGATATATATATGTTGTTTTGTTTTTAAGGTTCTTTCTTCATTTTCGATAGGCTGTCGCTAGATTCATGGAGAGAGTCCGAGGGAACAGAGCTGTGTTCGATCCAGACCGGATAGTTATGAGTGGCGGCGCAACTGGCGCTCAGGAAACGCTAACTTTCTGCTTGGCTGATCCGGGAGACGCGATCTTGGTCCCGACTCCGTATTACCCGGGGTATGTCCTAATTCGACCATCCTATTGTTAATTGTCCTAATATAGTATTCTAAGTTTTTAGGTGAAACAGTCATTTAACAGTTGTAATGAATTTAAATTTTAGAAATGATAGAGATTTGACATGGCGAACCCGGGTGTGCCTCTTCCCCGTCATCTGCGACAGCTCCAACGGCTTCAAGATCACCCGAGAAGGCGTCGAAAGCGCGTACTACAAAGCACAAGATTCAAATCTCCGGGTGAAGGGATTGCTCATCAACAATCCGTCAAACCCGTTGGGCACGGTTTTGGATCGAGAGACGTTAACCGAGTGTTTGCGCTTCACTCAGGACAAGAACATACACTTGATCTGCGACGAGATCTACTCGGCGACTGTCTTCAGACAGCCCGGATTCGTCAGCATTGCCGAGATCATGCAAGAAAATCTATCGCGGTGCGATCCCAACCTTGTCCACATCGTCTACAGCCTGTCCAAGGACCTCGGATTCCCGGGCTTCCGAGTCGGGATCCTATACTCTTACAACGACGCGGTCGTGACCACCGCACGCAAGATGTCGAGCTTTGGGCTCGTCTCGACGCAGACGCAACGCCTCATCGCGTCGATGCTGTCGGACGAGAGTTTCGTCGAGATGTTCTTGCAAGAAAGCACGCGGCGGCTCGGGACTCGCCACCGCATGATGTCAAAGGCTCTGGCACAAGTCGGGATCGGGAGCCTCCGGGGCAATGCCGGGCTCTATGGCTGGATGGACTTACGACGGTTGCTGAAGGCGCCGACGTTCGAGGCCGAGATGGAGCTGTGGCACGTGATCATCGACGACGTCAAAATCAACGTGTCGCCGGGGGCATCGTTCCATTGCTCGGAGCCGGGATGGTTCCGGGTTTGCTTCGCGAACATGGACGAGGAGACGATGGTCGTCGCGCTTTATCGGATTTGTAAATTCGTCGTGCATAACAAGGAGTCGCCGGAAAATGTCGACCGGCGGAAGCCTTGCCAGCGCCGGAGCAAGCTCGAGATCAGTGTGTCTTTCCGGCGGTTGAAGGATGAGCTGTTGATGACCCCTCGCTCGGCTATGGTTCAAGTGAAGGAGTAGTAAACTAACTTGAGTTAAGTTAACTTGAGTTAAGTTAAGTTAAGCGTTATTTATATCTGCTGAAAGTTAAATAAAGTCAGAATAAGGATTGAGGAGATGTGTGATAAGAATTTTCACATTTTGCATTTGAGTCATACGTTACATATGTTGTGTAAGACGAAAGTTAATGTGAGAAAGAGTTTGTTATTAAATCAAAAAATTTGGGCTTTGTAGTGGTGGGCCTCCATTTTTAAGAAGTCCAACCATTTGGGCCCAACTATAATCCATCAATTTTATTAAAAAATTAAAATAAAATAAGATTAGAGGAACAACCTAGATTCAATTTGAGTAAATCAGTAAATTAAATATTTTAAATTCCGATTATTTAATTGGTAAATTTCAGTTAGAGGGTTGCAATACTGCTGAGAAAGTGACCAGTCTTATTATAGGTATCCTCTAATATTCATTAAATAATCCTAAATTTTATAATCATATCTGACTCACACCAAAAAATTTATATTACTGAAAACGAAAATTGGTTGAGAATTGGTAAAGATGGCAGCAAAAATGGACACATACAAATAAATAAATATATATACATATTAAATTCACAAAATTAATTATATATTTTTTTGATCAAATGTTTGCTTGTGGCCACCATACATCATTAGGTTTGTTCAAATTACGTATGCAATTTAATTTTAATTTAACCAAAGATTAATAGTCTTTTTGCATCATGCAAATGGTTCATTGATGGACACTTTATTGTCGTATATATTAAACATTTTTTAATAATTCTGATGACACAATGGATGGTTGCACACATACCACACAATTATCTTAAATTTAATTTAATTGGGATTAATTAATATTCAATAAATTTAACAGCCAAATTAAGCAATGGAATAAACAATATGCTGGCGTCACCTTCCATGTCACATAAATTTTAATAATCCACAAGTCTCTGTCATATGTCACTCTCAATATAAATCATGTTTTTCTTTTTTCAATTAAATCTCTCGTCCAATCGCGTATAATTATTGCTTTAATTAATCATATAGATTTTTTTCTTTTTTAGTATTGGATAGGAGTGATGGTAGCAAAGTTTGCTACTTTTTGAACAATAAAATAATATTTTATATCATTGATTAAAGCTCAAAAGAGTTTGTTTTCAACTCCAGAAAAGAATTTGGATTGGAATAACTTTATCACACGATCTAAATAATTGTTTAATACTATTTCAAAAATATATATATTTAATTCAAAAATTTTCAACCAAAAAAAAAAAATGTATATAATACATAATGCATTATCGTATTCAAATATTCAAATAAAATAATATTGATCGCTCTATCGACGTAAGCTCACTCAATTAAATAAGTAGAAAATTTTCGACCTTGAATTCGACTTGTTATTATAATTAGTGAGATGTAGCGGGACTCCGATGACATATCTATTTAATTAATTTTTATACCAATTTTGAAAGGGTACATAAATAAATTGGTCTTATTGATTTTGGCTTTTGACTAAGTAAAAGGTTTTTGGCATATGCTCTCGAGCAGATAGCAACCCGTGAATTTAATTATTATAAATTACAAGTTGAGTTATAAATAAAAATAAAATAGTTTTTTTTTTTTTTTAATAAAAATAAAACAGTTGACATCCCTTTTGTGGACTTTCAACTTTATATATATATATATATATATTGATTAGAAAACTATAAATTGATAAAAGTAGTAAACTCTAAGTTGTTGAACTGATATATCTGACAGGATTAGGACTACATTAGTTGAATCAAAATTTGTTGTTAAACTCTATGGGGGTGATCATTAGATCCCAAATTGAATTTTTATAATTTGGGCAGCCAAATTTATTCATTTTGTGATGGATATATAATATACTTAATTATATATATGTATTGGGCAACTTGTGTACTAAGTTATATTAAATATAAAATGACGTGGTGACACCTCACTTGGATTAAGATGTCTGATTTATTCTTGTAATCTATTTTATATTTCAATTTTATCATAGAATTTAGATATCACATAGTGTATTTCTTTCCTGACCAATTTTTACTATTTACATTTTACATTCCTAGAAAAAAATATATAGATTTTTTGTTTTCTCTAAAGATTTATATATATCAAATCAGATACTCCCTCCGTCCATCCATTTAGAAGGTTGACATTTGTTTTTTGCATGTTGATATTTAAATATTAATTATCATATCAAAATGTAGTACAAATCAAGATAAAATGACAAAAATACATTTATTAGTGTCTTATAATAAAAATATAATGACATTTGTATAAAAAACTATACAAATATAAATATATTTTTAATGTTAAATACAAAAGGTAAATGTAAACTGATTAAGTGGACAAAGAAAGTATTATTTAAAGAAAAAAAAAATCAACTTTCAATTTCAATGTAAATTGAAAAGAAATACACCGGTTGTACTAAAAAGAAAAACCATGGGTGTGTTTGTTTGTGGGTTTTAGCGTTTGGGTTTAGATTTTTGAACATAAAAAAGTTGAATTTGAATAGTTGTTTGATAAATAGAAGTTAATGTAATATTTTGAATATGAAATAAATTTGTAGTATTATATATAAAAAAAAAAAAAGTAAATCTTTGATATGATATTTTTTTGAGAGAAAAAAGAATTTAAATAATAAAAACCTGTACTAAAAACCACAAAAGAACACAATTTATAATATTCAATAACTCAGAAGAACAGACAAATATTACAAAGTAGAAGTGATAGTCGACAATATACAAATAATATGTAGTGTTTGCTTTTGTATTTAATCTTCAAACAGTTGTTTAATATAACTTTTTTTTGGGATATTTAAACTTAATAGAAAATTGTAATAATTATACAACTAAAAAAAATTAAACATTAAAAAGAACATATATAGTGCTATAACGACTAAAATTACAATTTTTTCCCATCCCAACTCTGAGCCAAACGATTCAAACTAAACCCTCTAGAAAGTGGATTTTTCCAATTCCACAAGAACAAATTAATTAACAATATCACAAATTTGAATTGAACAATGTATTTTTATTTTATTTTTTAAAAAAAAAAAAAAAAAGAGATAGAAAGAGAGAAAGAAAATTTAGAAACTTACGTGCATTCATAGTTTAAACCACACTGAAGAAAAATATGCACAAGAAAATATATGCATAATCGAGATCAACAAATGCAATAAGCTAACCATAATTATATATATATATATATATATCATATTAATAATCCTCGATCCACATCAAAATTCCACAAAATTAAAAGGGTTTCATATATACTTCTTCCGGAACCCATTCAGCAGATTAATTAAGTAAAAACACAGTGTGCAGTACAGACACACAAATACATATATATATGAATTAGGAAATAACACAACCTGAATTAGGATCCTTCGTCTCCTCCCCAGTAGTGTAATAATCACTACCATTGTGATTATTATGATTGTAGTGGTACTGTGTGTAATAAGCCTGCTGTTGCTGCTGGTGGTAACGGTGCTGCAGCAGCTGCTGTTGATGGTAGTAGTAATTGTTTGGGTAGTCATAATTATTAGGGTTGTAATAATTTCTGGACATTCTGTTGAAGAGCTCTGCAAGCTGCTCTCTTTCTTTCTTCAGCCTCTCTTCTTCTTCTAATTTGTTTTTGTCGACCACCTCTGTGGCTTTCTTGTCCCCTCCTCCTCCTGCTGAATCCTTTTTGTCGTCTCCTTCTTTCTTCTTCGGAGGATCGGACTCCTTGACGGAGTCCACTGTGAGAATTTTTGTGTTCGGGAACTTCCTCAATTTTTTGACCACAGTTATTGCGTCAACATTTCCGATCACCGACAGCTTCTTCTCTTTCAGGTCCATGGCTAGGAATTCTATGCCTGCAGTTAATTAAATTATTAGTTGTAAGAACTGGATACATACATATATGTATGTAATGTATAGGGAGGACCTGGGAGGGTGGAGACTGCCTTCAAAGCCTTCTGCTTTTCTTTGTTGTCGTAAATTTCCACTGTCAGAACCACTTTCTGGACATACACAAGAAAATTCAATTCGATTTTGATAATTGGAAGGGGGAAAAAAAACACCTAAAAATTGATAAATGATGTAGGGATTATGAATTCTGACCTTACTCGTGGACATGGTTGATGAGCTCCGGAAAGTTGAGATTGCAGGAAGGAACAAAACTTTAAGCAGATAGAGAGAGTGCTAAGACGAAGACGAAGACGATGATGATGAAGAAAAAGAAGAAGATAATGATTTTATTTATATTTCTCTACTCCAAAAAAAGCAAATGGTGAGGGGCAGTTGAGTTGAGCTGCTTTTTATAGTCAGCTCTCCAATTAGACACGCGGTGGAACCCTTCTGAAAAATTCACCCCTCCACCCCACCCCCCATCTAAGATATATATATATATATTTGTATATATGTATATATGAATCTGTGGGTGTATATGTATATATATGTATATCTGTGTGTGTGTTTTTAGTTGAGGTTGTGAAAATGGGTAAGATTGAGAATAGGGTAACTAATGAATTAAGGTTCAATTAAACCAATTATGTTTTTTCATCGTTAGGACTTTATCTATACACTAGTGCTTAGTTAGTACAAAGATATTTATTTATATGAAAATTGAAATTTAACCACTAGATTTCATCGACGAGTTCTAAATTTTCATTAAATTAATTTTAATGTTGTATAAAATTTTATTTTCTAATATATATAACATGATTACATTTTATTGAAAGTCACCCTAAATTACTACCATGCCCTTCCATTGTTGCCTCGCATAAACTTAATTTATATACAAAGATATTACATTTAATTTTTGCAATTAATACTTTCACTTTCTTCCACCAAACTTCTTTTTTACCCTCTGATTTTTTTTCCCTTATTTTTCCCATCATTTAATATAGATATATATATATATCCTTTTTACAACTGAAAATTATCAATCAAAATAATTATATATATTCTTCTTAAATCAATTGTAGAACCATAGCGAACATGATCGAATTCACAGGACTGTAACTTAGGTGTGAGCATGCATAGGAAGAAGGCAAAATTTGAAATTTTTTACCCAAATTTTACTTTCCTTTTTTTTTTTTCTAGTGTTACGATTTATAGAAAAAATTCTATTTTCGTTAAATCACAATTAGGGTATAATATTATATTTATACAAGAGATATATTAGGTAGGATATATATATAAATATATAAAATATATATACAATATATATATCAACATCCCCTCAAACTCAAGGTGGAACGGTGGAACCCAACTTGAGTTTGCTCAAAAATGACTGAAAACGGCCGGGAAGGTGAGGTTTGGTGAATCCGTCGGCCGTCTGATCAGCAGAGGAAATAGGAGAGAAGGAGATGCTTCCATGAGCAACGTGATGACGTACAAGGTGACAGTCGATCTCAATGTGCTTCGTACGCTCGTGGAAGACATCATTCGTCGAAATCTTCATGGCGCTCTGACTGTCGCAATGGATAATAGTGGCAGAGGGCTGAGGCACTTCGAGATCAGCCAGCAGCCAGCGAAGCCATAGAAGCTCGGCAGCGGTATCGGCAAGGGCTCCATATTCGGACTCTGCACTGGACCGGGAGACAACCGTCTGTTTCTTGCTGCGCCATGAAATAAGCGAGTCGCCAAGGAAGAAGCAAAACCCGGTGGTCGAGCGGCGATCAGAGGGATCTCCCGCCCAATCAGCGTCAGAATACCCAGTCAAAACTAAGGAGGAACGAGCGGAATAATGAAGCCCATGAAGAAGGGTACCTTTGACGTACCGGAGAATCTGTAGGACAGCAGAATGATGAGTCGTCCGAGGAGCAGACATAAACTGACTGACGATATGGACGGCATAAGCAATATCCGGTCGAGTGACAGTCAGGTAGATCAGACTTCCCACCAGCTGATGATACAAAGTCGGATCATCAAGGGGAACGCCGTCCATCGGAGTAAGACGACAGTCAGAATCAAGAGGTGTAGGAGCAGTCTTGGAGTCAGTGAGACCGGCACTAGATAGGAGGTCGGAGGCATACTTGGCTTGAGAGAGATAATATCCGTCGGAGGTGTCGGAGATCTCAAGTCCTAGGAAATACCGAAGAGGCCCCATCAACTACTTCCTTGCCCAAGTGCAACCCCTTTGGCATTGGTTGGATCAAGCAGAGATCAGTCCTGATCATCTTCGCCTCATTCAGGTCTTGATGGCTTTGTGTCCAGAGTATGAGGCAGTTCGTGCCTCTTTGTTACATCGGCATCCACTTCCTACCTTGGATGCAGCTATTCATGAGATTCTATTTGTGGTCACTCGTCTCCACCTAGCTAAGGCTCCTCAGCTTGATTCTGCTCTTGCGGTCACTGCCCGAACTCCTACTCAGAGTCGTTCTCATCGTTGCAAAAGATGTCAGTCTTCTAATCATGACTTCGGTCATTGCCCAAAGGTGGAGTGTCACTACTGTCATGTTTTAGGCCATACTATACAGTATTGCCCCACTAGGCCGTCTCACTCTGGCAGTAGTAACTACAAGCCCCGGCATTCTCGTGGACCTCAGTCTGGTACCTCCTCTATCACAGCCTCTGCCACGCCTGCGCCTGCGCCTGCGCCTCCTACGATTCAGGACCTGGAAGCTTTTCTTAAACAGGTTCTATCTTCCAATACCGTTATGTCTACCACATCAAGTAACTCTCCTTGGTATTTTGATTCTGCTTGCAGTAATCATATGACCTCTGATACACGCCTTATGACCTCCACATCCACCGCACCATCCTTACCTCCTATCCTTACTGTCAATGGTACCCATATGCGCATCACCCACACCGGACATACATCCACCTCATCCTTATCCCTCCCCGACACATACTGTATCCCTCAATTAACCTTAAATCTGATTTCCGTTGGTCAATTAGTTGATCAAGGTCTCACCGTGATATTTTTTTCTACTGGTGTGCAGGTTCAGGACGCGCAAACCGGGCGGACTCTTGGGAAGGGCCGGAAGACGGGCCGCTTATTTGAACTTACGTTACTCCCGGTCCCTCGTCCCTCTATCTCGGCTGCCACCACCTCTACAACATCCTGCCTTCAGTGGCATCATCGTCTCAGTCATGCGTCTTCCAATAAAGTCAGGTCTTTGATTAGTCAGGGCAGTTTGGGTTCTGTTAAGTTTGAGTCTTTTCATTGTGTGGATTGTTCGTTGGGAAAACAACCTGCCTTGTCATTTCCTCATACTACTTCCATTGCGGATACACCGTTTTCCTTAGTTCACTCGGATATTTGGGGACCTTCGCCCGCTGTGTCTATGAATGATTCTCGTTATTTTGTGATTTTTATTGATGACTATTCTCGTTTTACATGGATTTACTTTCTGCGGCATCGTTCTGAACTTCCATCTATTTATATGACCTTTGCTAAAATGATACATACCCAATTTTCCTCTATCATAAAAACTCTCCGCACAGATAGTGCTCTTGAGTATACTGATTCATTATTTCTTAGTTTCTTATCTGATCAAGGTACTGCTGTCCAACGCTCCTGCCCATACACCTCTCCACAAAATGGTCGCGTCGAACGTAAACACCGACATATCCTCGATACAGTCCACACCCTTCTCTTATCTGCCTCTTGTCCGGATCGCTTTTGGGGGGAAGCTGCACTCACCGCTGTCCACACTATAAATCGAGTCCCCTTTGATCGTTCGTCTCCGTTCTTTGCCTTGTCCTCTCCACCTCTATTCCCTTCTAGTGACACGGCTCCGTCTCCGTCTCCCGCTCCTGACGCTGTCCCGGTTGCGCCTCCTGAACCGCCGCTGATCCCCGAGCCTACTCCTACTCTCGACTCCGATACATCAACACCACCAGAGCCTGACACGACTTCGATCTCAGCCCCTGATCTTGGCCCTCGTCGTTCCACTCGGGTTAGTCACCTTCCTACTCACTTACTTGATTATCACTGCTTCTCTGCCACCTTGTCCCATCATGAGCCCAGGTCCTTTCGTGAGGCGTTTGCAGATCCGTTGTGGCGGCAGGCTATGTCTGAGGAGTTGCAGGCTTTGGAGAAAACCCATACGTGGGATATGGTTGATCTTCCCCCTGGCAAGAAATCTATTGGCTGCAAGTGGGTATTCAGAATCAAAACTCACTCTGATGGATCCATCGAGCGCTACAAGGCGCGTTTGGTAACCAAAGGCTACACCCAGCAGTATGGTATCGACTATGAGGAGACATTTGCCCCAGTTGCTCGTCTCACCTCTATCCGCTGTCTTATCGCCATCGCTGCCGCTCGTCGGTGGCCCCTGCATCAGCTTGATGTCAAGAATGCGTTCTTGCATGGTGATTTATCCGAGGACATCTACATGTCTCCTCCTCCTGGTTTTCCTACCTCTTCCAAGGTATGCAAACTTCGCCGTGCCCTATATGGTTTGAAACAGGCACCTCGAGCTTGGTTTTCGAAATTTAGCTCTGATACCATGTTACGATTTATGGAATAAACTCTATTTTCGTTAAATCACAATTAGGGTACAATATTATATTTATATAAGAGATATATTAGGTAGAATATATATATATATAAATATATAAAATATATATACACAATATATATATATATCAACATCTAGCACAAATTAAATCAACAAAAAATAAATAAATAAAAACTATATAAATTATGATGGAAAAAAAAAAAAAAGATCACTTAGAACTTATTTTTCATCAATTTTCTTTTCTTTAGTGCAGTTAAAAGTAGCCCTCCATGTTTGGTGTCTTTTCAAAATTGGCATTTGCAACATTTTTAAAAAGAATGTTGTGACATTTTTGGATTCTTTCTACTCGTTTCATTTTATAATTCATGCAAAGCAATGATGATAAATAATAATTCCCATTATATATTATTTTAGAATATATATATATATACATATACTTATCTACAATTTTCAGCATTGCATTTAATTTTGAGGGAAGAAAATAATGGCATAATATAGACAAAAGTGTCATCATATATATATATATATAACAACTCAAAAGTGGACCTCATATTTTGTACATTTATGCAATCCTGCACTCTCAAATTTTGAGATTTTTTGGGTTTTTTTTATTTTAATTTTTTTACGGTTTTACAGAATTATGCAGAATTATATAGAATTACAGTTTTTATTATTTGATATAAGTGATAGAGAGGTGACGGTTAAAAAAAATGGACAAAGGTAGTGGGATGTTATTTGATATAAGTGATAGAGGGGTGACGGTTAAAAAAAATGGACAGAGGTAGTGGGATGATACAGTTTTCATTGCTCATTATTAATATATATATATATATATAACATGAAGAAGAAGATGGGATAAAGAGGAGCAGATACAAAAATGATATGCAGATGACAATGGAAGAAATAAGAATATTAATTACTTCATTTTTTTTTTCTTTTAGTTTTAAATGTGTGTTGTTTTTTTCATACTTTAACAATATTGATACTTTTCTATTTTTTTTTTTTTTTAGCATGAAGAAGAATATGTCATTTTTTTCTTAAATAAGAATATTATGTGTACTTAAACAAGAATATTATGTGTACTTAATTTTTTTTTCTTTTAATTTTAAATGTGTGTTATTTTTTTTCATAGTTTAACAATACTGATACTTTTCTACTTTTTTTTTATTATTATTTTTTTGCATGAAGAAGAAGATGTCATAAAGAGGAGCAGATGCAAAAGATGATATGCAGAAAATGGCAATGGAAGAAGAAATAAGAATATTACGTATACTTAATTTTTTTTTTTTTCTTTTAGTTTTAAATGTGCGTTTATTTTACCATTTTTAACTTTATATCAATAAAATTACTATTTTTATTATACATAATATTTTTATAATTTTTGTTACTAAAATTTTACTTATTTATTGAATTACTTTAATATATTTTTATTATATTTATGTTTTTTTATTTAGATTTTTTTTTTTACGATTTTTCACTTTATATTTTTGTATTTTACGATTTTTTACTTTATATTTTTGTTATATTTATTTTTTTTAATTTAAATTTTTTTTTACGGTTTTTTACTTTTGATTTTTATTATATTTAATTTTTTGGATTTAAATTTTTTATTTTTTTTGAGATTATTCACTCAAATTTTATTTTTACTATTTTTCACTTTATATTTTATTATATTTAACTTTCTTTATTTAGATTTTTTTTTTACAATTTTTCACTTTATATTTTTTTTATATTTATTTATTTATTATTTAAATTTTCTTTTTTTCTTTTTAATGTAAAGACACAGTTTATTATTATTTTCACAAATTAGTTTTATAATTAACTATTTTTATGATATATAATTAATTTTTTAAATTTAAATTTTGTTACTACAATTTTATTTATTTATTTACGAAATTAAAATTAAATATATTTATTTATGTATGAATTTGTATATCTATTTTAATAGTATATTTAATTTTTATAAATGAGGTAATTTGACCATTTTCTTAAAATATGGTTTTAAGTGAGTTTTTAATTGAGTTTTAGTGAGAAAAACTAATTTTTAAATATTTTTTTAAATATGCTGAGTAATCATATTTTTTTTAATTTTCTTTCTATTTTAAAATAATTTTTTTTTTCATATTTTTTCTTAATTTTTTAAAATTATTCTGATACTTTTTTTTTACTCATTATAGTTTCTTATATATATAGTATAAATTTTTTAGATTTTTCTTTTTTTGTGTGTGTGTTTTTATTTTATTTTGTATTTAATTTGTTCTCATAGTGATTTGCAATTTTGTATTTACTGTGTTCTCACAGTAAATAGGTGTTTAATTCAAATTTTTATTCGCAATTGATTATAATTTATATTAAGTTATACATTATTTTTATTATATTACAATTTTGTTATCAAAGTATTGTAATTAAACTATCATATTGTTGGAAAATTGGTTTTATGATTAAGTTGTAAAAGCAAAAATTCTTATTATGTATATATATAATTAATATTTTGATTTTCATATTACATTTTATTATAGAAAATTTTGAGTTTTTTATTTTTTATTTTTTTATGGATATTTAATTTATTGATATGTATTGTATTTTAATTTTATGTAAAAAAGTATCAATGTTTTTATTTAAGCAAACATCAAACAAACTAATGTTACATAAACAATATTTTTGATTTAAAAATAAAAATATATCAACTTACTATTTATTATAATCAATAAGTTCTAAACACATCCAAAATATATGTATAATTTTTATGTACTTTTTTAATTGATTCATAATAAACTAAATTGTTACTTTAACATTATATTAGTTTGGTTATATTACATATTTTATTCCAAATAAAGGTAAAAATTTGTTATTTATTTAATTACTACTATTTCTATAAACAATTTATTATTCTTAAATTTATTAAAATATTTAAAAATAAACATCAAATTAATATAAATTTCTATAATAATAGTGTATTTTGAAATGATAACAAACTTTCGTTGTAGCACGGCCTTCCTGCTAGTTTTAATAATATGGGTGGATGAGCAATAATACCCTCAAATTCATAGGGCTGACGTTTATATAGTTCAACTAAAAGCAAAAAGGCTAATTAGTCTTTATTTTCGGCTTCTCAGGAAATTTAAATTTGTAATTTTGTTCCAATTGTTGAAGTTAGCTTTCCTTCTCCAACACAAATTAGAATAATAAAATATTTAATTTCTTGTTTATATTAGATTTTGTTTGATGAAAAGCCCACTACTAATAGGCTTGGGCCTACCGTAATTGAGGCCCACTTTCCAGCAACTGGCCTACATCATTTCTATCCATCGATTTATCTGAAAAACGAAAGAAGAAAAGCTTCAGGAAATGATTAAAAAATGTTCCCAGAATACATACAGACGTTGGCAGATTCCATACATCAGGCAAAATTGTACAGCCATATATCTCAGACGGAAGAAATGTCCAACTTTGGATTAAAAGGACACCGGCGCCGGCGCTGAAATCTTCGTAATTTGGTCGACGACGTCGAGAATCTCCGATCTGCTCCGGACAATCCGATGGAAAACTTCCCTGACCTGCTGCTGCAACGGCGCCAGCCCCTCCTCCATTCTCCGGCAAATCTCCTCCATCTCCGCCACCTGCGCCTCCACCTCCGCCGCCTTCTCGTTGTCCAACGGCGAACCGAACGAGCACGTGAATTCGGCTAGACTGTTCGCCACTTTCTCCATCTTCTGCAGCTCCTCCAACAACCCTAATGTCCCCTTCTTCTCCTTCTTCTTCCAGTCTTCCCCAATTTTATCTTGCAGGGAGATTATGGGCTGGGCCCAGCCCAATTGCCGTGGGGTCTGAAAATGGGTCGAAAGCCCATTACGCTCTTGGCACGGAATGGCCGCCACTAAGGCCCACATTACAAATACGAGTATTGTATTCATTATGTAGACCGGCACGGCCGGCCCGGAGGCGTCTGCGCCACGTGGCGCGACGAGATTGGTTGTCATGTTCTGTATCTGTTTCGCGGCCGACCAGGACTTCGCGACGGACCACGAGAATGACCGGAAGTTGTTGCCGGAGCTCCGGTCCTTGCCGTGCAATGCGGCGGCGCCGCTGAAGCGGCGGCCGAAGGAGCGCGTGCGGTCGGTCCATTTTAAATGGAAATTGGCGTTGGTGTTCTCCTTGTCGTCGAAGAACATCGACGTCAGCAGCGTCGTCAGCGCCTTCTGCGCGCGGCGGATTTGGCCCTCGCCGACCGGCGACTGGCGGAGCGCCGTCACGACGATTTGGGCGAGCTTCTGCCAGTGCTGAATAAGATCAATTCCGTGGGTAATTGCGTTGCAGACGTCCAGCGCTTTCACGGAACGTTCTAGAAGGTCCGGGATCAGCCGGTCGAGCGGCGGCTTGGAGAATTGCGATGGATCCCGGCCGGCGATGAGGACGGTTTTGAACTCAGCCTCGCAGGATAAGAACAAGTCGAGGAGGTTGCGCAGCCAGGCGATGGATTGCAGGCCCGGCCGGACAGATTTCTCCTCCGCCGGAGAATCGTCGTTGGTTGTAAGAAGCTCGGAGAACCGATCGGCGACGTGTTTCTGCAGGAGTTCGAGGTCTTCCAGCTCCTGGTCATTGACGGCCTCGACGACGGAGAACTGATTCCGGCGGATGCTGATGCGGTTGAGGAAGGAGCCCTGATTGTCGGCCGGCGGCATGATTGATAAAACACAGAGCTCTGATCAAGATTGAGAATTGATGAAGATGAAGAAGGAATCGGCAGTTGGGCAGTTAGTTTTATGTAATGAAATCAAGGAATTGATGATGGTGAAGTCTTGTCGGAATGCTGACCGTTTCTCTAGTTTCTGTCGTGGAGGCTGAAATTCTATTTCTGCCCTTTCCGTTTTGAAGTGGTTCCGGAATCCTGCGAGGGTAGAATCGTCTTTTTGGGTTGAAAATGGGACAAAAGAATCCAGCAAATATACATAGAATCACGGAATGCGAGGCGTTGAACGCGTCTCTTTTACCTTCTCATGGCAGCGCGTGAGCTCACGCTATCTCCCATCCCTGAGGAGAAAACGCCAAAAAAAAGTCAGTTAGTTGATGAAGAACAAATCCGATGGTGCTCCCGGGACTTCGACACCAAATTATACATCTTCATTATGAACTGACCGACCGTATTATACTACTTGAAATAAAAATACTGCAGTGCTGTTTGAATTAATTTTAAGATTGTAATAATTATGTTTTAGTTATAATTAAAATAAAATAAAATGTATGTATACTAATTGAAGTTCAAGCCATCGATATATATATATATCTGGTGTTGTGCTCCAGGGTCTTCTAACCCTAAAAGTTGAAGGAATAATTCAAGACATGAGTAATTAGAGGCTTTTATTAAAAATTGACTTAGCCAAATTGGTCGAGGAATGGAAGCCATGTCGTCTCCAATCTCCATAACATATTTATCATTTTTAATTTCTTACATGTGGTGGGAGAGGCCAAGTTGATCAATTTTCAATATCATTATTTTACGAGGTATGTTTGCTTGTTTTTGTTTTTGTTTTTATGTTATAATTTAATTATAATAATATATACTGTACTATTTAATTTAAATTGTTATATCGAAAGGTTTGATTTTTCAATTAGTACATATATACTATTCAAGATTTATGTAATATTTATAATATAGTACTTGTTACATCTTTTTTTATATATATATTTAATATTTTATTGTTTGTTAAGATGAAATTATAATTGGACAAATAGAATTAATATTATTTATATAATAAAAAAAATGGATAAAAATACATGTAAATGAATCTATAATGTTTAAAAAGAATTTTTATTTAAAGAATCAAATAAAAATGTCTAAAGATAATAGATATATTCTTTCGGTCCACTAAAATGATGCTTTTTCCTTTTGTAAATTAGGGTATAGAATTAAACTTGAAAATTAATTAAGACCGAAAAAATCGGAATTTAAACCCATAATTTTAAGATCGGATCATCTCTAATGGAAGCACCCTAGAAAATCTTTCATTTCAAAGACTTTGTTGAAGAAAAATGAATTGATTTTAAAATTTTAATATCGAATACCCACTTTCAACAGAATTAGTTTTTCATATTTAAATTTGACATTTGTATTTTCTTTATGCATATGTTCTCAAAAAAATTCAAAGTCTATAATCTCATTGCACTTATCCATTGATTGCTTATGTATATGGTGGGTTGCATGTGCCAATTACAGATCTGTCACTTACCAAAAGAAAAGAATAACCCTTGTTAAAATAATTATATATCGTTCAATTGTCATTTATTTCATTTTATTATTATTTATTCATTGTTGATTTTATAATCATGCTGTCACGAAATTGGATTTGAAAGGATGAAAAATAATTGAAATAATTCTAATATGAAAATTAAAAATATAAATTAATTGAAACCCGTTTAATTTACACAAAAAGAACAAGTGGATTCGATGACAAATTATCGATGCCCACCAAATTCTCAGCCTTCCGACCATCATTCCGGTCGCCGGATAAGTGGTCATCAGCAGTGAGATTTCTTGGAAAAGTGAGCAGCTGAGGAAGAAGACGAAACGACATTGAGAAGTGAATGAAACGCTTTAGCTGCAATCCTGATTTTGATCTGCCCTCTCTGTGGGATCGTAACTGCACCGTCGGATCTCTTCTTCTTCATCTTTTGCAAATTATAATTATGATTGCTGTTGCTCAAAACACAGTCAACACTCCCCTTGGTCCTCATCTTCTTCAATGAATTGAAATTAATTGCTCTTTGATTGATCGAGTTGCAGATATGGAAGAACTTCAATCAATGGGAAGTTTATATAGGATGAAGATGCTGGCAATTTGCATGACAGATGCTGAATTTAATTAACTAAAAAATATATACATACCCGACATAGAATATCACTGTGCTGTAGAATTAGGGTTAGGGTTTCGTTCTTGTCGACAGTTTCGTGTTCTTGATTGGAATATATATATATATATCATGTGTGTATAATCAGGTAATCAATTTCATGTGTGCATTTTAAAGGGTTTTTAGTTTAATTAATTGTTGCAACTATATATATGTGTAGCTGTCGAGAATCAATCAAGATCTTGGGTCGTCTTCATTGCACGTGTATTCATGTTTCATGTTTCATGTTTCTTTTTCTTCGATCAATTAACATATATTATATTTTATGTATATATATATATATATATATTCAATTATAATCATAGTTGAATTTTGCATTATTCGTTATGATCAATGAGCTGGCTTGCCACCCAACAGCCCACTATTGCAACCTTGAATAATACTAACTACTAAAATTATTTTCATCTTGTTCATCTCTGCTACCAAAATTCAGCCAAGGAAAATATTTAAATGGATTTACTATGCTTTTCTTTAAGTTTTTGTTTTTGTTTTAAATATTATTATTATTCAACACTGGCCCATATATAGGCAGTAAGAATAAATTATATTATCTTGAAAATTATCATATCTAATCATCGTGTAAACCAAAGTCGAAACACAAAACTACATACAAAAAGGGCAAACACAATCAAATTAATAAGTAAATTAAATGTTTTGTGTACTTTTTGGGCTATGAAATTGAAATTTTTTAAACTAAAATTTGTTTTTTATAAGACTTTTTAAATGAACTTGTTTAGTGAGCCTAATGTTTTGAAGAAAATATAATTAAATCTTATATATATAACTTATTTAAATATAAAATTTGTTATTTAATTTTTCTCCAAAATATGGTTATCCATTTAGAGTCGGTCAAAGATTAAGAAAAATAATAAAAGTATCAAAATAGTTATATAAGTATTTATAGAAATTTAAAGAGAAATGCAATATATATATATATATATAATGGTAGTAATTAATGTTGAAAAAACGATAACAGATAAATGTTAAGTATTGTATTTGAAAATATTTAATAAATAAATTAAATTTAATAGATAGATAAAAATAAATAAATAAATCAATATAACGGATAAATGATCATATTTCTTTTAATTTTACTTTAAAATAAATCTTTTACATTAAATAAGCCCAATAATATATCCGATTGGGCCACTAGGCCATATCACATGAATTCATTATTGGGCCGGCCTATAATGTATATTTTAATATTCGGCCATTAGGTACAGCCGTACACATTATCCATCCCTATGACCCTATCCACATATCAACAATTATTCAAAATAAAATTCATAATAATAATAATAATAAAACTGTGTTTACTTATATTATTGTCACATTAAATTTTTTATTATCCACAAACTAATATGAAACATTCTTTTTTGAACACACCATTTTCTACAAGGATAGAAAAGCTTATGTGAGTTTTTTAAATGAAACATATCATGTGAAAATACACATTAGGATTTAGTATATCAATTCATGTGTGCAATTGACAAAAAATAGTTTTAGAAGTTTCCATGGATCCATGGATTGTATTTATCAATAAACACTTTAGATAATTCAATAATGATGGTTTAAAATTTTGATTAGAAAATTTCATTTTTCCCTTTAATTAATTGTGGTTAGCAATTTTTTAAAATAATGGATTTAAATAATATATAATAAATAGCCTAATTAGTTAGAGTAGATACATCATCTAAAAAAATGGTACTATTTAATAGGTAGATTATTTTTCCACATATTTGATCATAAATTTATTAGAGTTTTTGGCAATTGGGTAAGGCTTATATTCACAATTACCAACATTTAATCATTTGCAAAATTATGTATTAAAAACATGACAATTTAGGCAATAGTCTATATATTTACAAGTTAGGAAAAATTATTATTCCATTCCCATGAATAGGGTTCCTTATTATTTCTAACTTTCATTTCGAATACTTTGGGTGTATTTATTGAGGTTTTGATTTTGTTTTTTTACAATGTTATTCATAAGAAATCGTTAGAATTTCATACATACAAAATTGAAATGTAACTCCAAATTAAATCAGTACTATAATTAACTTGATATTAAAATACATTTTCATATTAAATATATATATATATATATATCAAAACAGCTAACACAAGCACCTATAAATTATTGAACTTACAAGGCCATTTAAAATAAATAAATAGTCAAGAACCCACTAGAAGAACAGTAGTTTGTCGGAAGTTTACCAATAAAACATATACAAAATCTGAAATAGACTAATTTATAACAGAAATTTAAAAATAAAATAAAAATTATTGGTAAAATGGGGTCAGGCAAAAATGGGCAGAAAATTAAATCACTGTGGAAAAATGTGGGCTCCCTTTACTGTACTTGTCTTTGTTTTTATTTAATTTTTATAAAATAAAAAATATGTTAGCTCGCCGACACAATTTTTCAATATATTATTTCAAAAATTGAGTCAAGTGAAATCGAGGAGACAAATTAAAGTTAGTAGTACAATAATTTGTAATAAAAATACACACATATAGGCACCATACACTGGACCACTTTATACATATATGTGTATATATATGAACAAACCGACAAAAAACAAGATAAGAATTTGAAATTGTGTGACCCCAAATAAGTGATGAATAAATTGAAGTATGTTTATTACCAATTTTCATATATTAAGAATGCAATAAAACATATATAAACAATACAGCTAATTTATTAACTGATAAATCTTATAACTAGATCTGTAATGTCTTTACGTGCGATATCAGCAATGTGCACCTATTCATTAGCATTATTAATGCC